GTCGCATTGAAAGAGGTCGCAGCGCAGCTTGATGTTCCAGCAAACACATTAAGAAAAACGATTGATTCCACGAAATCATACATGCACAGCAGCAATTGGACACCAGAGGAGATTGAAAAACTGACAGCATATGTGAGCTCTCTCGGCAGCGGAAGATTTGACAGGAACTACGTTTCAAGCCTTATAGGAACCAAGAGCCCCAGCCAGTGCAGAGGCAGATATTTGTATATGACAAGAATTTGCAAGCTTTAGTACAATATACAATACTTGACAATTTTAAAACATAACCATCGCATTGAACTTATTTGAACCATCTAATTGCCATGAAAATTCATCGATAAAAGTGCACTGAGTTTTATAAAAAAAATGACAAGGTCTAAACTTGCCTTAAGCAAATAAAGAAATATAAGGGCAAAAGTAAGGTCTCACCGAGATTCGAACTCGGGTTACCGGAATCAGAATCCGATGTGATAACCAGCTACACTATGAAACCCAGTAGTGGGAATGAATAGACTTTTTTGGAGCTACCAAGCCCTGTTAATCAAGATTCTCATATTTATGTACAAAGCAGCTGCTATGCATATGTTGGCTTACTATTGCAATTTTTTTATTAAAACATTAGCCATCTATAATATGTGCTGGTATTCACAACCAAATAATTGAATAATTGCATTTCAAAAAATGAGCGGTTATTAAAAATAATTTGGTCGACCTAATCCTTTTCTATTGACGATTCACAGGTGCCAACATTGCAAGATGTGAATGATAGCAGCAGTATTACAACAACGAGCGCTGCTCTCATATGGCTATTAAAATATTTGCCATTATTTATAAACATTTTTAATTATTAATGTTTTATTGATTGTATTGTTGTCATGATGAAAACAATGATATTTATACAAACGCGTAAAAACTAAAGAGAAAACATGGATATGAGAATGGGAATGGGAGTGGTTGCAAGCAGCGCCAGCAGTTTTACAGGTTTATTTTATCTAGTAGAATTGCCACTGAGCTGGAACTTGCGGCAAGTGTTGGGCGTAATGCTCTGCAAACGGATGAAAGGCGCTTTGTACACTCGGGTGGCGAGCAACCATATCTTGTCTGCTCCTATTGTCTGCGCCCAAACCTTGGTATTGCACAGAAACAATGCTGCCGCGCGTGCGACGGCTGCGCGGTGACAAGTGCGTGCGGTAGTGCTGCATCATGTTGTCCTGGCGCGAGAACCGGCTGCAGCATCCAGGGTAAAGGCATTGGTAGTTTTTCTCACCCGTGTGGATTCTGTAATGCCGCGACAAGTGGCCACTGGTCGTGAAAGCCTTGCCGCAATCGGAGTGCGAGCAAACGTACCTGCGCTTGGAAGACAATGAGCGCAAAGCAATTTGAGTGCACGTTGTGATGGGCAGGGATGGCATTGGCTGGTTTTTGGGGGCGTGGTTGTGCAAGTAGACTTGGGAGAAAGAAGGCCGTGTAGGTGTTTTGTCGCTATACCCGCTCATGTTTACTGCTTGGATTAGCGCTGACATGGATGGCAGGCGAGCGGGCGACATTTGCGGCGTGCTTGGGTGTGTGGATGGCGTGTAGGCAAGGTGGGCAAAAAAGGGCGATCTGTCTGGCGTCATGTCAGGAAGCGACTGCTGGTAGTGGTCAACACTTTTAGCCCCAATGGAGCTGCATCTGCTGCCATTAGCTGTGCTGCTTGCACCGGTGTTAATGTCATTGTTATGGTCGTTGTTGAGAATGCTGACGCAGTGGCCATTGGCTGTTCTGATTGACAGCGAGCGCATCTTCTTGGCGCACGCAGCGGCGTCGCTCAAGAGGCTCAAGTGTGAAACTGGCATGCCGGTATTCATAATGTAATAAATAATATTGACTTGAGGGTAAGGAATGCTGATTTTAGAGTAAAAATGATGGCTGTCGAGTATAAAAGCTATTTTTTTGTTAGGCTGCTGGTTTGGATGTGTGTTTATATGGTATTATATTATAATATAAAGATATTGGAAGGATAGACCGCCATGGCAAGGGCATTTTATACTGCAGTGGTCCTGTTCTACATCTTCCCTGGGACAAAACCAAGGTCAACTGAGCAATAGTGCTTAATTCGCACAGGTTCATTTCAATGCACGTCCGCAAGCCCCAACACGGTGTGGCAACACACATTGTACGTAGGCATGCACAAAAGTAAAAATAAACAATTCCTAATTGTGTTTACATAGGTCATGGGAAAAAGATATAAAAAAGCTAGGTTTCGTACCACAGATCCCCGAGTTTACAATGTTATTGCAAATGTTCACTAAAGTCAACTAATACCACTTGACAAACACCACCCGAGACAGCACAATTGTTATATATTTATAAGTGGTAGTTGAATCAATTGTCAGACCAATGTTTTGATCTTTTCTTGTGAATCGGGTCGGACTCTTCATTTAGCCTTATGATGCACAATCAAAAATTGCTTGCCACATTTGTATTGTAATTTTAGCATCACGGTCTGATTGTCTTCCACTCTGAGAAGTGGCAATGCGTTTTTTTGTTTACAATTAATCTAAAGAAAAACTGCATTGTCCAACTCTGCATGCTATTGCCACACGTTTGTTAATGAGAACAATTGTAACAAATTATATTCTGCAAAACATGACGTTGGAATATTGACAGAACAAACGCAAAAGAAAGAAAAATAGGCAAAGTGTGCAGAGCAGGTGCTTGTGTTGTGCATTTAATTCGAGTGGTCTGTAAAATATACAATTGTTTTCGACATGGGTGAAAAAGCCTTGCCTTGTTTGTCAACATTTTTTTTTGTTATGATGTGTAAGTTTATTTTTCTATTTGCACGCATGATGCTCTGCACGTAATCGACGTTATTTGACCAGTTTGAGTAATTAATAAAGCTATTGTTTCGATTTGTTTTTTGGCAATTAAACAGAATGTAGCTGATTCAGCCAACCATGTAGGCAGTATAAAATAAAAACATTTCCATTTTAACAAATAGTTACTGGATGATTATTGATTTATATAATGTCATATATTGTGGTGAATATTTTCCAAACATAAAACGTTGTTTAAATATAGCCACTGCAACCCATTTAAATGTATAATTATAACAGGCTCTTAAAGTCCATAAAAATATTATCAATGATATCCGGAAAACTCAAATGCAGGGCCACGTCTAAAAATATAATTTTCAACAGCACCTCTACCATAAAAGGCTCCAATATCTAATATCTCTAATATACCACATATTCCACTTAATATATTAAAGCATTTAGACCGATCTGAAATAGTATCCGTGGTGAGCTCCTTTACTCCCTATTTTAGTCCCAAGATGTCTCTCCCAAAAAAGGTGTCGTTATGTATTGCAGCTTACACCAGGACAAACGCAAAAACAAGGCATTCTCACAAAGTGTATACGTTTACAGACGTTTGTTCTTCAAATATGTTGTTAATAAATTTATTTTACTTATTAAAAGTAAATCATGTTAATAAAAAAGACAAACAAAATGTCTATAAAAATCAACTCGCTGTTCTACTTTGTATCGACAAAAATAAGAACGTTATACCAGGTCAAGAAAACCCAGCCCGAATAACAGTAAAGCAAGTTGATAGTTTAGTGGCAGCAGCTGCCACTGGAGCAGTCAGTGCATCCAGTGCAGGTGCAGTCCTGGCCGCAGTTTCCGGAGCAATCGCAGGTGGAAGTCATTATTAAAATTGAGGTTGGTTGGTTGGTTGGTTGGTTGGTTTGTGGTGTTGTGAGAGTGTTGGAAGATTTGTGCTGATGAGTATTCGAAAAAAATGAATAGCAGTAGATGAGGTTTCTTTTATATATTTTACGACACATATATTTCTCACTTTTTCTCTTTTTTATTTGCTTACGACACCCTTCACCGTGTAGAAAGTAAAGGCATTGAAGAAAAACTGACAACATCCATATATGCATGTCCATCGGGATAAAAGATAAGCATGTTTCAAAAATAAAAACAAGTTCTCACACAATTCAAAAATGAGGGATGGGCGGAAAGATTGACCAAGGTCATACCGTTTTTTTTTGAAATTTTCCAAAAAAAAGTGCAAGGTCGCGTGTGCGTTGGGCTTCATATAGGGTGCATACAAGGGTAGTGAGAAAACTCCACCCAAATTATTTCCCTCTCTCTTTTTTGTTGTTTCAGTGAGAGTTCATGTGATAACGTCAAAGTACGAATGGGCGCAACATCAGCGAGTAATGCATATATTAATTACATTAGTAAACATCCAACTACCCCTGTGTTTATCTTTTTCAATTTAAACTTGTCCGCAATCACCCGAAATACAGTAAATTTGCTGTCGGGTTTTTACCACTTTTCTCACTCAATCCAAAAATAATGGGCATGAAAAAGAGTAAAAAGTGGCACTCTTGTTTTTTCTTATCGGGAATGTGTAATTGCCATATACGTTGTGCTGTTTTTTAATTGTGGGCATGCATGTAGGAATTGAGAAAAGCACGCTCAAGCTTACATTTGTGAGCGCAAAAATATAGCAGAAACACGAAAAAAAAACTGCGTATATTGACATGCAGGAATGGTTTCCGAGTTCTTCAGCAAACGAATCTTGAAGACGAAGACGAAGATGACGACAACGACCAATAATATATACAGATATACGTACAACAAATAAGTTAAATTTTTTGTATTTACAGGATTGGGGGAGGGGCATGTTAATGGACAGGGATAAAAGAGCCAGGTTGCATTGATCTGAGCAGAAAATTTAGACATAAATCATTCAGTCATACTTGGATCAACAATATTTGTTTTGGTGGGGCTGATGGCACAAAGAAAAAGCACAAACAAACAATATATTTTTTTACGCGTGTGTACGCGTGAAATGAAATTGAGTAGTCATTCCAGAATTCTGTTTGGGTTGTTCAATTCACCATTTTTATATTTTTTTTGCTTATACCTCTCTTTTTATTTTACAAATCAACAACTCAAATCACACCCACCACTTTCACTAAATTTCACCTATACATTAAAATGGTTGCGCAAAATTTACGTCGCAAGACTGCGGTTATGGATGAAATGGAGACCTCTGACAGTGACGTCAAGCGGGAATTCACCAGCGGGGTCTCTTCTGAAGGGGATAATGACGAAGAGGACGACGATACCATATATGTAGTTGAAAAAATCCTCGACCAGAGAATGGGCAAAAACAGCGAAAAGGAGTATCTGATCAAATGGGAGGGCTACGCAGACTCGGAATCCACGTGGGAGGTCGAAGACAACATCATCGACAAGAGCATACTGAAAAAGTTCTGGGACGCGAAAAACGCCGAAGCAGAGGCACGCAAGGCCAAGAAAGCCGCCACTTCCACGGTCGCTAGTGCCAGCAGCATGACCGTTAAGGCGCCAGTAGCGGCTACGAAGAAGCCTCCGGCGAATAAGCGCAGACGTACGGTGGATGTGCCGGAAGAGGAGAGGTATGGGGAGGCTGGACCGGACTCGGATAACTGGGAGCCGCTGGTCAGGGAAATTGAGACCGTAGATAGGATGCCGAATAACGACTTGATTGTTTTTATCGTGTGGAAGAACGGCCAGACCACTGAACATCCAGCGGAGATGGCGTATACAAGGTGCCCACAGGTTATGCTCAAGTTCTATGAAGAGCGTCTGCGGTTCCGGTCAAGGGACATTTAAAAAGACTCCGGGTCCAGCATTGTTTTGAACCGGATCATTTTTGATAATAAAATCTACTTGAGCTTTTTTCTTATTCTTCCTCGGATTTTACTGCCAACGATGAGGGTGGATGAGCGCTTGGAATTGCATAAAAATGTGTTTACGCGTTGACTGCGCGGCTTTTTTTTACTTTTTATTTTTGGCTTATTCCCCTTTCCTTCCTCCCCCCCACCGCGTGCCAGGCTTGCCTACGTTCACGTGTTCTATTGGCTAAAGACAAGGCAGAGAAAAATCAAACAGAGGCAAAACGTGATGTTTCAGCATTTTGATTGGGCGCCTTGGTGCTTCAACATGTGGTTGGGGGTATTCTATTTTCTTTTCACCAGCTTTGATATTTTTTTCCCCCCCCCTTTTTTCTCTTCTTTTTTTCCCTCACGCTTTTCTCTCCTTTTTCTCCATCATCCAACCTTTTTTGTCTCTCTATTACGCGTGACTAATACATTAAACTCCCATTTTGCCAATACACTTTTTTTACATAAATTTTTCATCCCCCTTCAAACGCCTCCCCCCTTTTACACGCGAACAGGACACACAGAAAGAAAAATATTGGAAATGAGTCAAACAGTATCGTCCAACACCAGTGTTCTTTTGGCTGTAGAGGACACCATCAGCAGCAACAATAGCAACGTACGCACTACCAGGCTTGCCAACATAGCACCACGCGAACCTGTAGAACCCACCACTCAGCAAGCAGCAGAAGACGGCGACGCGAATGGGGACCACGATTCTGACGCAGAGTACACCACCAACACCAACGACCCTTCCAACTCAACGTCAAGCAAACGCAAGCGTCCAGATGCCCTCGAGCCCGGAAGTCTCGAGTGGGAGCGTAACCGCAAGAACAGCCACAAGGAAGTCGAACGCAGACGGCGAGAAGTCATCAACCAAGGTATCGAACGCCTCGCACTGCTTATTCCTGGAGTGGAGAAAAATAAGGGTAGGATTATTGCCCAGGCTGTTGATTATATTCATAGGCTGAAGACTACGGAGGAGAAGAATATTAGAAAGTGGACGATTGAGAAGCTGCTCGCTGATCAGGCGATTTCTGAACTGACTACGCAGGTGGAGGCTCTGAAGGAGGAGAATAAGAGGCTGAGACGCGAGAAGAAGAAGAAGCAGCAGCAGCAGCAGCAGCAGCATGAGGAGCCTGCGGCTGCGGCTGTGGCAGTGGCTGTGAGTGTGGAGGAGCAGGATGAGGAAGAGGCGGCTGCAATTGAGGAGGCCTCTGGATTGTCAGCGTCGACACCATCACCGCCGCCTGCTGCAGTTTCTAACAGTCCACGCAAGTCTAAGTCCGGCGGCCGGAAGAAGAAAAACTAATTTTTTTACTTGATTTCATTTTCATGCTTTATTTTTATTTTAAATCCGCGCTGCTCGCAAAAAAAATCCAATTTCTAATTTTTCATTTTTTCAATGTCATATTTATTCACGTGAAACAAAGTTACCACAGTCGATATAAACCCAAGTCCAAAACATTCTTTTTTATTCTCTCGCGTATGTATTTTGCCCGTCAATATCATCAAGATAAAATAAAAGAATATGCTTCTTAGATAAGGCCCTCCTCCACCATGCGCTGTCTCATAAGGACACCCATCTGGGCGGGGCTCTGGGACACCAGAACGTTGGCCTTCTCAAGCGCCTTGATCTTGTCCTGCGCCGTGCCCTTGCCGCCAGCAATAATAGCACCAGCATGGCCCATACGGCGACCTGGAGGAGCCGTAAGGCCAGCAATGAATGACACCACAGGCTTAGGCTTCGCCAAGGTCAAGTTATGCTGGATCAAGAACTCTGCAGCCTCCTCCTCAGCCGACCCACCAATCTCACCAATCATCACAATACCCTCGGTCTCGGTATCCGCAAGGAAAACGCGCAGGCAGTCAATGAAGTTAGTGCCATTGAAGGGGTCGCCTCCAATGCCAATGCACAGGGTCTGGCCCAGTCCAGCCTGGGTCGTCTGGTTCACAGCCTCGTACGTCAGGGTGCCGGACCGCGAGACAATACCGATTTTGCCGCGCTTATGGATGTGCGCCGGCATGATGCCGATCTTGCAAGCGCCGGGAGCAATAATACCAGGGCAGTTGGGTCCGACAAGGCGCGACTTGGATTGGGTGCGCAGTGCCTGGACGACGCGCACCATGTCCTGCTGTGGGATACCCTCGGTGATGGCAACGACGAGCCCGATCTCGTTCTCGATCGCCTCGAGGATCGCCTCGGCGGCGAATGGAGGAGGCACGTAGATCGCGGTGGCATCGGGCTTGGCCTGAGTGACAGCGTCCTTGACTGAGCCAAACACGGGCTTGTCCAGGTGGGTCTGGCCGGCCTTCTTCGGCGACACACCGCCAATGACGTTGGTGCCATAGGCAATAGCCTGGGACGCGTGGAAGGTACCCTACGATGAATAACACAAATGAAAAAGTAGTTTTTTTTAATAGGCCTTGCTTACTTTTCTTTCACACGCCATCCATCATTACGTGCTTATTTTTTTCCTCTGCCGTTTCAACTTGCTCGCGCAATGCATTATATAAAAAAGCCTTACCTGCTTTCCGGTGAAGCCCTGGATAAGAACGCGAGTGTTCTTGTTGATCTTGAGGTTGTTCACGGTGTCATCGTACGAGCGGCGAGCAGCCGAAGTGGCGAACCCACGACGAGCAGCTAATTGGGAGGGGGGGAAGCAAAAAAAAACCAATTTATTAGTCCCTATATCCTTTCTTCGGGTATTGAATCTCCCAGTGTCTTGGTGTTTTCCCGTTCATTCATTCTGTCAGTCATTCAGGCATTCGTTTTCACTCTATTTTTGTCAGGAATGCTTACCAGTACGAAGAGTGCGAGTGGCGATGGAAGAACCAAGCATTTTTGTTGTAATAGACGGTATTTCCTTTAGTTGTAACAAAAAAAGAAAAAGGTGTAGAGATTAGTTTCAATAATAATGAAAAAAGAAAGAGAAGAAAAAAATAAGGTGCAAATTTGCTAATACTAAAGTTGCCTATTTCTGCGTTGTAGTTCCCAATCCGCATTAAGGCTGAATGATGATTTCTTTTTGGATCCCTTTTTTCCATTACCGCCGGAGAAATTTTGAAGACTACTCAAAAAGTTTTTTCCACTCTCTTTCGCACCCCACTCACCCGCGCTTGTTTCCTCCCCCTTGTCCAGCTGAAAAAAAAAACAAAAAAGTTGGGTGTGTTGAAAATCCCTTTCAAGCCCCAACTTCAAATAACGAAACAACGAAACAACAAAAAATAAAAAGATTTCCCAAAGAAAATAAAAAAGGAGTGAAAAGCACAGCGTTTCCGCCAAACAAAACAAAGCGAATGAAAATAAGTTACTCTCCGCGGTCTTCAGACTTTACCGACGACAAGTCCTGGTGTTGCTTCTGGTGCTGCTGGTGCTGCTGTTGCTGCTGTTGCTGCTGTTGCTGCTGCATTGGCGGCGACAGATGAGGATCGTTGACTCCGCCAGTCATGCGCTGCGGCGTGAACGAGCCTGATATCGGGTGCTGCTGCATCTGCTGCTGCTGGTGATGCTGCTGCTGCTGAGGCGCAGCCATGTTGGTTTGTCGCTGGAGCCACTGCAGTTGCTCGCGCTCGATCTGCTGGTAGTATGCGCTCCGCTGCTCGGGCGTCGGCCCCGGCCCAGCCTGTGGCGGCGGATACCCAACTGTGGCATCGCCGAAATGCTGCGTGTAGTACTGCTGGAACGTAGGGTCATTGTACAGCGACGCCGACTGAGGCTGCTGCTGCTGCTGCTGCTGTTGGTGATGCTGGTGGTGCTGGTGAACCTGGTGAGGCTGCTGCTGATGGTGCTGAGGCTGAGGCTGAGGCTGAGGCGGGAGCTGCTGCTGCTGATGAACTACTGGCGGCGCCGCAGCCGGTTCCTCCTTCAACGCCTGTGCAGCCTTGGTCGCTGACGCTGGAACAGTTACAGTAACAGTGGGCTGGGCAACAGCCTTTTTGGTCGAAAACTCCTCTCTCGGCACAACATCAATCAAAAAGTCAAACATTTCACTCCTCTGCGCCGCAAACGAAACATCCTGTCTCTGCAAAGTCCGCCTCTTATTCTCCTCAGCATTCATCCACGCGCGCTGCGAAATCTCCGTAATGAATATCTCACACGCCTTGGAAAACAGAATCGGCGCCTCCGCACTAATCATCTGCACTTTAACGTCCGGATCACTCTTCATCACCTTCTTGATCCTTGCCAATGGCAATAAATGGGTCTTAAAGTCCGGCACGTTATCTTCGATGCTCGCCATATGTGCCTTCCAAAAGTCCCGCTGGAACTGCTGCAGCGCCTCGGCGGAGTTTATATGGCTGCTGCTGAAGTTCGTCGGAATTGTGCTTGGCCCCGGAAACATTGGCGCAGGGGAGCTCGGCGGCTGCTGCTGCTGCTGGTATTGTTGGGAGGCGGCTGCTGCTGCTGCGGCGGCGGCTACCGCGCTGGCGATCGTTTGCGGGTGGTAGTTGTTATCGTTCAGATTGAATTTGCCCAGCCCTGAGCCGTCATTGGCCTGGTCGGCGCCTGACTCGATGTTGTGGTTTGGCGCGCCCTGGTTATTTTGCATTGCTGTATTGAGGTGATAACAAAAAAAGAGGAAATAAAAAGTCTATGGAAATTATAAACGGAAAAATTCAATAAATTAAAGAATAGAGAAATAATCAAAAGCCCAATCTCTCTTTTTCCTTTCTTTTTTTTGGTTTGGACAAACACCTGATGAACGTCTCCTCGCGTTATGAACGCGCGCCCGAAAAAAATTAAAAAAAAGGCCTGGATTCCACAACAGCAATAGAAAAAAACCCCCATTGCCTTGTCCCCCTAAACCCCAATTCCCACCATCGCTTGATCTGATCACACGCCTCTGTCATTGCAACAAACAACAAAATTAATCAACACGGCACCCAGAAAGCTTGCCTTCTTGTCTGTCGTGTCATTTAGCATGAAATACACTAATGTAAATGGAATTTGGAATTTCCAGACATTTATAGCAAAAGTCCAGATTTTTAAGCGGGGTATTTTTAAAACCCGCTTTTCATGCAATAATGCATTGGCAGAGTCAGCTGAAGCTGAGAGTGGGTCTACAGTGACGCCCGAGACTTTGTTCAAGCCAAATCCCAAGCCCAAGCTCAAGCGTGTCCGCAAGGATACATCTTCCTCTGCTTCTCTTTGCAAGAGGCAGCGAACTGGATAATATCTGCAACCATAATGGTCTATTGCCACTAGTTTCTAAATACCTGTCAGGTTGCTATGCAATCTGAATGGGAGGGATGCCGATTTGCAGAATACTTGTAGCCTCGTTTTTTTTTCTTTTAGTGTAAGAAGGTTATTTGCAAAACAGAAAAGAAACCAGCTCCCGTTTTTAAGCAAAAGCGAAACACTCGAATTCCAAGTCCTTCGTTTTACACACCAAACCAACTTTATATATCCAATGTCTTCCAACACTCAAAAAAACACAGTCGTGCTGCTTCGCTCGCTCAAGATCAAAACTGGCTCAGTCAAGCGTCTGGTCAAAGACCGCACGGTGTACCTGGACGAGGTGATTCACCAGCAAAAGCGCATCGAGATTCTGCGCACTCAGGATGTACATGAGGCAGATATCCGCAAGCAGAACGAGGTTCTGGAGGAGACCGTGCAGATGATCCCTCATATGGAGCGCCGAATCAAAGATGTCATGGAAGACTTGGAGAACTTGGTATTGTCGGTGGAATCGGAGCTCGGCTCCACGCAGGAGTTTGCTGATGCTCGGGCGGCCGTTGCCGATGCCCGGCTGGTTGTTGCCCCGGCGCCGGCTTTGGTGGGCCAAAGCGGCGACGAGGAATGAGGAAGAAGGACATTAGCTAGGAAGGAGAGAGGCTCATTGGCGAGTCGGCGCATTGACTCTGTTCGAGGGAGGATAAACAAAGCGATGATGTGTGGTGTTCTCCAGATTTCCTTTTTTTTGGTGCTTTTTCTCCATCTGCCCCCTCCTCTGCGCTGCAAGTTCTTTCGTCTTTTTTGGTTGCTTTGTTGCTCCGCCATACCCTTTCTTTACTTTTCTTTTGGTGCGCAAGCATACACCCATTCTCACTCGCACATACACACATACTACATACACCCCCCCCATTTTCAACTCCTTTAATATATATTGACACATTCGTCACTCTAATTTTATACATTAACTTTATTCACTCAATGCGAAAATTGGACGACTCACCGGTGTCGTTCAGCCAGAGACTCTTCTACCTCTACGGTTACTCCACAGAACCAGAGAGCGAAAACAGTAAGCACGGAATTCACAGCGCAGATGCACATGGCGAAGAGCTACGACGGCGAAACAAGGCGCGGCGCACACTAGAGGTAGCTCTCAACGAGGCCGGTGCCCAGGCCACCACCGACGCAGACAAGGGCACGGCGGCCGACTACGTGGTCATCACAGATGAGTGCTCGCCGGAGCAGCGGGAAAAAGCGCTGGCGCTGGGACTGCCAGTCATCAACGAATCAGTGGTGCTAGAGAAAATACAGCAGCCCTCGGCTCTGATTATCAGCGGAGAGCCAGATGCCAGCGTGTTTGCCGCCGTGGTGGCGAGCAATAACCGGCTGCGCCCCAGCGTGTCGCTCGAGGGGATGGCCATACGGAAACTGCACGCTGCAGATGCGAGCAAGGCGGCTGTGCGGCGGCGGCCGCGCGGCTCAGTATCTAGCGCGAGCTCGAGCTCCAGCGAACTAGGCCACGGGCCGCTCGCTGGACCCAGCGGCAGCGGCCTCGGCGATGACGAGTACCGCGAGCGACAGGAGTGGCGCGATATGCTAGCATCAGCATTGACTGGTGAGGTCGTGGACAACGAGAAGAAGCGGCTCATCTCGCAGGGCGACAGCACGCCGATGATGGCCGGTATCGGGCAGACCGGTGATATGAGCGAGCTTGTGCAGAACGTTGACTTCCAATCGATGCTGCGCAAGATGCACGTGGATATGTGGCTCGGCTGCCGCGCGGCCATCCGCGGGCGCACGCCACAGCAGGAGAAGCAGACGCTCGAGTCGCTGCGCGCCGTGCACGTCGACACGACGCTGCGCGCTGTGCTGGACTACAGCGCCGCGGCAGAGTGCGCCGCCGGCGGTCCCGTAGCCGATCTCAGCGCGCGGTGCCTGGGCAGCCTGCAGAAGCTTCTGCGCCGCGTCGACTACGTCGAAGGCATGTACCCGACGCTGAGCGCTCTGGGCGTGGCCAAGCCGACCTACGTGTTGCCCGAGTTCCAAAAGAAGCTTGAGACCATCACGTCATGGACAAACGTCGTTGTGCGGCTCGAGCTGCTGTTCAACATGATGCAGCGGTGGACCGGCAGCAGCGACCTGAGCCTGTTCTCGACGGCCGTGCACGGGGAATATGCCGGCAGCGGCGCCGTCGAGACACCGCCGACGCCGACGCCGAAGCAAGGCTTCAAGCACACGCCGTTTGTCGAGCGGCTGATGAAGGAGAACGGCACGGGGGACATCTTTGGCAAGCGCATCCTGACCGAGCTCGAGCACGTACTCATGTCGGCGCGCGCCGACATGATTGCCAATGGCGGGCTGCTGACAGAGATCGGCCTGCCGCTGTTCAACCGTCACATGCAGGAGCTCCTGTGCTTTCCACCGCGGTTGCTGCGCACTTGGCTGCAGATGCGTCTGCAGAGCGTAGAGAACCTCAACAACCCAGCGCCCGCGCAAGTCGACCAGCTCATCGAGGATATCCGCGACTCGATGGCGCTGGCCTGCCGCATCAAGCGCACGTTCAAGACCTTTTCTGGGCCGACAGGGCTGTGGAACCCGGAGGTGCAGCTAGACGACGAGTACGACGCCACCCTGCGCAGCTGCCTCAAGATGTACTTTTGGCTCCTGCAGCGTAAGCTGCAGCTGACCATCAGCCGCGGCATCACGAAGGAGTTTGATATTCTCGAGAGCCAGTGGCCGTTCCTGGTCGAGGTTGTTCGCGACATTGATGGCGGGCCGTACGAGCTGGCGCTGCGGTACTGCCAGCAGACGCGGCACCACGTGCGGGAGTGGACGCGCAGTCTGGCGGGCATGCTCCGGGGCCCGTCCGGGTACGAGACCATGGGGTCGCGCGATTTGTCCAAGTGGATCGGCAACGTGCTCCAGCTAATCCGCACGCCGATCCTCGGCGGCCAGCGGCTGATGCGTGCGCTCCAGGGCGCTGTGGTTAATGCTGCCGACTACGTCTTTGCCAATGCATACCAGCTGCTCGCGCAGCTGGTCGACACCAAGCACGTGCTTGTATACACTTCCGGCGACTGGGAGGCCCGCGGGGTCTACGTCGTCGGCAGCCCGGCGCTGCTCGAAAAGCCACATATGGCGAGGGAGCTGCTGGCCTCGTGCATTGTCGATGACAGACTTACCACTCAGGAGCACGCGCACTGCTATCTGCTGGTCATCCGCACTGAAGCAGAGTTCAACTGGACTGGTGCCACGATTGTGCCTGAGGGCGGTATTCCGGTGCAGGATCTGCAGCTGAGGCCCGGCCAGATGCGTTTGATCTCGCCGGGCATCTTGCGTCTGGCCGCGCATCGCGACTTGCTGGTGCATATTGGAGTTGCTGAGAAGATTGCGCCCGGGGATTGTGGTACGTCGGCGACCGACGCTGTCATCGGGGAGTACGTGAGGGGCCGGCAGAGCCGTCTTCGTCGGCGACAGCAGCACCAGCAGAATAAGCAGCAGAGTCAGCACCACCACCACAGACAGCCTACAAAAAGCAGCAGAAACATGTTTGAAGATGACGAAGACGACAACACAGGAAATGGCGGTGACGATGATGGCGACGAGCTCGGCAGCGATGGCGACGGGGAAGACAAGGACGACCAATACGAGTACCTGTTTGAAGACACCAACAAATTCTTTGCGGCTCTGCGGCCAAGCATGAGTCTGAGCAAACACAAGCTGAAGCGCGCGTCGACAGCAGGGCAGCACGGGCTGTCTGCATCGGGCAGTGGAGGCGGCGGGCCGCGGCCCTTGGCGCCATCGGCCCACGTGTACGAGCTGGCACGGCCGCATGACCCCCTTGTGCAGAAAGAGTGGTCGCTGCTCAAGTACGAGATCGTGCGCATATTCGACGCGCTGACCCAGGTGCCGGACATGCTGCGCACGCTGCACCTAGACGTACACGAGCGCGAGTTTCACGAGAAGCCCGATGCGGACCCGACGTGCCACGGCGGCAACTGCGATCTGCTGGATCTGGTGCAGGACAACTTTTGGTTTGCGTCCAACACGGCGCTGCGCGGGTCGCGGTTTCTGGACCTCAAGTCTGAGCGCTGCGTGCGCGCGGCCCTCGCGCGCATGTGCGTCGGCTGGTGCGGGTTCATCGCCGAGGACTGCCAGGCCAGCGAGCAGCGCACGTTCCGGTGGGCCGTGCAGGCGCTGGAGTTCACGCTGCGGCTGGGCCGGCACAGCAGTACTCTGCAGACCCTGCCGCGCGCCGACTGGCTGCAGATCAAGTCGCACGTGGCCGGCTGCTTGACGCTGATGATCAGCCACTTTGACGTCCTGGGAGCACGCACGGCCGCGGCTCGGCGGCTACAGCGCATGAGCCAGAGCTCGGAGCTGCAGCTCAACGACCCCAACTCGTTGCTGTCTCTGGACGGCATCGGCGCCAACTTCCGCACCCATATGATGCAGCGCCAGCGGGTGAACCATGCGCAAAAGGCTGATGAGCTGCGCGACCAGTTTTTGGCGTCGGAGAAACGAATTGGCCGTGTGCTTGAGGTCACGGCGCGCCCCGAGGACCGCACCTTGCGGCTGCTGGCGGCTTCGTCCAGCAATATTACGCTGCGCTGGCAGATAGGCCGCTACATTGGCGGTGGCGCCTTTGGCTCGGTGTACGCCGGGTACAACCTCGATACGGGTGAGATGATGGCTGTCAAGGAGATCCGGCTGCCGAGCCGGGGCCTCAACCAGGCGCCGTCCGAGTCGGACATGGGCTTGAAGATTGTGCGCGAGATGGAGATCCTGTCTGTGCTGCAGCATCCCAACATTGTCACATACTATGGTATTGAGGTACACCGCGACAAGGTCTACCTGTTTATGGAGCTGTGCACCAGGGGCAGCCTGGCGCAGCTGATCCGTGACCAGGGCCGCTTTGACGAGGACATGACCAAGGAGTACGTTGTCCAGATGCTGCGCGGCCTCGAGTACCTGCACAGCTTCGGCGTATGTCACCGCGACATCAAGTGCGACAACACGCTGCTGGACGAGGGCATGAACATCAAGCTGGTCGACTTTGGTGCCGCCAAGATTCTCGACAAGCAGTCTATAGCGGTTACACGCCGCTCGGTCATTCCCCCCGAAGCAAATGCCGTTGCGTCACTGACTGGCACACCCAAGTACATGGCACCCGAGGTCATCCTCAGCAGCAACGGGGGGAGCACCGTTGCCGGGCGCAATGGCACCGAGACCTTGCGCCCAGGCCGCCTGGGCGCGCAGGATATTTGGTCTCTCGGATGCTGCATTGTCGAGATGGTCACCGGCTCGCCACCCTGGGCGCACCTAGATAACGACTGGTCAGTCATGTACCACGTTGTTGCTGGAAACATGCCCATGCCCGATTCCTCGGCCATCAGCCCCGAGGGCATGCGCTTTCTCCGCCGCTGCTTTGCGCGCCAGCCTGCCGATCGGCCAGAGGCGTCCGAGCTCCTGCGTGATAAGTGGATTATTGGAATTGTCCGCTTGATGGAACGCCGCGGATCGCGCAGTCAGACCGCGAGCAGCAGCCGCCAGGCGCCCAGCGACAGCGAACGGGAAGATTCCCTCAATACGCCGAATAATGCCGACCAGTTCTCCAGCGAGGTGCCCACTGAAGATACCGCGCAGCCTGGCCATTCGTTCAACTCGCTGAGCTCCACCGGCTCGCATTTGCACATGCCTGGTCGGTCGCGCAATTCCAGCTTCAATCGCAAGAATTTGTCTGGCGATCTGCGGTTCACAAACTCGTTGGCGGGGCCCAGCGCCGATGTGATGCTATCCATGATGGAGCGGTCGGGTGAGAGCGGGTCCAGCAGTTTGGCGCTGTCGGCAGGTGGTGATCGCAGCCCCAGCGTGGCAGGGGGATTGCTTGTTCCTGCAGGAGGCGCCAAGGGGCTGATGTCGCATATGCACTCGTCGTACAACAATGTTGGCACAATGTCGCCGCTGGCGCGCACACCAGGGAGCCCCCATTCGACGACGTCGGCGCATGCGTCGGCGTGGCCTTTTAACAAGGAACTGGGTGGCACGGGGTTGGCCACCACGCAGGCTACTATTGCAAATACCGCGACCGGTGGTGGTATTGGGCTAGGTCCAGATGCGAATTACCCGCTCACCTCGAGCGGTAGCCAATCCGGCCAGGCCCACGGCATTGGCAGCTTTGGCAACAACGCCAGCGCTGCCAACAGTGTTGGCACTAGCTCAATATCAAACGGCCTGGCCACGAGCGAGGAGTTGGCGGCGATTTACTCCCACCCATCAGTCATCTACCAGACCCTAAGCGACACTGCCACTGACATGGGCTCTCCCGTAGGACCCGCAGGAGTGTCCCAATTTGCAATAACCAACACACCCTCAGCCTTTGTGTCCTCACCTGACAACATGTTGCCATCAACCTTAAAGCAGCTGTCCAGCGATCAAATCCAGGACCTCTCCGATACTACACGCAAGGCATTATCGGCTATGCTCAGCTTGCCACTGGAGGGCGCCGACGTTGCTGGCGTGTCCGGGTGGCTGGGTGAGGGCAACACGCCAATGGAAATGTTTGATGCCGAGGAGGTCAAGGAGACCGTCGCTACTACGAGCCAACTGATTATGCGGCAGAGGGAGCAGCAGTTGAGGCGGCAGCAGCAGGAGCTGCGGTATGTTATGCATCGCCAGCAGTCACAGAAAATTATTAAGAGCTCTGGAGGCTTGCGAATGGGCGAGAAGAGCGCGCTATCAGATTATGACGTTACTTTGCTGCAGCAGCTGCAGTCTAAGGAGGAGGACATGGTACCTGGTGATGCGGAAGGAGAGTCGCCGGCTGTGCATCCTCCTCTATCGAACAAATAGTGATTTTTATCTAAGAAATATAATATTGTTTGTAAAAAAATTGTTGTGCTTTATTCATTGTCAGCAATTGATATGTGAGATCTTAAGAAAGGATATGTCAATATAGAATATTTGTTTATTTACTGATCAAATAGAATCACTCATCGCTTCTTTGAGATCTTATTTTTGAGTTGGATAAAGGACAAAAATATCACCTAATTTCGCCCGCTTAAATTTTTAAATTTTAAACTTTTAACTGTCCCCAGCCAATAAGCGCCTTTCTCGGCCCTTCTCTTCAAGTTGCTTTATTAAACCCCCTTATTAAGATAACATAGATAGAGTGCATGCTGACTTTGCTGGCTATGGAAAACAAAGTCTGCGCAAAATAATATTCGCTATTTTAAATGATATAGGTAGTATGGCGGAATCATCACGTGTAAGAAAGGGAAGAGCAGTAAAAGGCGTTTATTGGTTGGGCAGTTAAAAGTTTTATTTTTAAATAATTAAGTGGACAAGATTAAGTGATATTTTTGTCCATCACCCTTTTCATATTCTGGTGATGGCTACATGTTCTCCTTTCTCCCTTCTTTTTCTTTTTAATATTTTTGCTATATATTTTAATTCTTTACTTCTTTCAATTTACATTTCTATATTTTAAATGCCCCCTTCCCGCAAGCCAAGAGCCAAGCCAACCGCTCGCAATACAAAACGTAAACTATCAGCATAATTCCTACATATCCTTATATCTCTCAAACAATACGTCTGTCCTGAGCACACTGTTCATCCAGAGTACCCACCACTAATAAACACAGCCAATGTGAATTCACTCTCTTTATTTTTTGTTTGTTTTTTGTAGAATTGGATGCAAGGAACGTTGCGCCCAAGAAGGACAGCATCAAAGCCGAGCACAACAAGCTCTTGGTGAAGCTGGCTAATATCTTTGAGCGGCAGAAGGGAAAGTCTATGGCGGAGATCAGCGATGGTTTTTATGGCTCGGTTTGTCTTACCACCACAGGAGCAATCACTGCGAGCACTACCCTGTAGATTGCAACTTTCGGCAGTGAACAAAAAATATTTGGAGAGCTGCTCGAAGGACAGTCAGACAAAGGAAAGCAACGAAAGCAACGGATACAAAGAGTGCACGGGAGACATGGGAGTATTCCGAAGCGCGAATTACAATTCACTTAGCAGGAATTATACAACCAATACATATCAGACCGGCGCGTGATCTTAACAAACGGCCACGTGGAGCACAATGCTAGTATCTGGTGCATTTGAACAACATTAACCAATTCTCATTTATGTTTTTGCGTGATTGCCAGTTACGAGCGGCGGGCGCTTTAACAGCGATGAATAGAGGTTTGCGTGGCTACTGTTTGACGCAAATATGCTGGTCATATATCACCGTAACTAAAATTACTGACTTTTTCATCTCGTGTGGGGACTAGAACATGGCATCATTTTCCACCACCCACATGCACAGAAGAAAGAGGAGATGGGCTAGGAATGCAAGTTTAAAATATTGACTTTTATCACTTAAAATTATTAAAAATGACTGCCTAAAATAATGCAAATATCGAATGTCTTTTTTATTAGATATCATTATTTAGAGGAAAAGACCGTTGGATATTCATTAAAATTTACCTCAGCATTACGGCACAGGCGCGCCTTCTATATCAACTGTTAGAAAGTGGGTTAACAAGTTTAGTCGCAAACACATGTATATTGAAGATGAGCCTCAAAGCAGCCGCCCGAAACTCGAAATTGCACAACTTCATGGCACCGCTATTCGCAAGACAGTCAGCCAATTTTCACATACAAGAGCTGAGAATTTAGCTTACCAGTACGATTGTTTGGTGACAGCAATGTGAAAGGTCTTGCGTTGTGATCTGGGCTATAAAATGGTTCATAAACAATTGGCCCCTCATTCCCTCACTGATGGGCTTAAGGCAACGTGCATTGGGGGGGGGGGGGTTTGCCAACAGTTTATCAAAAACTTTGCCGGCTTGTCTAGACCAAATATATATATAATATTGTTACATGCGACGAATCGTATGTTTACCTGAACATGTCATTATATGGCTCAGCAACCAAGGCATGTGTCATTGGAGATCAGATGCTACCCGCCTAGGTTTGTTCGCACTTAAGACAAATTTATTGCACTTGTCTTTTCCTGAAAACCTGGTATTGTCCACCCCAACCTTGACATCAAACCGCGCACTGTCAATAATGAATAACTTGTCAAGAAAGCCATTGATCCTATGGTCGCTAAATGGGAAGAAATGCACAAGAACGCCAACCCCAGCAGAATCGTGTTTCACCAGGACAACGCACCACCTCACAAATAAAAACGTACGTTGTACCACATTTCACAGATCGGGATGAAACACACCGTACTCGCCAGATCTAGCATCTTGTGACTTTTGGATTTTCCCGCACATCAAGAACAGGCTCAGAGGTCACGATTTAAAGGACATTCGAGCGGTGAAAAAGGCATGGCAATCTGAGCTTGATTCCCTGACACGCGATTAATTCGGGGTTTGTTTCAAACAATGGTTTGAAAAGGCATGATTTAACTAAGCAAGGAGGTAATTGTTTTTATAAAAGATAAAATTCAATAGTTTTATACAAAAAAATCAGGAAATAGTGCCATCCCGATACAATTTGATAAAATGGTAATTCTTATTAGCAGAGTAATAACAATTCATAAGCACTAAGGCTAATAATGTAAATTGTCAGTTTAGCATGTGTTTTAACAATCACAGAATATTAGCCTTTGTAGAGAGTTGGTATTGGAAAATATATTAGCTTCTTTTTTAGTGCTGTTAATCAACTAAATAATTGCATAGTTCTCTGTTTGGTCTAACCAGTCACCCTGCTAAAAAGCGCAACAAGATTTGCTGAAATTCACTGTTATAATAAAATAACAGTAATTATTGTTTGAGGATCTTGGTTTTGGTAAGGCAATTTTTTAGTGCCTTTCAATACATTGCTTACAAGTAAACGTTGTGAAGCTGTGTACTCTGCGCCTTTAAAATTTTAAAACTTGAATTCTGACGCTTCTCCGATGGCTACCTCTGAATGCATTATTCTACAAAAAAACGTTTCTTTGTAAGACCAAAATTGACAAAGTTAACGGCGTATGGCCACATGATCGATTGCCTTATTTTTTGCACATTTACTTTTTTACTTTGGATCGTTGCGTTTGCGTTTGCGTTTTGCGCAAATCTATTTCGGGTGCTTGGTTTTTATTTTTTAATTGCCGTAGACAAAATTTCTTTCAAATCTCATTTCTGAAGTCATTGCAAAATGTTAGCTTTTTGTTTCCGCCATTTCCCCAATTTTTCCACAAAGAACTTGCAAAGCGATTGTCAGTTTTATACATATTTTCCTATTTTAAATGCAAGTAAAAAAATTATGTATATATGGGGCACTGGCAACCTTTACACGGTATCAATGCGCATATATAAAAGTTATACATTTTTGGTTATAATGCGCCGACTTTTTTTACTTTGTCGCAAACACCATTTTTTGTTTTACTTTTATTGCAACTATTTTCTAAAAGTTTATAATATATTTTTTCTCTAATTTCACTCTTTTCTTGCCAGCAGCTTGGCATTAATACTATATAAAAACATGGGCAATCGTATATCGTTCACAATCACAGAGAGCGAGCTGCTACGCCAACATTTTGGCAGTATATCAAAAATGCCTTTGGATCCACGAGGCAAAGCAGACGCAATTATGCTGGTTGTCCTCACGACAGTTTACTCGCTGAGTTTTCTGGCAGTATTCTATTTGCTGTGGAACAGAAACTACCCACCACTGAGGGCAAAAAGTCCAGTACTCATGGCTCTGATTATGGCGGTAGCAGTGCTGTGGTTTGTTGGCGATATCCAAACCCACGGACATATACCCTTGGCAAATACGCCGTTGGTCAACTGCAAGGCGTTTGGAATCTGGTTGCGGATCTTGCTGGGCTCGTGCGGCCTATGTTCTCTGATTTCATTGCGGGCACACGGATTGCACCGGGTGTTTTTTCTGCACAAGCCATATCACAGCTTGGGGCTTTATGTGCCGTTTGCCATCTACTGGATTTGTGTACTTATATTTGGTCTGATTTCACAGTTCATGAAGCCCGCCAAGACGGTCCAGTATATTGCAAAGTTGGATATGTGCCACTTTGAAGCAGGATATAAGGCGGCATTGTTTTCGTTTTTGTGGCTGACATTTTTTATTGTCATGGTAACTCACTGGAGGATTCGCAACATCAAGAGCTCGTTCAATGAGAAGCGCGAGATGATTATTGCATGCACGACTATGTTTATCATATTTGTGTATGTAACGATAATGAACTATTTACTCCCAAAGTACCCCTTGAATGTCCACCTGCGTATAGTAAACACGTCCATCGACCACATTGCAATCAATTCACTGTGGTGGCTTATAATGGGGCTGCCCTTGTTTAAGTCTGTGTTTAGCCGGCAGCAGTATCTCTATATATGGATTAACAAACTGCGCAAGGACGGGCTGCAGAAAGAGTACGATATCGATTCAGACGTAACCCTAGTCAATGAGCACAGATATTCGTACACTTACGATAAACGCAAATCACAGATGTTGCTAAACACAACTGGGATCAAGGATGGCAGAGCTTTTTACGCAATGGACAATAATTTTCACAATAGCAAGGACGCTGATTTTAGAGAAAGTCCACGCTCAGAATTTTTTGGTACTCCTGATGGTTGCTCGCTGGAAGATCAAAGCATTGCATACGGACAGGCCGCGTGGTTGCCAGCTGCAGAGGAGCGTCACCAAGAGGACATTCTAATGGAGGCAGTGACGGAGTTATCAGATGTCAATCATGGGTGCGACGCGAGGACAATCAGCCGTCATGGGCGCAACCATCGCCAAGGCACAGGTCCCCATCACAAGGAGTGAGAAAGTATGATAATCATGCTTCTAGTTCTGACCGTTACATAGTGCCACCAGCCGCATTACATTCATACGCGCCCATATCTATTCCTAAAGCTGCAGCCATAACGTCTAGCAAATTAGGCAAACCCTATTGCAATTCCATAGGCCACTCCGATTCCAACAAGTGCTCTCCAGTCTAAATTTTGATAACATATAATATAATCATGAGTTTCACAATGTTAAATAGTTTTAATTTAATAGGCGCTGGATCCCTCGTTCCGGATTGACTGTCTATATAGATTGGATGTATTAAAACATTTATCTCAATAAAATTGGCAACTAAAATTGTCACCATCTAGACATTAAATAACAAGCCACTTTCTGAACTCGAGTAACATATACTTGTGAAGGTGTATAGTAGCACTATGTTTATGTTATGAGAGGGTTATGACATCCAAAGCCCAGACAGATGTACGGACTGCCACTGCCACTGCTGCCACGCCTAGCAGTGACGTGTACTCCCCCATAAGACGAGCGCCAGCCTGATTTCATGCTGTTAACAAAGTGCGCTTTCGGGCCAATTAATCCAGATACAACCACAACGCAAAAGGATATTTCAAAGAGGTCCTTTGTCGCGGAGAGCTTTGTCTTCATGACTGCAGTTGGGCCCTGCTCTCTTCTTTTTATTTTTCTGACTGCTCCGAGGTAGATTAGTTTCTAACTCAGGGCCGTTGGATAAAAAAAAGAATTCAGGTGCTTTAAATCGCAATGATTGTGAGCGCTCTCCTGGCCTCTTCATTTTTCAAGTATTGCTTTTTGCGGATAACAAACTTTGCCAGTCGGGCTATTTGAGTTTGGCCTTCTGTTTTACAAGTCGGACGCGCCAAAATTTCGCTTCGACACATTTCCATTTTTAAAATTCGTTTAAACTGACATTGAAAACAACCGTGGTGGGGTTTTCTGCCTTTTTTTGACTGGGTCTATTCCACGCAAAAACAATAAAAAACAAAGCTGGCAAAAAACACGAATTACGCTACGCCACAAAGCAGCGCGCTCATAGCACTTCATTTCTCTCAAATATATATAAAAGCCTTTGAACTAATAGTAGGACCCCTCAGAACTGCATTACGAGCCGGGCAACGATTGAATTGGTGTGGTGCTTGGCTCCTCGACTTTTTGCAATCATCGGAGGCGCCATTAAGTGGGAGGTTAAGCAAGGCCCCCGAAAAGGCCTCTCAAAACACATCCCGGCGACACCCCCGCTCTGCTTGTAGCGCTCATCAGTGGAGATATTAGTTCAATTTGTACCCACTCAAATTTGCCAGACGCCCTGCGCAGGTTTGTCCACCAGCCTGGATCACGCGCAGTATGGGGTTTTTAGGGGTGTTAGTTTGGGGGCAATCCCGAATCGGCTAAAATGAATTAAAAATACAAATGCATAAATACAGACCTGCTCAGTTGAGAATATTGACACAACGTTGGTTGCCTTATTGTACATTCCAATGGCTTTGTAAAGTACTTAATTAAAACAGACTAAATATGTGTTAAATGCTACATGTCAAAAAATCAAGTAAACGCGTATTACTTGACATGTTTAAAGGATAAACGCCCAGTCGAGTTTAACATTCCAAAGTACCTTTGTCAATTTATTCGCATATTTTATGCTGGTTTTTTTATAATTTTTTATTTTTCAAATGGGATTTCGACAAAAAACTAGTTGGACAAGCTTAGCCCACATTTTGCACATGTTCATTCTCAATATACACAATCTTTGACAAGCGTTTCAACATTTCAAATAGGGTCTCTAGTGATGGACATAGTATTGCAGTGAGTATGTTTGTAGAATTTAAATATTGGTACATGGCTAATATTATTTATAGCATAAAATATATTGTAAATGAAACAAATGGAGATAAAGAAGGAGCAGGCACTGAAGCGCCGCCGCTATCAAAAATTTCACGTTTTAAATCACTGTGGAGTGCTACTATAGCTCTGACAAGCTATTTGGGGGACTCAATAAAAAACTTTTTAACGAAAGATTCATGGTAAAGGTTATAATGTGGTAGGAGCATCAAATCTGCGACAAGCGTAAAAAATAGGTTTCCTTTATTTTTGTTTGGTTTTATTTTTGACGCACCCTATTGCCACCAAATTGTGGCTTTACTTCTACTATTTATTTTCATTCCACCTTATCAACTATTCGTTGTTTTTTCTTGCTTTTACATTTTTATTTTGCATCACTCTATCACACTCCTCATCGCCTTACACAGCTTTATATGCGCTTATTGACAATGCCTGAATCACTACCACCGCTTCCAGATAGCTACAAGACTCCTAGGCCAAAACAATATACTTGATCTGATTTGCTGATTGTGCAAAGCGTGCGATCAAATTTTTACTCTGGTCATGCGGTAGCATCAGACATAAATAAAAAATATAGATATTTTATTTATTCACAAATGGATAGCGAGAAAATAATTAGAAAATCAATAAAAGATAAGGAGGAATATTTTATTCTGCTCTTTGCGCCAACCACTGTAATAGTAATTGTATCCAAAAATTAAATTTAAACCTTTGAATTATCTTGGAAAATATAAAACTTTATTTACTATATTTGATTATCTTCAATTTTCATTGCTCAATTTTATATACGCGCAATCACTTCTGATGGGATCAAAGATAGCACCTGGTACTACGTTGCAATCTGCGGTATTGTTAAAAATCTGATTAAAAATGAATATTTAAAATAATTGGAACAAGTTATGCGCTCGTCGACTCACGGTCCGATGGCGCGGGCGAGCAACTCAGCGCTATGCTGCCAACCCACACAATCTACATTAAAGCTGACCTACGCCAACAATAGATCGTCCGGATAATGATAGAGGCCGTATTACTGACCTTTGGTTACCTGGATATTCTAGTCAATAATGCACATAACCTGGCGGACAAAACATCGGATGCTGAGGACGTGCAGCATATCTGCAACAGCATCGATATTAATTTCCGAGCGCCCGTTTTGGCATTCTGAATGTTCTCGCAGTATTTTTGGCAAGCGGCCAAGCAGGGCGTGGTGGTCAATATTACAATGGTGGCTGGATTAGCTCCCGGCAGGAAAAAAAGTTGTTTGGCGTGACGAATGCCAGCCTGATATATTTTACTGAGGCTAGTCGCGGACGGGAGAACGATGTCAGAGTGTATGCATTAGCACCCTATTATGCTGCCTAGAAATAAATTGAAAGCAGCGTTGACTATGAGCTGCAAGCAGGTCGTTGAGGCTGTGATCAGGTGTATTTTTGACAACCAATTGTAAGGAAAAGCGGTTATGATGGTTGTTGGGTCTACTTACACTCATACTTGAGCATATTTGTTGGCCAGAGTGCACATGCTTTTCATAATGCTGTGGAGCATGCTCGTGATGCTTTTCAACTGGTTAGTGTTGCTATGCTGGCACAGTGTGAAGAACAAGTAGACAGAAACAAAAGCATAAGATAATAGTAAAAAGAAGCATAGTTTTTTATTTGTTTTTTTCAATAAAAAAGCTTTGGTCAAACTGCAGCTTGGTTACTGACAATATAATTTTGCCAGATATTTGATCATCTCCATTTTAGTTGAGGCCCATGATTCATTAATATGATTCAGTTTCTAATTTCCAGCTGTTGTAAACAGTTTTAATAGATTATTCGCTCTGAGCTGCCTTTTATCTTCCTTTTATCTTTGACTCAATGACAGGCCAGCATGCCTCCAAAAAATGATAAAAGCAAAAACAATGTACAAGGGAGAGAACAAAATGCCAATTGGAAATTAGTCCGTGAATATAGTCCTTTTTGTTTCCATATTTCAGCCAACCAAATGCGAACACAACAAGCTCGAAATTTTTTGTATATTAAATATTTGTTTATATTAATTTTGTATTTTTGTTTATGGCGCACTCTATTGCTAAAATTGTTTCCACATTTCCAAGTTTTCATATTTGTTTCTACTTTTAAAATTTGTTTTTTCATTTCGCGCAGTTTTATTTTCATTTTCTTTCTCCACTTTTATTTTATTTACTTTTTATTTTCAATTTCTATCTACCTTTCTCTTTCTCTTTCACAACAATGTGTTGCACAGACTGAAGATATGGAAGTGGATGTTGAGGTTGAGAATCGCGAAACAGGTTTCCATCTGCATGCCGATTGATAGGGCACTAATTGAATTATGCAGGCACAAATTAGGGAGGCATTACATTGATGCTCAAACATGCTCCCATTTTGAAATGCACACGCATGAGTGCACCCACACGAAAACCACAACATTGACTTGCCAAGATACCGGCCTGCTCACAGAAGATCCAGTTCTCATCAACAGAGCGCACAATTGACAATGTGCATAGCAAAGGCGACAAGGCACATATATAAGATGAGGCCGGCCCTAGTGGTATTTTGGAAACATCAGTAATAAAACCTTTTATAAAATCACCCCTACCTTTTAACACTAGACAACTAGTGCTCCTCACACCCCCTTTTACATAACAAATTTCTTAGTTAACTCTACTGATAGAAGCAGGAGTAAGTAGAATCAGTCGATGTTTTATTTTAATCTTTATTCACTTTGCAGCTGTTCATTTGAAATTTTTAAAAAATTATAATGCTGATTATATATGACAAATTATCTATTTTATTTTATTAGAAGAGAAAAACAGACGGTACTTTCCAAACGTTCACTGAACCTCAAAACAGAGCCTACCTGCCGCCAGAGGAATTAGAAACTGACAAAAAACACGATAAGCACCGTCAGCAGCTACTGTAATGCCTCGGCAATAACATAAGAGGCAGCTATCCATTTAATGCCTTTGTAAAATCGCTGGATGTGAAGCAGTGGTATGGATGGTTCATGAAGGATTGATTTGCTTTCTTCCTCGACATAGCTAGGGGGTTGCCAATAGCTAATAGCAAAGCCATTGTAGTCAATACACATCACTTGAATACCAGTCTCAAGAATTTGGCCACTACCGAAATTTTCAAAAAGCACTTTGAGGAATTGATGGTATTGACTAAGGAAGCTCATTTGGTTAAATATTTTATCTTCCTCTTCAACAAGATGGCCAATGTGGTTCGTGTCACAAATGGAGCTATTCTGGCAGGCATAACTCCAATCCCAGAGTCTAGGCTTAAGCTGGGTGACTATCAGCTTAGGTGTGACATCAATTATTACGATACCACGTGACAATCGCAATTTCTATTTTCATTGTCGATAGTTTTGAATAGATAAGCGGAGCTCTTTAAGCTCCCTTATAGTGGATTTTTAAACAAAAATATATTTCATACAAACTATTCATATTGCATCCAGTGCTTCAAATTCCTGGACCCTCTATCCCTTGCCATCACAAGGTGGGGTTTGATTCAAGAGGATGCTGTCTTGCTGGAGTTCAGTGTTAAAATTATCAACCCCAGGCTCAAAGAGCTCATTTATGTGATGTGCCAGTTCCTGTTTGAACTGGGAAACAAGATTATAAGCCACCACCTCTGGTCAGACAACAAATTTGTTCAACAGGCCAACTGGGATGCTGCTCCCAAGTTTATGCATCCCAAAGCAATTGGGCTTCTCCAAGAAAATATTGGGCAACTTAAGTGACTGGCCAAGGATAAGGAAAATGCTGAGTAACCCAACAAGAGGCCCAGAATTTAGTTTTTTTGCTTGTCTAATAAAACTTACAACTCAATGAATTAACACCAAAATATATATGTACATTTTACTCATATTTTCTTTACGTTTAATAAAGTATTAAATTCTTGTCTGTCCCTCTTATTTATAGATTCACCAACCCACTGATAACCTTTCACTGATCAATTTAACTGTGAACAATAGATACTTTCAAACTCGCACATTGACCAATTTTACTTAAACAGGGCTGATTTCATCCATAGATTTGATTTTTACTATTTTGCCAAATGATTTCAATTTAACATTTTTCTTTCTTATTTCTCCATTTACTTTTTCATTTTTTCATTACAATTCAGACTTTGAATTTTAAATTTTATTATTTCTTCTTTTTTACACACTTTCAATAATGTCTTTCACTGGCATAGACGATAGCCAGTACTGCCTTGCAATTGACTTCAGAGCAATACTTGGAATATACCAGGTACCTTTGCATCTGCTGGACCAATTTCAGTATGGGTTAGATTTCTGCTGCACACAGACAAAAGCAGCGACAGTGACATGCCTGGTAGATTGTAACCAATAATTCTAAAAGGGAGTGCAGCCAATAAGGCGAAATTGGCTGTTAACAAGTGTATTTCACGAATATACTAAATTTATGTTATGTAAAAGCTAAGAAAAGAGAAGAGAGCAAACTAATAAATGTTGTTGTTTTGACCTTTTTATGACTGTTAGTCTTGGTGCTCATAAAGAAAAGGGCAACTGATAGGCATTGGGCTACAAAGGAAATGTGTGCCCAACAGGTAAGAAGTTTGAAAGGTGTGTAAGTTTGACCCTGTGAACAAATGTAGGTGGTTCCTTGCTGTCTCATTTGCATCAGAATAAGGGCCTGGTGTTTTTGAGGCTTGTTAAAAAGAAAATATTTATGTTGGCCACAGTTTTGCAATTGGCATTCTGAACGGAAAATGTCCATTGATTGAGCCAGCATACTCACTGCAATACTATGTCCATCACTAGAGACCCTATTTGAAATGTTGAAACGCTTGTCAAAGATTGTGTATATTGAGAATGAACATGTGCAAAATGTGGGCTAAGCTTGTCCAACTAGTTTTTTGTCGAAATCCCATTTGAAAAATAAAAAATTATAAAAAAACCAGCATAAAATATGCGAATAAATTGACAAAGGTACTTTGGAATGTTAAACTCGACTGGGCGTTTATCCTTTAAACATGTCAAGTAATACGCGTTTACTTGATTTTTTGACATGTAGCATTTAACACATATTTAGTCTGTTTTAATTAAGTACTTTACAAAGCCATTGGAATGTACAATAAGGCAACCAACGTTGTGTCAATATTCTCAACTGAGCAGGTCTGTATTTATGCATTTGTATTTTTAATTCATTTTAGCCGATTCGGGATTGCCCCCAAACTAACACCCCTAAAAACCCCATACTGCGCGTGATCCAGGCTGGTGGACAAACCTGCGCAGGGCGTCTGGCAAATTTGAGTGGGTACAAATTGAACTAATATCTCCACTGATGAGCGCTACAAGCAGAGCGGGGGTGTCGCCGGGATGTGTTTTGAGAGGCCTTTTCGGGGGCCTTGCTTAACCTCCCACTTAATGGCGCCTCCGATGATTGCAAAAAGTCGAGGAGCCAAGCACCACACCAATTCAATCGTTGCCCGGCTCGTAATGCAGTTCTGAGGGGTCCTACTATTAGTTCAAAGGCTTTTATATATATTTGAGAGAAATGAAGTGCTATGAGCGCGCTGCTTTGTGGCGTAGCGTAATTCGTGTTTTTTGCCAGCTTTGTTTTTTATTGTTTTTGCGTGGAATAGACCCAGTCAAAAAAAGGCAGAAAACCCCACCACGGTTGTTTTCAATGTCAGTTTAAACGAATTTTAAAAATGGAAATGTGTCGAAGCGAAATTTTGGCGCGTCCGACTTGTAAAACAGAAGGCCAAACTCAAATAGCCCGACTGGCAAAGTTTGTTATCCGCAAAAAGCAATACTTGAAAAATGAAGAGGCCAGGAGAGCGCTCACAATCATTGCGATTTAAAGCACCTGAATTCTTTTTTTTATCCAACGGCCCTGAGTTAGAAACTAATCTACCTCGGAGCAGTCAGAAAAATAAAAAGAAGAGAGCAGGGCCCAACTGCAGTCATGAAGACAAAGCTCTCCGCGACAAAGGACCTCTTCGAAATATCCTTTTGCGTTGTGGTTGTATCTGGATTAATTGGCCCGAAAGCGCACTTTGTTAACAGCATGAAATCAGGCTGGCGCTCGTCTTATGGGGGAGTACACGTCACTGCTAGGCGTGGCAGCAGTGGCAGTGGCAGTCCGTACATCTGTCTGGGCTTTGGATGTCATAACCCTCTCATAACATAAACATAGTGCTACTATACACCTTCACAAGTATATGTTACTCGAGTTCAGAAAGTGGCTTGTTATTTAATGTCTAGATGGTGACAATTTTAGCAGTCATTTTTCCTTCAGCATTTTTTGCTGTGTAATGGCGTGGGTGACTTTGAGGCACCATTAATAAAAAACAATATCAACACGCACGCACCATTTTTTGCAAACAACAGAGTCCATTTGTTTATACCAAAAAATTATAAAGCGCTTTTACAATCAACAACGCTACAAAGTCAAAATGCCCTGATCTTTGTTAATTCATTATATGCAAGCATCTATATATTCATTAATAATTAATACTAACAGTTGTTTATTAGCTTAGAATTATGTTTCTGGCCCCATTAGCTCAGTTGGTTTAGAGCGTTCGGCTTTTAACCGAAATGTCGTGGGTTCGACCCCCACATGAGGCGCTAACCTTTTACAATTTTTTGTAAACTAATTTTTTAACTTGCTGATTATGATTCATCTTTTTGGGGATTTTCAAACTGGCATTCGTTGATTGGGTAGATAAACTGGTTGTTTGTATGCACCGAGCACACCATTTCTTTTCCGGGTTGTGATTTTTGGGTGGTAGCATGCAATGTGATTGGCTGTTGAGACTAAAGTACTTTTCTTTTTCCGCATTGACTGTTTCAAAAAAGAAAAAATTAGTTTATTGACAAATGGAGCTTGCGCTCGCTCGATTTATAAAGAAAGGGTGGCAATTGATCACTTTCTCTCTCTTTCTCTCTCAAGTGTTATTTATATTATTCTACCCTTTCTTTTTTCATTCCTTCTTTCTTCTCTTATTAAAAGCATTATACCCAGTTTTTTTCAAACACTTCATTAATAACAAAAGAAAACAATGGTTGACATTACTTCCGCCTCCGCCTCCTTATCATCCGCTGTCTCTCCAGCTGTTTCTGCAGCCAGCACTCGGCCGGCGTACCATCTAGCCACTGAGCTCGTGCACATTGATAGCGACGCAGTCAAGGACAACTACAACGCAGCCTCTGTGCCAATCTACCAAACCGCAACATTCAAGCAGCATAACGCAGATGGTTCCGGGGGTGAATACGACTACTCCCGGTCCGGCAACCCGACGCGCACAGCGGTAGAGGTACATATGGCCAAGATAATGGCAGCAGAGCGCGCCTTCGTGGTATCCACGGGAATGACCGCACTGGATGTGATCTTAAGGCTGGTGAAGAGCGGGCAGGAGATCGTCGCCGGAGATGATATTTACGGTGGAACTAATAGGTTGCTCACTTATGTATCGCAGTTTAATGGCGTTCGGGTGCATAATGTGGATACGACGGATCCGTGCAAAGTGGAGGAGAAGCTCGGGCCGAATACTCGGTTGGTCCTGTTGGAGTCACCAACGAATCCGCTGATTAAGATTGCGGACATTCGTAGGATTTCGCAGCGCGTTCATGAGCTGTGCCCGCAGGCATTGGTTGTCGTGGATAATACTATGATGTCGCCATATTTGCAGAATACCCTGGAGCTGGGCGCGGATATCGAGTATCATTCAGGGACAAAGTACCTTTCGGGTCACCATGATCTGATGGCTGGTGTTATTGGTTGCAGAACCAAGGAGGTCGGTGATCAGCTGTACTTTGTTATCAACGCTAGTGGATCTGGACTCGGGCCTTTCGACTGCTGGCTGCTGCTCAGGGGCGTCAAAACCCTGGGTATTCGCATGGAGAAGCAGCAGAGCAACGCCATCCTGATAGCTGATTTCCTCGAAGCACAGGGTCTTCGGGTACACTTCCCGGGCCTGAAATCCCACCCGCAATACGATCTGCATGCGCAGCTGGCTTCGGGCCCCGGCGCCGTGCTGAGTTTTGAAACCGGTGACGTTGGGTTGTCCGAGCGTATCGTTGAGGGTGCTCGACTGTGGGGTATTTCGGTGAGCTTCGGGTGCGTCAATTCGCTTATTTCTATGCCCTGCAAGATGTCTCACGCGTCGATTCCGGCGGAAATTAGGAAGCAGCGTCAGTTGCCTGAGGATCTGATCCGCCTGTGTGTCGGTATTGAGCACCCGGAGGACCTGATCAATGACCTGACCAATGCGCTGAGGGTGGCTGGGTTCCCAGTCAAGGCTTAATAGAATATCCATTAATTAACAAAAAACCATAAATAATAAAATAACGTTTTTTCAGTTTGTCTTCTTGTCAACAACAGCAGCATCAGCAGCAGCAGCGGGTGCGGGTGCGGCTCCGCCATAGTTAATAGCGGTCTTGTGCTTAATAGTCAGGCAGTTAATATCGAGGTAGGCGCAAATAGTGTCAATAACCTCCAATGCAAAATGCGCATACTGAATCGCTGTATAAGCGAGACAGATCCAAATAAGCACAACCTCCTTCTCCTCCACAAACATTTTGGACAGCCCAATCGACGGGGCAATGGCATTGGCTGTGCCAAAGAAAATCGGAATATGCATGCGGTTGAGCTTTGGGAAGGGCGCACCAGTGACATGCGCGACAATAACGCGGCCGACAATATACGAGAACGCGAAACCGACAAACATCAGGAAAACGACCAAGTGGCGTGCGAGAATCGCAGGCGACGCGTATAGCCATAGGGCGCAGCCCCCGATGGATGCGAAAAACGGGATGGAGTCGGCGAATGCGCCCCAGACGCTCTTTTTTTGCTCGCGACAGGCTGCGGCAACATTGCTGAAGCTAGCGTACACTGTGGGCACGAGAACGACCCCCATTCCGACCACGACGGACTGCGCCATGGTCAGCGGCGGCAGCAGATCCACGATGCTCTGCTGCAGTGGAAGAACGTTATAGAAGCTGGTGGACCAGAATGCCGGGCCCAGAATGCCGGTTGCCAGCGTTGCCAGAGAAAAGGACAGGATGCCTTCGACTGGGCCTGAGAAGTACCCGAGGAACAGCACATGCGTGTGGTACTCCTCCATAGTTGACATGTAAAAGTTCGTCAGTGCGAGAAATACCAATGCAACCGTCCACCAGGACTCCCCCAGCTGGCACGTCGAAGCAAACAGAGTCATGATCAGGGACACCACCAGGGAATCGCAACCGTGGTCGAAAAGCTCTCCGAGCGGAGACGCCGTTCCTGTGCGTCTCGCCTGCTTCCCATCGACTGCATCGAAGGACCCGTAGATCCAGATACACGCGGAGTACGCAAAGTACACCCAGGAGGGGCAGGTCTCTACCAGGTTGGGTGCGTAGATTTGGTTCAATACCATTGCTATGATTACGTGCAGAGACCCGAGCAGCGTCACCATGTTGGCTGCCATCGTTAGAGGGAAAACCTTGACCAGCTGGTTCCAGTACTCGGCCAGGACATACTTGCTAATAAGTGACTTGTCGATTGCCTGGTACTTGTACTTTTTCAAATTGGGCAGATAGTTCTGCGGAATATACGGCGCCATGTTTTAATAGATTTAAAATTAGAAAATAAAAGAGGAAGTAAAAAAAATGGAGGCTAACGATGGAAAGAGAGAAGTAAAAAAGTTTTTTCTTTCTTTCTTGTCCTTTGTGCTTCTCTTCTTTTTGTAAAGCAAATATGTGAGAATAAAAAATAACTGTGATTTTGTGCGTGGCTGAAATGAATTTTTTTCTTGTTTTTTTTATTGAGTGGCAGCATATGATTCATGTGCAGATATAGCGCAAGTACACGTAAAGAAAAACATTTTTTTGTTTGCGTGTGTGAATGGAAATAGTGTCCAACAAAAGAGAGGCAAGTGGCAGGTTGACCGGCTGTTCGTCTGTCCGGTTGACCTGCCCTGTCACCTTATTCTTTATATTTTAAATTGTAATTGTAATTCATGTGGTGTATAATTAAGGCGCGGAATTAACTGCTGACCTGCCCAACTTGTTTTTTATTTCTTATTTTGTGAATGAATGACCGATTGGCAGCGTGATTATGACAGTGATGGCGGTGATGATGATGTCCCGCAATCAGCAACAAAAAATATGTATTTTTTATTAATCCTTTAAAGACAAAGAAAAATAAAAAGTGTCCACATTAACAGATTATTCATATCCGATACAACACAACTATCCATATTTTTCTTTAGATAAAAATATGCATGATGTGCGCAAAGAAACAAAAAACAGAACAGCAGAATCTAGCTAAAAAACATAAACAAATCGACAAGGGCACCAAAAATTGAAAACCAAAGTGAACATATTTTGAGAATGTACAATTAATTGTTATATAAAACAATATCTAAAAGCCCCACCCAGTCTTTTATATTTCTTTCTCTCCCCCTTTCTCCCTCCCTCTCTCTTTCTTTTATTGCATTTTCTATTTGTTTTCACATATTTATTTACTAAAGATATGTCTTCGTTCAACCCAATCAAGCGCATAATCGAAAAGATTCGATCTCTACACATATGCAGTCTCTGCCTCAACCGATTCCCAGAAAAGGATGCGCTATCCACACACACAGTGATGTGTCGATTAGAAATGGCCAGAAAACTTGGCGAATACTAACCTAGAAATAAATTTTCAAAAATGTATTTTAATCAACTTATATAAAAACATTTCATTTCATTATGTTTCATTATATTTTTATCGAGCAATTAAAAAATAAAACAAATGAATATTGAGGAGAGAGAGAGAGATAGAGAGAGAGAACCGGATGGAAACAATCAATCCCACGGGTTCTGGAACCCACAGAAAATCAATGCATTGTGCACCTTTTATTTATATTTTTATCGTTGTTCTATTAATGCAAAAATGAAAAATGAGATGGAAAAAAAGAAGGGAGGAGGGGAGCAGAGAGAAAAATTGATAGACAAAAAAAACTGTAGTTTTTTATCTCTCCGCATTGAAAACAAAACAGCAAGATATAAATACTGGGGGGTGGAAAAATATGAGGTGGAGGTCGACAAAAAAAATTATTGTTTTTAATATTGTTTTCCTTTTTTCGTTCTTACCTCACTCCCTCAATAAAAATAAAAATTCCTTTTTTCATTTTTATACCTTTTATTAAATTTGTTAATATTCATATTCATATTCAAATTCCCTTTTTTATTTGAAAAAATCTCCGAGCCCTATTACTTATGTCAGTTTTCTTTAACCGCACGCCAGCGGTATCTCCATGTCTATCTTCTGAAAGCCAAAGCAGCAGTAATCACAGTGACCCCACAGTAACGCCGCCACACATTAATTTCAAAGAATTATTCGGCCTGCCACCAGCCACGCCATCCCCAACCAGCACCACCCTAGGCAGCAGCCCTGACGGCAGCAGCTCAGAGAGGCCCAAATCACTAGCGGGATCCGCGCGCTCCCTCCTCAGCGTACTCAGCATTGCAAACAAATTCAAAAAAGCGCTTTCGCCCAAACCATCCAGCCCCGCGGACCTTCCGGCAGACCCCTTGCAATCGGATCAGCAGGAGCAACGGGTCAATGACCTGGTGGTTAAGTACATGGATCTGGAGGACCGGCACACCAGAGGATACGTGGATGTCACCAAGAACCACGCGCCGCAGCGCAAACGGAAACCTGGCAAAAAACCCGCAGCAAAGTGTAAGGTCTATTATGAGGTCTACGGACATGGTCCGAGGCGGCTGCTCTTTATTATGGGGATGACCGGGAGCACGCAGTATTGGCGACTGCAGACCCGACACTTTGCGTCCCTGGGGGACTACACCGTCTGCGTATTTGATAATTGCGGCAGCGGTCGGTCGACCACTGCACCGGGACCCTATAAGATCTCGCAGTTGGCGCGGGACGCGCTCAGTGTGCTGGATCACCTGGGCTGGGAAAAGAATATCAATATGGTGGGCGTGTCTTTGGGCGGAATGATTGCGCAGGAAATGTGCTTGATGCGGGCGGGGGTATTCGACTCGGTGTGTTTTGTGGATACCTGGCATAGTGCTGCGCTGGCTGTGCCGACGGTGAAGGAGGTTGGGTTTGCCTTCAAGGGCATGTCGCTGGCCGGGAATCCCAGGGGCTTGATCCAGCTGGTGTTTTCCAAAAAGTGGATCGAGGCACCATTCCACGACGCGGAGGGGGGGGAGGACGGAGGGTGCCAGGAGACGGCAGGCCTGAACAATGGCGCTGTTATGCTCAAGCTATTCGAGGCCATCCGAGCCGACCTCGTTCGCGACCCTGATTGCGGCGCCAGCCCCGATAGTCCGCCACCGAGCGGGTCGGGGAAGCAGCAGGCGGCTCAGGATGCTCAGCCCGGGACCATATCTGCACACACACCGCCGCGGTTCCTGACCCCAGACATGGCGCCCAAGGCCGTATCTCCGGACATGCCGCCCAAGCTTCCGACGCCCAAAACACTGCCTCGGCCGCTGCCTAGGGCCGTCACCCGGCTGCTGGAGCGGCCCAAGCCGCTCGCGCACTCGCGATCCATCGCAAGCCTGCAATCCCCCCCCTCAACCGAGTCCCAGCCCCCATCCCTGCCCAAGCGCAACACTGGCGATATCCACCAATTCATCGCGACGCTCGGCCACCGCCTGCCCGCCACCCGTGTGCGCTCAATCCGCGACCTCAACCCAAACACGCGGTTCCTCATCATCCATGGCGAAAAGGACCGCGTCATCAGACCGTTTTGTGCACGCTCGTTTGCGAAACTGCTCCAGTGTCCGCTTGCGTGGATTCCACGCGCCGGGCATATGCCGTTGATAGACTCACATTGTACGTTTAATCTTTTGGTGCGCGCATTTACTAGGGACGAGCCGTGGCTCAGGGAGATGCGGGATAGGTCGGTGGTGGTGCCGCCGTTGTGGGAGGAGCAGGTGCAGGTGGGCGAGTGGCTCAAGAGGGGTAGGGGCGGGGTTTGGGTGGATGAAGGGCGGTGCGAGCTGAGACAAACGGAGGGGGGCGAGGTCGAGTGTGTGGGCAAGTTGGAGTGCGAGATCATCCTGGTGGATGGGGATGCTGGAACTGCGAGGATTTTGATGCCGAATGCGAACAGTGCTGACACTGCCACTGCCACTGCCACTGCTGCTGCAGCGGGTGGGGGGAGGAGAGCATCGATGATCGAGACGCCGGAGCCAGATGAGTCGCCGCCGCTGACGCCGGCGTCTGTGCCGCCGTCGATTGGCTTCGAACAGACGCTGGTGGATCCCCCCGCGAAATGATCATGTACGGCACACTGCTCGACGCGCCGTTCAGGATCAGGCGGTACGACCAGAACCAGAACCAGGACCAGAACCAGAGCTAGAGCTAGAACAACCAAATATAATAGAATGAAATACGTAATGTTTAATTCTTACTAACGTAAATGAAAAAACTCAAACATGAAAAAACTCATTGCTGTGGCGGGTAATGGTGGTTCTGGCTCTGGTTTTGGTGGTACTGCGATGAAGGCGGGTTCTGTGGAGGGAGAGGCGGCAGCTGCGGCGGCGGAAGCTGCATAGGATGCTGCTGCTGCTGTAACATTGGCGATGACTGTTGCAACATTGGCGACGGCTGCTGTGAAGGAGGATGCTGCCGCTGCTGCTGTTGCTGCTGGCTATGGTAATAATGCACCTGCTGCTGCTGCTGCTGGCCTGGCACCTGGAACATCTGTCTCTGGTGCACCACAGGAGACTCAGACTGCGTATATCCATGGAACCCATGCGACGCTTGATGCTGCTGCTGCTGTTGGGGTGGTGGTACAGTCGAAGGAGAGTGATATACAACCCTCCTCGCCGCCGGCCCCACGCCAGCAGACATCAGCGGCCGCGGCAAAACCACCCTCTCCTGTTGCTGCATGCCCGAACTGCCATAAGGCACATACCCGCCGCTCTGGGGCATTGGCAAGGGCAAAGGCGCCGACGGCTTCCGCTGCCTTATCCCATGCACCTGCTGCAAATGCTGTGGGTGCTGGTGCTGATGCTGATGCAGGTGTGGGTGCTGGCGATGCGTCAAATGCGGGCTATGTTGATGATACGGGATCGAAGCAGGGCCAACAGAAGACGGTCTGGTTCCAATAAAGTGCTGCTGATGCTGCTGATTCTGTGGGTGTTGCAGTGGCGACATTGGGCCACTGCTGCTGCTACCGGCATTGTTGCCCAGGGGGGAGAATGCGCTGGGGCCAATGGACATCGGCGGGTACAGCGGCCGGTCATGCACAACAGAGGAAGGCCTGGATGCCGGCTTCTGCTCCATCATCGACGCCAGTGCCAGTGCCGCAATCCCCGTTGCCTCATCCTCCTCCTTATCTCGCCTCCCTCGCTCATCACCGTCTCCCTGGCCCCCCTGATCCTCGTCCTCGAACCATTTCTGCGGCGTATCCACCGGTGAATCATCATTCAATAGTGCATTGATCTTGGTCACACTGACCTTCCTCGGCTCCTCATCATCCTCGTCCCTGTCCTCTACTTCCTCGATGATCCGCGCAACCGGCGGCAGGGGCGACACAGCCGATGTCAAGTTGGAAATCTGCAACACCGATGATCTCGGAATATACGCCGTCGGCACGACCGGCGAAGATGAGAACCGCGGCAGGCCCTCGACTGGCGGCGGCGTCGGCTGCGACGACAAAGTATCAGACTCGGCGCGCACCATGGTTCCTTGCGCTGCAAACGACGGTGGTCGCGGTGGCCAGCTGCCTTGCTGCAGAGATAGCGACGGAGGGCGCGTGCGCGAGTGGCTGTTTGATTGGAACTGATGCTGCTGAGACTGAGGCTGCTGAGGCTGTGACTGATGCTGTTGCTGCTGAGACTGGGATTGATGATGCGGAGACTGATGGTGGTGGTGATGTTGCTGCAAGGCGTAGTGCGTTTCGGGTCCAGGCAAGGCCGCCGACGAGCGCGCGTAAATGACCGCTCTGCCGCCATCCACGCCCATCGTAGGGAAGTTAGCCATCGACGCTGGCGCTGTGCTCGGCCCCACCATCGGTGCCGAACCGCTTCCCATCTGCAAAGACATTGGCAGCGGCGGCATAGGCTGATCAACCGCGGCAGCAGACTTTGCCAAATCGACCTTTCTCTTCCTCCCCCTCTTCTCCTTCCGCACACCCTCCTCCTCGCCCACCGCACTCCTAATAGCCGACAAGCCGCCCGATCCCAGCGACACCACCGAGGACATCGGCACCATTGCAGACGACAAAGACAGAGTTGGTGCTGGCGGTGGTGGTGGCGGCTGGAAGGGTGTCATAGGCGGAACAGTTCCAGCGAGTTTGTTCCGCTGATACTCTACGATGACCGCATCTAAGCCCAGTTTCTCTCGGTTCGCCCTAAAATAATTCCGCACCTGTGTTCCTGTCTTGGACCCAATCGCCTCAGCCAACCCAAGCCAATCCTGGCCCAAGCGAACAACGTAATGCATAAACGCAGACCGCTCATGCACAGACCAATACGACGAGTACCCGCTCTTCTTTGCCGTCATTGTAGCTGCTGCCGCTGCCAATGATGATGCTGCCCCGGCTCCAGTCGATATGGCAGAGGCAGGACCAGCCACAGAGGGAAGCGCTGGAGATGGTGTTCGTCCGCTCTGCTGGCTCGCCACGCTTCCGTTGTTGGCAGCGGCTGGGTCGATGACGGATACTTTCGGTGGAAGAACAAGCGTCATGGACGGACGCGGCTGCAGTTGTGATAGCTCGGAGGACCGGCTCGAAGATACAACCTCGGATGCACGCCTCTGGTGCTGCTGCTGCTGCTGCTGATTCTGGTGCGTGGGCATGGGAGTCGCTGGCAAGCTGTTGTTGTCCATGGCCAGGACCTGCGCAGCCAGCTCCTCAGCTAACTGCGCAGCCAATGGCGTCTCGTCGTCCTCGTCGCCACTCGAATCCACCGCACCGCCCATAGCCATCATCGCCGATAGAGTCTGCTGCGACGGCTGCTGCGACTGCGCTGACGGCTGTGGCGATTGCGTGCGCTGTCTTTTGGCCCCGCCAATTGGCAGCACCAGCCCATCGGGCATACGCCTGGCCACCGGCGGTAACACAAGGGAGTCAACCCTCGGCTGCATCCCCGTAGCCTTGCTGCTGCTGCTGCTGTCCGCTGCCCCTGTCGCCTGCTTTTTGGCAATAATGTCGCTGATCAGCGCGCCGTCGGGCGTGCGGTAGTGGAAAAAGAAGTACCGACACTGCGCCATGGTTTTCGATGGCATCAGTGAGGCGACCTGCGCAAAATCAGCGCCCAGCCGGTGGAACCCACGCAGCACTCGGCGCCGGTCGTCGCGTACCCACGCGGCTGCCCCCACAAGGACAGACTCTTGCGCGCCAGCCTCTATCTCTACCTGCGCCTCCAGCATCCGCTTATGCGCCGTCCCGGGCAAGGCACCGGTGGGCTTTGTATCTGCGGTTGCCGCTGTGGAGCCAATCAGCAGGGTCTCGTACGAGCTGATGGGCCGCTTAAGCACAGATGGCTCCGAGGTAACGTACCGGTCCAGAGCAGACTCCTTGGGCGTCGGGCGCTCACCCACAGCGGATCCATCCAGATGAGGAGCCGCAGAGGCTGCTGAGGGATCAGTCACCAGCCCTCCGTCAATCTTCTCTCTCAAGGGCTGGCCGTGCCAGAACCCAGGCGGCGAATCCGTGTCCCGCTCGCCGCCCGTTGTCGCGTCCACAATGGCTGTCAGCGTGACCCCGAACCGCGAGAGGCTCTTGCGTGACACCACCCGCGAAAGCACCCCACTTGTGCCCCCCTGAGAAATACCGGGTAATCCGCTGATACATCCGGCAGAGACCACGCCGCTGGCCTCGACGATTTCCTCGTCCTCCATGTCGTCGTCGTTGGTGCCCGAGTCAGACCCCGAGTCGGAATTGCCCACGGCACCTGAGGTAGCGCTGGCTGCGGGCATCTGCGCCAGCGACGATGATAAAGCCGCTGCCGATGCTTGCTCGATTTCGCAGGTGCGCCGGGTGCGCACGATGCTGCCGCCCAGCGCGTAAGCGTTGAACTCAGACCGCTGCCTGGACTTTTGCGGCGGCATTGCGGGCGGAGCCTGTAGAGGCTGTGGCTGAGGCTGAGGCTGAGGCTGGGCATGCTTGGCGCACGAGCCGCGCGGCCCCCAGTGCCCGTCGTCCTCAACTAGCTCACCCTCTTCTTCGTCATCGTCGTCGTCACCGCCGCTGCCCCCACCCTCGATGCCGCTGCCCGCATTCCACTGCCTCGAATCGACGGCAGACACTGGCACAGGCTCGGACACCGAAGCGGGGGCAGACACGGCGGAGGGCGGGGGTGAGCCAACCACCATCGGCGCCTTCAGATCAGAATCAGTGTCCATTGCATTGGCAGAAGCAGGGGCGGAGCCAGAGGCAGAGGGAGCAGAGGCAGGCGTGGTGTCGGTGTGCGTCGCTTCCCTGGGCCTGGGTTTGGGCCTGGGCCTGGTTTCGGGCTCAACCTCCTCCTCATCCTCCTCAGGCTCCTCCACGCCCAGAGCGAGATTCAAAAGCCCGCTGCGACTGAACACCTCCCCCTCGTCTCCACCGCCTGCCTCCCTCTTTCTCTGCCGGTTGGCCGCAATGATGCTGCGCAACAGCGCGCTGCTCTTCGATCTGCGGTCCAAGACATCCATGGCCGAGACGCCCTCCTCCTCGCTGCTCTGGCCATCCTCGACAACTGCCTGGCCGCCTTCAGCGGCAGAAACGTACGAGGCAGCAGCCTCCACCGCCATGCGCTCTCTCTCCTCCCTGGCACGGCGTTCTCGCCTCTCCCTGGCCTTCTCCTTGCGCTTCCTGCCGCCGGGCTGCTGCTGCTGCTGCCTGCGCCTGGATTTCTTGTTGCTCCGAGCCTCAAGCTCCTTTAGACGCAGGGGTTTTTTGTTGCGGTAGTAGAACAGCACGCAGTCGTTCATGGACTTGTGCGGAATGGCCGCGGCGATGCGGCCAAACTGCTTCGGGTGCGCGAGGTAGGCGGCAACAAACGCGGACACCTCGGGCTGCGTCCAAAAGTGGCTGGGGTCGGCGTTGTTCGCGTACGCCACGCGGCGATACTCAGGCGACCCAGGCGTCGGCGCGTGCGCGTGGTAGAACGCCATGGGGTCATCGACACGGTGACTGCCGTTATCTACGCGCAGCATTGCGTGCTCCTTGGCACCCAGAACCATGTTGGGAATGACCGCCGCCGTGCGCTGGCTGCGCAGATCCGGATTGCGCGCGTCGTCGTACTGCAGCCGCTCGATGATCTTCTGCAGCTCGGCGTCCGAGTGCACTGCATCCGACGTAAACAGGCTGGCGTCGACGCTGTCTGCCGAGGTGGCTGCCGCTGCCGCCGATGCTGATGCAGAGAAAAGCGGGCCCAGCGTAAAGCCGAACTCATCCGCTGCCTGCACGGCCGCGCCGCGCCTCCTGTGGCTCCCCCCAGCCACTGCGCCCTGCAGCGGTGTCCCGCGCTGCCGTGCCTCGCGCTGCCGGTCCAGCCTATCGACGCGCCGGCGCCAGCGCGCGTACAGGTCGCGGTATTCCTCCTGCAGCCGCCGCGCGTGCGCCCGGTCCTGCCTGTGCTCGCGCCCCAGCAGCCGCGCCAAGTGCGGCCGCAGCTGCTCATGCACGGCCTCGTTCTCTTTCCAAAACGGCCAGTCCTGCGGCTGCTGGTGCATGCCGGGCACAAACTGTGGATATGCCTGGAGGAAGGGCTGCGCCAGCTCCGCGTGCATTGCGGCTGCGTGCCGCTGGTTGTCGGCGTAGATGCTGGCCACCAGCGCACGCGTGCGGTCCTTGGATCCGTCGTTGTCCAATGCCGACTCTGAGTCGGACATGTGCTCGTCATTCGAATCCGAATCCAAATCTGAGGACGAAGACGAGGATGAGGACGAGGCGCCTGGGCTGCTGGATGCCTGCTGCGGAACCAAAAGGGGGCTGCCCTCGGCCGCAGTGGCGGCGGCAGCGGCAGAGGCTGGCAGCAGGTCACTGGGCGCTGCGGGTTCTAAAGGTGCGCTGTTGGGACTGCCAAGTGGCGAGCCGGGCACTGTGCGATCGTCACTCTGTGCTAGCGCCTGCGGCTGCGCTTCATTTTGGGCCGGCGCTACCACGTCTTCAGCTGTAACGGATGTGATGCGCACCAGCCGCTCCTGGCACTCTGCAATTTCACGGTCAATGTCCGAAATACGGCTCTGCAGCTCAAGCTTAGGTACCTCGGTATGTATGCTCTCGTTCTCGTCCTCGTCCTCGTCCCCGTCCTCGTCCTCGTCCTCGTCCTGAGACCGCCTGGGCGACGGCGTCGCATCCCTAGTCACAGGCTGTCGAGTATGCTGATGTTGCTGTTGATGTTGCTGCTGCAGCTGTTGCTGTTGAGGATGTCTAGTCTCTGCGGGCCTAAGACCCAGACGGTCATTCACAGTCAATCTCCGTGTGATTCTGCGGTCCTCCATATCAAGCTCGCCCTCCTCCAATGACTCGCTTGTCTCAGCCGCGCCCCTAAACCTCTCTCCCCCACTGACTGAATGCCTGGCGACAAACCTCTGCATCCCATGGGACCCCTCTGACGGGTGCCGTCTCGGCAGCCCACTCCTCTGCTGCGCCCAGTGTACACGTTCTTGGTCGCTGGACACCTGAGCTCCCGCACGCTGGTATCTATCCTGCCCCGTCCAGCGACTGGACTGTGATTGACTGTAGTTAATGCTGCGCGGTTGACCTTGGTCCATAGAGCCAGAGCGTATGCGGTCTCGAGATACCAACGGATATGTGTCTGTGCGGTCAGGCCGGTCAGGCCGGCTATATTCTCGGTCGCGGCTGCTGCTGTTGCTGCCGCTGCCGCTGCTGCCAACGCGATGCCGACCTCCGGCAGAATCCAAAGGTGGCCGATTGTAGCTCATTTATAATAGATAATAAAAAGAATTTACGCGTGAATTGAATAAAATTAACAAAAAGTACAGCTTGATTTTGAGGGAATCCAATTATAAAAGTTGAAAATGGAGAATGAAGACAAAGGCTCCCCCATTCGTTTCAAAATTCTATTTTGAACTGAAATTAAACTCAAACCCACGCGTTTTTTTTTCATTTTTCTTTAAAATTTTGGACATTAATTTAACTGTTTTTTCTGCACTGTGATTGGCCAAACACAAATAGGGTGCATTTAACTTTCACTATTTTTTCACACTTAATTTATCCCGTCGATTCGTTGAAAATTGAATTTCCTTTTCAATCCCCTTCTTCACTTTAATTTTTCACTTTGCATTCAATACAACCTTTAATCGTAAAATGGTCGTAGTCTACAACCTCTACATTTTTGACAGATATTGCGAATGCATTTTCTACACCGAGTGGAATCGCCCCAACACACATCTGACCAGCACCCGGCATTCCACCGACCTCAGCCGGCCCCCCGTCTGGCCCAGCGCGCAGTCCCCGCGCAACACGCCCATGGAAGAAGAGGCCAAGTTGGTTTATGGTGTGGTCTTTTCTACCCGCAACATAATAAACAAACTCAATTCCAAGGACAGCTCCAAAGGAGGAAACCCCGGAGGATTCCTATCCTTTGCTACAAACACTTACAGGCTGCATTACTACGAGGCACTGTCGGGCGTAAAGTTTGTTATAACAACAGATGTGGCGACTAACAATATGGAGCCTGCCTTGGATATGATATATAAGAACATATATGTCGAGTATGTGGTTAAGAACCCCTTGTTTTGTGTCGATCCAAATGTTTCGAGCCCGATCGAAAACGACTATTTTAGAGCCGTTTTGAATAATTATATCAAGGAGATTTCGACTTCGTCATCAGCTCTGTCTGCTTCTGCTTAATTATTAAATGCACATGCATATTTAATCGATGTTGAAATTTTATGTTTATTAAATCAATTTTATGAATGAAAATACATTTGATTTAGCTAGAAATAAAGTGATTTTATTTTATACTGCCTACATGGTTGGCTGAATAAGCTACATTCTGTTTAATTGCCAAAAAACAAATCGAAACAATAGCTTTATTAATTACTCAGACTGGTCAAATAACGTCGATTACGTGCAGAGCATCATGCGTGCAAATAGAAAAATAAACTTACACATCATAACAAAAAAAAAACAAATGTTGACAAACGAGGCAAGGCTTTTTCACCCATGTCGAAAACAATTGTATATTTTACAGACCACTCGAATTAAATGCACAACACAAGCACCTGCTCTGCACACTTTGCCTATTTTTCTTTCTTTTGCGTTTGTTCTGTCAATATTCCAACGTCATGTTTTGCAGAATATAATTTGTTACAATTGTTTTCATTAACAAACGTGTGGCAATAGCATGCAGAGTTGGACAATGCAGTTTTTCTTTAGATTAATTGTAAACAAAAAAACGCATTGCCACTTCTCAGAGTGGAAGACAATCAGACCGTGATGCTAAAATTACAATACAAATGTGGCAAGCAATTTTTGATTGTGCATCATAAGGCTAAATGAAGAGTCCGACCCGATTCACAAGAAAAGGTCAAAACATTGGTCTGACAATTGATTCAACTACCACTTATAAATATATAACAATTGTGCTGTCTCGGGTGGTGTTTGTCAAGTGGTATTAGTTGACTTTAGTGAACATTTGCAATAACATTGTAAACTCGGGGATCTGTGGTACGAAACCTAGCTTTTTTACATCTTTTTCCCATGACCTATGTAAACACAATTAGGAATTGTTTATTTTTACTTTTGTGCATGCCCACGTACAATGTGTGTTGCCACACCGTGTTGGGGCTTGCGGACGTGCATTGAAATGAACCTGTGCGAATTAAGCACTATTGCTCAGTTGACCTTGGTTTTGTCCCAGGGAAGATGTAGAACAGGACCACTGCAGTATAAAATGCCCTTGCCATGGCGGTCTATCCTTCCAATATCTTTATATTATAATATAATACCATATAAACACACATCCAAACCAGCAGCCTAACAAAAAAATAGCTTTTATACTCGACAGCCATCATTTTTACTCTAAAATCAGCATTCCTTACCCTCAAGTCAATATTATTTATTACATTATGAATACCGGCATGCCAGTTTCACACTTGAGCCTCTTGAGCGACGCCGCTGCGTGCGCCAAGAAGATGCGCTCGCTGTCAATCAGAACAGCCAATGGCCACTGCGTCAGCATTCTCAACGACGACCATAACAATGACATTAACACCGGTGCAAGCAGCACAGCTAATGGCAGCAGATGCAGCTCCATTGGGGCTAAAAGTGTTGACCACTACCAGCAGTCGCTTCCTGACATGACGCCAGACAGATCGCCCTTTTTTGCCCACCTTGCCTACACGCCATCCACACACCCAAGCACGCCGCAAATGTCGCCCGCTCGCCTGCCATCCATGTCAGCGCTAATCCAAGCAGTAAACATGAGCGGGTATAGCGACAAAACACCTACACGGCCTTCTTTCTCCCAAGTCTACTTGCACAACCACGCCCCCAAAAACCAGCCAATGCCATCCCTGCCCATCACAACGTGCACTCAAATTGCTTTGCGCTCATTGTCTTCCAAGCGCAGGTACGTTTGCTCGCACTCCGATTGCGGCAAGGCTTTCACGACCAGTGGCCACTTGTCGCGGCATTACAGAATCCACACGGGTGAGAAAAACTACCAATGCCTTTACCCTGGATGCTGCAGCCGGTTCTCGCGCCAGGACAACATGATGCAGCACTACCGCACGCACTTGTCACCGCGCAGCCGTCGCACGCGCGGCAGCATTGTTTCTGTGCAATACCAAGGTTTGGGCGCAGACAATAGGAGCAGACAAGATATGGTTGCTCGCCACCCGAGTGTACAAAGCGCCTTTCATCCGTTTGCAGAGCATTACGCCCAACACTTGCCGCAAGTTCCAGCTCAGTGGCAATTCTACTAGATAAAATAAACCTGTAAAACTGCTGGCGCTGCTTGCAACCACTCCCATTCCCATTCTCATATCCATGTTTTCTCTTTAGTTTTTACGCGTTTGTATAAATATCATTGTTTTCATCATGACAACAATACAATCAATAAAACATTAATAATTAAAAATGTTTATAAATAATGGCAAATATTTTAATAGCCATATGAGAGCAGCGCTCGTTGTTGTAATACTGCTGCTATCATTCACATCTTGCAATGTTGGCACCTGTGAATCGTCAATAGAAAAGGATTAGGTCGACCAAATTATTTTTAATAACCGCTCATTTTTTGAAATGCAATTATTCAATTATTTGGTTGTGAATACCAGCACATATTATAGATGGCTAATGTTTTAATAAAAAAATTGCAATAGTAAGCCAACATATGCATAGCAGCTGGTTTGTACATAAATATGAGAATCTTGATTAACAGGGCTTGGTAGCTCCAAAAAAGTCTATTCATTCCCACTACTGGGTTTCATAGTGTAGCTGGTTATCACATCGGATTCTGATTCCGGTAACCCGAGTTCGAATCTCGGTGAGACCTTACTTTTGCCCTTATATTTCTTTATTTGCTTAAGGCAAGTTTAGACCTTGTCATTTTTTTTATAAAACTCAGTGCACTTTTATCGATGAATTTTCATGGCAATTAGATGGTTCAAATAAGTTCAATGCGATGGTTATATTTTAAAATTGTCAAGTATTGTATATTGTACTAAAGCTTGCAAATTCTTGTCATATACAAATGTCTGCCTCTGCACTGGCTGGGGCTCTTGGTTCCTACAAGGCTTGAAACGTAGTTCCCGTCAAATCTTCCGCTGCCGAGAGAGCTCACATATGCTGTCAGTTTTTCAATCTCCTCCGGTGTCCAATTGCTGCTGTGCATGTATGATTTCGTGGAATCAATCGTTTTTCTTAATGTGTTAGTTGGAACATCAAGCTGCGCTGCGACCTCTTTCAATGCGACCTTGCCCTGTGTTATGCGGTCGGTGATCTCCACAATATCAGCACTCGCTATCCTTGCTTTGTAAACTGGATGATCATAGAATCTGGCATTAAGCCACTGACGGCTAGAACTACAATTCAACTGTAGCTCCTCTTTGACCATTCGGCGAACTTGGTCTATAGGGTATTTGTAAACATACTTGTCGACAAGGTCTGTAATCTGCTGGTTGGCTTGTTTGGATATCGGTGGGCTTTTCTGATTTTTTGGCGATTTAACAAATATATAACGCACACTCTGCACAGGGGTACATGGGGATAAATGTTTGGCAATGTTTTCAAACGAAAGCCCCTGTTCACGCAGAGATTTGGCCTGTGCAATGCGTGCGTCTGTCCACCGGAACCTCCCATGCAACAGCTCGTGCATTTGGACGCAGTCCTCGATTCGGATCCACATAAAATTGGAGACAGCTTTAAAGTTGGTTGGCAGCGGCTTTGGATAGTTCGACTCGATAAACCCAGACATGCGGTTGGCCATGTCCCAAGAAAATGTGTCCATGTCATATGTCCAGCCAGCCTTGCCCTCGTCGAATTGGCTGAGCTCCAGGCACTCGAGCTCGCTGAGCCCTGTTGCGCTGCTGACTCGCGCCCAGTCAACTTCTCCCGGAGATAATTGCTGCTTCTGCTGCTGCTGCACTTCGCGAGTCACACTGTCGGCTTTAGATGGGTGTGGTGCTGACAGAGCCGTCGCCTCCTTTGATTTCTGTAAAATACGATAGCGTCTGCGACAGCTACTAACAGAACGAGAAAGAGTCCTGCTGATAATATCCCAATCAATGCCGCTCTTCCTTTTAAGCGTATCAATCATCAGCAAAAGTTGTCTGTCACTGTCGCTGGTCCATTTTTCGTGCTTGTATTCGTTATTCTTGCCCAGCTCGTCTAAATGACAAATATAAATGTAAATATTTAAATCAGCAGCATGTGGCAAAACAGATATAAAACACACGTGAAGCAATATTTGGAGCAACTTACCCTTGTTCCGAATATAATTCATTTTATTGCTACATTGTATGGGCAGTCTGGTCCCAATGTACCGCGAAGCCTCTGTTCCGCCCATCCCCTTGTCCATGCAATATCTCAGCTTTTGCAGCTCACTGTTGGTCCACTGGTCAGAAAGCTCAATGTGACCGTGCTTGATCCAGCTGTGCTGTGCGCGTCCAGGAAATGTGCCCAACTCGCTGTCAATCCGCGCCCAGTCCTCGCCATGCTTGTTGACCAGCTGCTTCAGCTTAACCATATCACTCGCACCAAATACTATGAGTTTGGAAAATGCGAATGATCGGGCACACATGCTCTTAATTACTTTGAGTGGTTTGTCTGGGAACTCGTTCTGTACCATTACCACCAGTGTTTTAGTATCAATAGAGTGACGGTGCTCCCATATGATATCCTTAATCTGCTGTTTCTCGGCATCGGTCCATTGCACGGCTTCCGTATTGTCGTCCTGCGGTGTGTCTTGTAGACGCAAATGTTTATGGTACAATTTAGCCAAACCATGTTGTGACAAAAAGTATGGATACATCAGGTAAATGTCCTTCCATCTCATGCCCTGAGCACGGTATCTGCCGAGATCATCAAGCAATTCTGCCATCATGCGAGGGTGCTGCCAAAAATGAAATGCCTTGAAGCAAACAGAGTCATTGGTGTTCATGTACACGTCTGCTAAAACCCAGTCGCCAGTTGCCTTTTCGCCAAAGTGGTCTGCAACAAACTGAGTCAATATTTTGCGGTTATCGACAGTCCATCTGTGAGGGATGGGCATAGCGCGTGGCTGAATTGAAGACTGTGTCAAGTCAAACAGCCGCAGGCAGTCAATGAGCGGCAAGCCAAACTCGGTGGCCAGCGCCTCCCAGTTGCACCGGGCAGTGGTTGCGTCAAAGAATCTGTTAGCCGCTGCCTCAGTAACCTGCTTCCTCAGCTCTAGTCTCTTTTGGACCTCAGCATCGGCTTGCGCCAGGATCTGCTGGAGTCTGTCTGTGCCAAGGTGGTACTTGTTTGCCAAAATGTACCAGGGGATCGTCGAGTCTGTCGCCTGGATCTCGCGGATATGCTGTACAATCTCGCTCTTGCGCTCGGGCGTCAGTTCAATCGAGGGCACAGCGGCGTACTGCCTGACACTGGTGGCTAAGTGCTGGATATAAGACAATGACACCACGAGTGAGTGTTTGGGTGGTTTGGTAAAGAGGCGGGCAGTTGCTGGCAGCAGCGGCAATAGCAGCAGCGCGCGCATTGGCTTCGAATGACACACAGCCAGCATGAATTAGAAAAATAATAATAAAAATTGAATTGAGCTGCAAATTTAAAAAGAGAGAAAAGGGAAAAGAAAATCGAAAGAGTGCACTGATAAAATGAAATTAGAAAAAAGACAGTCGTGAAATCGTTGCTACTGCATCCTAAAAACATGATTTTTTGTATAGAGGCGATCAGCACAAAATTATGTTTTTAGATTAAAGAAACTTTTAGATAACAATACAAAACATTTAGAAACATTGGCAGATGCGTATACTACAAGTATATATTTATGAAGGCTAGACCAAGTGCTGTTAATCAGGATCAAAGTTATTCAAATGGCTGCTGTGAGCTGTGCTTATTTTGAGTGACTCGGTGACCGAATCATCAGGGGGGTCGATACCAGTGTATACAGCTGCGATGTGGTCACAACCTCTTCTTTGTGGTGCTTTGACTTGCTTTTACTATTAAAGGCGCCGTCGTCAATTTGTAAAAATGCTCCGCCCTCCATTTTCCCAGCAGAGCTCGCCCGCGTCTGAGCTCTAATGTTGCTTGAAACAGAGCCGCCTAAATCGATATCGTACTCTTTCTCTCTCTGCAGGCCATCGTTGCAGAAAGTGCACATCCATTTGTCAAGATACTGCTGTCGATCAAACATGCACTTGAAATGAGGCTTCCGCATAATCTGCCACCACAACACGTTGGTCGCGACGTGGCTGAGTGACGTGTTTATAATGCGCAGGCAAACGTCTTGCTGATATTTAGGGCACACGTAGTTCATAATTGTCACGTATAGAAGGAAAGCATATATGATCACACACATAATCAGCATCTCACGGCTCTCGTTGAACGGGCTCTTGTTGCGAATTATCCAGTGGACGGCCACCATTATAATCACAGTAATCCACAGAAAAACAAGCAGGGTCACCTGGTAGCCCAGGTTGTAGCCGCATATATCAGGCTCCAGAATGTATTCAGTTGTCAGGGACGGCTTCAAGAACTGCGAAATCAATCTGACAAGAAGTATGGCTGCCTAGTACATAATAAACGGCAAATAGAGGCCCCATCCGTGGTATGGGTTGTGTAGGTAGAATACGTGGGACAGACCGTATACCATTAATGCGATGGGCAAGCACATCCCGCCTGCGCCTATCAAAGTTCACATCCATACTCCAAACGCCATGCAGTTATTCATGGGCGTTCCTGCCACGGGTACATAACCGTTGACCTGTATATCACTGAAGAACCATACAGCATATAGAATTATAATCAGAACCATAATAGTGTTGTTTTTGGACTTTATTGGCACGTAGTATCTGTTTCACAGTATATATATAATAGCGCCAAAAGATCGATCAAATAAACTGTCGAAATGATAATAATCATAAGCAGGTCTCCTTTCCCTCGCGGATCCAACGTCATGCCCATTGGCTCAGCGTTCTTCTGGCGTTCAATCTCGCTCTCCATCAAAGTAAAATACAAGTTGTAGACCATTTTAGTAGTAAATATCGAGTCGTCCGTATAAAAATAAATAAAAAGCCAAATTTATGCTTAAAAATTTGACAAGGAACTTGTTCAATCGAGAAAATGTTACTGACTGAAATAAGTGCAAACAACAGGTGGGTGCATAAAATTATTTTTATAATAAAAAGTCAGAAAATGTGAATGTTTATTTTATATACATTTTTAAATAGAAATGTATGTGGATGCGGATGCTGTTACATTAAAAATATATATAATGAACAAAATGAATATGAACAGTGGATGGTGTTCATCCCTTAGCTTTCTTTTAGTTTATATGTTCAATATATTTTTAACATAACACCCCGACATACCCCTTCATTCCATAATGCATATGCTTGAACGTGCATATACAAAGACCATAGGCTTGACACGCCAAGACACCAGTCTGTCCGCGGAAAAACCAGTTCTCACCAACGGAGTGCACAATTGGTGAAGTGTGGTGCCCAACACACATTTCAAGCCATTATCTTACCTTTTCAAGAATGAAGATCGCCCTCATGGCCACTATACACATTTATGTTATTACTAGCTGACATCAAGGAACACCATGATGTTTACAGCACTGCCCACACAGTGCTTCCCCTTTTTTCAATTCCATAAGTAATTTTGAAGACTCGAATATATCAATTTAGACCCACATTTTAGAGAGCATGACAAAGTACACAATAAAGACAAGATACATAAAGATGAGGCCGAGCCTAGTTCTACTTTTGATTATATTGATAATAAAAACTTTCATAATTCAACCAAGCATACTTCTAAAACTAGGCGACTAGTGCTTCACTCAAATCACCACCCTCTTATTATAACAATATGACTTTGGGTTCAATTATAGGATTCACAAAAAATCCGATTTCATTCCGTAAAGAATTTCGGATACTTGGAAAGATTGGCAGCTGTTGATGGTTTGTATTTTTAAGGAAATTCCGATGTTTGTTCTGTGACAATCATGTCGGCGCGCATTTTCAACAAACAGGAATTTACCTGAATGTGAATTGCAAACAAAAAAGAGTTCCCAGTGTCATATCTAGAGGCTGAGGGTAATAAATAAATATATTAAAGAAATTCAAGAAAAAGCTATTACTAGGGCTTGTCGATGCCTTGCGTCGAAAATACTGTCCCCAGTAGAACTCACCACTAGCTGCTTGTGATCCGTTAATCCACATACATCTAATCAGGGGATGCGGCTATATCACCAGGATTGTAATAAAACTTATTCGTACTAACTAATTTTATTAAAAAAATCCACTATAAGGGAGCTTAAAGAGCTCCGCTTATCTATTCGAAACTATCGCCCGTGAAAATAGAGATTGCGATCGTAAACAATCACAATTTCAAACAATCGCAAATTCCCAATTGCAATTGTCACGTGACATCGCAATAATTGATGTCACAAGGATGCTTATTAAAAGGCTCCTGTACAATTTTTGATGTAAACTTTACTGCCCATAAGTAAACAAAATATATCAAGTCAAAAGCTGATATGTATATTCGTTTAAAATCAAAATTAAACACATTATTGCTAACAAAATTAATATATTCTTCTCGCATCAACAATAAATAATGTTTTGAATTGCTGGATGAAATTTGAATATATTGAATGCAAAGCAAACAAAATCCCTTGTGGGGATCAAATGATGATTCAAAGCCTCACCCTGTGGGAAACACTAGAAGGTTGTCCTATATGGCGGACAAGACCAGTCCCTGGAAGTTTCTGCCACCAGGGTCTCATCCTGGCCCTTACAATGAAGTAAAAAAGGCCGTAGCTAGCTGGAGACCAGATTAAGTAACATTTTCTCACTGCAATTGGAATGTAGAAAAATATTCACAAATTCAGATTCGCCAAGATGCGACTCAGACTGCACCCATGAACTACTTTCACCTCACATGCTAGCCACCATGGCCAATGTGGTAAGAGCTGCACCCGTTTTCACCAGTAGTGAATCTCTTTGGATGGATGCATGCCTAGTAACTCTGATGAATGCAAAACGACACGATGTAGTTGCTGCTGCTGAATACGTTGCTGTGTTAATATTTCTACTGTCAATTTGCCACAAAATTATAGATAATGTTTTATATTGATTTTAATATATTGAATTATAATAAAAAATTGTTAGATGCTTATTGATGGAGTTTTGCTATGCAATAAAAGCACATGAGAATCTCAAACATTTTGAAAATAACATTGTAACATATATTGAATATTTACTGTTTCAAAATATTTGTTGCGCCAATACATAAGAATAAATTCCAGCAACCAACTGAAAATGATTAGATTTGCTATTGTAGAATTGTAAAATTTACTGTATTACCTTGTCTTAGCTATAAAATGGCCGATAATTCAGTTTGCACACCAATATTTGTATAAGAATATGTTTAAAGCGTCAATAATGATTGTATATTTTTGCACAGTCAACACCAAGCGTTTAAAAATCAAGTTCAGAAAATATTTTGTAATTCATATTAAAAGATTAAATATTAAAATTAGACGAGTTTGCGCTCATTGGGATCGACATAGCCCAAGTGTCTATTGTGAGCTTCGCCCAACTTTAGTGGAGCTGTGTTTGCAACGTCAGGAAACGAGATCGGTGTGTACAACTGCGACTTGGGCTGCAAAGTGTTGGTCTGCGTACTGTCTCCGTTTGATTCTTCCATCATAATTTCAATTAAAACATCTTCATGGTGGCGCTTTGTTGAAGTTGACGGCCGAGTCGATTGTCCGCGGACAAGACCCCCGTTGCCTACCATGGGAGAAGTGGAGGTCTGGGAAAGCGCACTGTGTGAATTATCACTAAAATTGACATCATTTCCATTGTACATTTTATCGTCAATTGCGTAAAACACGCCGCCTTCCTTCTTCCCTGCAAAGCTTGCTCGCATCTGAGATATGATGTTGTTGGAACCAACGCTGCCTGAATTGATCTCGTACTCTCTTTGGAATCCGTCATTTCGCAGCTTGTAGGTCCACTGATCAAGGTATCGCTGCCGATCAAACATGCATTTGAAAAGAGGCGCCCACATAATCTGCCACCACAGTGCGTTGGTTGCAAAATGGTCCATGCACGTGTTTATAATACGTAGGCGAACGTCCAGCGGGTAGCTTGGACGCACGTAGTTCATGATCGTCACATACAAAAGTATAGCCGATATGATCACGCACGTAACTAGCATTTCGCGGCTCTCGTTGAACGAACTCTTGATCTTGCGAATCCTCCAGTGAACGGCTGACATAAGAGCCACGGTTACCCACAGGAATATGAATATGGCTATTTGGAATTTTTGGTTAAAACTGCAAACGTCGAGATCCGGGTTAAACTCAGTTGTCATGGATGATTTCAGGAACTGCGAAACTAGACCAACGACCAACGCGCACACCCAGTAGATGATGAACGGCAAATATAGGCCCAACCCGTGGTACGGCTTGTGTAGGTAGAAGACGCGGTACAGACCATGCGCTCTAAACGCGATTAATGAGAGCATACCGCACGCACCTATTATAGTACGCATCCAAATTCCGAACGCCATGCAGTTTACCAAGTGCGTGCCAGCCACAGGTACGTGTCCGTTGGTCTGCAGGTCACCAACAAACCACACAACGGATACGGCCACAATTAGCGCCATAATAGTAATATTTTTAGACTTTATTGGGGCGTATTTTCTGTTCCAAAACATGTACAAGACCGCCAAAAAGTCAAACGAGTAGACTATCGAAATGATGGTAATCATAATTATGTCGGCTTTGCCTCGTGGATCCAGCGTCATTTTCATTCCCTCGGCGTTCTTCTGGCGTTCAATCTCGCTTTCCGTTAACGTGGCCGACAAAAGGTTGCCCATTATTAAAATAAAGTCGTAAAGTTGGTGGAAAAAATGTAAATAAAACAGTGTGATAAGATGACAAATAGTTAGTTACACGCTAAACCAAATGTTGTAATACTTGTAGAGTTGAAATATAAAAAAGATGGCGTGATGTTTTTTCTAATATAGCTACTAAGTGAAATGAAAAATAAGGTAATTATTAAATATAATAAACCAAAATAATATGGCGACAAAAAAGTTTTGGTCATGGATTGAGGAAATAGTGTTAGCTTATAACCGAATGTGACAATTTGCGCTCATCGAGATTTTTAATATGACTGGTGAATCAAAACCCCCTTTGTTGAGTTTTAACGAACAAACAGCGTTAGACTTTGGGAATGCTAGATCTACGCAGCTGTCCCTTTTTTACTTTCCGCATAACAAAGCGAATCGGTTGGGTCAATTTTTCAACTGCTTATAATAATTTTTTGTGCCCATCCTAAGAGATAACCCCAATTTGGAAGTCAATTAAACGCCTGGAAGCGTAATGCTCCCGAAAGCAATATTGAAAATAGGGTGGTCAGGATTTGATAGGTGATCTACACAAGGTGCATATACAACCTAGCTTTACATAAATAAAGCTAGAAAACATGTTGCAGACATAAAACGGCGTGCTGTTGTGCCAAGGTTGTGTATGGTTATTATCATTATAACAAAAAACATTGGCGATCTATAAAGACGATCGCATTGTCAGAAATATTGCAGATCGTCATGTTTCCGTAATCGGATTGCTCATTCATCCTATGCAAAACATGTGCACATTCTAAATTAAAAAGCGCAAACAAACCGAGACAAAACAAAAGAGCAAAAAATGCGGGCAAGGTGGGTGATACTACTGTGTAATTTTTGCATACTAGTGAAGTGAATTTGCCACCTTGGTTGAACGCAATTGGCTCAAGATTCGAGTTCTCCGAATTACAAGGAACTACAGTCTAACAAGCTATCCACGTGACACACCGTACATTTGAGACTGGGGGCACTGACAAAAGTGCCATCTTCGTAAAAAAAATAACCCCGAGTATATATTTTGCCGCCGTTGCACACATACCTGCAGGTCAGCGCCAACGAAAAGCCAGTCTGTGACCAATATCTTTTATTTCTCAAAAAAACAAACCAAAATATACGAATATACTTGGTTGGGCATAGTGGTTTTATTTTTTGAATTTGTTTACAAAACTGCTTCTTTTTGCAGATCACACAGACTAAAAAATAATTTTAGGGAGGATGACAATACTGACCACTGCTCTTTGAAATAATAGCGGGTTTGTGTTGGATTTGTTAGAACATTTTTAAAATGGCGAAGTGCACTACAAAGACGCCTATGTGATGAGGTTTATAGTGGAAAAATGCAGGAAATGAGGAGAGTAAAAATTGCAACTAGCGGGGTAAGCATTAAACATATGTATCAGTGTGTTAACGTTGTAAAATTAACTGATGCTGCAATGCTGGCCACAATGGCAATATAAAATACTTGGTTTTACAAATTTGTGTCACATGTATACTTTCACTATGTGTCAGGATGGGGACAACTATAATTGAATGCGGTAAACAGCGATTGGTTTAAACGTCTCAGGCAACACAAATTAGCATGGCTTACGTTTCAGTACTTTAAAATCTGCCCAAAATGAAAAAACAGCAATACATTTATTAAACAAGCTGACGCTCGTTAGAATCAACATACTCCAAGTGTCTATTATGAGCATTCTGCATATTGAGCGGTGCCATGGTTGCAGTTTCTGGTAATGTGATTGGAGTGTACAATTGCGATTTAACCTGCGACCTGTTGGTATGTAAAACGGCATCCGATGTGTCCATCATGATTTCCATCAAGATATCTTCGTGGTGACGCTCCGTTGAAGCTGAAAGCCGAGCCGCTTGCCCGTACGAATTGCCGCTATTTAAAACCGTGACACTTTCGGCCATCTGGGAAGGTGCACTGTATGCGTTATCTTTGGAAACGGTACCATTGCCATTGTACATGTTACCATCTATGTTATAGAAAGAACCACCTTCTTTATTCCCTGTAAAGCTTGCCCGTAACGTCGATTTTTGTTTATTCAAAATGGCTGTGCCCGCATCAATTTCGTACTCCTTCTGGAACCCGTCCTTGCGCAGCTTGTAAATCCACTGGTCAAGATATCTCTGCCGGTCAAACAAGCACTTGAAAAGCGGCTTGCCCATGATGAGCCACCACAGCGAGTTGGTCGCAAAATGATTCATGTATGTGATGGTCAAGCGCTGGGACAGGTTTAGAGGATACTTTGAAAGCACGTAGTTCATGGTTGTCGAGTACAAAAGTACAATGAACATGATCGTACACGTAACCATCATCTCGCGCCCTTCATTAAACGAACTCTTGATCTTGCGAATCCTCCAATGAGCAAATATCACTATGAGCAGGGTAATCCAAAGAAACGAATACAGCACTGCCTGGAATGACGTATTATAGTCGCAGATATCGAGTAGCTCAATGTACTGGGTTGTAATTTCCGGTTTCATAAACTGCGAGATCAGGCCGACAATGAGCGCACACACCCAATAGATGATGAACGGCATGTATAGCCCCAATCCGTTATATGGCTTGTACAGATAGAATACACGATACAAACCGTGTGCTCTCAGTGCAATTAGTGAGCACATGCCACACGCGCCCAGAATAACACGCATCCACAATCCAAACGCCTTGCAGTCCATTAAGTGCGTCCCTGCTAAAGGCAGATGGCCGTTGGATTGGAGATCGCCGACGAACCACACAGCGGATACTAACATAATCAGAACCATGATAATAACGTTTTTTGACTTGATTGGCGCGTATTTTCTGTTCCACACCATGTACACGACCGCCAAAAAGTCAAACGAATATACTGTTGAAATAATGATGAGCATGATCAGGTCAGCTTTGCCTCGTGGATCCAGTGGTAGCGGCATCCCCTCGGCGTTCTTCTGGCGCTGTAGCTCGCTTTCGGTTAACGAGAACGACAGCTGGTTACCCATTGTTTAAAAAAAGGAGCCGTAAAGTAGTTTAGGAAAATATATGCAGACAAAGTTATAAGATAATAAAATAAAAGGGTTACAGCTTACAGCCAAATACAAAAAAATAGATAGAAATTTATATAAATAAAAAAGGTAAACCAATTGAAAGATACCATGCCAGGTACAAAAATAATGCTTTATGTTGATATTTAAACGTATATAGGTTGATGAACAGAATTTTTATATAAACAATTGGAATATTTAAATTTTACTTTATAGTGGGCGGAACAAAAAAACAAGTTTTTTTTTTAAAAATAATTTTTGCTTGGTTTTGTATGTTTGTAAAAGCAAATTTTTGAGGTGACACATTGTTGAGGCAGAGTACATCCAAATTTGCATTGTAACAAAAAATAATTTACTAATAGAAGATAAATGGTGTTAAAAAGCGATTTGCGAATTTGTCTATGCATTTTAGGAAATCTGACAACTGCATAAACAAGATTAGCCATATGCATATTTGCATGATTATGTTCTTTTTAAAATAAAGGTATACATTTTGCATATATTAAGTTCTTTGTAAAAAAATAGGGGTTTCGGAGAGATTGACTTGATGTTGGGGTGTATTGATCAGCCTGTTACCTTGTTTTTGTAGCCATTGGGCATGAATATATTTGTTGTTAATACGTTATTTCAAATTAGGAAGCACATTGATGTTGCGTATCTGACATGGCGTAAAAAACAAATGACAAGGGTATTATTGGGTGATTTCAAGCTGCACATGTGTTGAAATGTATATATTCCATGAACAGGATATGAAGAACATACTACTATGTATTTAGTAAGGTGTATACTATGAGTGTAATAAAAAACAACACGAATTTATATTTCACAATCATTTCGGCAGATCCGCTCCCTCATTGCAGGTGAGATGCTTTTCAAAAAATTTTGAGATCAAAAATAAAGTAGATAATTGGTATTGGCGTGTTTTTTTTTCAAATGTGGGACGTTTTGTTTGTGCCGATCACATTGCGTTTCCATGTGAGTGCAAGCAACCTTTTTGTAAGATCTGCAAACCAACAAAAATATTCCAAAAACAAATTACAGACAGGCATACTGATTGGCCTTTTAATAATAATGGTTTTTAATGATACTGAGGTATGCATGTACCATCCAAACCATTATGCAAGCCAATTGTTTATTAACTATAGCCAACATACAAATTAAAAATTTTATTTAAAGAATCAACAAATTATAACAGGTTTAAAATATAATTTATACACAAAGCTATATGCATTTTTTAGTTCCCATTCAATTTATTGTAAGTGACAACATTATATAGGAAGCATATGTAATAAGTAAAACTTTTTTCGTTTCCAGATATGTTTTTTTTAAAACTCTCCAAGAGTTTTGTTCTTATAATTTTTTGTTGCCTGTGCAGCACCAGTGCACATAATGATTAGCGAGAGTAAATTGAATATCTTTAATTGTTCTACAAAAGTTTTTAATTGTTTCAAAATTTGAAACTTTGCAGCTTGATTTGAAAAGCAAGCTTATGTTCTCACTTTTCAAGTATGCAGGCTCAATAAATCTTACGATAATAGAATATATGCTTGTAACAATATAATTAAATAGATGTAGAATAGAATTAAGTGATTTTTAAAAAAAAGTATGGACAATATTCTGGCTTTATGTATTATTGGATTACCACAATGCTGGTTTATATTTTACTGGATGTAAATTTTTTCTTCAGTCTAATACATATATTTTGAGAGATTAGATTCTACCCATAAATATACCTAATGGCCGCAGCACTTGCAATTTTTAAATGTTTGCGTATATACTTAAAGTATTTACAACATGTACCGATTTCTGGAGTAAACCCACAAGGAATTTATTTTTATATTAAACACCAGAAATATAAAAAATTATCATTTAGTTCTTTTTGTAGGATTTCCCACGTGATTCATAATATATATAACTAGGAATAGAGTGTGCGGGTTTTCCACAATATATTTTTCTTGACAAAAATTACAATAGCAATATTGTCTTTAAAAATAATTGTGACTGCAAACTAGTCATACAAGTTGTATGTGAGATTTGTAAAAAATTTTAACTTTTAATTTTAATTGAAGCTTAAACTGCGCATCACATTGCAGACCCAGTACATATTTTTAAATATTGCGCGACACTGGCTTTCAAACGAGCCCAAATATGTGTACCATGCTCATTTTTATTACCCTTTGTACTCTAGCGCTGTTATCAAAACTGTATTTCCAGCGCCGCCGTGTCATTGAATGTTTTGGCCAAGTGGTCCAATCGCACGCCCAATGGTATTTCTCTTCAAACCAGCTTCTCAATGACACAGCGTGCCTTATCCACAGCACTTTGGAACCCATCGTTCGCGTATGTGCATATCCACAGCCAGTACAAAAATTTCTCCGACACCGACTCTAGATCAGCAGCCTGCCTCACAGAAGCCTCGCCGTATCCCAACAAACACGGATACATGGCAACCAGAAGCTTGAGCAGATTGCTGCACAGCCTACAGTTACTTTTTGTATAATATTTAAACACGCATACTACGCACATTTTTTTGTTTAACCTTTGTTTTTGTTTTTTTCTTCAAACAATTGAATTAATCGTGGGTGAGCCCACAATCCATCCAAGATATTAATTTTAATTCGGGTACTTTGAACATTCTGCAAAAAAATAAGCAACATACAATTTATCCATTCTTTACACAAAACACACCTGTATCTTTTTATCTCTTTTTTTATTACTAATCCAAAAAATGTCTTCTACCTTGACAACCCTAGATGAGCTTGAGTTTCCCAAAGCAGTTCTCACAAGGTTACTCAAAAGCAGTCTTCCCGAAAACATCGCGATTCAAAAAGAAGCGCGTCAAGCAATAACCAAAGCCTCCACTGTATTCGTCAGTTACCTAGCAGCCACCGCCAATGATTGTGCAAGGGAGTCTGGGCATAAAACTATTATGTCTAATGATATTTTTAAGGCTTTGGAGGCGGTCGGGTTGGGGGATTTTGTCGATAGGTTGCAGGGAGATTTGGTTTTACATGCGGAGGTTTTGAGGGAAAAGAAGGAGAGGAAGAGTAAGGAGGTGGTTGGAGGAAATGAGGAAGAGGAGGGGGAGGAGGCTGAGGAAGAGGAAGAGGACGAGGTTGAGGATGCGGCGGAGGCTCTGGAAACGGAGGAGACCATGGGGGAGGCCGAGTTTGTGGGTGCTGCCGGGGTGTCGGTTGTGAAGGAGGCGGATGGGACACAGATGGACGTCGACGATGTTGCCAAGCGCCCACGAATCGAGTGAAAAAGAAAAAGAAAAAGATCCAATTATTTATTTAGTATCAATGAATAAAAAACATTCCATGTAGCAAAAGAGAAAAAGAGAGACAGAAGGATTCAATATAATGTTTTAGGGTATCGGGTTCTTGGTGGGTTTCTTCGCGGATCTCCTTGATCGACTCTTGTGCGCAGAGGGTGGTTTATGCGCAAGAGGCACCGGTTTGTCGGCTACAGGCAGCGGATTGTCGGTGTTCTGTTTTGACTGGGCCCTGGGTTTACCCCCACGAGCCAAGGGCAATGGTGGCGGCGTTGGCGTTGGCAATGATGGCGGCGTCAACGGCTTCTTGGGTTGGTGGTGGCTCGTGGATTGGGGGGGAGTGGTGGTGTTTGCCGGCTGCGGAAACAACGTCTGCGCCGAATTGGCATTCGCCGGCGCTAGTTTGGCCATAGGCAGAGCGCATGGCTGCGGGGCCATTTGCGCCGACTGAGCAAGCGGAGGAGGGTTGACTCGAGGCATCGCGTTGTTGGGGTTGCTGGCGTAGCCGGGAGGCAAATTAGCGGGATTAGCAGGATTAACAGTGTGCGTGAACGAGGCGAAGGCCGGATGATGCGGATAGAAGTAGGGCACGGGGTGCTGAGCAGGGTGGACGATTTGGTGGTGGGTCGCATAGTACAGCGGCTCTCCGCCGAGCCCCAGGTACATCGGCTGGTGCTGCTGCTGGTGCGGCGCCAGCGCGTACGCGTACGCGTTAGGATGCGGCTGCATATGCATGTACGCAGCCATCGCGCCGAAGCCATCGGAATGGCCCGCGTGGTAGTGGCCGGCGGGCGCCGAATTCATGGCGTACGCGTCGTTGGCGACAATGGCCGGCAGCGGCAGCGGCTCTGTCACGTGCATGTGCATGTGGTGCGCGCCGTATGCGTGTGGCAGCCGCCACGGCTGCTGGAAGCCGCGCGGGTCGCCGAGCTGCTCGTTGGCCACGTGAGCGTGAGCGGGGGTGTTCCGCGTGCCGATTGGCCGGGGCCGGCCGGGTGCCGGCCTGTACGCGCTCTGCTGCGGCTGCGAGTCGGCGGCGGAAGCGCTGGGCGGGTGCGGCAGTGCGCTGGGCCAGAGCGTGGACCCGGTCGACAGGTGGAAGGGGCCTGCGGAGAGCGGCTGCATCGGCTGCTGCTGGGTCCACGCGTGGTTTGGCGTGGGTGTGGCGTCCACCGGCGAAGCGTGGCTCTGCTGCCACGAAAAGGGGCTCTGGAACAGCGAGTCAAACCTGGGCGGCTGCTCTTTTTCGAAGGGGGCAGGGAGCGGCTCTTTCTGGATGAGTGCTGGGAGCGACTCTTTCTGGATTGGTGCTGGGAGCGGCTCCTTTTTGATGGGTGCTGGGAGCAGCTCCTTTTTGGTGGGCCCAAGCAGCGGCTGCTTGTCACCACAGGCGAAGGGCAGCTGCTTTCCTGCGGATCCGGGTGTTGGCAGCCGCTCCGAGGGGGCCGGCAGCATCGGCAGTGTCTGCGGCGTCGGCGTGGTGCAAGCCTGCGCGGCTCCACCGGCTGGTTTGGCGTTGGCTTTAACTTTAGCGTGACCCACCGCAGCGGGCAGCTCAGCCGGTTCGGCTGACGCCGTGGTTGGCTCTCGGCTCGCAGCGGGTGCTCTCCAGCTAGTGGGCTTTGGCGCTGCAGCGGTGTTGCGCCGCCGCATGTCGGTCGGCGTTCGGGTGGGTTTGGGGGCGGTCTGGCGCCAAGTGTCAGCGGGCAGCGGCAATGGCAATAATGGCAGCATGTCGCTTGGTTTTTTCGCTGGTGTGTCGCTAGGCCTTTTCGCCAGCGTGCCAGCCTTGGAGTCGAGGCTTTCCAGCGACGCCAGATCCGGCGCACCACCCACAGGCGCGGCCGCAGCCAACGGTGCAATCAGAGCGACCGGCCCAGGCGTGGCCATCGCGGGCGCGCTCACTTCAGCAGCGGCGCAGGCGTCTTCAGAGAGCTTCAGCATGGTGGACCGTTGCGTTGGGCGCGCTCTTTTGAGTAGCACCAGGGGCGAGACTACCGTAGGAATAGGTGCGCTTTGTCTCCGGCCGCCGTTGCGCTTTGCGTCCTCCCGCGACTGCTTCGCCTCAGGTTTTGGCGGGGCAGCCTTTGGGACGGGTCGCCGTATGCCGTCGGTTGGCGTCAGTGGCAAAGGTGGGGGCGCAGGCGCAGGGAGTCGCGTTTTGGCCGAGGACAGACTGGCTTTCCACCAGCGCGCCTGCTGCTGCTGCTGGTCGGCCGCCAGCGGGGCGTCGGCTTTGGGCTTTGTGCCCCACGTGTCGACAATGCACACCGGCGTTTTGCGCTTGTCTGTGGCGGGTATAGCCTGTGGCTCCGGTTCCGGTTCTAGCTCCGGTTGTGCAACTGGGTCTGGTTGTGTGGTCAGAGTCGGTTCTACCTTCTCGGAGTGCCTGGCAGGTTCTGGCTCCAGCTCCAGCTCCAGCTCCAGCTCCAGCTGCTTCTGATGCGGTTCCTGCGGTTCCTGCTCCGGCTCGAGGTTGTTCCACGCCATTCTCTGGCCGAACCGAGCCCTGCGCTCTACAGTAACTCTCACCTGCGTACCGTCGTCAAACTCCACCTCCCTCGTGAAATCCCTATTGGCATTGCCGCCAAACGACGCCAACACTGGTTCCACTTCCGCCACTACTTCAACCACAGACTCTGGCCGCATCATCCCTTCCCTCTCTTTTTCTTTGTCGTCCTCTGGCTTTTTTAAGATCGTCGACCACGGGTTTCCAGCTTTCGTCTCCACAATTGGTTTCGCTATTGCCACAACAGGAGTTTTGTTGGCCCAAAATGAACTCGATATCGCAGACCTTTCCTTTACTTCTGCGGCTGTGCTGCTGCTGCTGATATTGCTGCTGCTGCTGCTGCTAGTGTTATTAGTAATGAGTGTTGGGAGCGCGCGGACTGTCGGTTTGAATACTGTTTTTTTGCCATATGTGCGCGTGGACGATGCCGGTGGTGGTGGCCGTGGGTGGCCTCCCTGCGCCGTGGTGTTTATGCCTTTGGGGAATACATCGGGCTTGCGCATGCCTTGCCGCGACATAATTGTATGTGGGACAAAGAGAAAAAGAAGAAGAAAGAGAAAGAGTGTGTGGTGTCGCTGTAATTTGTAGTGTAAATTGGTTGGTGTGGGCTTAATTAATAAAAAAGAGGAGGAATGCGAATAACAAGTAATAATAAACACTGGCAATAATAAATAATAAGGAAGAATGGATGGATGGACAGACAGTCCGCCGAAAACTGTTCCGTGAATTGAGAAAAAAAATAGAAGGAATTTCGAGAGAAATAATATATATATATATATATTTGGCTTGATGTTGTTGGTGCTGGAACTGGCGCTGGTGTTGGTGCTGGTGGTGACAATGATGATGACGATGATTTTGATACAAAAATGAAATAATGAAATAAATTTTTGTTTGTATGTGTAGAAAAAGGAACAGAAAACACAAAAAAGAAAACAGAAAAGAAATAAAAAATATCCGTCTATATTTGAAAATAGCAGTATATGTTGGTCCACGCTTTTTTTATTTTTATTCTTGAAACGAAAAAAGAAACAAGTCATCACATCACCTGCTCGCTTCGGTTGCTGATTACTCAGACAGCTGATCGAGAATGGGTTCAAACCTGTGGGAATGGATGAGGCGTTAACACCACCAGAATATGGATGATTTATGTGGGAAAAAAAGGATTGGCTACTGAGGTTCTGTGTCGCTTGGGCCCTTGCCCATCCGAACAGGAATCACCAACCCCTCGCTGAAGCAGTTGAAGATAATGTACATACTTAGGCTTGCCTCAGCCATCTCTGCTCCAAAAGCGCCGTCTGGTTTTAGGCGCTGCTTATTCCATTGGGGGGGGGGGGGCCACATCATTCAAAAGAAAAGCCATGTCAGTTGCAACCTGTGCCATTCCATCCAAAAGAGGGGCAGCGTTAATAGACGTTGATTTGCGTGCGTAATCAGGCGGTGAGGAGGGGTCAGAAAGAGAAAGGAAGAAAGAAAGAAAGGAAGAAATGGCGGCTCTGCCTGGTTAAGTACAGTAGCAATTAAAAAAATTAAAGTAAAAAACGTAAGTGCGTATTCACTTGGCCCCGTTTGGCATTGGGGGAAGGAAATGGTGGTACTCATCTCAAAATTGGGCCAGCACATCCACGCAAAAAAAAGAAAGCAATCCCAATCAGAATGTGCTCATGCACGTGATTCTAGGTGATCAAGAATTTTCCATGTCTTTGATCCTCCGTATCTTTTTTCGCTTATTATATATTTTTTTACATTTTCATTCCTCTTTCAATTCCCCTTTTCGATTCTCCAATTCACAATAATATTTATTCCTTCTCCATTCACAAAAAATACAACAATAAAGGAGAGAAAGACCATGGCGACCGTTCGTAAATTCTCCGCAGCAGTGCTCAATCACCTGAAAAAGGAGCACCCAGAAAATGCCTTTAAAGTTTCCTTTGTCAATGGACATTGGCGGCCAGCGCAATTCAGTCTTCGCCGCCAAGCCGATATTCGCAAAGCCTGTATGCTGACCAAAGTTGATCCGAAAACCATTGGGATGCCGGCCTTGCCCAAGAAAAAGAAGATGCAGAAGAAGCCCGCAAAGGGACATAAGCAGCAGAGGACGTATGCGGAGAAGCAGGCGATGATCCAGAAGAATTTGGAGGATATGCCAGAGAAGATTCGCAAGTGGAAGGAGGAGTTGGAGAAGGAGAAGGCAAAGACAAAGTCTACGTTGCCGTTCTAATACAACAACAAAAAAAGAAAGAGAAATATTGAAGGTTTATATATAAATATATAAATATATTCATTTTCTACTTTTTTTATCGTATCATGGTATTGCAAAATAATACTTGTGGTTTTATTTAAAATTGTTTTTTTTTGTTCTTAGAATACTTTGCCGTCTTGAATCGCAAAAGGCATATCAGATGGGAATCCGCACTGTTGGTTGGCATATTGGTGGTTGTTAGTATCCTGGCCCTGGAGCATCATGTAGTTCCCGTTGGACAGGTAGACCCCTGGAATGCTATTCAACGACGCAAAGTCAAACGCCCCTTGCAACATGGCGTTGTCAGCACGATATAGCGCAGGCACATTTGTCGCCTGCCCTGCCATCGATGTCGACGCCGGCGTCTGGAGCTCAATGCTGGCGCACAGTCTCGTGTAATCCTCGTTGCGCCCAGGCATGTCCATAGGATTAGAATTACCCGCAGCGGGCGCGTAAAACTGCTGCATCGAAGCTGGCGCTGCTGCTGCCATTGTCGCTGGCAAGTTTTGCTTTGGCAGATCGTTCAGCTGGTCATCTTCAGAGCCACAGTCAATGTCGATATCTGTGTCTGAAGACGATGACTCGGAGGAAGAATCCATGTGCTCATCGTCATCGATTACAGCGCCATCGTACCCCATGCGCGTGTTACCACTATCCACAGAGCTATGGTTTACCGCTGACTCGTAGCCGCCTCCTAGAGTGTTGCCGGCTGCCTGGGCTGTGAATCCCATGTGTGGATGTATCCAGGAGTTCTGATGGCTGTTGGTCGCTGCTAGTGCTGCCCGAGATTCAACTTGCTGCTGATCACTATTGCTGCCACCACCACTGCTGCTGCTGTTGCTGTTGCTGTTGCCCTGCCAAGTTTTTTGCAAAAGCTCGGCTAGCTCCGGGTTGGCAAAGAAGTTGTCCAACAGTGACTCGTTGAAATCACTCGGCGCGCTGGGCTTTCTGGGAGGAGGAATGGCCGCGAAGGACTGGTTGGAAGCAGAGCCCATTATTCCTGGTGTTTGCGGTAGGGGTGTTTGGAAATTGTGGCGTGAGAAGGACTGGGATTTAGGTCGTTTAGCTTTCGGCTCCCCTCCTCTCTCTCCTCCGCCAGTGGTATCGGTGCGGATCATGGGACTGTTTACAGAATTTTTAACGTTAAAGCCGACATTGCTGCCATTGCTGCTCCCCGACATACTAATCGGACTGCCGCCGTCCCAAACTTTATTATCTATGATCCCCAGCATACTGCGAACGCACTGGAGGTCCATAGGCTGACTGTCAAAAGCCATATTGACCGGTGGTCTAGATCCCATCCCATGGTGAGAAAGCAAACCGAGCGATGAAAGATCACCAGCAGACATCAACTCTACGCCACCAGAAAACTGGCTATGTTGCTGCTGCTGGTGCTGCTGTTGCTGCATACCTAGATGGGCAATGGAATCAATGGCAGACATCACCCGGCCCTGTCCAGCTTGTTGGAAAGGCATCTGTGCCATTCCGGGACTGCTGTTAGGCGCAGCCGACGCTGTGCCGCGCTTGACGAGCGAAGTGGAACGCACAGGCAGAGGCATCTTGATCATGCCGGGCATTGTAGCTGGGATGGTGTTGCAATTTAGCAGGGTATTTGGGTGCTTGATTAAGGTGTTGGTGGTCGGCGGTTGGTTGGGGCTATCTATCGTGGGCTTGTTTTGCGTGTTGGGGCTGTGGTATTGCTTGGTGTACTTGACGTGGAGGTTTTCCGAACTGGGCCCGTCAGAGGTTACCTTGTATTCGTTCACAACCGCCAGCCGGCGACGGATAAAGGATCCTGTGTCGTCGAAACCATACGTACCGCCGGTTTCCTCCTCGACTGTCTCGGCTTGCTCCTTGCGCTTCTATGTATAAAAAATGTCAAGTTATAATAATTTAGTAATTTACCGTGGTTTTTGGTGTTATTACAATCTGGCTAAGCACAAAAAAACAAAACGGTCGCTTTGGGTATAAACACATAATCATTATTGAGCGCCTTTACTTACTCTTGATTCGTTTGTCAAAAACTGCTTGTTGAGGTACCGAGCAAATAAATCCTCTGGTGCGCCAGAAGACGCATAGACATGGCTAGCGTTTTTGGCGTCAAAGATGACAATGGCTACTTTGACTCCGCAAAGAACGCTCAGTTCGTGGGCCTTTTTAATCAGTCCGGCGCGGCGTCGAGCAAAAGTCACAGTCCGTTGGCGCGAGTTTTCAATCTCGCTGATCTAAACATCAAAAAATAAAGAGATATTTTCAGATTATTAATACACAATGTATGCGGTATTCAATATATGATTATTTTGATATTCAATACGTTATTTACAATGCCGTGAACTTACGCTGATCTTTTTTCTGCCCATATTCTTTTTTATATAGAGAATATCGCTCGGATATTTTGCTTGAGAACTGTTATGTCAGGTGTATGTATATAGTATTTTCTGTATTGTTTTAGACAGGTAAAAATTGAACAAATAATAAGAATCGCAAGACTAGTAAAAGTAATGTCGAAAAAGCAAGACCGAACACCAACTATAATAATAATAATAAAAACCAAACTAACAAGCTAACAAACAAACAAACCATACAAGAAGAAAGATTCGAGAACAAAAATATAATAAAAAACACGGTTTGTCTTGCGACTGACAAATATTTGTAAACTATCCAACAATTATTTTGTCTCCTCTCTATGCCTTTTCATTTTTGCATGTTTGGCAACATTCCGTAGCTAAAATGTGCGGAGAAGCATCAAAATGAAGTGCGGAGAGAAAAAGTAACTTGATGTTGTTGGTGATGATGAAAGTAAAAGGTTTTCCTTAACTGCTTTTCTTTATAAAAGAAAAATAGAGAGGAAATAAAGAGCAAGCTCAAAGATCGGGGGAACCTTACAAAATAATGTAGGGGGTGAAAATAATACAAAAGAACCAAAAGAATGTTGGTCTTTGTTGTAACTGATATCCTCACTTTATGATTGTATTGTATAACAAACATTTTGAAGGCGTGTGGAGTATAAATAAAGTGAGGAAGATATAGTCATGGATGAGAAGTAATACACTTTTAAAGTGCTTATTTTTGAGCTGCTTTCGTGAAAATGGCCAAAATAGCAGTGCATCCTGTATATGTTAAAAATAGCTATAGCCAATATACTTTGTACTGCTTAGCTACTCAAGCTCAAATTGCTTGATTTTTTGTTTGTTTGTTTGATTTTTCCAGGTTGAATTGAGTGCAAATGTGCGTAGATGTATGCAGGGGAGGAGGAAAAGAAAACGATAATAGTTAGAAGAGTAACAGCCTGGTCATTATTTTTAATATTCAAATGCCATTCTATTTGGCAATAAATGAAAACAGTTAAAAACAAATAGATATCAAGCTATACCCATGGCTCGCCGTCATCCATGTTGGCATTAGAATCTGGGTTCTGGTCCTCTTCCAGGGCAAGCTGCAAGCCGCCCAATTTCTCCTGCAAAACCCTTGTAGCCTTAATAACCACGGCCTGCGGGTCAAGACAGCCGACGGTCTCGACATTAAAATAAAAGATAGTCGGCTCCGCCTTAAAGTCAAATGGCGCCTCTGGATCAACCTCCACCTCCTCCTCCGCATTCTTACTCAGCGGCCACTCATCCTTGATATTCTTCTCGAACCAATAATCAAGGTGCCTAAAGTTGTTATGCGGGTCGTATTCGAACCCAACAGCCGCACAAGGCGACCACTTGGCGTGCTCCTTGGCCACGCCCTTCTTGGCAATACAGTGGATGTTTATTTCCTGGCCCTTGCGCATCTTTATAATGATGATGCCTCGGGGGTCTTCGCTGTCCACCACGGGGACTACGTCTTTGTTGCTGCTGATAAGATCTGTGCTGTAAATCGAGCGCGTGCCGCCCTCGGTGCACTTTACGTGGAGGCTGAATTCGACTGAGCATTCTTTGCAGTAGTTTGCGCACGTGCAGTCCCGGGTGTACTTGAACTGGTCAACAGTGTGGCTGGTCAGGGGGATCATGCCTAGCCGGTGCGCAATGTATTCGTCGGCAAGAACTGATGTGTTTTCAATAAACTCGACAAGGTCAATGGCCATGGTGGGCACCTCAGCGATCATTGTCCGTCTCAGCGAGTTGGCGACACTATGTTTTTTAAATGAAATGAATAGCAGTAGAAGCAGCCATGTTTTTTTTAAGTCAACGTTTGTTTTTGTGAGCGGCTGGCTTTAGTTGGTCAGCTTTTGTGTTTGCTTGCTTCGTCTTCCTCTTTGGTGCTTTTTGTTTCTTTTTTTACCTGAGATGTGTGTTTGACAGGACAAAGTCAATCGAGTTTTTGTCCAAACTGCGAATGCGAATCTGCGGGTTGGTGGGATCACTGACATGTGCGCTGCCGTCCATTTTTCGAAATACTTTGGAAAAATAATAATAATAAATATATGCTTGTAGTGAAAAATAAAAATAAAATAGAAATGCGATTCGTCTAAACAAATGACCAAAGAATTGTGTAAAAAAAAGTAAACGCGTCCAATTGAAATGTGAACAAGTTAAAAGTATACAAAAAAGCACACTCTGGGCTTACGTCTGACAAAATCAGACCAACACGCATGATCGATTGATTGGGATCAAGAGCGATATTAAATATTTTAAAAAAAAACCAGATATCAAGCATACAGAAAAAGAAAGAAAAATGATACAATCGTAACTCTGACGCGCGTGCACACATGTAGAAAAAAATAAAAGCCTCATATTGCAGGCAATGTATTACTGCCAGTAAAAACAGGCAAAACGCGCAGTACGAGTAGTGGCCAGAACAATTTCTTACCTTCTTTTTTGTTCCATAAATGGGGTATAAACTATTACTTTTCGTGCTGCTCACAACCAAAAAAAACAATAAAAAACACAAGAGCGTATTTTTGTCGAGGTTGTGAGCGAGACATTATCTAGTTTATTTTTAAAGGAATATTAAAACATTCAATAAACTGTTAATCATATATTATACATCATGCGAGCAGCATTACGTGTATTGCTAATAGCTCTGTTAATATCACCATGTCTGGCAGAGCAGCCGCGCGGACGGCTGCTTGTGTTTGGCGATGATCTGGGCGACACAGGAAACTTGCGAAAGCTGACAAACAACAGCAGCATCGGGTACAGCGGCGGGCGACTAACGAACGGGCCGGTGTTCGCAGAATACATGGCAACAATGCTGAACAAGCAGCTCAGCAGTTTCGCCTACGCTCAGTCTGCTATCGACGACACATGGTTGAGTCCCGAGGCGGACGGCCACCAGGTGCCCAGCCTCGACGACCAAATCGTCAAATTTGCCGATGCCGAGCGCGACTGGATTAGACGCAAGTCAGAGCCACGGAACAGTATTGTGGTAATAAGTGCTGGAGCGAGTGATGTGCTGCGCCAAAAAGAGCCCCTCAGTGCGCTCAACATGGAGCTTTCGCAGAAGCTGGTTAAGGGCGTGTTTCGGCAGATAGATAGGGTGCAGAAACTGGGGTTTGACAGCATTGTTGTGGCAAATTTGCCTGCGCTGTATGCATTGCCGCGGTGGCAGGTGTCGGCGTCGGTGGATACTTTGCGCAGCTTCGTTCGGGCCACCAACACCCTGTTTCGCGAGCGGCTCGTGGACAGGGGCGGGGGCAGCGCCAGTTTGCGGCTGTGGCTCTTGGACGTGGAGGACTTCCAGCTGGTCACGGCAAACGCTACGTTTGCTAGGTCCATCGGGGCCAGGAACACCAGCGGTGCATGTATCACTGCGGCGGGGAGTTGCAAGGACCCTGCGGATTTTGTGTTTTATGATGATGTGCATATGGATATGCGGCTGCACCATCTGCTGGGCCTGGCTGCTGCCACGATGGTGCAGGGCGGCGATGTGCAGTACGATGCCACTTATTTCGGACAGCTGGCCAAGGAGTATGACATTGGCGTGCTGTACCATACGACTGCCACGATGTTTGACGATTCGAGCACAGGGCCAGATGGCATGGCGGCAACGGCGGCGGCAGCGGCGGCGACTGACCCTTTGCTCACAGTCACATCGAGCTCTGTGGCCAATTGCTCGCTGACAGTCATGTGCACATCGGTGACTCAGTCATCGGTTGTGCTGGAGCAGCGGCTGCAATCCAACAGTCAGGGGATGATGGGGTTTGGCTTCGCAGGAATTTGGTGGCAGCAGGCATATATTTGTATTGCTTGGTTGCTGGTGTTTATGTAACGAGTTTTGTTGCTTTTCGCTAGATTCACTTTTTTTATTATTCTGCTTGAGTGGCGGTTGATTTGTCAATAGAAGGAATCTGTCGAGTATTGATTACTATTTTACACTTTGTGTGTATTGAAAAAGCACATGTTAATCTATACTACAGTAAATTGCTTGCTTGCTCACAAAAACATATTGGTTCTGTAAAGCCACATCTTAACAAACCTCTGTATGTCCGCGCGCTACAAGGCAACACTGTCAAATACGAGTGTACATTGCTGCTTCTTTTTCTTTTGGTCAATGAGTGATGCTACTACTATAATATATATATTTTTTACCGAGGTTGTCGCGTGGGACATACATACATACCTGCAGACAAGCTTTTTTTGCCAAAGAATGATTTTATAATTGCGCGTGCATGTTTTTCTATTTATAATAAATAACCAGGCGTGAATGTTGTGCAGCCCGATCATCCCGCCATTACAATTTTCTTTTTTGCCCCAATGGGCGATCTTACGCAACAAGCAGCAAACAAAAACATGCAAGATAACGAACGCGTTTTTACAAAAACAAAACAAAACGACACTAACAAAAAACAATAAGTGATCATAGGAGGAACAGAGTGATCTAAAACAGACCAAGAAAAAAGCTCACTCGAAGAAACTTGCGTGTTTTCCGTGAATACATAGTGACGCTTTTGAACTGAACGCTCCAGTTATCCATTCGAGGGGATGTGAAGAAAAAAGTCAGACGTCTTTTCACAATGACTTGTGATATTGTGTGTATGACAGAAGCAATACTTTATTGAAACAACAGTCGTAGGAAATAAAAGAACCCAGGTGGATGGAAAAGAAGAAGAAAAGGGAACTGGGCGCAGTCGTTTGAGTTTTAATTTTTTTGGTACTGTTCAGATATCCGCAGCCATGGTTGTAAGATAAAATAAATTTAAGCTCGAGAAGCAATTTGGAAATATGCAAAAGAAATGAGATGCAGTAACACTATTTTCTAATAAGACCCCCTTTTCTCCTTGAGCTTGTCAGCTTAGTGGTTATCGGGAACCATTTACCCTGCTTCAAGCAGGCATACTAAAGAAAAAAGAGAAAAGGAAAAAGAGAGGCAAGGTGGCCGAGTGGGATAGAAAGCTCTATCCATACCCAAATAAAAAACAAGCAAAAAAAGAGGTGAGAGGGTTTGGGGGAGGGGAGGGGAGGGGAGGGAGGCAGACTTTAACAAATGACTGGAAGACAAGCCAGAATTTTTTATCCTTTGGCTTCTTTTATTCTTTCTTTTTTATCAAGCGAGACTTCAAAGTGTCATTCATTATAAATGAAAAAGCAGAGTATGAAACCCATTTTGCTTCAAGGTTAAAGCTTGCTTGGGTAGAAGGCGTTATTCTTTTGCCTTTTTGTTGCGCCTGCTCAAGAGAATTTTAATGTGAGTTGTGAAAGAGATTGAGAAGAATATAAAGGTGGAGAAGGGGAATGAAAAAGCAAAAAAAAACATAAATTGGCTGTGCTTTTATTTTTTTACAATCCAATCCACAAACTGACTGCGCCTTTTTTTTTCTCCACTTGGTTTATTTTTATTTTATACTTTTTCCCCTCTGGATAACCACTTTTTAAATAATAATAAACCGCACTGTCGCTGTTTTCAGCTCTCACTCACTTTTTCTGGCCTGTGCTGTCTATCGCATTTTTTGCTTTTTCGTTACACTCGAATACGATAAACCTTGGAGGGACCTTCTCTTTCTTTTTTCTCTCTTTTATTCCCCCTCCCCCCTTTTTATCCCCAACCGACTTTATACCTTTATATATTTTTTTCTTCGCAATTTGAATCTTTACAAGACACAAGAGCGAAATCAGCAACCTCACAGCTTTAGAGCAAAAAAATAAAACCACACGGAGGGCACAGGGATACATTTTTATATACTTCTTATCACAACTTATAACTTCCCCTTTTTTTCTCACATTATTATTTTCTTTTTTGTTAAAAAAAATTACCGAGAGGTTCCAAGATCTAATGAATTTCTCATTTGCATCTGCGCCAACCACACCATTCATAGCGCAGACAGACGGGCGCTCTACTCTCGGGTCCCACCTTCTACCACCACAGACAGCCTCAGGTATTTCAGGCTCAATAAGTGCAGGAGTATCGGGTTCCTGTGCAACCGACCCACTAAACGATATCGGGTCGCCGATTAGTATGCCTTATTTGCAGTTCGCTATACACAACAGTCCGTTTTTCATGAGTGATTCGGGGCTCGGTACCATGGGATCACCGACTTCGGCAGCTCTGGGGCTGCCGCCGAAAAGGTCGCAGCATCCGCAGCCACAGCAGCAACAAGAGCACCAATATCCGCAGCAGCAGCTTCCAGTGATTGTGACTACTTCGCCATCATCGGTGGCTATGTCCGCGTTGGCGCTGGCATCCAGTGGCGCAGCACGAGCCAACCCAGGATTGTCTCCAGGAATCAACAATATCAGGGACGTTCTGTTGGCGCAGAGCGAAGCAGACGGGCCGCTCCCAGGGTTCTTGCGGCCATCGGACGTGTTCACTACGCCAGAGAACCGCAATCTTCCGGATCCGCCGTCGGCACAACGGACGCCGGACCTGGCGCTCTTCGAGGACGCCGACAGTTTTGGGTTTTCAGCGTCCACCTCGGCAGCCATTACGCGGGTGCTCAGCCCGCGCACGCAAACAGCGCAGGCGGGACTCTCACTGCTGGCAGCGTCGGCGACGTACGCGCACAGCAATTCGGATTTGACCCAGCGTATGGGGTCGGCGACGCCGCTGATGGAGGCAATGGGGTCGCCGTTTTTGAACGAGGGCGCGGTGAATGCCACGCTGATGTCGCAGCCGCAGAACAGCCTGGCACAGCACTTGTCGCCGCCAATTATGGACCGCGGGGGGATGCTCGGCCAGGGCGCGGTGCAGCTGGTGGGGGGTGCTGGGAGGCTGACGAGGAACCGGAGCTTGTTAAGGCAGTCTTCGGGATTGACCAGTGCGAGTTTTTATAATGATTTGGTGCCGCAAGCGACGGAGTCGTTTTTTGCTCCATTGGATGAGGTGTGCTCGGATGCGGATCAGCATTTTCAGTCGCAGGGGTTTTCGAGTCTGGATGGTCGTGGCGGGTCTGTGCATCAGATGGCGTTGCCGATGCAGACGTCGATGCAGCAGCAGCTGCCGATGCAGCGTCAGCAGACGGCGGCTTCGGGGGTTATTGTGCCTGGGTCGGCGCCGCGTATGGGTTCGCAGTTCTCGCCGGTTATCAATATTTCCAGCCAGCGGTTCCAGTACCAGTCTCAGCAGCAACAGCAGCAACAACAGCAACAACAGCACCAGCAGAAACAGTGGATGCAGAGCCCACCACCGAATTTATCCGACTACAACAATAGCAGCAGCAACAGCTTCAACCGGCAACAACAGCAGCAGTCTCAGCAGCAGTCCCAGTACAACAACAACAGCAGCACTACGGGACCAGCCAACTCATCGTCTTCACAATTCCTCATGCCTCCTCTTCCCCCTTCTCAGCCGTCTACCGTACAGCCACGGCACTTGGGCAATCCAAACAACAAAGCGCCAGGGATAATATTTTCACAAATGCCCTCTCTGACCACAGGCACTAATACCCATCCAGCACCATCATCATCCACATCAGCAGTAGCAGCAGCAGCAGCGGCGACACTCTCAGTGTTATCAACCGAAGACACCCGTCACTACAGCAGCGAATCACATGGGAGCGAAAGTATGTCACCATCACAGCAGGATGATGACGACGACGACACAATGGACGGCGACAATAGCCTCAGTAGTAAGCGGAGACGCACCGGGACACCACATAAAAGAGACCAACAGCGGCGATTCGACTGCGATGTCTGTAATCGGTCGTTTGCCAGACAGTATAATTTGAAAACCCACAGGTTAACGCATTTTCCAAATATCCATGCGTCGAGACCTTTTAATTGCCCCCATTGCACAAAGGCGTTTACAAGAAAACATGATTTGCAGAGACATTCGGTCTTGCATGAGAGGAAGGATAAACATACTTGTATGGCTTGTCAGAGAGGGTTTCCAAGGAAGGACGCGTTGAAAAAACATTTGGAGACTGAAAAGTGCTGTCAGCCAGTATGAATCAAAACACCAGTTTATTTTTTGTTACATTCTCATATTTCTTCATTGATATTTACTTGCATTTTTCACATTTCGAAATTGAAAAAATTATTTTCAGATTTTTTCAATTCTTAGTAAACAGCCAACGCAGTAACAAAAAAATGAGGTTTTCATTTTCAAGTGATTTATCTACGCCCTGTGTGGGGGTCGAACCCACGACATTTCGGTTAAAAGCCGAACGCTCTAAACCAACTGAGCTAACAAGGCGAATTACTTAAGCTAGCACTTCTATCTTAAAATGAGTGCCAAGTAGCCGGGTTGATCGTGCGGCATTTCATTGTAGCAAAAAACAAAAGATATTACAAAGTCATTTCTTTTCTTTCTTAGGTTCGTAAGGTAAGCAATAGTGTGAAATTTAATAAAATAAAAAACAAGATATATAAAATGCAATTAACATAAAAACTACTAAAAATGGAAAAGAGGAAAAGTAAATAAATTGGTTTCGAGTGTCCATGGCTTTTTTGGCCTTGGCTTAATTTTGTTGGGTTGGGGGGGGGGATGAAAATATCAAAATAAATTTTTTCCTTTTTCCACTGAAAAAAGGCACCAATAAACGATCAGAAAATGTCATTAAATCTTTTTTCTTCTCAGTTCATGGTTGCATCTCCTTCCACATGAACGGCAGAATGACGCCAGACGCGACATAAAGCGTGTACAGTGCAGAATACATGCGGAAAAGCAAATTGCCTCCGGCATATGCACTGGACGCACCCGAAACACGCAGCCAAACAGCAACAATAGCGACGCTAAAGAAGTGAAACACCAGGAGAATCGGGCTGGGCATTAATCCGGACAAAAAGCCGGACGGGTGCATGGTGTAGTGGGATCCCCAAGAGAGGTACATGAAGCAGGCTTCGCGCAAGAGACCGAGCTCCTTAGTCTCAGCAGCAAATAGCGCATGGAGGGCGACAGAGAGGGTGTTGATGACGAGGGCGCGTGGGCGGCGCTGCCAGTACCATTGGGCCTTGATGCGGCGCAAGGTGGCGGGGTCCTTGGGCGAATTGCGGAGAAGGTCAGTGAGCAGAACGACGTCCCAGAGTCCAATGGTCATGCCGCCGCCGGTCAATGGATGGCGCACGTTGAGGGCGTCACCGATCCACACGGCGCCGTCAACGTGGTTGGCCGTGGCCGGGATGAATTTGCTGCCAATACAGCGGATGCGCTTTGCCTGCTCCAGCGTGTCCATCAGCAGCCGGTGCAGCCCTGGGTAGAGCGCAGCGGGCGCCGCGCGGCTCAGCGAGTCGCGCAGAACCGAGCGCAGCTGCCCGCTGGCTTCCGACGGCAATGCACCGCCGGGAATATCCGCCAATACGCGGGTCTCGCGCTCAGACATTTGGTACAAAAGCACCGGACCAATGCCGTCCAAAAGCACGTGGCCATTGTGCGGCATCGGCAGCGGATTGGCCGCAGGACTGTGTGGCTGTGCAAAGTGCGTGGTTGCACCGGCTGCGCCCGTGAAAAACTCTGCGGAGGCGATGGGCTCATGCTCGAGGACAAAACCGCAAAAGTGCGAGATTAGAGTAACCGGCTCGGGGTTGAGCACCTTGCGGAACTGCGACGTGATGCCGTCGCACACCATTGTCAGCCGCGCGGCCACAGCGGCGCCCTTTTCGTCGCCCGAGTCGCCCGAGTCGCCCGAGTCGCGAGCTGGGCCGATACGCACGCCGCGTACATCCGTTATTTCGCCACCACTGCCGAACCCAGCGGCGTCCAGCGCAGTGACCGATGCCTCGAGGCACGTGATGTTAGCCTGTGCCTTGCATGCGGCGCGGATATTCATGACCAGGCGGCCATGGTGGAAACTCACGCCGCGGAAGCGGTCTCCGCCACCAGGCTTGTTAATATACGGCACGTGCATATGTTTGCCCTTATACGCGATATAGTAGCCGTGCACGGGCACCGCGTCGATGCCGCTGAAGGCCATGCCAAGCCCCAGCGCGGACATTGCCTGGCAGCCGGCAGGCTGCATGAGCTCGCCAACGATGCGATCCGGCTCGTTCCAGTTTTTCTCAATGATCAGTATGCTGCTCTGCGGCTCGTTGAGGGCCAGCCGGTATGCTAGTGCTGCGCCGATGGGCCCGGCGCCGATGACAATGTAGTCGTAGGATGCGCGGATACTGGCGATATTGTCGAACGTGGTTATTTCCTTGCGGCTAGTGTATAGGTGCGCGTACTCGTAGTGTCCGTGCGTTGGCCAGTCGATGTTTTCGTCCAGCTGTGGAGTGTGAATTGCATCTGAAACGGCCATTTCAAAAAAGGAATGGCTGTGTGGGAATCGCTTTTGTGAAATAAAATAATACAAGTAAATAAAAAGTGTATGAATAATAAAAAAGGCACTAAAATAACAAAAAACAGTTAACAAGGATAAAAAGAAAAGATGAGATGGAGGAAAGAGTGAGAAAAAAAGGATCTTGACGTTGTCTCTCCTCTCTGGCTTGTTCTATTTATTGAGAACAATGAGAAAAAACTTTGGGAGGAAGGTGAAATAAAGGATGGGTTGGATTTAACGCCAAGCTAATAAAAGGAAAAAACACGCATTAAAATCACCCTTCTCATTTCCTAATTCTTCAGTCTACAGTCTTAACACAAAAATGGTCTGATAAAAAATCATTAAAAAAAGTGACTGCATGCAAACGAGTGTGAGTGGTGTGGTGAGAATCACCACATAAGCTCAGCTGAGCCTAGAGCTCGCGAGCTAAGTCAATGCTGAGCGCGCATTGATGCAGTAGCGGTTGAGATAGCATTCAGGCATTATAGCTGCCTATAAAATGACCAGGGAAGACTCAATAGGAGGTTTCCTCAGCTTTTTTTTAAGAAATATCTATCGGACCCATCATTTTTGGCGATTACTACAAGTGGGCTGATTATCCATTTTCTTTCTTTCTTTTTTTAGTCAAGTAAACAGATCAGCCTCACATGGTTGTGAGCTGACCAAAAAAAAGAAAAAAGAAAAAAAGACCGACCAAAAAGATGAAACAGCTTTATTCATGGAAATCATTTTCTACCAAACAAGAATAGAAAAGAAATAAACGAGTATATTTTCAATGCCTTTTTCCCTCTTTCTCTTCCTCGTCTTAGGCGTAACATTTACTTGTAAAAAAAGCAAATGTATTTAAATATATATAAAAGTGTGAATTAACCATAAATAAAAAAACGACAAAATACATGTTTTTTACTTTGAGGAGACCAATACAAAGTTATCGCTTAAAGTCCTCCGAGTAAACGCGCTCAAGCTGTGCCCCAGCAGCAGCATCAGCAACATTCACCTGATGCGCACCCTCGACGCCCATACTATCAATGTCGACAGCATGACCCTGGGCACCAAACGCATCGATATCCTCAGGACTCGCGCTTCCGCTCTTCTCCAAATTGTGACTGAAACTGCCAGCCTCAATATCTATCAGCTCAGTTGGTGGAGCCATACCGACACCTGCCGCCAAGTAAAGAGCCAGCGGATCAAACGGCGTGCCATCAGGCAAAAGGCCCAATTCCATCCTGCGTCTCTGACACAGCTCATCAGAGTCCGCGTTCTTATGCCGACCGACCTCCACAGGAAACTCAATCTTAAGCAACCGGCCCTTCCTCGTAACATGCCAATACCAGAACCATGCGACAGTGTACCAGGCGCCCGGGGCAATATACCAAGCGAGCAGAACATCGATGGTGTAGTGGGCGCGATTGGCGATGACAATCAGAGATCCTGCAAGGCACAGTGCCCAGGCGAACGCCGTGAGCAGGCGGCCGATCCAGTTGCGCGGCGCAAACGATGACCAGACCATTGCGCAGATGACAAAGATTAGCGTGTGGCCGGAGTAAATAGCGTCGCCGCAGCGGTGCATAGTGAAGGTGGTGAAGACATTACCGACGACGTATTCGCACATGGGTCGCGGGTCCGGCACCGAGGTGATCGCCACCGTGGTGATTCTGATCAAGGACGCCAGTCCCCAGGCGAGCAGCAGCCGGGAAACCACGCGCCAAGGCCGCTCATGGAAAATAACCAGCGCCGCCGTTGGGATAAACATTAGTGCGTCGAACATGTCGGTCATCCATAGTTTATCGATATACCCGATGAATTCAAAAAAAACATCGGGGAGGGTGAGCCGGAAGCCGAGCTGGTCTTCGATACGACGACTTCGCTGGGATGCCACGTTGGCCATGATGTTCATGAAGTAGTATGAGATTCCAAAGAGTATCACTGTGGTGACAAGGAAGATTATGCACGTGCGGTCGAGCCACCAGTTGCGCCGAATGCGTTGCCAGAGAAAGCTTTTTGCTTTGAGGCCATGTCCTCGCAGCCTCTGCACAGCCACTGTTGGCTGCATCTTTTAGAGAAAAAAAAGGAAAGGAAAGGAGGAGAAGAGGAGAAGGGATGGGGAGACGGAGGTTGGGCTGTGAACTTAAGATATATTAGGTAAGAGGTTTAAAAAATAAAATAAAATAAACAATTAAATGATATATATAGAAACCTTGAAACTATTAAAAATTATCGAGGAAAATGTAAAAAAAAGAAAGAAAAAGAAGGAAAGAGAAAGAAAACGAAAGTAAAAAAGACAAGGGATAAGTATCTGGCAGACAAGTATGCTTGGCAACAATTACTCGCAAAAAAAATCATTCTCACATTGTTACTTTTTTTTGTTACGCCCTTCTTCCACTTTGTTTCTTGATTTTTTTCCTCAACCTTTTTTTTATTTTGGTTGTCAAAATAAGAATACCTTGTTTTGTTCTTATTTCAATACCCAAGTCTGTTCCACACATGGACCAAAAAATAGAGTGAAAAAAGCACAATAAAGCCAACGTAAACAACAAGAAAATCCACAAAATTTGAAAAACAAAATGCATACATGCTCTACACAATAAACCTGTTTCTCAGCCCTCATGCAAGATCTACACTATAACCACATTATAAAAAAGAATTGCAATATTTTATTGCGAGGTTTTATTTTAACGAGATGTTGGTAATACTGAAATACTGAAATAATCCCAAGTTCCAGAATCAATTATCTCGCTCACAATTGGTCTTACCTTGGAAAAATAAAAGTCTGGCCTACCGTTGTATTGGTAAATATAAAAAATGTGAAATTTAATTCATTGGAAAAATGATTACAGTTGACTCCAGAATTCAGGATACAAGAACTGCCAATCGGGCAATAAGCAAAAAAAACAATAATTGCAGATGCAACGCAAACCGCAGTAGGCCATAACCCCCCAACCTTTTGTTCAAACAGCCACAGACGGCAGAGCCAAGCCAACAGCCGGCCCGATTAAGCTGATCCACGCAGCCAAGTACTCTGCCGTGCCCACGCTTACTCCATCCCGCGGTGATACCACGGCGCCAAGCATCGTGGCTGTATGGCACGGGTGCAGCCACATAAAGGGTGTGCCGAGCTCAGGGTGATCCTGGATGCCCAGCGCGCCACCAAAGTCCACTGCCCTTATGGCCCCGCGCACTTCGCGGTCGCTAACCAAAAGCCGGGTGACCTCGGAAGTGCTCAGCACCATGGCGCCGTTATGCGTGGCCCGGAGGTACATTGTGGGCACGCGCCAAGTGGCCGAGTACACGATGTGGTAGGCAATGTGGCCTGTGGGGCCGAGGGACTGCGCTGTGAGAGGTGAGGGACAGGGGTCAGCGTCTTCAATGTCTTCAATATCACCTGCGTCACTTTCGTTGCCTCTGTCTTCTATGTCGCTTTGGTCATTGTTGACGATATTGGGTGTGCGTGGGTGGCTGCGCAATGTCGTTGTTATTTGCAGGTATGGTGTCGTGACGCCTGGTACTATGCGCACGCTGGCTGGGTTGGCCAAAGAAGAAGACGATGATGATATTGCTGTTTCTGATACTGCTGCCATTGCGCTGCCGTAGCGAGCCACAAATTGGTTCATGCAGATGACAAACTCCTTCTTTGTCAGATGCGGATAGTCGGCAATATCCTCTACAGTCATTTTGTCCGTCTATTGCCAAATATAGTAATGAAAATGAAAAGCTGTTTTTCTGACCAAGTCCAATTAAATAAATATGTATTTGTATACCCGTTTAGATTAAATAAAAAACACCAGAACCTAATAGACAGAAGCAGTAGAAGGCTGATGAAAACAAAACGAAAAAAATAAGAAAGAGAAAGAAAAAAAGGTCACGATTTCGATTCTTGAATAGAGGAAAGACATTTTTTATTCTGAAAAGATAAAGTCAACCAGCTTCTTGTACGCAGCATCGACATCATCATTAACAATCTTAATATCGCAAGCGCCAGGCGAATCGCCGTACTCCAGCTCACCTCTGGCAGCCTCCAGTCTCTTCAGAATGCTCTTTTCGTCATCCGTGCCCCTGCCCCTCAACCTGGCCTCCAGCTCCTCCCTCGACGGCGGCGCAATAAACACAAACCTCGCTCCCAAATTCGTCTCCTTAACAGACTTTACGCCCTGCACGTCAATATCCAAAATGCAAACTTTTCCAGCATCTGCCACATCCTTGACCGCCTGCACTGTTGTCCCATACATGTTGCCGGAGAACTCAGCATGCTCGATGAACTCGTTGCGGTCGATTGCTGCGAGGAACTCGGGTCGCGTTAGAAAGTGGTAGTCCTTGCCTGGCGTTTCGCCGGCGCGCGGGTTGCGCGTCGTGTTGGAGATGCTGAAACCAAAGGTGGCCGGGTAGTCGGAAAAGAGCCGCTTGAGGAGTGTGCTTTTGCCAGTACCTGAGGGTCCAAAGACGACCACTGGTCTTTTGGTTGCGGAAGTGCTGGTAGTGGTGGTGTTGGACATTGGCCGGAGATTGCGAGGCTGTAATGTGTGTTTGGTCAATTTCGATACAAAAAGGCTGGCAAAAGACATGAAAGGAAAAAAGAAGAAAAGTGAGAAAAGGAGGGAGAATGTGATGATTGGAAGCCTCAGAGACCAGCGCAACTGCAACGTGTACTGGTGTGCTGCTTTGCATGAAATTTCATAAATATTTTGAAATTTGAATTGCATGCAATTCGCGCCACGAAAATAATAACAAAAACCATACATCCGCTTTGACAAGAAAACAAGTCTCCTCTCGCCATTGGTTGATCACATCTTGATCGCAGATCAAGCCACTGGAAAGCGAGTGTGCAATCGCAAGCCTATTATTCCCTCAGGACAACAAAAAGAGTATTGAAAAATCAATTTAAAGCTTGGGGTGTGAGAAATTGGAGTATTTCGCTCTGCCTATTTTTTGTGAGAGAGGGCCCATGATCACCGCTGCCAGCACAGCCATATACTGGGATTCATCCTTTCATTCCCCATCTGGAGCCTAAAATAATTTTTTTGTGTATGTATCAAAAATGGACAACCCCCTTTTGAACGGGTAAACGGTTCCTGGAACGAAAGAGAAAGAGAAAGAGATAGAGAGAGAAAGGATCCGTTGGACACGGGTATCAATGGATTCGAACAGTGAGAGTAGTAATGCGCGATGGATTCACACGGACTAGACGACAGAGAGAGAGCATCCATCTTGGTTTGTTTTGGTTTGGCAGCAGAGGACAGATACGTGTAATTTTTCCTGGAGATAAGACGAGACATTCAAATTTGGAATTCGAAATTTACATCTCAATTCGCAGTTTTTACTTTGAGCGGCTGAGTGCGCTATTGCTGCTACCAACATTGGTTTTTCTTCAAAGACATACGTGTTTGGTAGCCAATGTCTTGGCGTGCTCAGAGAGTGTAATCCAGACTTGTCTTTTTTCCATTTGCCTCTGCTGGCACAAATCGCAAAGACTGAAGCTTGGAATCTATTGTATGGGCGCAGCAGAGAAAGTTTTAAATTGGGAGCCATGAGACAGCTTGCAACGACAGCAGCAGCAATATTTTGACAGCGGCAGCAGAGACATTGCTATTGACGAATTCCACACTGTTTGGATCCCGGCTTGTTGGTTTTTGTTTTTTTCTGGATTGTCTCGAGGGACGCAGCAGACACACACGTTTGAATTGGCAGCGGTCTGTTTACTTTTAGCCAGACAGCCAGGCAGTATACAGAAGATAGCTCTTCTTTTTTGACCTCTCATTCAACTCTTTCTTTTTTTGAATCCGGGCGCTACTCTCACTTGCGCTTCTATTTTCCTTGCTCTTGTTTGTGTCTTATTGACTGCTTTTGATTCTCGGCATTTGGCTAACCACCGCGCTATCTCTTTCTTTTGTTTTTGTCTGTTTACACCCCTTTTCAGATTTAGGAATATCTCACAGTACTTAAAGATGGCCACCACCCACATTCTGAAGCGCGAGGGCGTCCTCCCCACTGAGGCTGAGCTCCTGGTCGACCGTGCCCTCCAGGATCTCGAGGCTCACTCTCCCGAGCTGAAGAAGGACCTGCGTCCCATCCAGATCACATCGGTCAAGGAGATCGAGGTTTCGGCCGGCCGCAAGGCGATCGTCATCTTTGTCCCTGTGCCCCTGCTCAAGGCCGTGCACAAGGTCCAGCAGCGTGTGACCCGCGAGCTCGAGAAGAAGTTCTCTGACCGCCAGGTGCTTTTCATTGCCCAGCGTCGCATCATCAAGAAGCCCGCCCGCGTCAACCGCGCCAAGCAGCCCCGCCCCATGTCGCGCACTCTGGCCGTTGTCCACGACCGGATCCTCGACGACCTGGTCTACCCCACCGAGATCGTCGGCAAGCGCACCCGCGTTAAGGTCGATGGCTCCAAGACCATCAAGGTCTTCCTGGACTCCAAGGATGCCACCAGCCTCGAGTACAAGCTCGACACCTTCTCGGCTGTCTACAAGCGTCTGACCGGCAAGGATGTTGCTTTCGAGTTCCCCGCTGAGCAGGCTTTCTAAGTTTTTTTATATTCCCCATATATAAGAGAATGATTTTATCCTATTTTTGCGACAGTTTGTTCTGTGAGTGATGGTGAATTGGGTTGTGTTGAATGCATTGCGCGCCTCCACTGCGATATGGACATGCGATATGTGCTGCGCAGCAATACATCATTTATTGTTTTGTCAACCAGGCTTGCATGTCAAAAAAATATGGCTTGTGCCAAAGTGTAACACTCAAAAGTGGTATTTAAAGGCAGCACAAAGCGGCTGGGCTCATTCGTTACAAAGCCCGTATTTTTGTTCTTCTGCTTCCTTCTGCAAGAGCACAAACCAGCCTTGCCGGCCTTTTTTCTTTTATTTTCTCATTTTCTTTTTATTTTATACTACTTTTTTGCATCCACAATGGTTACTAACAGCTCTACGACCAAAAACACTAGCAGCAGCAGCACAGCCGCCGCCACATCCACCAGCCAATCCGGCCAAACCAGCCGCGCATCAACCGTGTTTCGCAGTCTCTGGAAGGGCCAGGACCGGCTAGTAGGATCCCAAGGACGGTTCCGCGTCGAAGTGTACCTCCAGATGCTCAACACCCTCGACTGGCGCAGCCTCGGATCCCTCCTCGTCCAATTATGCCAGCCACTCAATGACCTCCCTAACAACACAAACAACCGGCCGCAGGTATCCCGATGCCTTGTGGCTTTGGCAATTGCATTGTCGCATATGCAGACCGTGCGTATGGAGGAGTCGATAACGCCGGTTAATTGCAAATTCGTCGCTAGCGTGTTTGCCACTATGATGCGCGCCACAATATGGGTGGTGGGAGATTTGCCGACAACGACGGAGGATCCTGGTCTGATTGCTCTTGTGCAGCAGCAGGTGTTCAAGGCCGTAGCAATGGCACTGGTGGTAGATAAGCGCGGATCCGACAGGGCAGAGAGATTTGCGAGCGAGGCGGTTTTAGACGGATTGCTGGGCCCGTCCACGGCAGATATCGGCGGAGGGTGGTCGGTTAATAAAGCGTTTGTGCAGCCGCCGCCTGCGAAGAAACAGCGAGCGGCGGATTCGAGCACTTTGAGTATTGAGCACGCTGATTTGCTGCGTTTGTTCGCTCGCGCGCTGAGCGATAAAAGCGCCGTGCGCAGCGATAAGTACGTGGTCAGGATCCTGCGAGCGCGCAATGGCGCCGTGGCCAATAGGATTTTGGGCTCGGACAAAGAAAAGCCGGTGTATGGAGCAAGTGTCGCTCACCAGCTGTTTGTTCTTGTAGGCACCCTGGCTGACCGCAGCAGTGACATTTTGTGGCCACTGCAGACAGGCGCAAATAATGAAAATGCGGCGACACAGGCGAAAGAGGATGAGGGCCATATCGGCGGGCTATTCGCCTGCGTCCGGGACATAATACCCTCGCTTCGCGCCGATTTGACGCAAGGCACTGTGTCGGCCCAAGTCACCGACCAGCTGCTCGAATCTATCAATCGACTGTGTGTCGGATTGGCATTGGTGTTCAGACCATATGTTCTGGCCGGATCTGGGTCCGGAGGCACGTCTGTTTACGCGTACTGTGCACAGAAGAAACACCGGTGTTACCAGTGGGCAGCATTGTGTCGCATAACAACGTGGGTCTCGTGCTGGGGAAACCTGTCGGCCACGTCACAAACAATGCGCGAGAGCTGCGCCGAAGCTATGGCCGAGGGCGGCCGCATCTGTTGGATCCAAGTGGCTAAATCCGAGTCATACATGTCACCATCTGCAGCAGCAGCGGCGGATCCGGCCATTTGGCTGCTCGTTCTCTCCGAATCGCTCTTTAGCGTGGCGCTCGAGTACCCGCATGCCCGCATAAAGCCGGTATCCAGTAAGCCGCCGTTTACGTTTTCGGAAGACAGCCAGACGCAAGTGTTTTCTTTACTCGCTGCACTGCTGTCCCTAATGGGCCGTTCTTTTGTCGACTTGACTGCGACCAGCGCGATGCGCTCTTTGTTGCTCAACTGCATGGCGGCCTGCGATAGGATAATGCGGCTGGTGCGCCCGCGTGCTGCATCACTAGGCCTGTTCCAGCCGTGCACCCTGCAGTCGCCGTTTGTCGGCAAGGACAACAATGAGAATGCGTTTAGTTGGTTTCGGTGCACCGCCGCAGAGTACATTTTCAGGCCGATGCCTTTGCCGAGCGCCGAAGAGGCATCCTCGGCCAGCGACGCTGCCGAAAGGAGCAAGGCTGGTGCTGGTATTTCGCAACTCGAGACCACTGGCATAGATTCGATTGCTGATCAGTGGCGCGAGGCATTGGAAGAGATTGCACATGAGACTCGGATCGCAAACGTATTCGCGGCCATCGAGGTCCTGGCCAAGGTGGTGGCCAGCAGCGACAGCAACGGTTCTTGCGATTCTGGCATGCGCAGCGTATTGACAATGTCATTCCGGACTACTCTGCGGTGGCTGAGCACGTATATTGTTAGTGCGCGCGACAATGTGGGCAGGCAGGCAGAACTCATTGACGGCCAGCAGCGCATCAAGATCAGGGTTGTCGGTGATAAAGTGCGGCTGCATAGGTCGGCCACGGACTGGTCGCGGGTGCAGAGGGTTCCCACGCTGCGCGTCGACAGGGTCAGCGATACAGAGTCTGGCGACAGTAACGACGCTGGGAATGATGCCGCTAGCGATGACAGGAATGCCGATGATGCTGTTATTGAACAAACCACGTATACATCGATGCTGGCCCGTACACTTCGCCTGTTTGCCGCATTTTCGACGTACAAGCTGCTCGGAGACAATTTTCAGCTAACTCTGGAACGGTGCCTTGTCTGGAGTAATGATGACCCAGCAGCGGGCGAGTGCGGGGCAGAACACATTGTTGCAACTTGCCGAGCATTCAATCGCCTACTGTCCGAGAATGACTTCCGCAGCGTTGCGTTTGCCTCGCTGCAGATTCTCTCGGGCATCGTGGGCGTGCGTTCGCACCTGTATACCAGCGAAATTGATAATCTGCGACTGCCACACCTATGTGCCCGAGGTCACAGCCCGCGGTCGAGTGAGTCGATGATGCAGCTGGCAATGCACATGGGCCTGGGCCGACTGCTCCTCGAGCCCGCATTCATTGTGCGCTGTGTCCAGGGTACGCGTGACGGCCGCCTGTTGCAAAGCCCACTGATGATCTGTACAGTGCAGATCTGGCTAGACATGATTGGCAATATTGTCAGGCACAGCCTGTTTCGCGTGTATTTGGGGTTCCCGGCCAACTCCAAGGGCAGGGCCACGTTCGTGGATGCGCTGGCTCCCTCGCTGGGATTCATGACCTGGTGGGGGCTCGCTTTGTCTGCTGGCGTCCGCTGTCTATTGGATGTGTTGCGGTCGGTCCAGGGCAGCGGAACTGGTAGTTCGAGCCAAACTAGACTCGCGTACATACTGCCGTCACACCTGATGTCCTGGCACATGTACTTGCCAACAACGGACAGCTCGATAAGGAATTTGGGCGGATTCCAGCAGGACGCCATGCCAGCACCAGCAGCAGAAGCGGCGTTGACACCGTCCGGGTGCGTAGAAAAGGAGCCGACCAAGTCTGACATTGGTCAATTGTATGCTTGGCTGTTGTCGTTCCCACATCTGGAAAAGTCGCATTCAGTCGTCTACATTGTGTACTATCTTGCAGCCAAGCTGTGGTTGGATGTACCGGCGCTCAGGGCTAGCGAACTGAGCGAAACCACTTTGCGGATTAGTCGGGACGTGTGGGGCCTGGGGTCGGACTCGATTCAGCTCTTTGTGCGTCTCATTCACAACCCAGCGCTTTGGCAGGTGTTTGTCGGGCTCGGCTTGGTCTCTGACTTTGCCGACGTGATAAAGAGACTATTTTTGCGCCAGGACTTGCCAAACTTTCTTGACGACCTTGTGTTCCAGTCACCCGATGACCAACATGCCAATCTGATTACATTCCCGCTTATCGACCATGATGACGAATACGGGATCAAGCACAAACCAGCAGGGGCATTCCCAGGAGGAGATCTGGTAGACAAGTTGCTTCATGGGGCACTGCAGCTGCACAGGAGCGCGCCCAAGCAAAGGCCAGCAGCCGACTACTATAGTGAGCCCATGCTCGCGCAGCTATGGACCACATACGTCAACAACTTGTTTGGCTTGCCGATCAATATTGTGCTCCACTCGACGACCGGCAATTACTTTGACGGTGGTGTGGCAGCAACCAACTCGGCCAGCGGCAGCAGGATGCTGGCAGTAGAGTCTCAAGCTGATGTGCTGGAATGCTTGTATGACAAGAGCAACGCACTATTTGACATGTTCTCGCCGCTTTTGGCTGTCAAAACAGCTCTGTCTGGGCCCAACGTCATGTGGGACGCCATCGATGCAGCGCTGCCGGTTGAAATGCTCTTGCGCGCAATAAATGTGGTCGACAAGTCCAGCATTCCCAAAGTATGCATCTCGGCCGCGCTCATTCTGCCAGACACACTGACGGCCAGGACTCGGGTCCCAGAAATAAGCAATATCACTTTGTTTGTGGCCAGTTTTCTCGCGCAGCAGATGACCAGGAGCGACCAGGACAGCGGTCGGTGTGGCGAAGCACTTTTGTTTCTGGCCTGGCGCCAGCTGCCCACGATTCTGCGACAAGTTGCTTTGTGCACTGCTAAGCTCGAGGATGTGGCTATTTGTGTGGCGAAACAAATAGGGAGATTGAGTGCGTCTGTGCTCGCCACTTTAGGGACACAGCATGACACCATTGACTTGTTGAGCTCGGCGACAATGGACGCGAATGGCAGCGGCAGCGGTGCCCTCGATTTGATTATTTTGAGCGGCAATGACAGGGACGCCGCACAGCCTCTCATAGCAACATCAAAGGCGCTTGTTGTTGAGCACTCCCCAGTGTTTGCGGCCATGGTTGGCGGTGCATTTTTGGAGGGTCAAGTTGAACAAGGCAACACCACACAATTGAATTTGCAAAGCAACCACGCCGCCCTGTTTGCGCTTTTCGACATATTTCACAAATACGCGCTGGTACTGCACCCTACTCCAGACACACAGTGGGACGCAGAAGTGCCCGCTCTGCTTTCTGCGTTTGCAATGGTGCTCGATCAACAATACTCACCAGATGAACTGGCTGCTGTACTCGATTTGGCCATTTACTACGATATGCGTCCAGTTGTCGCACTGTTGGCGTGGCACTTTAGCACCAAAACAGCCTCGCATACTGCATTTTCGGGGGACACGCTAGCAATATTGGCGGCAGTGTTTGGCGAAAGCTGGGATTCATTTCTTCTGGGGGATAAGGCAGCAGAATGTGCTGTGCGTCGGTCACTGGCAGCTATCATGATACTCCACCTCGACGAAGTGGATGTAGTAGGCGTGATTGGGGACTCCTCAGACCCACTATCCGACTATGCTGAATTCCTTTTCAGTTCGAATTGATTTGGTTAGCGAGCTTTGAAAGTGCCAACAATACGAATATAATCAATTCGACAGCAAATGTCGCGTGCAGCCTCGCCATACCCAATATCTGCGTGTGTTGAGACGAATGTTCCCTTTAAAATAAATGCGGCGGTGTATAACTTTTGATATGTGGCGGAAACACATATCATGCGTTGGCATACAATTAATTATTGTAACTGGTATAGTGTAGTGATGATGTGCTGTGCACAATATTTAATATATTGGCGGCTTGCTATAACAATACTAAAGAATGTTCGAATCGCGCTTACAGTTTCTTTAAAACTCGAAAAGTTTATGTACTTGTTTGTATTTAATAGAAAAATCCAGAAATCCTAAACAAATTATATTCCATTGTTCTAGAGTAATTTCACACTACTTACATTCCCAGCCTGCAGAATAGACAATGCTCATGTTTTAAATAACAAGAAACTAAATGCAAAACAATGTCAGCTTCAATATTCAATATTTGAAAAAGATGTCTCTCGCTTAGCCACCCCTCTAATGTATTTTTCATCCCTCAGATATGATTTCCTGTTGCAATTCATTCCAAAACAACACATTGGCCAAGGCATTGTTATCAATTTATTCATTTGCAAAACAATTAAATTTAATATATATTAGTAGCATAATAAGAATATGAAACAATATAGTGGGTTTTCAAAAATCAATTGTAGTTTTACAGCAAGTCCCAGACTCCATTTGGTTAATTTGGTTGAGCGCTATTTTTCAACTGGAAAAATGAGGTGCAAATACAATTTTGCCAACATTTTCTCGCACTTGCCCCAAATTCAATGCACACAAACAAGCAGGACTCACCATGGGCACAAGCTATTTATGTGTAGCGTTGAAAATTGGGCATTGGAAGCAATTCGTACCAAAAATACTATAAATTGACCCTTCGTTGCCATGTTCAGCTATCTGTTTCCTTAAGTTCCTCATTTGGTCTAATTATTGTATCGCACAAAGAATATCCTATCCTCCTACCCCTCAGCGACAGCACAAGCATCCACAAAGTTTTTTCTAAACACAACTTTTTTACTTGCATTCCAACCAAGCATCAGTTTAATCTCAACCATGCAGATCATCGCCACCCTTCTCGTCGCCGCCTCCGCTGTTCTTGCCCAGCAGGTCGGTAGCACCTCGGGCCCCACCGTTTCCGGCGGGTCTACTGCCATCAGCTCTCCCAATGTCAACAACGGCAATCAGGTCCAAAACTCCATCTCCAACTCCGGTCCTTCGGGAGGCAACACATTCTCTGGCATTGATGGCAGCACTTTCAACACCGCCTACGGTAACTCGGCTAGCGTTGGCAACAACAACATTAACCCCACACAGACCAGCATTAAGGGAAACACTGGTTTCACCGGCAGCGGCGAGGGCAACATCTTTGGCAGTGCATTTGGTACCGGAGCTGTCCCTCCCTTCTTTGCCTTTGGCAAGCGTGATGCTATTATCAACAACCATGGCCCTGTTGGTTACCCTGCTGGCTACCCCCATGGCTACCCTGCTGGCTACCCCTATGGCTACTACCCTTCCCATGGCTACTACCCTCCCCAGGTCTACGCTCCCGCCCCTGTTGTTCGCTATGCTCAGCCACCTTACACTGTCGGCATCCCCGCTGCTCACATTGAGCACAAGGCCCAGAGTGCCAGCATTGTCCAGAACCAGAACTAAATATTGGATCTGGTGTACAAGTCAAATGTGCTAGCTTTTTGATTGTTTGTGCCGTTTTGCTCTCCTAACCCGCCCCCACCCTTGCTACTTTTAATTTCTATCATTTTTATTTACAAATGTGCAGCTATATTCTTTATATTATTGCTTAATAGTTTAAAGTTTTATATTAGAAAAAATAAGTATATTTGCATAAAGTCTAACATGTTTTCCATAAGTAAAATATTAAAGAAAAGACCGCATATTCTCGCGTTAAAGTGGTTTTAGGTTTACATGCGTGCGCAAAACTTGGTTACATATTATGTTTTAGTAATTGTTAAATTGTTATAAATTATATTGATGTCTTTTCATTATTTTCACCCTCTAACTACAAGTTGAATACATATCACTGTTGATACTCATCAATGCCAATGGCGCGTGGTCAAATTTAATTGCGTCTATAGCAATGCACTGGGCACAAATTGCTTATGTGGACAGGCAAAACATATTCAGCTTTGGATTCGATGATCTGTCTATCTGAATAATGGCTTGATTAGTAAATTGGAGCCACGTTTGGTCTGTTTAGTATTTTCAGTATTTAATCTGTGGCTAGATTATATATATTTGTTTTTTCTATCAAGATCTGAAAAGTGCCAATAACAATGTCATTATTTCCTGTTCAAGTAGAGGCGCATATTGCTCAAACAATTGTATTTATAATTTTAATTGTGGATTTTGTCATCAATGCTTATGTTGTCGCGAAGAAACTCGGATAACGGCTAATAAAAGCACAGATATCCCAATACAGATAATGGCTTGCCTGCTTCTAAAAGGAAAAGCAACTTGTAATACAAAAAAGCGACAATGCCTTTTTTGTTTAAATATTGAAACGCCACATATGAGCACCAATTACACATTGTCATATCATTGTTTTTTATTTCATATTTTTAATATAAAAATGGCATACTAATTTGTTTTTAAATATTCTTTGTACAATTATCACATCACAATTATATTGTCCTAAAGCGTATTGTTAACAACACTATATTTTGAACGCTAAATTGTTATTGCTGCTACGAAGCAAAATTAATTTCGCGTTTTGTGTAGTATTTGAACGTAAAATTCTCGAGAAATAGAAAAACAGGGATTAAAAGATATAATTAAAATAAAAAAAGCAATTCTCGCATCAAAATTTCCTTGTATTGTGTCTTGTTTGTTTTGCTTTTTTCATCTGTACGTACATTTTAATAGAGTACTATTATAAAAGTAGGGGCCAAGTAATGCAAATCAATTAATATGATTGATTGTATACCGCACAATATATCACAAAAGTTGTTGACATAAATTTCAGATTTATTTATTTTGCGCATAACCAAAATGCATGTGAATCCCTCAGACAATTTAATATTTTTGCAGCTATATTTTCATGCTGGGAGACTGTCAGAGTAAAAAAAGGTGCCCTCAAATATTTATTTCTCTTAAAATAAAGGTATAAAAGACAAGCAAAACGCCCATCATTTAGAAAAGAACTTTAAGCTCCTTCATAGGTCTAATTCTTTACATCGCTCTCAACCCAAATATCTTTCAGCCCGTCGCTTTCCAAACCCATTCCTCACCAAACTTAACCAATCATTTTAATCTCAGCCATGCAGATCATCGCCACCCTTCTCGTCGCCGCCTCCGCCGTTCTTGCCCAGCAGGTCGGTAGCACCTCGGGCCCTATCGTTTCAAGCGGGTCTACTGCCATCAGCTCTCCCAATGTCAACAACGGCAACCAGGTCCAGAACTCGATTGAGAACTCTGGTGTTTCGGGAGGCAACACATACTCTGGCATCTCCAACAGCGCCTTCAACACCGCCTTCTCAAACTCGGCCTCCGTGAACAACAACAACATTAATCCCACGCAGCACAGCATTGCGGGCAACACTGGTTCAACCGTTAGCGGTCAAGGCAACATCTTTGGCAGTGCATTTGGTACCGGAGCTGTCCCTCCCTTCTTTGCCTTTGGCAAGCGTGATGCTATTATCAACAACCATGGCCCTGTTGGTTACCCTGCTGGCTACCCCCATGGCTACCCTGCTGGCTACCCCTATGGCTACTACCCTTCCCATGGCTACTACCCTCCCCAGGTCTACGCTCCCGCCCCTGTTGTTCGCTATGCTCAGCCACCTTACACTGTCGGCATCCCCGCTGCTCACATTGAGCACAAGGCCCAGAGTGCCAGCATTGTCCAGAACCAGAACTAGGCTTAAGTTTGATGGGTTCTAAGTGACTGGGCTGCATTTTTTGTAAAGTAGTTTCATTTTATTTTCCCCATTTCCTATTTCAATACTTAATTTAACTATATTTATTTGATTTCGATCATTCATATATATTCAATAAAATCTATCATAACGTCAAATTGGCTTATTTATTATTAAGTTTCTTTAATATAAATGCATTTTCATTTAAATATTAGCATGGTTAGACATTCAACACGTGTTTTTAAAAATTATTTTGATAACGCAATTAATAGCGATTAGCCTCTTGTTTTTTAAATTTAATGAGTGCTCAGGAGTTAAATCTACTGACAACAATCAAATAAAAATATGTCAAGCAAAAATAGCATTAATTATGCCAAATTTAGTATAATGCTCACGCGTTTGTTTCTAGTTTTCCCTTGGTTGCAAATCACCTTTGACCAATACAAATACAACATAATGCAGTAAATTACCACTCACACGTTTATTTGTACACGCAAACACTTAAGTATAGTACGTAATTTGGGCATTGTTATCATTTACTTGTATCTAATTGATTTTTTTGCTTAGGTATGTGGCGTTTACTCCCTCGTATACAAGTAACAGTTTGTTTTATAAACACATAGCGCGTGCTGAAGATTGTTGGATTTTAAATATGAAATGAGCCCCCTTTTCTCCTTTAATAAGTGCATTGTTCATTGGTATCAATTATATTGTTTTACAAGAAACAAAATATCTGAGAACAATGCAATGTCTAGGGGGCTGATGTAGTGAACCAACGCACATTTTTTTTTAAAAAAATTAGTTATTTAGCACATACGATCGTGTCCACCTACAAAAAATTCAGAATTTTTATTTCAAAAACATAATTGAAATATTGTTAGTAAAAAAATAGAAAAAGTCACTACATGTGTCAATAACATACCAACCAAAATGGTATAAAACTCGATGGTTGCGGACAAAAATTTACAAAAAAAATTATCAAGCTTCATCCAGAGTCTTAATTTCATTTACCTCATCTCTCGCCTTGCTAAACACTTGTTTAATTAATCTTCATCTTTGAATATGCAGATCATCGCCACCCTTATCATCGCCGCCTCCGCTGTTCTTGCCCAGGAGATTGCCAGCACCTCAGGCCCCACCGTTTCCAGCGGATCTACTGCCATCAGTTCCCCCAACGTCAACAACGGCTATCAGATCCAAAACTCCATCTCCAACTCTGGCAGCTCGGGAGGCAACACATACTCTGGCATCCAGGGCAGCGTTTTCAACACTGGCTACTCGAACTCGGCTAGCGTTGGTAACAACTTTATCAACCCTGCGCAGACCAGCATTCAGGGCAACATTGGCTCAACCGTTAGCGGTCAAGGCAACATCTTTGGCAGTGCATTTGGTACTGGAATTATCCCTCCTTTCTTTGCTGGTGCCTTCCCTCGTGATGCGCACTCCAACTACCACAAGCGCGATTTGATCATCAACGGAGCCGCTCCCTATGCCCACCCTGGACATCCCGCCCATCCCTATTACGGCTATCCTGGCTATGCCTATGGCTACTATGTATATTACTAAGTATGATTTTTGTTGGGGGGTTTAATATTCCTCATCGGTTATCAGCATAGTCATTTCATTTGCATATTTGCATATTTTAATAAATACACACGACATTACGGCATGTTTTATAAACTTTTTATTGACATTAAATTACATTCAAACAATATTGAATTGAATTAAAAATACTTTATTTTTTTATCAAAGAAAAAGTAAACAAAAAGAATCACTTGTAATCGGGCCATCCCTCGCGGCTATTGTTGGCCACAGATGTCTTGATAACGTCCTTCAGCTGTACCAGCGCCTCACGCAGCGGTGTATCAACCTCAACATGGCCAATGTGTTTCTCTGGGAACCTTACCCTAACAGCATCTAAAATGCGCCTATCAATATTTGCTGGCTTCTTTTCGCCCTTGGCACGCACAAGCATAGCATAATCAATTTTCGCCTGAGCCAGGGCCTCCCTTGGGCTCATCTTCTCGTATCTCGTTTTTGCCCAGATATTAGCCTCCAAGTTCAGTCGGTAATCTTCTACACCAAGCACATCAAAGAGCTCCTCTTTGAACTCGGACCATGTGGTGAGGTTGAGGAAGCGTAGGGTGGACACTTTGGCACCAGTCAGTTTGGGCCTGATGATGGTCAGCTTGGTAGCGTCGGGGATAAGGCCAAAGCAGTGTTCGGCGGCGGCAAGCCAGGGCTCGACGGCTTCGACCGTGTCATCGAGGTTGTCGAGTCCCTGAAAGACTCGCTGGTAGGATGCCAAGGGCTCGATGGCAGAAGCGGGCTCGGGGGTGGTCGGAGCAGCGCTCTTTTGGCCAAGTATGCCGAAGGTGGGAGGAAGAGGAACGGTTGCTGTGGAACTCGAAGCTGATTCTGACTCAGTGCTCATTTGCGAAAGGTTAGTGCTTAATTGGTTGACGGGGTTGGAAGCGGAATAAATTCCAAATAAGTTTCCTTTGGTCATGGCTGAGCAAGAAAAAGAGTTTAGAGGCAAATAATTTAAAAAATGAAGAAGGAAAGGTTGAAATCGATTTTGTGTTATAAATAGTCAAACCCCCCATGTACGAATGAGTTGGTTAGTTGCTCTGGACGGGGGACATGCAGTAAAATTTCGGAAACAGAAACGTAAACATTCAATTCAACACACAATGGTTACACATAGTAAGTACACTCTGGCTGTCCAGGTCATTTGAATGAAAGTTTGTAAGGAATTAAAAAAAACACCCGAATAAAATTAATTGAAAAATTAAATCTTCTCGTAGTCCAACTTTGTCTCGAGTTTCTTCGAGTCAGCGACCTTCCGCACAGCCTTCATGAAATCGTCCTGCACGACATAGTCCCTCTCCGCACGAATGGCAAACATGCCGGCCTCCGTGCACACATTGCGCAGATCCGCGCCGTTAAACCCATCGCTAAGCTTGACCACAGCCTCGTAATCAATCTCGCCGTGTTTGGCGACACCGGCAGCGTGAATCTTGAGAATCTCCATGCGGCCCTGCTCGTTCGGCAATGGGATCTCAATCTTACGATCCAAACGACCAGGGCGTAGGAGAGCCGGGTCAAGCGTATCCGGCCGGTTGGTGGCCATGATCATCTTGATCTTGCCCAGCGAGTCAAAGCCGTCCATCTGGTTCAAAAGCTCCATCAGCGTGCGCTGGATCTCGCGATCCGCCGACGTACCCTCCGAAAAGCGCCTTCCACCAATTGCGTCGATTTCGTCCATGAATATAATGCAGGGCTCGTGGTCGCGCGCATACCCAAACATCTCGCGGATAATACGCGAGCTCTCACCAATGTACTTGTCGACAATGGCGCTGCTGACAACCTTGAGGAAGTTGGTCTCTAGCGAGTTGGCCACAGCCTTGGCCAGCATGGTCTTGCCTGTACCAGGCGGGCCATAGAGCAGAACGCCCTTGGGCGGCTGCACGCCGACGCGCAGGAACAGCTCTGGGTTGAGCAAGGGCAGCTCAATAACCTCGCGCAGCTCGCGGATCTGCTCTCCCAGGCCACCTACACCGGCGAACGTGACGTTTTCGGGTTTCTCCGCCGTCATGTTGTATACCAGCGGATCGACTTCGCGCGGCAGCCTGCGCATGATGGTCAGCGTGGTCATGTCCAGCGACACGCGCGTGCCCTGCTTGAGCTCCGCCTTATTCACCTTATTGCGGCAGCCCACCACGTAGCGCGGCCCTGTCGTGGCCTTTACTATGAAGCGGTCGTCGTCGAGCTGCTTGAACACCTCACCGACTATTTGTCCGGCGCTCTGCAGCGCCTTAAGGTCGTCCTCGGACTTGCCGTAGTCTGACTCGAGCCGCTTCACGCCGAGACGAGCTATATTTGCTTAAATGCAGAATGAATGTGGCGAACTGGGTGTGTGTGCGTGTGTTAGATTTGAATATCCCAAAGATAAAGTTTGTAGAATAGTATGAGACGGGCTTGAATTTTTTTTTAAAAAAAAGCGAACTGGGAATGTGTCCTAAGCTTCAATTCTATTTACCTTCTTTGACTTTCTCCTCCCAATCGTTGTGCTCGACGATTGTGCGGCGGTACCCAGTGAGCACTCTGACGCGTTCGGGTTCCATTGTAAATTGCTGGCTGTTAGAAAATAAATAGGAGCTGGGCGCTGTTGTTGTAATAATTGAAGTAGGGAGAAAAATAAAAAAAAGGAAATGCAAAGCTCTTGACAAGAAGAAGAAGAAAAGTAGAGAGTATAATAAATGCCTGTTTGAAATTTATTTTGTCCAAAAAAAAAAAAAGTTAAATTTCAAAGCGATTGCATACGCAATACCGAAAGGAAATTGAAATCTGAAAGAGACACTTTGCATGTCACGAGGGGACAGAAAAATACAAGTGGTCTATTATCCCACAAGCACCTAACGTTTTTTATAACTGCAAGTAGAAGGTATTTATTTTAAAGTCATCAGGAATTAAAAATGAACAATTACGCCAACTTTGCTTTAGCAATTACTTTTATTATTCTTACATGCCACCACCATGAGTCTTGTACACAACAACCAGGCGACGAAACACGACTGGGCACAATTCTTTGCGCCTGGCCTCCCCATTGGACGCCACCTTCCGAACGAACCATACTACTACGAGCGCACCAACGGCATAACCACATGGATCCGGCCCTTCGATTACATCGAACCCCCAAATCCAAAGCAATTAGCGGAAGACTTGCGCAAAGAGCACGAACAACAGAAAGCACAAGAGGCGCGCAAAAAGGCGCTTCAAGACCGGCCACAGAAAACAACCAAGGCGCAGGCCGGGTGGCTGGTAGTGGACACGGTGCAGGGGAGGCAGTATTATTTTAACGAGAAGAGTGGTGTTGCACAGTGGGAGCGGCCAGATGAGCTGGTTGAGCTGGCTGATGTGGAGGAGAATGAGGAAGGTGTGGAGATGGATGAGGAGGACGCTGAGTGGATGTTGGAGCAGATGATGGCTGAGGCCCAAGGTGACCAGCAAGACGGCGCAGAGATAGAGACAGAAGAGACAGGAAAGGAGGTGGGGGCAGAGGCAGAGGCAGAGGCATTGACGAAGGATCAGCGCGTGGGTCAGTTCCGTGAAATGCTCCTCGCAGCCAGCAGTCTCAATCCATTCGGGACATGGGAGTCGCAAAAGGATCGGTTCCTCGGCGACAGGCGCCTCCAGTACTTGGGCGCGGCCGAGCAACACGACATGTTTGACCGGATCTGCAGCGAGATAATAGCACAGAGAAAAAAGACACTGCCAAAGAAGGATGAAGTTAAGCGGCCGTTGCCGAGCAGCGATCCGTTTGGCCAGCTGCTTGAGGAGAATATCAGTAAGCGCGGGTCATTTGCAAAGTTCTGCCAGAAACACTTGCGTGATCCGCGGTACTTGTCCATAAAGACATCAAGAGAGCGCGAGAAGCGGTTCAACCAGCACCTGGACGCGCTGCCCGAGAAGAAGAAGCACAAGCATGTGTAGTTTGTTGAAAAATAAATACCACTGTGATAGGCTTGAATATATATATGTAGCCAAAGAAATTTACTTGATAAAATGAAAACCAATTTTAAATGGCAAAGCAGAAGCAATTTACTTCTTCTCCTCGATCAGCTCAGTGACAACGCCAGTGCCGACGGTGCGACCGCCCTCGCGAATGGTGAAGCGCATACCGGTCTCGATGGCGATCTCCGACAGCAGCTGGCACATCATGGTGACATTATCTCCGGGCATAACCATCATATTCTCTGGATCCTCGCCATTGGGGCCGCGCTTGTGCGTGAGGATAGCAGTGACGTCGCAGGTGCGCACGAACAACTGAGGGCGGTAGTTGTCCGAGAACGGCGTGTGACGGCCACCCTCCTCCTTGGTAAGCACATAGAGCGACGCCATGAACTTGCTGTGCGCCTTGATGGTGCCAGGCGCAGCCAAAACCTGGCCGCGGTGGAGGGCCTCACGCTTGACACCGCGCAGGAGAGCACCCATGTTGTCGCCGGCCTGGCCGTTCTCCAGCTGCTTGTGGAACATCTCGATACCGGTGAGCGTGGTCTTGAAGGGCGCGCCAAAGCCGACGATCTCCAGCTCCTGTCCCTTGGTGATCTGTCCGCGCTCCACGCGGCCGGTGACGACGGTGCCACGGCCGGCAATCGAGAAGATGTCCTCGACGGGCATCAGGAAGGGCTTGTCCAGGTCGCGCTCGGGCGTGGGAATCCATGTGTCAACAGCCTCCATCAGCTTGTGGATCGCCTCAATGCCCATCTCGGGGCTGCGGTCCTCGAGCGCGCACAACGCCGAGCCGCTGATCACCGGTGTGTTGTCGCCGTCAAAGTCGTACTCGCTGAGCAGCTCGCGCATCTCCATCTCGACAAGCTCGAGCATCTCGGCGTCGTCGATGGCGTCGGCCTTGTTGATGAAGACAACCAGCCGCTTGACACCGACCTGCTTGGCCAGGAGCAGATGCTCGCGCGTCTGCGGCATCTGGCCGTCGGTGGCTGAAACCACGATGATGGCACCGTCCATCTGAGCCGCACCGGTGATCATGTTCTTGATATAATCTGCGTGACCGGGGCAGTTGTGCGCAACTACAAAGTCGGCGAGAAGCATGCGACCGTCGACGTCGACATCAAAGCCATGGAACTTCTGGGAGCCGATGGGGGCAATGGTGAAGGGGACCGAAGTTTCCCACCTGTGTTCAAGTGCTTTTCCACGCTTGTGCACCGTGGCAATCGGCAGCTTCTCAGCCAGGCGGCCATTGAAGCTGACACGCAGCTTAGAATGGGCGTCGTCGCCGATGGTAACAGTGTGACGAGACAAGTGGCAGACAAATCCGAGACTGCGAAGCACCCACACAAAGTCGTTGAACAGAGCCGAGTGCTTGGCCTCGGACTGTTCCAGATCAAACTGTCCTTTGTTGTAGCATCCGTCCGAGTCGATAATACCCGCAGCCAGGGCACTACGCACATCAGAAGAATGGCGGCGGAGCACGGCAGGGATGCTCTTGGCATTCAGAACGCCCAGCTCTGTCAGCTTGGCGCAGAATGGGTTGGTGGTCTCAACACAGTCACCAGATAGCACATCGGACTGGAAGATAGGGTTGGAAGAAAGGGTCACGCACATTGCTTTACGCTCTGTGTGAGTATATTTATGGAGGTACATGCCCATTTTCGTGGCAATTTCCTCCAGCTTGGCCACAATAGCGGCATCATCATCAGAGTGAAGCGTGAAGCGTGAGGAGCCGCTGTTCCCGTCGCCCAGCCAGAGACCCACGACCCAGGCGACCTCCTCCTGCGTTGCCGCGCCAATCGATAGATTGACGGTGGGCTCGCCAAAGCTAAGCTCGCCGGCCGTATACATACGTGCCTGCGAGCGTACCTCCGCTGGGAGCTGCATGAATTGCTCAACTGTCATCTCGCATGTAAATGGCGACTTGTCTTGGACAGCGTAGTAAGCACTGGCCGCCTCAGCAGAGTCAAAATGCTCGCGACAATACTTCAAAAGATCGTTTTCGAGCTTGACGCTAGCAACCAAATGCCTGCGCCCTTCATTGTCGGCCTGAGGCGCGTTAACAGGCGTGTCGATGCGCAGACAGAGGATATGGCCACCAGTGCAGGTGAACCCATCAGCCTCAAAGCCATTGTCACTTCCGCTGGTGTACAAAATCTTGTACATGTCCTTGTTGCCAGTCCAAACAGATTGGACCACACGATCTGTGCCATCAGTACCAAGCAGCACGGTGCCCTGGACCACGTCCGCAGCGAGAATAGTCTCCCCGTTGGGTGTGGCAAAGGCAACCTCGGGGCCAAAGCAGTCAACATGAGCGTAGTGACGGTTGGCAGTCTCGTACTCGACGTGCGCAGTCGAAATAGTGATTCCACGGGCCTTCTCCTCGGGCGCCTTGTCAATGTCCGAGTAATCGCGGAACTTGGCACCTCCGGCCTGGCTCAGCACCTTTGTGATGGCAGCTGTCAGCGTGGTTTTGCCGTGATCAACGTGTCCGATGGTACCGACGTTGACGTGCGGCTTGTTACGGCTATAGACGGCAGCGTCGGCGTACGAGCGCGCCAGCAGCCGCGATGGGGAGCGAATAAAGCCCAGGTTGCGGGCGATCGCTGGGCGCGGGAGCGACGCCATTGAGCGCACGCTGGTGATTGACGCCAGACGGCCGGTCACAGAGACCACGCTGAGCTGCTGCTTGACGCCGTTGGTGGTGGCAGTGCGGAGCAGGGAAACACGAGGAACAGCGCTACGAAGCATTGTAGGTTGCGAGTTTGTATTTCTTGATTCGATTAAAATATAGAGGCGAAAAAAAAGAAAAACAACGCTTGACAGAAAGGGAAAAAAGGAAAGGGGCCTAGAGAATAGAGTGGAAAATTTTCTTTATCTTTTGACTGATCACTGAGAATGTTGCTCAATTCGCACCCACGCTTTGATCTCGATTGCTTACAATAATCCCTAATCCACACTGGCTGATCAAATGATCTGATCATCGTCTTTGTTTTTATTAGTTGTTTAGTCTCCCAATGGTTGCAAAAGGCCTACTGCTCTACTGTTTCATACTTTTGATATGATACAGCCGCATCCCCTGATCAGATGGATATGAATTAGCGGATCCCGAGCGGCTAGCCGCAAGTTCAACCGGGGACAGTATTTTCGACGCGAGACATCGACAAGCCCTAGCAGTGGTCCTTTCTTGAATTTCTTTAATGTATATCTATTTATCAACCTCAGCCTCTAGCTGCGACACTTTCTAAGAGCAACGACCAGCGCCCAGATGTTGACTTGCATGACTCTAACCGAACTTGTCACAAATTAAAAAATAATTTGCCGTTAAATTTTTTTGCGCAGCCGCGGGTGGGTTAAATTAAATGAACCGAGCGCAGCCAGATCAAGACGAAAGCGCGAATTAAAACATTTTTTTAGCATTCGCAATTTTTAACTTTACATCGCAGCAGCAAGTATCCGATACAAGCGTTACTGGTGAGAATGAAGATTAAAATGAGGATGTGCAAAATGTCAATTTAAGGGTAGATTAGCGCGCACTGCACACTGCACACTGAACTCTGCACTCTGCACACCGCCCAGTCCATCTACGATCGCCTTTATCAAGCCCCTTCTTTCGAACCAGCAAGAAGGACGTTCCCACGTTATTTAAACAAGCAGATTTTCTTGTAAGATTTTTTTTTTGGTCTTTAGGCAAGATAATACGACACTTTGTCAGTTCGATAAAAATGCATTGCAAAAAATAGTGCATCACATGTCGATGCAGTCGACAAATTCAGTCCGAAAGCAGAACAATCCAAAACAAAAAGTCGGATGAGAAGGCCTTGAGCAGTCTTGACATAGCCAGTACATCTGGCGATGATTGGTTTTTGACTCCCTTATGACAAGAAAAACGACACGTCTTAATTTCGCTTTTAATCCTTATCAACGCGATTGACATAACAGACATGGTCACACAATCAGCTGACTGTAACATAAAAAATTTTTGTGACTGTTCCATGGGTAGAAACAAAAAATTTATGCTTGGACTGTATGCTAATTGGTCATTATTTTGCCTAAACAGTGGTGTGCCTTTCTTGTAAGTTTTTGGCATATGTGGTGGCGGTATCAATCTATCTTGCTGCCTTTTTGGCTTTGCCTTTGCCGCTGCCTCGGAACATACACGCGTAGAGCCACACAGTAAATAAACAAATAAATAAAAAACCCCAGTATCTCAGTAAGCAAACGGAAAAAAATCAAGATAAGAATTTATTTATTTATTTTTTTCATCTCTTCCCCAAAACTTTTTCTCTTTTTTTTATTTCACCATCACCAAGCAGTAATATACAAATAAAATAAAAATGTCTCCTGTCGGCACCAGCGGAAAGAAACACAGCGAGTCCACGACGGCGCGTCTTCTGGGCTCTGGCACCAGCGGTATTCTCGAGCTTTTCACGTTCCACCCCGTCGATACCGTCGCCAAGCGGCTGATGAGCAACACAGACAAGATCTTCGGCAACGGCCAGTCTGTCACCCAGTCCCTGGGCAAGCTCAACCAGGTTCTCTTCCGCGAGGCCGCCAACAAGGCGACCCTAAGCAAGTACCTGTCTCTTTTCCCGGGCCTCGGTTATGCGGCCGGCTACAAGGTTGCGCAGCGCATGTACAAGTTCGGCGGACAGCCCGTAGTGCGCGATCTGCTGGACAAGAACTACAACCAGACATTCACACGGGCGTTTGGCGAGCGTAACGGAAAGGCCATTATGCATGCCACGGCCGGCTCGCTGATCGGCATTGGCGAGGTTGCGCTGCTGCCCCTTGACGTTTTGAAGATCAAGATGCAGACCAACCCGGAGACGTTCCGTGGCCGCGGGCTTTTCAAAATCGTTGCTGACGAGGGCATGGCGCTCTACCGCGGTGCCGGGTGGACGGTTATGCGGAACGCGCCGGGCTCGTTTGCGCTTTTCGGTGGGTCGGCGTTTGTGAAGGAGTTTGTTTTTAAGCTGGACGACTACAACAAGGCGACATTCATACAGAACTTCTTCTCGTCCATTGGTGGTGCCGTGGCCTCGCTGGCTGTGTCGGCGCCCATGGATGTCATCAAGACGCGCATCCAGGCGCGCTCATTCGAGAACCCCGAGAGCGGCATGGTTATTTTGCGCAAGATGGTGCAGCAGGAGGGCTTTGGCGCGTTCTTCAAGGGACTGACGCCCAAGATCCTTGTTGTCGGCCCTAAGCTGGTATTTGGCTTCACCCTGGCCCAGTGGTTCATCCCCGCCTTCGACCGCATTCTCCGGGGCGGCAAGGCTGCCAACGAGTGAAAAAGAAAAAGCAATGATTTTTTAATTAAATTTTCTATTCGCAAAACAAATTCCACAATGTTGATCCACCCCCCTCGCCCACACTTCACCAAAAAGCAAAGCAAAATCAACGCTCGTGAGAAAGGCTAGCCCGCATGCCGCTTGGCCAGGGACAGCGACCCGCGCGGCGCCAGCCACCCGGCCCACTGCGCCAAGCCCGGCGACGACGCAAAGACAGCCGCGGGGGGAGTCGGGTGGATCGCCGAGACCTCATGCACAGCCACCAGGCCAGTTTCGGGATCGATACAGTACCTGAACTCGCCCTCATACCGCGACCTCTCACTATCGCTACCCCCGCCGCCAATCAAGACCGAGTGCCTGGGCAAGCCCTCAAACATCCACCTCACAAGCACATCAAACTGCTTGGTGCCCCTTTGCCCGTCGCCGCCCGCCTCATCGGCCGCCGCCACAGGCACTTGCCGCAAACTGAGTATGGTGACGGCCGGATCCGAGAAGTACGCGTTCATAGCGATGCGCAGCACCCTCGCCACGCCCATATACGCGGCGCGCCCGGACACCTGCATGCCGGAGTGCCGTGGCTCTGAAAACCGAATTGTTTCGGAGTATATGCTGCCGTCCAGACCGTGTTCGAAAAAGCCCTCGAGCTCATGCGGCAGCTCCTGCATTACCCTCCCGAGCGTGGTGATGTAGTCCTTTGGCGGGTCCTTCTCCGAAAAAGACGGCCCTTTGGTCGGCTTGTCCTTCGGCTCGCTGTTCGGTTCTTTGGGTGGCTCTTCGGGCGCGCCTTTGGTTTGTGGCCTGGTGAACCCCTTGCCTACTATTTCTTTTTTGGCCTGCTCGATGGCCTCTTGGATTGTGCGGTCCCAGTCTTTGGCTGCTTCGGAGTCGTCCCCGCCGCTGCCCTTCGGTGTCTGCGAAGAGAAGCGGCGGTGGCTGAGCGGTGTGGATCTGCACTGCGCCAGGGTGTGTGTGCGTGGCGGGCTGGTTGGTGTCGCTTTGGGTGCTTTGGCTGCCCGCAAGAAGCACGCCCTGCCAGCGCATTGCCTGACAATAAACATATGTGAACAATAAAAATAAATGAATTCTTTAAATAAATTGAAGAAAGAGAGAAAGAATAAAATATAGTAAAATTGGGTCGAAATGGAAACAAGAAAGCGTGTGCGCAAAGAATGTAGTCTGATCAAAAATCCGTAAGAATTTGTTTTTCGATCTTGTGCTCTCATCATCATCGTCATCGTTATCGTTATCGTCATCGCCATCGTCATCGTCATCATCATCATCGCCAACAGCAATGTCATCACCACCGCCGCCGCTGCCGCCAAACGTGTGCCAAGCATTTAATATTCCCAACCCTTTCGGCACTCATTCAATAGTCTGCTTGCGCTGCCGACCCAGCTCAGCGTGCTTGAACCCCAGCGTAACCAGAACCAACAGAACCGAGAACGGAATCAGCGCAAAGAACGCCAGCCGCATAGCACCCATGAATATAGCCACAATCATGGCCCTCAACTCGGGCGACACGCCATCCGAATAGATGACACTCTGGTTCTCAGCAACCTCCAAAATAGTAAATATAAACTGCGGATATTCCATCGCCAAATCGGTCAGCCCGTCCTTAATAACGCTGTGCATGATGGAGCTCAGCACAGCCACGCAGATGATGCCACCGAGAGACCGGAGGAATGCACAAAGGGTGGTTACGGCAGCCATATCGTGGCCCGAAACAGATGCTTGGGCTGCCATCATAATGGGCTGGATGCAGGCGCCGGCGCCCAGTCCGCAGAGCACCAGGATGACCGATTGCAAGGTCATCGATATCTTTTGGTCGAAGAGCACGAGCAGCGAGTTGCCGATGGCCAGGAGAACGGCGCCCGACATAATCAGGCGGCGGTAGCGGCCCGTGCGTGTCATTACAAAGCCGCCCAGGACGGATGTCACGATGGTGCCGATAGTGAACGGCAGGAGGTGCGCGCCGGCGGATATTGCACTGACGCCGCGGACGATCAGCGCCCATTGCGGCACAAAGACGATGGGCCCGTAGGCCGCTGCGCCGTAGAAAAAGTGCCCTACAGCGGAAAGGGCCACATTGCGCACGCCCAGTAGCCGCGACGGAATGATGGGCTCTTGTGGGACATACCATTCAAAGAGCAGAAACACAATGAGGGCCAGCATGCCCCCGATGACGCATCCGAGCACCAGAGGGGACGTCCAGCTGTACTCGCGCCCGCCCCACGAGAGGCCCAGAAGAAAGGGCAGTGCGCCGGCCAGAAAGATGGTTGTGCCGAGGAAGTCGATCTTTTTCAATTTTTGGCGTATCGACCCGGTGGGCCGTGGAAGCCGCATGAAGAAGAGAACCAGGCCGAGAGCCAAGGCGCAGACGGGCAGGTTGATCCAGAATATCAGCCGCCAGTCGGACCTCTGCACGATAATACCGCCCAAAATCGGCGCTATGGCCGAGGCAAACCCCCATGTGCACGTAAATACGCCAATGTACTTGCCGCGCTCGCGCTCGCTCAGCACATCGGCAATAACTATGAATATCAGGCTCATAATGCCGCCGCCGCCCAACCCTTGCACTGCGCGGCTGGCAATCAGCATATCCATGGAGCGCGACATTGCGCACATAACAGAGCCCACGGCAAACAATAACACCGAGACAACAATGGCCTCGGCGCGCCCCATAATATCGCTGAACTTGCCAAAGAGCGGCTGGATTGCTGTGGACGCCAGCATGTACGATGTCACTGTCCACTCGGCTCGAGACAGCGAGTTGAAGCTGTTGGCAATTTCCACGTAGACCGTTGCGATAATTGTCAGATCTAGCGCGGCAATGAATAAGAGGGCATCGAGGCCTGCCAGAGCAAGGTATAACTTCCGTCCGCTGAGCAAATTGCCGACAACCAATTCTCCTTCTTCCTGTCTTTTCTCTGTCTCTTGGCCGCCCTCCTTGAGCACATCAATTATCGCGTCTGCAGCGGTTTTGTTGGCTTTTGCGGAATCTCTGTAGTTCGGCGGCGTCTTGAACCCCGACGACATCTCGTCGCCTATGGTGCCATCAGACTCGCCAACTGCGTTGGCTGCATTGTCGGTTTTCATCCCCATGTTTTTTATTATTGTGGTTTTTTATTAGAAATAAAAATGAAATAGTAAAATATGAAAGTTACAACCAAAACCAATATTTTAATTGACGCAGCAAAGACAAAAAAAAAGTTCAACATAAATACAGAAGAAAAAAACAATTTTTTAATTTTTACAAACGCACTACTTGTTTTATTTAAAGTCGCCACAATACCCGCCCACGCACCCTCCACCCACTAAATAGATAAAGTATTTACTTTTAAATTACTACGTTATCGCATAAATGATTGAAAAGCTAATGAAGGCGTGCATTGATAAATTATAATGTCTGTGCTCAAAAATTGTTTATATATTTGTCACTTAATGGTCCGCTTTCTGCGGTTCTGCAACTCCACATGCGCAAACAGCAGTGTGGACAGCACCAAAAGGCCCGAAAACGGGGTGAGTCCGAGAAAGACCTCATGCAAGGACTTTTGGAACATATCTACGAGCCCTAGCTTGACCCCAACGGGGAGATCCTTGCTCTTTCCAATAATCGACTGGTCATTGATAGTTTCCATGATAATCCCGGCGTATTTGGGAAACTGCTTGCTCAATAACGCAACCTCTGTGCGCAGGTTTTTGTTAAAAATAGACGACAGGATGGACAGCGCCATGATGCCGCCAAAAGTGCGCATAAACAGCACCAGCGTCGTTGTCGCCGCCATGTCCAGTCCGTCAACGGAGCACTGCGCGGCCACCATCATTGTCTGCACTCCAAACCCGAGCCCCAAGCCGGTGAGAATGAGGAATCCGACTCGCTGGGCATTAGACGTGTTCTGGTCAAGCAAGAGCAGTAGTGAGTTGCCCAAGGCAATGAATATCCCGCATGCCCAAATTGTCTGCCGATACTTGCCATACCGCGTAGCCACAGCGCCCGCCACGCCTGCTGCAAGCACCATGCTGCCCATCATTGGCAAAAGATGCAGGCCTGCGCTGATTTCCGTCGCCTGTTTGACTGACAGCTCCCATGCCGGTATGAACATCAAAGGTGAGTAGATGCACGCACCCACGCAAAAGTGTCCCAAGGTTGAGGCCGTCACGTTACGAATGGCAAAAAGGCGCAGGGGGATAATGGGATCGACGGCCACCTTCCATTCGATGACTACAAACACAATGAGCATAACCATGCTACCACCGATTGTGCCCAGAACCCGCCCAGACGCCCACTTGTGCCCTTGCCCTCCCCAAGACAAAGCAATAATAAAGGGAATAATGAAGCCCTGGAATGCTAACGCCCCCAAAAAGTCCATTCGGCGCAGTTTCTCCATTGCTGTGCCCTGGGGCCGCGGAATTGCCAGCGCAAAATACAGTACAATCAGCGTGGGCACGCAGACTGGCAAGTTGATCCAGAAAATAATGCTCCATTTAGTGTTCTCTACGATGGCCCCGCCCAGCACCGGCCCCACTGCGGACGCCGCGCCCCAGCTGGCCGCCAAAAACCCCGTGTATTTGCCACGGTCACGCTCGGTCGTCACGTCGCTCATGATGATGCTCACCATGGCCATCAGTCCTCCTCCGCCAATGCCCTGGATTGCGCGGCTAGCGACCAGCATTCCCATCGAGGTTGATACGGCGCACAGAACTGACCCAATGCAGAAAATCCCGGTTGCCACAGCCACAGACTCAAATCTTCCCAGGATATCGCTAAACTTGCCATACAACGGCTGCACCGCTGTGTTTGCCAACAGGTAGCTGGTGATGATCCAGATGCCGTTTGACATGTCCCCAAACTCGTTGGAAATATCAATGTAAACGGTTGCCAAAATGGTGGTATCCAGGGCAGAAATAAAAAATAGCAGCACGAGCCCGACAACAATAGCGTGAAGGCGCGTCTTAGAGATTTCTTCCTTATTAAACATCTGGCTGCTTGCCGCCAAACTCGATGAATCCATTGGTTTTATGTCAGTTATGTTGATGACCTGGCTGTCTTTGCTCAAGCTGTCCACGACCGTGCTTGCCTTGCTGGAAACCTTGTGGCTACTGATTTTTTGGCTGCCGCTGTCCCCATCGTTGTTGTTGCTATTTCTGGCACCCGGGAACTGTAGCGCAATGCTCAATGTCCCATCTTGATCAACGACTAGTTGTTGTGTCATGGTATTAATAAAAATATTGGTTTGTGTCAAGGTTTATATCATATAAAAGGCTATTGAGTTGGGCTTGTTGTTATCAATTTAGTTTTTTTTTTGCAAGCCAGACTTTGCTCCACTTTTTATTTATAATTTGCCTTCGATTTATGAGCACTACAAAAAATTATTGTTTGGATGCATGTATTCTTACGTCCATAAATCCTACTGAAACCACTTCACAAGAACAATGCCATGTAAAATTGAAAAATACACGAACAAAGATGGGTGACTAGCGTGTAAGTATAGTCAAAATTGTAAACAATTAGAGGCTGAAAAAAAGACAATTGCAAAAAAAATTGCCATGAATATTTCTACAGAAGAAAAGGCTATACGCACTGCTTTATCAAAAAATTCCAGCATATTTTATTAAGATGCAATCATCGTATTTTATATTGGTGGCTTATTGTGTATATTGCATTTATTTTAATAAGGATACTCCGATGTATGTTATTGTCTGCCCATATATCGTAAAAAAAGCCCCACTATGATACAGGCCTTTAACACGTATTTGAAGTTTTGTAAAAGTTAATGAATGCTGGGAAACTAACCAGCTGAACAATTGATAACAACCATGGGAATAAGTAATATAAATTCAAGAGCCATGCCAATGTGAGAACTGTAGTACAATATGGCATTGAATGACTCAGCTACCAAGTGAGGTTTTTAATGAACGTAATCGCGGCCTTTCATAATTTTTGATTGAAATTTGCCACCTTAAAATTAATGTGACGACCAGTTGCATACACCTGATTACGGATGGATTTATTATCCAGCGGGCAAATTTATGCACGTGAATGCAGTCTTATTGGTATTCGGTTCTACTCAACTACATTAGTGAATATTTGAAAATATTGTATTTTAAACATGTATCTGAAATTATATTGCGCAGCAATAGCAACCACTTTAAAACATTCCAGTATCCTGATAAAACTAACCCATGTTTTGAAGAATGTGGATAGTGTAACCTTTTAAAAGTTAAACCTTGTGGGCAGAATTACATGGGAGCCGCCCAGTTGTCTATATGTATTTGGTTTGTTTATTCTCTTCTTAAAACAGTAGCTACTTGTATTATAAATGCCTGTTGATATAAATACTTTTGTATCGGGTTGTTGTAACTGCTCATGAATGACAAATGCAGAATCATCGGTGCGCCAGATATCCGCCGTGGACTGATAATGCATGTAGTAGATTGTGCAGCCAGTCAGATCGCACAAAGTATTGTTTGTAAAATGACATGCACTTGATTGAAAATCCCATGCTTTTTGCTTGATTTTAGCACTAGGAAGATCAATTTTGTCTAAAAATAAAAAATAAACGCAAAACAAAGTCCGGGATTATACAGAATTGCAGGATATCTGGGCTAATGTTGTGGCTTGAAAATACAAACCAAAACCAAAACAAACATGTGAAATAAAAAACAAATTCAAAAAATACCGTTATTAGCCATGCACAGCCCGCACACATCTATAAAAAGCATTTCAACCCTGTTTTGTATTCCGATTAATATTTGCATCTACTCGTCAGTCTTTTAGTTCTTTTTACAACTATCATAACAAATGCAAAAGCAGGTGGAATAAACCCTTTTTAAAAAAGCCGAGTCAGCAGTACTTCTTTCTAGTAAGATGTTTTGTGCCAAGCTCTTTATTGCCAACTCGAAAAAAGATTAAAATGATCCACCCATTCTTAATGGTGATTCTGCTGGTGCATGTCCGTCTGCCACATAAACACTAATTTTTTGTGTGCAAGAAAGTATACATAGATAAATATATTTTCAACTGCCCTTGAAAGCCCTTTCTTTTGTTCGACTGCTGATTCAATTGTATTATTTTTTATTTGAATATCAGCATCTCTTACTCTTATCAATTGCTTTTGACAGTACAATGGGCGCAGCAGTATCCCTTGGCAGCATACCAGAGTATCAGTCACTTTACTATTTCTCCAAAAAAAACACTTCTGCTTCGACCGAACAATTCCGCGTGCAACTCATAGCCTGCGACACTGCTCCGCTTGCGGGTAGTGGCAAAGTTTTGGTGGCCAATGTGATTAGAGCAACTTGCCCATCGCTATTCAGCTCCAAGGGTGAACGCATGATTCCTACTCCCTCTATGCGTGATGGAGGGACACAGACAATATATCCTGTACTTCGTACACGCAGACGCGACAAACATACTGATATTGAATACGACCGCGAGACTCTCACCATGTATGACGGTGGAAAAGTGTCTCTTGATTGGTATCCCAAAAGACCAGTGCCAACCATTCCCTTGTCGGACGTGTCTTCTACAAGCTCCAGTATTACAATTGGCACAAGCACACCGCCAATAGTTGTTATACTCCCAGGGACATTCAGTTCAAGTCGAGAGTACTATATCCGACATTTGGCCAAATCACTTCACACTCGCGGCCCAAACAGATGCCATGTTGTTGTGCTCAACCACCGCGGATGCAACCGTACACCTCTAACTACACCCCGACTACACAGCTTTGACTATACTGGAGACTTAGAAGAAACCATTGCGCACCTGTCTACGCTTTACCCCTGCGCGCTGCTAGCCGCTGTGGGGTACTCGCTTGGTGGAAACATTTTGACAAAATACCTGGGGGAGCAAGGCAAAAACTGCAAGCTGTCTGCCGCTATAACAATCTGCTGTCCATACGATGTGACCAAGCTGTATGCAAAATTAGACGAGCCTAGCTTGTTTAACAAATACGTACTGCAGCCAAGTCTTTCGAGTAGAGCAAAGGCATATGTTAAAGACCATATCGATGTAATCCAAGGCGGCTCACGCCAGTACGATCTGGATGGATTTTTTGCGTCCAAGAATGTCACGGAAATGAACGCTTTGCTTACCGCTCCTCTTTCAGGATTTGAGTCCTGCGAGCAGTATTACCGCGAGTCTTCCAGCTGCGCTTACGTGCCAAAAATATCAACGCCGCTCTTAGCGATTAACAGCAAAGATGATCCATTAGTTCCGGTTGATGCTATTCCAATCAACACTTTTAAAAACAACCCAAGCACAGTGCTAATCCTTGTGGATAATGGGGGACATTTAGGATTTCTTACGGGGGTTGTTCCAAAGATTTGGTATATTGACCCGGTCATTCAGTTCTTTTCTGCCTTTTTGTAAAGTTAACTACATTTCTTATTAATAAATACTGACTGGTTTAAATATTTAATTAAACAATATATTAAGGTAAACCTTATGAGTGTCATGCACTAAGGATATAAGATATAACAACTATGAGTAATGTGGAATTGCATTTAAAAAGGTACACAATGTTGTGTGTTATGCCTGGTTGTGTCCGGCTCCAAAAGGCTTACAAAAACAAAAAGTTTTTTAAATAGTTAATCCAAAGCAACTAATAAAAACATTTAAATGTATATAATGTTGGCTAGTGGGTGGATGAGAAAATGTAAAAAAAGTATATACGTTTAAATAAAGCACGGCATACCAATAAAAGTTTCACTGTGGCAATACTCTCATGGGAGCAATAAGCCCGAATTAATTTTTGTTTTCTTGATTATTTACAGCATCAAGAAAAATTATGCATTTACGAGTACATATGATTAGTGCTAGAATATGAAGGCTGGCTAAAAACATTGAAATTAAACAATATTTTTAAAATCATGTGCACAAATTTCAACACTTGTACGTAATGCACAAGCGCACTATACCGCCAATATTATTTAATAATGAGTATTCCACTAGAAAGCTTTGCCGCCACTTATTTACCAATGAGATTTAAAATGCAAAAAAAACTATTAGTTGAGGTTCTGTGGATTCCATGACTTACTATCATTTATTGTTTTCTTGAAAATAATTGTATTTTTGAAAATATTAGAAACTACTGTAATTGTTTTACTATTAAGACAATTTGATTTAAAAGCGGAAAAGTAATATACGGACAATTCAAAAAAGATTGCAAGGTGAAAAATAAAAAGCTCCCAGGGAAACAATGGCGTCAAAGCCCGTTGTATTCTGCATTTGATTTTTATTTAAATACAATGTGCCGAATACTCTACAAAAAGAATCCTTCATTAGTGACCAGCTGCTTCCAATCCAGAGAACATATTTAAAAACGGAAGTTATCATTTGGTGTTTGCATGTTTACTTGAATTGTACTAACAAGTGCCTTTTGTTTTTTTTGAATTGATTGTCTCAAAAACAATAAATTATTATCGAAATTGTCTTATTCTGTTAATGTGTTTGAATAGTTTTGCCTATTTTTGATTTATTAATTTTTTGATTATAAAATTTAATTAAAGAAGCGCCCCCTATTTATCATTATATTGCAATTTTGCAGTTATTAACAATTCTCAAAACACAAAATGTATTAAACCATATCAGTTTAGGGACGGAACATTGGCTGCTTTTTTAGCTCTGAAGAAAAAACATTTATTAAAGAATTCCTTTTTCGAATCTCAATAATTTGCAGCTTAAATATATGTTTTTCTTTCAATCGCCTTTAATTTTTTTTGGCACAGCCAATCGCCAAGCATTTAACAATAAAATGGCCAATTGTTTGCAACTGTACAGATTAACTCATATATAACCACAATACTCACGTAGTAGCGCTACACATTATTGTTGCCGATATTGACAAGCAATTCAAGAGCCACATTTGAACCTGGATGGTCCACAGAAAAATATATATATATCAATACAATGTGGGTAGATAATGAAAGTCAAATACCAACATATGAATTGTTCTCGCTTTTCCGCAATAATTTATATAATCGCCACATTATTCAAAAACAGGTTTATATTGTTCAAGTATTTTTGGTTCTTGCATGCAGAGCCAATAGATGCAAACATAGCTAACGAAACGCATTTGCACATATAATCGGTAGGTATTTAATAAACGAGAACAATTGTTCGTGGCTTAAATGCGTGCATTGTGCTTTATGGCTTTTAAAGACTTTGGCTATATATCACCGAGTAGTACTCTTTTGCTGGCAAAGTCATTACTGGCATAAAAATTTAAAATTGATTTATCTCTCAAGGTGTAGTGTTTTTCTAGTGCCTAAGGCTATAAGGCGGCTTGGAGACTCAGACCGGCAATCCGAGCAGAAGCCTGCAAACTTAACCAGATAATTGCACCAACTCAGAGCACCGGATGTCGCGTTGGGTTTATTCATTCTAAATACAAAGCTATGCAGTGTTTATGAATGAACCTGTTTTTAGCTTGACAATAACAGTTGCGGAAATTGATGCAATTTCGCGATGAATCAATAGAATATTCCTTTTCGATTGTGTATGTCCGTGCGGTGCACCTGGTGCCCCTCAAACATCATAGTTGTGTTTTTACATATATACTGAGCCACTTCCACTATCAGAATGGGTTTTCCTCAGTTTTTTTAGCACATTCTTATATTCCTCTTACCAGCATTTCTTTTGACTGCCACCTAATTATCACACCTGTTATCTTTGGACTGGCTTTACAACGTTATTTTAGTTTTCAGCATCCACATTTATTAGTTTTTTTACTGCTGCGACCTTTTCCAACGTACATTTTTAACAAATATTATTTTTTACTTTTACTTTTAATTGTTTATTATAATGGGCGCAGCACTATCGATCAGTAACGTTGCGGGTTCTCACTCGCTTCCCCATTTTTTGCAAAAGCGTCCTCGCTCGTCAGCCAAGCATTTTGCTGTACAACTCATTGCCTGTGACACCGCTCCGCCTACAGATGGCGACAAAGTTTTGGTGGCCAATGTGATCAGAGCAAACTGTCCATCACTAGTCAGTGCCAAGGGTGAACGCATGATTCCTACGCCTTTCATGTTAGATGGAGGAACGCAGACCATATATTCCGTACTCCAATCCCGCAAGCGCGACAAACATACCAATGTCGAATACGACCGCGAAACTCTTACTATGCATGACGGTGGCATGGTGTCTCTTGACTGGTATCCCAAAAAACCGGTACAAACAATTATTAAGCCTGACGAGTCGTCTACAAGCACCAGCAGCACTATCGATGCTTGCTCATCACCGATAGTTGTAATACTTCCAGGATCAATGGGTTCAAGCAAGGAGTACTATATTCGTAATTTGGCCAAATCACTTCACACTCGCGGCCCAAATAAATGCCATGTTGTTGTGCTTAACCACCGCGGATGCAACCGTACTCCAGTAACTTCTGCGCGTTTGCACAGCTTTGACTATACTGGAGATTTGCAGGAAGCTGTTGTTCACTTGTCTACGCTTTACCCTAGTGCACCGCTGGCTGCTGTTGGGTTTTCACTTGGCGGAAACATTCTGACAAAATACCTGGGGGAGCAAGGTGAAAACTGCAAGCTGACAGCTGCTACAACAATCTGCTGCCCGTACGACGTAACCAAGCTGTATGCAAGACTAAATGAGCCCAGACTATTTAACAAGCATGTGTTGCAGCCAAGCCTGTCAAGTGCGGCAAGAAGCTTTATTAGGAAGCACGCTGATGCAATTCAAAATGCCCCGGACGAATACGATATTGATACCCTCCTTAAAGCCAAGAATGTTACGGAAATTGACACCATGCTCACTTCGCGCATTTCAGGATTTGATTCTTGTGAGCAGTATTACCGCGAGTCATCCAGTGGTCCATACGTGCCAAAAATTGCGACGCCGCTCTTGGCGATTAACAGCAAGGATGACCCGATGGTTACAGTTGATGCTATTCCAATGGAGGCTTTCAAAAACAATCCCAACACTGCGTTAATTCTCGTTGGCAATGGTGGCCATCTGGGCTTTTTTACTGGTATTATTCCAAAGATTTGGTATATTGACCCAGTAATTCAGTTTTTCACTGCTTACCTTTAAAATGAATACTTGCTCATTTTAATACAAATATCAAATCTCATAGTATTTTAACATTCTATGTTTATATTGCATTTTACTTTAAATATTAATTAGTGTGGAAGCAAAGTACCTGCTAAAATTTTTGCCATTGACATTGCTCAAGTAAATTATTATTTTTCGACTTTATCAGGTGGCTACCTAGTTCTATGCGCCTTGACTAACCTTAAAATGTATACTATCAAAGATTATTATTAAGACTAATTTGTTGAACATAATTGGTTAAACATATTTTTGGGGTTACATAAATAAAACTAATAATAAAATTAGAGCAGTTAACGCTCGGATTGGTTGTAATAGTCTAGGTGCCTGATGTGAGCGGCGCTCAGCTTGAGCGGCGGCATGGCAGCAGCATCGGGGACTGAAATCGGTGCGTACAGCCGCAACTCATCGAGTGCTACAATGCAGTGGTCAGGACAATCAGTCAGGATTTGCCCCTGACATAGACCATCTCCAATTGAAATCCGAATGGCCCGTTCACTTGAAGCGTCCACATTCAGAGACGAGGTTTTCTTGGAAGACAGGACAAAGTTGGCGTAAGCAGTGTCTCTGGAGCCAAAATGCTTTAGTGCGCAAATTTTACTACCTGGCTCATAGAAGGAGCCGGCATTCGTGTAGCAAGCCGTACTCATTGACACCAGCATGCTGCGTTTGCTGTAAGAGTCTGTCAGGACAATATGGTCGGCCAAAAGTGACTTTGTATCGACCTAGCACTCCTTCTGCAGTCCATCCTTGCGCAGCTTGGGCATCCACATGTGTAGGTAGCGATTCCGATCAAATATGCACTTGTAGATGGGCTTGCCCATGATAAGCCACCACAGAGAGTTGGCTGCAAAATGGTTGGTCGACGTAATCAGTATGCGCAGAGTATAGTTTACTAAGTACATCGGGTTTATGTAATTCACGATTTTCGAGATGAGAAGACCGACAAGAATTATTGCGCACGTGGCCATCATCTCGTGGGCCTTGTTGAACGAGCTCTTGATGTTGCGAACCATCCAATATGTAATGGCTACCATGGACCCGCTCACCTAGAGAAAAGCAAAAAACAAAGTAAGAAAATTTTGGCGATAAGTACAGATGTCGAGTTTTGGAATATACTCAGTCGCCATAGATGGCTTGATAAATTGTGAGTTCAGCCCAACGCCAAGTGCACACAGCCAGTAGATGGCAAACGGCAAGTAAAGGCCCAGCTCGTGGAACGGCCTGTGCAAGTAAAATACACGGTACAGTCCGTATGCCCTAAATGCGGTCAGAGAGCACATGCCGCCCGCACCAATGATAACCCGCATCCACAGGCCAAACGCCTTGCAGTTGGGCATAAGCATGCCAGCGACAGACATGCGTATCTGACTGCAGGTTGCTGGCAAACCACACAACAGAAACAACAATGATCAGTCCCATGACTATGACATTTTTGGACTTGATTGGCGCGTAGTTCCGATTCCACAGCATGTACACAACCGCTAAAAATTGAACAAATAGACTATCAAAATGACAATCAGCATGATCATGTCGGCCATGCCTCGCGGATCCAACTTTGGTTCCATTTCCTCAGCGTTCTTTTGGCGTTGCAGCTCACTCTCAGTCAAAGTAAAAAACAGTTGGTTGCCCATTGTTTAAAAATAAATGTTAAATATGTTCAGTGGTCGAGTTTTTTGATAGGAATGTGTTTGGTAGCAGGATAAAGCGTAGAAATCTAAATTTGTAAAATAAAGTGTAATTAATTAGTGATGCTGTGTAAATAATAAAAGACCTTAATAATATTAGTAGGGTATCCTTAAATAATATAAAGTAAAAGAAACTGAGGATACACATTGCATTTTTAACAATAAGGGAGTACCGCGTGCTTATATATGTATACAAATTTGAGCTTGTGTGCTGTCTTGCACACTGGTATTTGAAACTCTGTCAAAAAATTATTCGCTGTCGCTGTCAACACACGTACAGTTTTTTGTTTTCTCAAAAAAAGCAACATTATTATTCAGCAGCACACATTTTTTTAATACTTTATTTTTTGTATTTATTTTTTATAGTATTGCGCTAATAAGTGCAGCATATCGCTAGCAGCTTTCCATGTTTACTTCCTTTATGCACATGAAACATTAATTATGCATATATTTAGAAATTGGAGATAGGAGAGTTCTCTGTGTTATCATGGAATTGCCAGTGTTTGTAATGTCTCCATAGACAATATTTGGAGGAACAAATTGGACGGCATGTAGCAAACTAAAGCAAAACTAGTCAAAACAAAATAGATCGACGCGAGGTGCACATTTAGAGGATGCAATAAAGCAAGCAGCGAACCATCTAGCAATGCAATTAGCCCATGTGCATAGTGGGATACTACTGGGCCGGCTATCAATTCAAAATTATTGTTTATCTGGTACAATTTTTTAGTACAGCTTATTAAGAATGGTATTAATGTTGATGTCTCGGTTGAAATGTGCGAGTTTCTGCCCATGTTGATCCCAATAGCCTGTCGATCTGGATCCTCACAGGGTTCCCATTTCATGATAGATATAAAAACATCACATTCTAAATATAAATTCAGGAGTAATTGTGCAAATTGGTTTATTTTTAAAAATGCACCAAAACTATTGTTATTTTGGAATGTTGCCATGTATTTTTATTAGGTTATGCGAGTGGCGGAATATACACAACATATGTGCAATGGTGTTCGATAACAAATATCAGCGGGTTTTCAATAAAAAAACTGTGTCGTGCTCTATAAAAATGTGGGTCTAAATCGATATATTCAAGTCTTAAAAATTACTTACTTAACTGAAAAAGGGGGCAGCGCTGTGTGGGCAGCGCTGTAAACATCATGGTATTCCTTGATGTCAGCCAGCAATAACAGAAATGTGTATAGTGGCCATGATGGCGATCTTGATTCTTGAAAAGGGAAGATAGTGGCTTGAAATGTGTGTTGGGCACCACAAACTGCAGATCGCAGATTTAAACGACCGGAACATCCCAATTTAAGATTCGTCATGTTTTGCTTTTTGTGCTGCTAATTTAATATCAATTTATAAACTTGGGTAGTCCAAGTGACTTGCACAAATGGACAGGATAGAGTATACAAAATATGTGCATGATTAAATTGTAAAGGCACTGTTGTGATTTTTGTGCTAATTTCCGACAGATCCAGCACTGCCAAGTCGGATTTACTTGGGAATATCTTTTTTTGCAGTGCACTTTGTCTGGAAACCAAATAATTGGTAGGAAGCAGGTGTGTCAAAAGTGCGCCTTCAATGAGCTGTGAATTTACTACTTTATTTTGAAATCAGAAACTGCTCTGACATCTGTGCATGTCGCTGTTTGTGGCCTTTTGTATTGTCAATTTTGATCCCACTCAAAATAAAGCGTCTAATTGCTTGTTTACCTTGCAAATGGCGTGTATCTTTCTTTAAACGCATTGTTTTCTATCTAACTTGTTATTCATAATAAAAAGACAGCTTTGATAACAGTTTGAACGGTTCTTCGAGTTTGGGTTGCCAGTATCTCTGCAAAATGAGCAATGTCAAATATTTTATTGAATTAAATCTGAAGACGCTTAAATGAATAGAAATGTTTGTAAGCACATTGCCTATGGCTTTTGGTTCCTATAAGGCTTGAAGCGTAGTTCCCGTCAAATCTTCCGCCGCCGAGAGAGTTCACATATGCTGTCAGTTTTTCAATCTCTTCTGGAGTCCAATTGCTGCTGTACATGTAGGATTCCCTCATATTAATCGCTGTTTTTAATGTGTTTGCTGGAACATCAAGCTGCGTTGCGACCTCTTTCAATATGGCCTTGCCCTGTGTTATGCGGTTGGTGATCTCCACGATATCAGCACTCGCTATCCTTGCTTTGTAAACTGGATGATGATATAATCTGTCACTAAGACACTGATGACTAGAATTACAATTGAACTGTAGCTCCTCTCTGACCATTCGGCGAACTTGGTATACGGGGTATTTGTCAATATACTTGTCGACAAGGTCTGTAATCTGCTGCTTGGCTTGTTCAGATATCGGCGGGCTTCTCTGATTGCTTGGCGATTTAACAAATATATAACGCACACTTTATTTATTAATAAGCGGAGATAAACGGTTGGCAATATTTTCAAACGAAAGCCCCTGTTCACGCAGAGATTTGGCCTGTGCAATCCGCGCGTCTGTCCACCGGAACCTCCCATGCAACAGCTCGTGCATTCTGATGCAGTCTTCAATTCGGATCCACATAAAATTGGAGACAGCTTTAAAGTTGGTTGGCAGCGGCTTTGGATAGTTCGACTCGATAAACCCAGACATGCGGTTGGCCATGTCCCAAGAGAATGTGTCCATGTTATATGCCCAACTAGCCTTGCCTTCGTCGAATTGGCTGAGCTCCAGGCACTCGAGCTCGCTGAGCCCTGTTGCGCTGCTGACTCGCGCCTAGTCGACCTCTCCCAGAGATAATTGCTGCTGCTGCACCTCACGAGTCACACTGTCGGCTTTAGATGGCTGTGATTCTGACAGAGCTGCCGCCTCCTTTATTGATTGTAATGCTTGGTAGTGCATGTAGCAGCTATTAACAGGACGACAAAGAGCCTCGCTGATAATATCCCAATCAATGGCGCCCTTCCTTTTAAACGTATCAACCATCAGCAAGAGTCGTCTGTCACCGTTGCTGGTCCATTTTTCATTCTTGTATTCGTTATTCTTGCCCAGCACACCTAAATGACAAATATAAATGTAAATATTTAAATCAGTAGCATGTGGCAAAACAGACATAAAACACATGTGCAGCAATATTTGGAGCAACTTACCTTTGCTCCGAATATAATTCATTTTATTGCCACATTGTATGGGCATTCTGGTCCCGATGTACCGCGAAGTCTCTGTTGTGCCCATCCCCTTGTCCATGCAAATTCTCAGCTTTTGCAGCTCACTGTCGGTCCACTGGTCAGAAAGATCAACGTGGCTGTACTTGATCCAGCTGTGCTGTGCGCGTCCAGGAAATGTGCCCAGCTCGTTGTCAATCCGTGCCCAGTCCTCGCCATGCTTGCTGACCATCTGCCTCAGCTTAACCATATCGCTCAGACAGAATGTTAAATGTTTGGCAGGTGCCAATAATTTGGAACATATGTTCCTAATGTTTTTCAGTGGTTTGTCTGGGAACTCGCGCTGTACCATTACCGCCAGTGTTTTAGTGTCGATAGAGTGGCGATGCTCCCATATGATATCCTTAATCCACTGTCGTTCGGCCTTGGCCCACTGCACAGCCTTCACGTCGTTTTTCTTCGATGTGTCTTGTCGGCTCACGTATTGAGAATACGAGCTAGCCAAGATTGTGTATGACAAAAAGTATGGATACATCAGGTAAATAGCCTTCCAGCTTACTCCCTGAGTACGGTGTCTGTTGAGATCATCAATCAATTTTGCTGTTATGCGAGGGTGCTGCCAAAAATCGAATGCCTTGAAGCAACCAGAGTCATTGGTGTTCATGTACACGTCTGCTAAAACCCAGTCGCCAGTTGCCTTTTCGCCAAAGTGGTCTGCAACAAACTGAGTCAATACTTTGCGGTTATCGACAGTCCATCTGTGAGGGATGGGCATGGCGCGTGGCTGAATTGAAGACTGTGTCAAGTCAAACAGCCGCAGGCAGTCAATGAGCGGCAAGCCAAACTCAGTGGCCAGCGCCTCCCAGTTGCACCGGGCAGTGGCTGCGTCAAAGAATCTGTTAGCCGCTGCCTCAGTAATCTGCTTTCTTAGCTCTAGTCTTTTTTGGACCTCAGCATCGGCTTGCGCCAGGATCTGCTGGAGTCTGTCTGCGCCCAGGTGGTACTTGTTTGCCAGAATGTGTCAGGGGATCGTCGAGTCTATAGCCTGGATCTCGCGGATATGCTGTACAATCTCGCTCTTGCGCTCGGGCGTCAGTTCAATCGAGGGCACAGCGGCGTACTGCCTGACACTGATGGCTGAGCGCTGGAGATAGGATAATGACACCGCGAGTGAGTGTTTGGCTGGTTTATTAAAGAGGCGGGCGGTTGCTGGCAGCAGCGGCAATAGCAGCAGCGCGCGCATTGGCTTCGAATGACACACAGCCAGCATGAATTAGAAAAATAATAATAAAAATTGAATTGAGCTGCAAATGCAAAAAAAAGAAAAAGCAGAAAAGAAAGCTGAAAGAATGCACTGATAAAATGAAATCAGAAAAAGGCAGTCGTCGAATTGTTGCTACTGCATTGAGAAAACCGCGCAGGAAAATTCCTCCTTTTGAAAATCCCCGAAATAGTGCTGTTGCGCACCAAGAATAGCCAACCGGTCGGCCTGCTCGTTTCCCTCGATTCCCTGGTGACCGCGGACATGTGTGAACTCCACAGCCTCCTGCAATTTCTTAATCAAGCTCCGGCCCTTCAGGATCAAATCCTTGTTCTGCACTGGCTGGCCACCGGTGGTCCTCCAGCCGCTGCGCTGCCATTTGTTCCCCCACTCGATCAAGCTCTTCCAACTATATTCTGAGTCCATATGGATATGGATATTCCATTCTGGGATAACCCATGGGCATACATATTATTGTTTCTCTCGATGGACTTGTTGATAGCAGTCAGCTCAAAGCGCTGGTTAGTCTGATGTGACCTGTTGAGAAACCCAGATACGTTTAGCGAGCTGGCATCGTCAGTTTAAACCACAGTGTTGCGACCGTAGTCGCCAGCAGCGCGATGAGGAGCAGCACTTGGGCGCTAGTATACATTGCCCGACGATCTGCATGAGCCTGATGAGCGTTTAACACCACCACCGTATTTGCTGTATCTTCTTGAAATTAATTTAAAAAGAGAAAACTATGTTGATAGTCAAAAAATGAGTACTAAAGAAATACTTGATGGTTTTTTGTGGAAAAATGAAGCGGTTTTGGACATCTCGGGAGGTTGTCCTGGTACTTATTCCTTTGTGAAGCTGAATCCCCTCGCTAATTTTGCAAATTTTGTATTTGGAAATTAAATAGGTTCGTTTCTCATACCAATCCTCGGTTTGAATAATATGCCCCAATACATTGGATGTTGACACTAAATTATAGCAAATACACCACAAAAAATATTGATTGTAAGCCGATTGTTCATACCAAATATTTGATGGTTTTATTTTGGCGATTAATAATGTGAGATTTGAAGGAGAAAAAGGCGTCTTATTACAAGAGATTGCCTCTCTTTTCAAAAACAGGGTCACATGCGCACAAAATACAATTTATTTGTCTAAAAAATCAAAGTCCATAAACTTTTTCTATTTAAAAAAATGGGTGTATTGTGTGTGTAGTGCTCGTTCAATCCTTAGTAGTCTTCTTGTTCGAGTACTCGGACCAACCGGGTCTGTAAATATAAAGGTTTTCTTTATAGTCCTTAGCAGCAAATATATCGGCAGCCTTAGCAGCTCTGCCGCCCACCTGGCAGTGAACAACCACGCCCTTGTCCTGTGCCTCGGGACTGGGCAGGACAAAGTTATACTTTGCAGTAAAGTCCTCTGGCGACAGTTCCAGGGCGCTGTTGAGCTCGGGCAGGGGGACATTGTGGGCGTTGGGGATATGACCTCCTTCGAATTCGCCCGGGTTGCGCACATCGATGATGGTCATCTCGCGGCCATTGAAGGGGTTTCCATCAGAAACATTCTTGATTTCGTCGAAAACGAGTTCAGGGACGCTGCTGGACATGCTTGGTAAGAATACGGCTTTGAGGACGCGGATAATGATATAAGCTATGGCAATGTAGAGGGCAATATTCATAAGTAAAAGACAGGAGTACTTTTATTAGCAATGGATTGATAAATGAGAATAGGAGAGAATAGGAGAGAATAGGAGAGGATAAGGAAATAACAAAGGAAGTGCTGACAAAAGCCACTGTTTGTAATCTAATCTATTACCACCCGGGAAAAGGATAGGGGGGTGGAAAGGGGGAGGGGATTGGGCAAACTGATAGCAAAATTCGTGGCCTAGATCGCATTGGTTTAAAATGGCCCCAGTGGATCAATCTCTATGTTCAAGTAATTTCGTAGCTGTTGATCTTGATCAAAAACGCAAGTATCCGAGCATGTAAAGAAAAATAAACAAAACCCCAAAATGGAGATGGTGCACCCTTGTTTTTATATATATATATATAATTTTTTTTTGCATTCCACTTCAATTATTGCCATTATAAATTTAAACACCCTTCTATACAAGACAAAAAATGACAAGGACAGAGGAGTCAGAGTACGAGAGACAGCGCTTGGAGAACATCCGAGAAAACCAAGAGCTGCTGCGATCCCTAAACTTGGCCAGCGAGACACCAGCGGTAGCCAAAGTGGTAAACAAGGGCAGGGCGCAGCCACGAGCCAAGCGCAGCACTAGCAGCAATAGTGTCCGCAGCAGCAGCAGTGGCAGCACGGCAAAGAATCCTGCCGGCATCAAAGGCGAGGACAGCAGCAGCGACAGTGACGCCGCAAAGGGCGAGAAAGACGATGCCGATGAAGACTACGGGCCGGCGACCAAACGGAGGCGAGGCACGGTACAGCCTACCCGGCAGTCTCGGCGATTGCGTGGAGAGAGTGCCGGCGAAATCACCGTGGCTGAGGCTGAGGCGGTTGAAACTGGCGACTTTAGCGGGCTGCTACAGACGGGCGAGGAGCGGTTTGGCAGCGTAGTGGCCCAGGAGGCGGTGCGCGTATCCGGGCATTATAGCGGGTGGGTCGAGCCTGGCGTGATGGGGCGGTTGGGTATTCTCGGCAACGCAGCCGAGGCGTGGGAGAGCGAGGGCGGCGGCAAGTTTTCCTTTGCCGATCCGCTGGGCACGGGCAAGAAGATCCACAAGCGGATGACTGGCGGCCAGTCCGTCGCGCGCTTTGTGGCAGCGAAGTTGCTGCGCAAGAACCCCAACTCGTACTTTTACCGCCATACTGAGCCTGGCGTCGAGCAGTGGACGGGCGAGTGGACGGAGAACGAGCGGCTGGAGTTCGTGCGTGTTGCTCGCGAATTTGGCTGCGGCGATAAATGGGGCCTGTTTTCGACGTATCTTCCGCATCGTGTCGGCTACCAATGCAGCAACTACTACCGCCAGTACGTGATCCCGTCCGGCTGGGTCATTGATGACAACTACCGCATCGACAGCGCTGGCAACGCCGTGTATGTGGGCAGCCACCGGCGCAGCGCACGCTGACAAGGCAAGGTGCTTTGCTTCGTTGTGCATGATTTGTTTTGCATTAATAATTTAGAAAACCCACCAAGAGCCCTCAGTGCTTGTAAATCTGGAATTGGTACAGTATGACTACCTGGATAGCGCAGGGGATCAGAGATCCGAGCAGCCACGGCACATAGGGAGCTAGGTACTGCGGGTCCAGGGACACGACCATGATGGCCAGCGCATACGTGGTGTTGCCCAGGAGCGACAGCAAGAACAGCCACATCGACAGGCCCTCGCAACTCTTGCGCCTGTAGTTCTGTACTACCTGCGGCACATACGACGCAATGTACACGATGGCTGACAACATCCCCATGGCCTGCGCCACGGTCTGGGCCGCCGACTTCTCGCTATTGCTAATGATGCTTCTGCTTCTGCTTCTGCTGCCGCCGTAGTCATTGCCATCGGACTCGACCGGCAAAACGGTAAATGCAAGTACCATGACCAGCAGACACCCTATGGCCGCTAGCGACAGGACGACAGCCAATACGTCGCTCAGCTGTATCCTCGAGTACCACACTCCTCGCGGCATAATTTCGTCGGCCAATGCTTGCCGCGAGCCACCCAATCCGGCCGCTTCGTCAGTCTGTCTGCCAGAATACTCGCGATTATCACCCTGCGCACCGGCGCCCAGCAGCTGCTCCTCCTCTTCACGGCTCTGCTCTTTAGCGACCAAGTGGGTCTTGTACACTATGCGGTAGTAGATTGTCTGGCTAAGCATCGTAAGGTCGACACACAGAAAGTATGAGCCAATGAGTATGGTAGACAGAACCAGCCCCTGCAAAAGGGCGCCGGCGATGTTGAAAATGTCGCCGAACACCCAGGCCATCATCATCAACAGGCTGACTCCTTCGCCGCTCCTGCGCCTGTAGTTGAGCCGGATCTGGGGCAGCATCACAACCATCCAGCTTGCCAGGGATATGTAGCCGATGGCATTTGACAGCACCTCCCTAGAGGTCTCTGCTGCTATTAGCGACACTGCTGGCGCTATGAACATGGGTCGGTATTTGGGTAGTCAGTCGGTGGATGTAATAAGCAGGTGGATATGGAATGAATGATGATATTCAAAGATCCAAAAAAATAATTCTTGAATAAAGATAAAAAAATAAAAAAAGTGGTAAGCCAAAGAACATAGAACGAAACCAAAGAGCATAAGACGTAATTTTGCGTCTATATTTTTTTGACTGTATCAGGATTCCAATGCGGCTTGAAGCAGTCAATTGAGTTGGTTGCAGTCACGACCATAGAGCGCTGCTTTTACGCAATAGTGCAGTGTGAGCCTTGTTGCAATAAAAAAAAGGAAAGAGGCATTCCATTGTGTTGGAGCTCAATCCGATTGGCCACTTTGTAATCGCAACTGAAATAGGATAAGATTTTAACTTAAAAATATTTTATTAGGTTGCCTTATCTTTTCTTCTGCTGCTCTGTCTGCATGACCGTCTGTCTGCCTGCCCGTCCTTTTTCACTTTTACTGCTCAAAAAGGAAGGCGGAAAAAAGCGGTTGATTAAAAAGAAAGAAAACGTTATATTTTTGGTACGCCCTTTGACTTTTCGTCGAACTTTTTCTTGCCCCTTCTTTTTTTCGTCCCTTTTTGATTTTCACACTTTTTTTTTATTTCATATTGTTTGGTTAATTTTTCACTCTTCATTTTTTTGGATGATTTGAGCAGAGCGGGGGGCCATTGTATTTTTTTGTTTTGTTAAACATGTTTTTGAGCAAACAACAATAATAATAATAATTTTCCCTTTTATGCTTTGCCTTTAATTCCACTCAATTCCACCCTATATTGTTTTTTCTTTTTAATACTCTTTTTTAATTTCTTCTAATTTCCTCTATATACTTGCATTTACCTTTCTGTTAAATGGATGGGCAGTCGAGTAAACGGGACGTACAAAGCAACAATTCCGGCGACACAGGCCCGGTGTCAGCGCCAGTGTCATATACTTCGAGTTTGAATTTTCCTGGCGCTACTCCAGCTGCTCAGACGTTCAATTTGTCTTCAATCAGCATTCCGGTGGATGCTGGGGGCAACCCACTACCCTGGTCCAGAGACTCGGTAGTCCAGTGGGCCCAACAAAACGGGTTTTCGAAATTCATCCCCGCATTTATACGTAAGTTGACTTATGAAAACACTATTAAGCACCTTGTGGACGATTTTGTATAGCTTGCTACGTTTCAATGCGTGACTGACTTGGCTGTTTGTACAACGTGTTTTTCATTGGGTTTTGATTCCCGTGTAGAGTACGGAATTGAGGGATATAGGTTTTATACGCTCAAGCTTGAGGAGATACGCGAGATGAAAATACCTGGCGTCACAATGCAGGATCTCATTCAGCTCAACGCTGCCATATACAGGCTGAACGTGGCGTGCGCGTCGCCAGCCAACCGCAGCCACATGACAGGAACTCTCAGAGCAAAGCAGCAGCAGCAGCAGCAAAAACGAAAACAGCAACAACAACATCCGCCGGCGCCGGAAAAATCTCTGTCAGACACTGTATTGGGCCTAACCTCAATGGCCCAGCAATTTTCTTTACCGGGGTCGTTATCATCGGCAGCCAGCAATTCGCAGATACTCAGTCAGCCTCTGCAGCCCTTGCGTCCACCGCGTCCATCGTGGACTGTGCGCCGCGATGATCTGCAGCCCACGTATGCGCGCCAGCAGGTTCAATTGACGACCAATGGAATGGTGGCGGTGCCCAGGGTCCGCCCGACACCGGCGCCGCTTCCGCCATTGCTGGCGCCGCAGCATCAGCCTCCAGTAATATCCGCCGCTGGAGCTGCAGTGAGGCCGCTGGATCCGGCTCAACAGCTGCTCAACACCCAGAAGGAGGCATGTACTGTGCATCCAGTCCCGTTTTCCATAAACACCGGGTTGTTGCCAGTGTCTGATCAACAGCAGCAGCAGCAGCAGGCTTTGTCGCGGCAATGGGCCTCGCAGCAACGTACTGGCAGCGGTGCTTCTCCGCAGTCACCCTACCGTGATGGCCAGAACTCGGCAGACCGCGCATTACGATACGCCGGGTCGTCGACGTACCGCAGTCGCAACAGCGCCCATGTGGATTTCGACGAATTGCATCTCGTGCGGCCGGCCCAGTTGACGTGGTCCCCAACGCCTCAGCAGCAGCAGCGATCTACTGGACCGCGCGCCCAGCAGCAGTCTGTGGTGTCGCGGAGGCGAAGCGCAGTGATTGAGGTGTTTGACGACCTATTGATCACGCCAGAGCCTGTTGCGCAGGAGCACCCGGCATTGGCAGGTCCCACCGCCGTTACAACCGGCCGAGGCCCCCCGCTGGCGGGCCAGCAAAGACCTCATCCGCCTCCCCCTTCTCCAGGGACAGACAGCCTGTCGTCAATGACGCTGCCCGCGCGGTACCACGGAACCAATCATCCGCACTCGCCCTACTACGCCCACGGCACTTCTACTGCCACAGCATCGTTCAACTACAGACCTAGCACCGCGCCGACATCCAACCCAACAGCACCGCGCTCTGCACGTCCGCACGAGCCCATAAGAGATGCGGGACTGGCCACCACCGGAGGTAAGCACAACCAAACGCACCCATCGCGCACCTCAGCCGCGCAAATGCGAAGCCGTCGCGGTATCGGGGGCATGTTTTTCGATACCGCGCCTTTGAAGAAGAAGAGCTCGGTGGCGCGCAATCGCCGCATCTCACTATCCCCTGTGCTCAGCGCGCTTCAGCCTGGTAACTACCATATAGCCAACCTGCTCGATGGTCATATGGACGAGTCCTCGGACGATTCGTCGACGGGTCACCGAAACCTTTCGCCGAGTGCGCCCGTTGTCAGCAGGCCGCAGACTGCGCCTCAGCGTGCTGACGCTGTTGCTTCAGTATCCTTGGCAGCTCAGAGTGCTCTGCCTGCGGCAATCAATACGGCGCTGCTGAAGCGTGAGCTGGGGGTCTCTGCGCCATGTGATACAGGCGATTCAACCGTTACTCCGCTGTCTGTTGTCAATGTGCTTCCTGGCATTGACAGCTCGACCACGTCACCGAGTCATACGAGCTGGGACAGTCGGGCAAGTGACTCTGGGTTTCGGAATTTTGCAGACCATGCGCAGACACAGGAACCTCTGGAGGATTTTTCGTCTGAGCCGATACGGGAGAAAACGGCCATTTTCGATGCTGAGAGTATTGCCAGCGATCAGGAGTGCGTTGCGGCGGATAATAATGACGATGTGGTTCTTGACCTGATCGAGCATGCGGCGCTGATTGAAGAGGCCTTGTATCGCAACACCAAGTCAATGGATTTCTGGGATGCTGAGAATGTGGACGACAGATCACCGTCACCTATTATATTTGATGCTGAGGAAATCGACGGCGAGTCGGATGGTACGCTGGATATTTTTGATGCTGAGGAAGTTGGCGATGGGGACGATAATGCGTCGTCTGTACATATTGACGCGTACGAGACCGAGTCGATATTTAGCATGGGAGATTACCAGAAAGACCAGCCCTTGGAGCAACCGGCTCTGGAGCAAATATCTTTAGAGGCACCTTTGGAGCATCAGCAGCAACAGGTTGTGGATCAACCAAGCGTGGAAAAAGACGATGATCCTGCTTTGGCTGCGGTCGCAGTGGTGCAGCCGATGGCCTTCAAGGATGTTAACGAATCAGACTTGTCGGCGACTCTTTCTCCACAGCAGCCAAGGATGGCGGCAACATTCAAGGTTAAGGGTGTGCGGCACGTGCTGTCCTACGGCGCGGATTTCGACAAGACGGCGGCAACCTTGCTTTCGTCCATCAAATCCGATATAGCACGGAAGGCAGCAGCGGTCACAGGGAGCGGTTCCGGTGGTGGCGGCGGCGGCGGCAGCAGCAGCAGCAACTCTGGCGCTGTTGGTGGTGTCAATAGCAGTGGTAGCGGCGGTGGGAAGCCCATTCCCAGCGTGGCTAGCATTGCTGCAGCCATCGAGCACCACCAGAAGAAGCAGAAGAAGCCAGACGAGCCGGCACCCGTCCCCATACTGGAGCAGCTTCATCCTAAGCATACGAGCCGGTTCTCTGGGCTATTCGGCTTTGGGCCGAGGTCGCAGAAACACGCGTTGTCAATGCCGATGCCGATGCCGACACCAGACCTGCCGCCGCCAGCGCCCTCAAAGGATCCGCTAAAGGTCCACACCGGAGGGGTGGCCGGCCTACGCGTGGTCACTGATTTCCACAGCCTGCGGGGAAGCCCAGCGCAGCAGGCTAACGACACCCCATCATCTGATGGCAAGAAAAGCGCATCGCCCTCAGCGCTGCACAAGCGCTGGCGCGTGCCCTTCAGGACAGCCAAGCCAAACGCTTCTGGCGGTGATATGGGGACTGCATCCGCGGCAATGTCGAATGCTGCGGAGTGTGGTAACAACGAGGGCGAGTTAGGATTGCTTTTGACGCCACGGTCGGCCGCGCGCCGCAGCAGGTACCGCGCTGGTACGACCAGCGACATTGAGTCGCCGCAGGGCACGGCTACGCTGTTAGCAACGGTGTTTGGCGAAAGACCCAGCAGCATGGTTGAGAGTGGTAGCAGTGGCAGTGGAAGTGGCAGCAGCCAGAGCACGCCTGTTGGGAGGTTTGGGCAAATTCAGGCTCCTGGGTTTTCGCAGACGCGATCACCCAGGATACTACAAGGCGGCACGCTGCCACTTCCTGTGAGAGTGCGGTTTCAGGGCACTGTGCACGATGGCGGCGGTTCAGCATCGGGATCGGATTCCGAGGCTGTATCGGCAATGCCCTTTGGTCGAGCAGCATATGCTCCTCCAATGAGCACACCCGAAATCTGGCCGTTGACGGCTGGGTCGGAGTCTGACGGGCGATCCTTTGTCACTGCTAGTCCTGGCATATTGACAGCGCAGCCCGAAAGTCATCTGGGCACTCCCAAGTCTATTGAGAAGGCCAATTCGTGGACACTGATGTTTTTCAACAAGGAGTTTGTTGTTGAGCCTCCGTCGACACCGGCCACTTTGGTCAATGAATCATCCGCGGAACCAACTACTAATGAGCCGGCTGTTGATGAGCCAACAGAGGACGACGAGCTGTGGGGCGGGCGCGCGCCCTCGATGACCCTGGACGATGACCTCGAGGCCGCCGACATTCGCGCCGATTTCGCCGAACAGCACAACGACGAGGACGATGCCAAGTCGGTTTCCAGCTCCATACGCACGCTTCCAAGCACCATGCGGTTTACAAGGGGCATGCGGGCAATTCTCCTTGAGAGAAGGCCATCGCAGAATGTCAGGGGCAGACCCACAGCAGATGCCATTGGCGAGAAACTCGATGAGTACTTTCCGGACCATGATTTGGACAAGCCCATTGTGCAGTCTGTCGTGCTTGGAGATAATGGACTGCTGATGCCCAATCATCAGTACCACATTATCCTCGACGAGGAGGAGGCCAATGCCGCGGCGGCGGCAAATGCAGCAGCAGTAGCTGTGACTGATGCCGAGAGTAGCTTTGCAGACCAGCCTTGGCAGCGGCAGCAGCAGCAATTCCAACAGCAGCAGGAGTATCAGCAATATCAGGAGGAAGAACTTCAGCACCCAAGGCCGTCGGAGGACATTTTGTTGGAAAGTAGCGGAGAGTTAGCTGGTGTCGGTGTCGGACGGCGGAAGAGCGTGCGCATGCTGGTTCAGGAGACCAGACAGCAGCGCAAGCGGCAGCAGAGATCGCGCTATCAGCAGCCGGGGCGCCTGCAGGATATTGCAGCGCCGTTGCCCTTCGAGACAATGCTTGAAACCACCGGCCCTGTGCTAAGCAGCCTTCCGATGCCGGTGCCGGTGCCGGTGCCGGTGCCGGTGCCGGTGCCGCTGCCCAGCATCGTCAGCAGCATCGAGCTGTCCTCAGCGCCGACGCAGCAGCAGCCACCGCCAATACTGCGGCGCAAATCGACAAAGCTCTGGGGCTGTATTCCCGAGGAGATCCGGCCGCGCGAGCAGTACCAGCAGCCGCTGTCGGCCAATAACAACGAGATTGTCAGGCGCGCCCTGTCCCTGCTACGCAGGCCCGAGTCTGACCCACAAGCAGAGAAAGCCATTGTAGAGGCAGCGATAAAGTCGGGCGATGGCAGCAGCATTGGGTCGACGCGAGCGCACTTTGTCTACGAGCGCGCGCGGCAGCAGCAGCAGCAGCAGCACGGGTCGGAGCAGCACGGGGCGGGGCAGACCGGGCAGGATGCATTGGCAAAGGTCAAACTGCAGCCAATCACGATCCAGTGGATCAAGGGCAAGCTGATTGGCAAGGGATCATTTGGGCATGTCCATGTGGCGATCAACGCGGCAACGGGCGAGGTCATCGCGGTGAAGCAAATCCGGCTGCCAAAGTCGCTGTGCGCGGCCAAGAGCGGGGCGCAGAAGGGCCGCAACGCGGGGCAGTTGGAGGAGGCGATCCGCATGATGTACACCGAGGTCGAGCTGCTGAAGGACCTGGACCACGAGAACATCGTGCAGCTGCTCGGGTTCGAAGTAGTCAGCGATGTCATCAGCATGTTCCTCGAGTACGTGTCGGGCGGCACGGTGCATTCTTTGGTGCAGCAGCACGGGCCGCTGCCGGAGTCCGTTGTCCACTCGTTCCTGCGGCAGATCGTCGCCGGGCTCGGGTACCTGCATGACCGCGGCATCCTGCACCGCGACATCAAGGGTGCCAACATCCTCGTTGACGAGACCGGCACGTGCAAGATTTCCGACTTTGGCATTTCGCGCAAGGCTGACCACAGCAGTCTGGCGGCGATTTTTGGCGGCTCCGAGCAGCCGGCCGCCCGTGGGCGCATCATTGGGACCGTGCCGTTTATGGCGCCCGAGGTTGCACGTGCGTCACGGTACACGGCAGCGGCGGACATCTGGTCGCTCGGCTGCGTTGTTGTGCAGATGTGGTCTGGGCGGCAGCCTTGGGACGAGCTGCAGGAGCCGCAGGTGTTTTTCAAGCTGGGCAGGGGCGAGGCGCCGCCAATCCCCGATGATCTGACCGAGGCCGGTTTAGAGTTTTGCAAAAACTGCTTCGCTGCCGATCCCCTGCAGCGATGGCCAGCCGACGAGCTTGCGCAGCTGTCATTTGCCCAGGTTGCCAGGGATTACGAATACCCCTACTATACTGCTGCGGCCGCGAGCTCATCGACGCATAATTCCGGGTACTGGCAGTAGAGCAAGATAATTCTTTTTTTGCAAGCGCTGGTTTTGTGAGAATCAGGGCTTCATGTGACCTTTCTTTTGGGCCCCTTTTTGCGCTTCTTCTGCTTTGGCTTTGGCCCTCTACTCTATCTTTTGAGCCAATGAAAAGGCACACCAAGGAAAAAAGACGAAAGAATCGGTTCTGGTTGATTTTATTTTTTTTCCTCCTTCGCCACAAAGGCAAGAGAAAAGGGAAATGCCAGGATTGCCAAGCAAAGAAAAGAAAAGAAAAGAAATCTGTGTCTGAAAATGCGACAAAAAAAACTAATAGTGAAAAATATTTTTTTTTTTCCTTGGTCATGTTGGTTTATCTCTCTTCTCTTCTCTTTGTTAAATTTACTCATTCACTCACTTTTTTATTTTCACTTACATTCACACACTCACACACACTCACACATTCACTTTTACTTTTCACTCATACATTCATACGATTTTTTTGCCTCTTGTTTTTTTTATTATTACATTTCAATTTTCAACTTTTTTATTTCTTGCTTGTTTTTTTTTCCCAAAGCAGTTTTAAAAACAAAACAAAAAATGACTGCGAATCGTCTGGACAGAAACGTCGTGGTACTGGGCGGCATGGGAGTTGGTAAGAAGACCGTAGTAGCTGTGGGCCTCTTTTTGTGTGTCGTCCTTATTCGTCTCTTTCTTTTATCTTTGTCTCTAAAATATGTAACTTTTTTAAAATTGTTTTTTAGGAAAGAGCACGGCTATTCAGAGGTTCCTGAACAACGAGTTTAGCGACACGCATTACCCAACAGTCAGCGGCACGTATAACAAAAAGATTGTTATTAACGATAAGGAATACAGCCTAACCATTACCGATACCGCTGGACAGGTAAGCTACACGAAATGAGATGATTTCAATATGTTGTCATTCGTCGCTCGGCATCACTATCATTTTTTTGTTTGCTGAATTGGGACGACGTATTGCCTTCTCTAAATGATGCAGTTTTCATTTCATTCACAAGTACACACACACACAGGGAGAGGTGTTTTTTTTGCTTTTTATTGTTTCATATCATTCGGCATTCCGTGATTGTTGCCCTCTCACATGATGCTGTGTCGAAATTTTTTCCATTTGTAATCATAATACAGCCCAGCTGATCCAAACAAGCACGCAATTTTGAAGTATAAACATTAAAATAAATTTTACACTTCTTTAATTTTTAATGTTTTTTTTTGTAGGATGAGACTTCAATCTTGGACCCGACGTTCGCTGGGTCAACGGACGTCTACGTGATTGCATTCTCCGTGGCGTACCGTAAAAGCTACGACATCGCACAAGTTATCCGCGACAAAATCTTGGATATCTCTGGTGTGGAGTCTGTGGCAATGGTGCTTGTGGGGAATAAGAGTGATCTGAAGGAGGAGCGGCAGGTATCTAATAGCGAAGCGAAGGAGCTAGCGCTCAAGTATAAATGCCCTTATATCGAGACTTCCGCAAAGGAGAATTCCAATATCGAAGAGATGTTTGTCAAGTCAGTCAAGATCGCTAATAAGGCCAGGGGTGATGAGGAGGAGGATGGAGCGGGCGCAGATGGAGACAAATCAATGTGTATAGTCATGTAAAAGCTGAGGTTTTTCTTTTAAATGGGTGGATTTATAAGGAATATATATATATATACTTTTTTATTTAAAAATAAGGGAATTGAATTGAATTGAATTGAATTGAATTGAATTGAATTGAATTGAATTGAATTGAATTGAATTGAATTGAATTGAAACTTAGTCCATACTTGCGTAGTTGTATTCGGGGTCAGCAGCAGGTGCCGGAGCGTTTTCGATCAACAGGCGCACAATATCGGTCAGGCTAACGAGCCCACAGACGGTATCGTCAAAGGCGCCGGCGTAATGCGGCGGGGCAATCGGCACAGTCTGCGATGATCCACTACTAACCGAAGCCCTGCGACCCCTGGGCCGCGCGGGGAAAGCATCCAAAGCAGATTCAGGGGTCGTAGCCTCCATGTTGGCCAGCGGTAGGTCCACCGCCGAGTGATTGGCAGACCCGGGCTCTGTGATCCAAACACGGTGGGCACCGGTGGCCACCAGCTTGCTCAGCGCATACCTGAGCGTCGCCTCGGGACGCACGGAGAAGACGGCGGCGCGGTCCTTTCCGTCATGCATGCCCTGGATGAACCGCACAGCCTGGACAAGCTCCATGCAGGTGGCATTGACCAGGGCCTTATCCCTAGCAAGGTACTTGACGTCGGCAATAGACAGATTGCCGAGGATACAGCCGGCATCGCTAACGAGGGCAATGGACGACACGTGGTTTTGCTCCAATAGACTAAGGGCCTGGATCACCGGCGTCGTGGGCTTGGCCACAATGACATCACGGGTGACAAGCCCTAGGGACCGCAGCGACCGATCCAGAAGCCGGTCTTCGCTCTCGCTGATCATCGGCGCAGCATCGGTGTGATTGGGTGCGTGTTGGGGCACACAGTTCTCGAAGAAGTAGCGGACAATACGCGTCTGCGAGAGAATCCCGCGGATCGTGCGCTCGCTCTCCATCACCGCCACCCGGTGAGTACCCTTGGCGAAGACACCGGCGATTTGCGCAACTGTAGTTTCGGGCAACACTGAGTAAAACGGGTTGACATGGGACATATCGGATACTCTCCCGACTCTCTCGCCTACACTATTCTTGCGTGCCACAGCCCTGAACATCGGACTGCTAGTCTCCGATCTCATTACCAGTGGCGATGACGGCTGCCGGCGGTGTCCGTTAGATGATGGTGGTGGTGAGGGCGTTGAGGTGCTGCTGCCGGCGCGTTTGGCCAGGATGTATGAGGCGAGATCGTGGAGATCAAACATCCCGACGTATGTCTGGCTTTGCGAGTCGTAGAGAGGCACAGATTGGATGCTGTGCTTGATCAGCGTGTCGCAGGCCTCCTCGATGCTAGCCTCGGAGTCAACCTGGATAACCTGCTGGTTTTCTACCAGCTCGTGCGCTTGCACGGTGAGCCAGTGCCTTGTAGCGCCCAGTCCTGGATGAGAAGAGACGGGGTTGAATTGTTTGTCAGTGTCCATTTACAGTATATTATTTTTTGAATATCTACAGGGAAAAAGAAAAAAGTGTGTTGTGTTTGTGAAATTGCTAAAGATAAGAGCGAAAATAATGGTAATATTGTTTTTCGGAAGATAGTTTAGTTTTTGGTATGTTTGTGCACCCCCCCCCCCCCCCCAGTCGAAGACTAAGACTTTAAATGCAACCAACAATAATTGGCAATGCAATGTGTGCAGAATCCAGGACAAGGGGGAGAGAGGGGGTCTGGTTCAAATGTCTCCTTAAATATTCTGGGCCCGTGCGAACAAAGTAAAAAAATTCCGCTTTTATCGCCGGCCGATCCAATGCTTCGATCTTATCGAACGGCTTTTTGTACGTCACGCGCCTGCCGCTCCCATCATACAGACAAAAAGGCAATTCCTACAAGAGAACCAACACCAACACACCCAGTGTCTCGCTAATTAGTCCCCATAAGGGAAGGGGTGTGTTGTTTGGTACGCGTTCGGTGATTTCTAATTTTTCATTTAATTTCCATCCAATCCAACACCAGCGCCTCGCTCGTATACGCACATCTTGCCCCACGCCTGCCACCTGCCACTACCGCTGAAAAGCTCCAACAGCCGGACGACCTTCTTTGGAATATACAGTACACGAGCGAGCAACATGCTATTCTCAGCGTCCAAAATCGGCAAGCAATACAGCGACCTCCAACCACCACCACCAGCCTCCTCCTCTTCTCCAAGCACACTCTGCGGCGGCGCGCGGTGCGGATACTCCGTATTGACAAAATAATCGCACGCTGAGGAATCCACCACGTGCGATGGCTCCCAGAGATTCAACGCGTTAAAGTCATTGCGCACCGCGGAGGTCGATGCCTGGACAGACCCGCTCTGGGCAACAGGGGTGAAGGACCCAGGCAGGTGGCCGTCAAATCCAGACTGGGTGAACTCCAGGCGGTACCCGGCGGGCAGCCAGTACGACGACGGGAACCGGTACCAGTCCTTGCCCAAGCACAAGACCCGGGTAGGCCCGTTGCCGCCCAGGGTATCCTGTGTGTCCCGGGTGCGAGCGCCAAACAGCGTTTTGATTGATGGGCCCAGCGGCAGCAATGGCAGCGGCGTCGGCGATTTCTCGATCGCAGGCAGGCTGGCAAAGACCCGCGTTGGCGCCGAGTAGTACTGACCCAGCGCCGCCATCCGCAGGACACCCAACGCCGTAGCGCAGAGCATCAGCGCCAGACCGAGCCGGTCAACCCAGCGACGCACACCACCCCTGTGCAGCAGCTCAGTGAGCCATGCAGCCAGCGGATGCAGGAGACTGAGCGACACTGCGGCGCTGAAACACAAGTGCGGGTAGACCACTGTCAGGAATCGCTCCTCCTTATGCGGCTGCAGAGAAAACACCAGCAGTGCAAGATTAAACGGCAAAATGCGGTATAACAGCAGCCGGTGGCTAGTGTGTAGTTGCGCGACTGCTTGCTGCTGCTGCGCGCTGGAAGCTTGGCCGCGCCGGGTGGACAGCCAGAGTACAATACGGTAGGCCAGCCAGAGCGGCAAGCTGGCCAGCGCCAGGATCATTACGATGTTGGCATTAACCAGCCCGTTTTTAATGTAAAAGTACCATGGCTCCGTCCCATAAAGCTCCGACCCAGGACCACCGCCAAGCACGTTGTACGCCACCTGGTTCCACGCCGCCACCACCGTGTGCCCGTAATACTGTGAGTCCACAAGCACCATTGCGCCGAGCGCCAAGGCCGAAACCGCAGCGCCAGTCAACACCAACACAGCAATGCGCTTGAGCCGCCACCACACGCCAACATTACAGGTACTGCCGCTCTCCATAATCTCCTCGATGAAAAACGGCGCCGCAGCCACAGCCGCATACGGCCACCCGCACGCCGACGCAACAACAAATGCACTGATAGCAGGCAGAGTCCTCCTCACCCATGCGCGCTCCCCCCTGCGCTGCATGGCAGCCGCAGACCCGAGCGCAGTAAAGTACATGGCAAACGACGATGGCAGCAGTGCCACAGCAGCGTGAAACATCCCTGCCATGCCAAACAACGCCAGCGCCGTCACCCGCGCAACCCTCTGATCTCCAAACTTCCCGACACCTCGGACAAACGCTGCCTCGCAGGCTGCTGACACCAGAGCAAGCACAATCCGCAACCCATAGTACACTTGGCCCTTGCTCCTAAATCCGAGCACCAGGTGCAGCAGCCATACTGGCGCGCGGTAGAGCTCCAGGAACCCGTATGACCGCAGCGCGAACTGTGGTGCGTACTCCCACGTCTGCATGCCCTGCCCAAACTGCAAAAAATGCAGTGGCTCCCAGTAGTTGAACACCTCGTCACAGTCTTGGATCGGCGAGCTCAGCGCCCCGCTTATGCGGATCAAGGAAAAAAGCCGGAAAAGCAGGTTAAAAGACGGGAGGAATTCATCCGATACTTGTGCTGCTCGTGTACTGGGTGTTTGGGATTGATCGGATGCGTGGAGCTTGGTCGTTTCGGTAGACGCTGTTTTTTTTTGCGCCTTGCGAGATAGCTTGAGCGTACGCTTTTCAGCTCGCTCTTGTTTCAAACTACGCCTCTGATGCAACATTTTCCTGTTCTGTTGTTGCTGCTGCTGATATAATTTTTTGTTATAATCGCTGCTTGCTTCCGATACCTTTGTCAATTTTGCATCTAAATTCAAAAAGAAAAGCAAATAATAAAGCAAAAGTTAAAAAAAATTGAATTTTGAAGAAAAAAAATGCGACAATAAAAATAGACCGTTTTTTTATCTTTGGACCATACGTGTTTTTTTCGGCTTGTTGTGTAGTTTGTAATCAGATATAGAACCCCGTTGATCGTCCGATTTGATCAGCCAATGTAAAAACCAGTCTGTGTATATGGTATGCTTGTTTTTGCTTATATTGAAATGTAATAAAAAAAGTTTTACTCTTACAATGCACGTATACCTGGAGATCTCTATTTAATTAATATATACCGTGAATTTATTATTTGAATTACCACATCTTTTGATATTTTAGTATTTTGCCCTTTATGCAATTATTGATCGTTAGGATTTTAATAATGCAGTGTTTCTATTGTGCCAATCCAAATACTATTTTAAATAGGCTATCAAAACTTTATTTACTAATTGTTTCAATAGAAAAATTACCTGGTTGAAATTTACCATAGAAATGTTAACCGGATTAAATAAATAGAAATTCTTGTTCACAGCATATAAAAGCAATACAAAATGTTAAATAAAAAACTCAACCACCAAAAAAATTTATATTTTATTACTCCACAACTACTTTACATATATATCACACACAAACATACTTAGTTTTATACCTCGATTTATAAAATGTGTGATTTCGTACCTGTAATTCTTGCCTACGGCATTGACGCCAACGGGTACTCATTAGGCGAGCGCAAAGTCAAAGTCGAAACTTACGAAATGACCATTGGCGAGTTTAAAAAACGAGTGGCCGCTGCCTTTGACGTGCCATGGGACAGAGTATCTCTGTATAGTTACCCACAGGATCATCAATTAAACGACAACGAAACAATGATTTATTATAAAATGTTTATGAACGATGTCATCCAACTTTTCTATCATACTCGATGATGGACTTTATAGTTCAATACTTTGATATATTACTAGTTTAATTAATATGTTTGTCAGGGGTCTATTTTTCTTGCGACAATATCGAGAGAGAAAACCCAAGAAATATAATTAATATAATTGACTACACGTGCCGAGGAGGGGGCTTATGACCGGAAAAAATACATTTCTGACCATTGTTTACAAATAACGACTACAACTTCTTTTGTTCGCATGATAGCTGCATATTTTTTGTACAAGTAAGCCACCAGAATTGATTAGGAAGATAACAGGCAACTATATTTTCCATTTACCTTTCCTCCCTTATTCAATTTCATCTTGCCATTTTGTCTATTAACCTCTAGTTGTTTATTTGTTTTTTACTTGCTCCTCCGTAATTTTTCAAAACAACAACAGTCCTTCATATTGCATTTGTTGAACCAAGTCACAATGGGCAAGAAAACTTTTTTTATAAACATTGTCTGGGTATTTATCAACGATGGTAGAGTAAATGAAAAGTACTGTAACATGGAGATCGGCTCTTACTGGCCAATCTGGCTGATCAAAGAGGAGTTGGAGAATATCTATAACATATCCACTGAAAACACAATCTTCCGGGACAGTATTACCTGGCAGTACTTTTGTGACAATAGGCTGTGCAGCTACTACGGGTTGCACAAGGGCCAGCGCCTTGAGCTTATTCCTGAGTACTGAAAAGTGCTTGGAGTTGTTTTTTATTTAGGTGTCTATGTTGGCTTTTGATAATTAAATAAATTACTTGATTAATGTAAAAAAAGTTGCGAATAACTATTAGCAAGCAATCCCTTCCAAACCTCCCTTTGTTTAAAATCTACAGACAGCGCTTTTTAGCTAAAAAAAAATCCACTCGCTACCTGTATTCCTACATATCCGCGCCTTGCTGTGACGCTCTAGACTCCTCTACTCATTTGTCAGAGCCGATATTTTTCCATTTCATTTTACCATTTTCCTTATCTGCCTAAACAGTCCCTACACTTCCAATCCTTTCTCTCTCTTAATATCTCTCCTGCACACAAATGGGTAAATTAAAATGTTAATATGTGGACCAGTAAAAAACATTACATATAGATTCCGATAAGCATAAAGTGCTAGCGAATGACGAATAGGATGCGAGATGTCTTTAATTTAAATGCAAGTTTGCCCTTTGCCTCCCCCTTGTTATCATAACAGTGTCATGGGGGCAATCCTGCCAACACACATTTTCTTTCAATGTCCAAAAAGGGGGAAATGTCCTCAATGTGATGATTCAGATTTTTTGCAAGCCTTCGGACACATCATGTCGGAAACTCAGACAATACTAGAAAATTATTAGTTCCTGGATTCGTCATCTACGCGTCGGCCTCCCTTTTCTATTTACTTTTTTTTTTACTTATTTTTGACACTTGCATTTTTTGTATTCCTTCTCCCCCACTTTGAACCTTCAAATTAGTCATCCATTTATCTATTCATTTGTCCATTCATACATTCATCCATGGACTCTTGCTTCACATACCAAACCTTTTATCGAGACGTCCCGCCTGCGGCCGGCGAGTACTGGAACAAAATAGTGGTGTATACAGACGGTGCCAGCTCGCGAAACGGGACAATTCACGCAAAGGCTGGAATTGGAGTGTACTTTGGACCCAACGATAAGCGCAACCTCTCCGAACCTCTCCCCGGTGCCTGCCAAACAAGCGAGCGCGCCGAGTTATACGCAATAATGCGCGCCATTGCCAAGGCCGGCGAGGCCGGCGTGGCTGGTGGAGGAGGAAAAGCAGTGAATAGCAGAGCCATCAATATATGCACTGATTCCCTGTATAGTATCAAGTGCATGACTCTGTGGTATTACAAATGGCAGCGCAACGGCTGGAGGACCACCGGTGGCCAGCCAGTGCAGAACAAGGATTTGATCCTGAAGGGCCGGAGCTTGATTAAGAAATTGCAGGGGGCTGTGGAGTTTACGCATGTCCGCGGTCACCAGGGAATCGAGGGAAACGAGCAGGCTGACCGGTTGGCTATTCTTGGTGCGCAACAGCACTATTTCGGGGATTTTCAAAAGGAAAATTTTTCCTGCGCGGTTTTCTCAATGCAGTAGCAACAATTCGGCGACTGCCTTTTTCTGATTTCATTTTATCAGTGCATTCTTTCAGCTTTCTTTTCTGCTTTTTCTTTTTTTTGCATTTGCAGCTCAATTCAATTTTTATTATTATTTTTCTAATTCATGCTGGCTGTGTGTCATTCGAAGCCAATGCGCGCGCTGCTGCTATTGCCGCTGCTGTCAGCAACCGCCCGCCTCTTTACTAAACCAGCCAAACACTCACTCGCGGTGTCATTATCCTATCTCCAGCGCTCAGCCATCAGTGTCAGGCAGTACGCCGCTGTGCCCTCGATTGAACTGACGCCCGAGCGCAAGAGCGAGATTGTACAGCATATCCGCGAGATCCAGGCTATAGACTCGACGATCCCCTGGCACATTCTGGCAAACAAGTACCACCTGGGCGCAGACAGACTCCAGCAGATCCTGGCGCAAGCCGATGCTGAGGTCCAAAAAAGACTAGAGCTAAGAAAGCAGATTACTGAGGCAGCGGCTAACAGATTCTTTGACGCAGCCACTGCCCGGTGCAACTGGGAGGCGCTGGCCACTGAGTTTGGCTTGCCGCTCATTGACTGCCTGCGGCTGTTTGACTTGACACAGTCTTCAATTCAGCCACGCGCCATGCCCATCCCTCACAGATGGACTGTCGATAACCGCAAAGTATTGACTCAGTTTGTTGCAGACCACTTTGGCGAAAAGGCAACTGGCGACTGGGTTTTAGCAGACGTGTACATGAACACCAATGACTCTGGTTGCTTCAAGGCATTCGATTTTTGGCAGCACCCTCGCATAACAGCAAAATTGATTGATGATCTCAACAGACACCGTACTCAGGGAGTAAGCTGGAAGGCTATTTACCTGATGTATCCATACTTTTTGTCATACACAATCTTGGCTAGCTCGTATTCTCAATACGTGAGCCGACAAGACACATCGAAGAAAAACGACGTGAAGGCTGTGCAGTGGGCCAAGGCCGAACGACAGTGGATTAAGGATATCATATGGGAGCATCGCCACTCTATCGACACTAAAACACTGGCGGTAATGGTACAGCGCGAGTTCCCAGACAAACCACTGAAAAACATTAGGAACATATGTTCCAAATTATTGGCACCTGCCAAACATTTAACATTCTGTCTGAGCGATATGGTTAAGCTGAGGCAGATGGTCAGCAAGCATGGCGAGGACTGGGCACGGATTGACAACGAGCTGGGCACATTTCCTGGACGCGCACAGCACAGCTGGATCAAGTACAGCCACGTTGATCTTTCTGACCAGTGGACCGACAGTGAGCTGCAAAAGCTGAGAATTTGCATGGACAAGGGGATGGGCACAACAGAGACTTCGCGGTACATCGGGACCAGAATGCCCATACAATGTGGCAATAAAATGAATTATATTCGGAGCAAAGGTAAGTTGCTCCAAATATTGCTGCACATGTGTTTTATGTCTGTTTTGCCACATGCTACTGATTTAAATATTTACATTTATATTTGTCATTTAGGTGTGCTGGGCAAGAATAACGAATACAAGAACGAAAAATGGACCAGCAACGGTGACAGACGACTCTTGCTGATGGTTGATACGTTTAAAAGGAAGGGCGCCATTGATTGGGATATTATCAGCGAGGCTCTTTGTCGTCCTGTTAATAGCTGCTACATGCACTACCAAGCATTACAATCAATAAAGGAGGCGGCAGCTCTGTCAGAATCACAGCCATCTAAAGCCGACAGTGTGACTCGTGAGGTGCAGCAGCAATTATCTCTGGGAGAGGTCGACTAGGCGCGAGTCAGCAGCGCAACAGGGCTCAGCGAGCTCGAGTGCCTGGAGCTCAGCCAATTCGACGAAGGCAAGGCTAGTTGGGCATATAACATGGACACATTCTCTTGGGACATGGCCAACCGCATGTCTGGGTTTATCAAGTCGAACTATCCAAAGCCGCTGCCAACCAACTTTAAAGCTGTCTCCAATTTTATGTGGATCCGAATTGAAGACTGCATCAGAATGCACGAGCTGTTGCATGGGAGGTTCCGGTGGACAGACGCGCGGATTGCACAGGCCAAATCTCTGCGTGAACAGGGGCTTTCGTTTGAAAATATTGCCAACCGTTTATCTCCGCTTATTAATAAATAAAGTGTGCGTTATATATTTGTTAAATCGCCAAGCAATCAGAGAAGCCCGCCGATATCTGAACAAGCCAAGCAGCAGATTACAGACCTTGTCGACAAGTATATTGACAAATACCCCGTATACCAAGTTCGCCGAATGGTCAGAGAGGAGCTACAGTTCAATTGTAATTCTAGTCATCAGTGTCTCAGTGACAGATTATATCATCATCCAGTTTACAAAGCAAGGATAGCGAGTGCTGATATCGTGGAGATCACCAACCGCATAACACAGGGCAAGGCCATATTGAAAGAGGTCGCAACGCAGCTTGATGTTCCAGCAAACACATTAAAAACAGCGATTAATATGAGGGAATCCTACATGTACAGCAGCAATTGGACTCCAGAAGAGATTGAAAAACTGACAGCATATGTGAGCTCTCTCGGCGGCGGAAGATTTGACGGGAACTACGCTTCAGGCCTTATAGGAACCAAAAGCCATAAGCAGTGTAAATAAAAGCGTTTGCATACGTCGAAGACCTGCAAGATTTAGTACAATATAAAATACTTGGCAATTTTAAAATATAACCAGTGTATTGGACTCATTTGACTCATTTACTTGCTATGAAAATTTGTCAATAAAAATGCACTGAATTTTGTCTAAAAAAAGAAAAACAAGGTCTAAACTCGCATTAAATAAAAAAGGATAAGGACAAAAGTAAGGTCTCACCGAGATTCGAACTCGGGTTACCGGAATCAGAATCCGATGTGATAACCAGCTACACTATGAAACCCAGTAGCGGGAATAAACAGCCTTTTTTGGAACTACTAAGCCCTGTTAATCAGAGCTCTCATATTTATATAGAAATAAGCTGATATGCATATGTTGGCTTATTATTTTAATTTTTTATTAAAACACTAAACATCTAGAATATGTGCTGGTATTCACAACCAAATAATTGAATAATTGCATTTCAAAAAATGAGCGGTTATTAAAGATAATTTGGTCGATCTAACTATTTTCTATTAACGATCCACAAGTGCCAGCATTGCAAGATGTGAACGATAGCAGTATTACAGCTAGTGCTGCTCACATATGGCTATTAAAATATTTGCCATTATTTATGAATATTTTTTGTAAGTTATTAATGATATTGTAATTATGATGAAGACAATGGTATTTATACAAATGCGTAAAAGCTAAAAAATGTGGATATGAGAATGTTTGCAAGCAGTGCCAGCAGGTTTATAAAGGTTCATTTTATCTAATAGAATTGCCACCGAGCTGGAACCTGTGGCGAGTGTTGGGTGTAATGCTCTGCAAACGGATGAAAGGCGCTTTGTACACTTGAGTGGCGAGCAACCATATTTTGGCTGCTCCCATTGTCTGCGCTCAAACCTTGGTATTGCGCAGAAACAATTCTGCCACGCGTGCGACGGCTGCGCGGTGACAAGTGCGTGCGGTAGTGCTGCATCATGTTGTCCTGGCGCGAGAACCGGCTGCAGCATCCAGGGTAAAGGCATTGGTAGTTTTTCTCACCCGTGTGGATTCTGTAATGCCGCGACAAGTGGCCACTGGTCGTGAAAGCCTTGCCGCAATCGGAGTGTGAGCAAACGTACTTGCGCTTGGAGGACGATGAGCGCAAAGCATTTTGAGTGTATGTGATCATCGGCAGGGATGTTGGCTGATTTTTGGCAGCGTGGTTGTGCGAGCAGACTTGGGAAAAAGAGGGCAGTGCAGGTGTTTTGTCGCTATACCCGCTCATTTTTACTGCTTGGATTAGCGCTGACATGGATGGCAGGCGAGCGGGCGACATTTGCGGCGTGCTTGGGTGTGTGAATGGCGTATAGGCAAGGTGGGCAAAAAAGGGCGATCTGTCTGGCGTCATGTCAGGAAGCGACTGCTGGTAGTGGTCAACACTTTTAGCCCCAATGGAGCTGCATCTGCTGCCATTAGCTGTGCTGCTTGCACCGGTGTTAATGTCATTGCTATGGTCGTCGTTGAGAATGCTGACGCAGTGGCCATTGGCTGTTCTGATTGACAGCGAGCGCATCTTCTTGGCGCACGCAGCGGCGTCGCTCAAGAGGCCCAAGTGAGAAACTGGCATGTTGGTATTCATAATGTAATAAATAATATTGACTTGAGGGTAAGTAATTCTGATTTTAGAGTAAAAATGATGGCTGTCGAGTATAGAAGCTATTTTTTTGTTAGGCTGCTGGTTTGGATGTGTGTTTATATGGTATTATATTATAATATAAAGATATTGGAAGGATAGACCGCCATGGAAAGGGCATTTTATACTGCAGTGGTCCTGTTCTACATCTTCCCTGGGACAAAACCAAGGTCAACTGAGCAATAGTGCTTAATTCGCACAGGTTCATTTCAATGCACGTCCGCAAGCCCCAACATGGTGTGGCAACACGCATTGTACGTGCGCATGCACAAAAGTAAAAAAGCGCGACAATAATTTATAGTCAGTTAATGATAGTGATTGAAAAGACGATGAATAAAGTTTTTATACCATAGATCCCCGAGTATACAATGTCATTGCAAATGGTGAAAAAAGTCAACTAATAAAAGTTAACAAACACCCCCTATACAGCACAATTGTTATAGACTCATAAATGGTGCTTTATTCAATTGTCAGTCTAATGTTTTGACTTTTTTAAACCGGTTCAGACTTTTCAATTATAATTTGGCGCACAATGTAATGTGGTTGCCACATTTGTATTGAGCCACAGAATTAAGTATTTCGGTCTGCAATTCTGAGAAGTGTCAATGTTTTGCGTTTGCAATTAATTTAAGCCAAAAAAACGCATTGTCTATTTTCATTTTTTGCCACGCATTTGTTAAAGGAAACAATTGTTATAGATTGTAATCTGCATAAAAAAATTACATTGAGAAATAGATAGAACATGCGCAAACAAAAGAAAAAAGAGAGAAAAAGCAAAATGTGCAGAGCAACTGTTTATATTATACATTTAATTCGAACGGTCTGGAAAAAAAGCACAATGATAATTGATATGGATTGAGTGAATTTCATTGTTAGAACTTGTGTTGTGTTTTTAGTAACATGTAATTTTATTTCTTGCTTTTTTACGCATGGCGCACTGCACGTAATCGACATTCTTCAGCCGGTCTGAGCGGTTTATTAAAATTATTGTTTTTTTTGCTTTTTCTGATAATTAAGCAGATCGTGGCTGATACAGTCAAGGTTGTAGCCATTGAATCAATGGCAATATTTTTTTACAGTTCAAATATTTTTACTAGTGGCGTTTGCTTTATTCATATTTCTCTGCTAGTTACATAAGGTGCAAGCCATTTTATTAGTCATTCTGACGTGCAGAATATCAAATAATGTGGCGAGTGAATGAGTGAGTAGACATACTCATGCCTCAATTGCAGTTACTTCAGCTCATTAAAATGTCAGTTCCCAGCACAGACATTTTAATACAATGACTAAAAAATAATTTAATTTATTTGAGGGATTCCAAAAATACTATCAGAAACAGTCGGCAAACTCAAACGTTATACCGTGTGTCTAAAGTGCTATTTGTCAATAACACTCCCCACCACGGGTGCCTCTATCTCTAATATCCCCGAATTCCAATATTTTAAAATTGAAGTTCCTTTTGAAATGGCATCCTTGGCAAAGTCCCTCCCCCTTATTATTTTTATATTTACAAGTTCCCTCTCCCGACGAGGGTGTCGATACGGATGGCGGCTTTCACCGGGTCAAATACAAAACACCCCAAAATGCAGGGAATATTGGTGACAATAGCTATTCGAAAAAATGCATCTTGTTTAATTTATTTTTTATTTGGTGCGTCCTCGAGCAGCACAAAATGGAATACACGAATTTAAACATAAGCCAGAAACTAAGCCCAGTTTAAAATTCAAGCTCCGGGCTATTGTAGAAACAGTCTGATTGGATCAACTGATTATTGGCATCATCATCAACATCAGGACAGATTGTAGATGAGAAAAGCGGGTTTAAACATGAGCATTCCAACCAAGCTTTTCTTTTCTTTGTCTCCTTTCAACACCCGCTTGACAAAAAACATTTGAATTCATACTTTTAAAATTCACATTAATCTTTATTAAAACCTTTTAATGCAAAGTTCGTTGAATTCACAGCTGCGCAGCGGACGACGGGTAATCTCAAGGCTCAACTCGACAAACAGCACTAGACCACTTGGTTCCCTTTTATGTAATCGGCATTTCCACGCTTCGGTCAATTCGAGTAAGGATGAGGACGCAGCGAGCAAGAGTCCGGCCTCGTGGCCAACAGCAGAGAGCGTTATTCTGAAGCGCATTAGCAGCACTGGTCTTCATCCTTCGCTGTCGCATTTGAAGACAGGGAAGGAGCTTGTGGCAGTATCTAAGGACGCAGAGAAGGATGCAGATAATGGGGGGTTGGAGAAAACGGAAGGCACGGAAGGCGTGGAGGATGTAGATGGTTCTGCCGTCGGTGGATCTATATTGTCTGTGTCGGGGATCATCAACAGTATTCGTGAGAAACGTGCTGCCTCACAGCAGCAGCCACAGCAGCAGAGAGTCAGTGATCCGTGTACTGACTCTGCAGACACTACCGCGCGCACGCAGGGATCAGACCTGCACGATCCGTTGCTGCCGTACTTTCTGTTTGACACGTACAGTCTGGTGCACCAGCTGATGGAGTGTGGATTCACTCGGGCTCAGGCAACAACACTGACGACTTTAATCAAGCACAAGGTGTACGAGGGCATGGAACAAGTCAATTCAGGGATGCTGACGAAAAGTGATCTCGAAAACGACGCGTACCTGTTTCGCGCGGCGCTTCAGGAGCTGCGCACGGAGACGCAGATGATCAGGAAAAACGACCAAGCGATTCTCGAGTCGCAAGCGGCAGCCATCAACCGCGACATTGACTCGTTGGCGCAACGCACTCATGATGAGATTGCCAATTTGCGGTCGGATATTGAGATCGAGCTTAACAACCACAAGCACGATACGAACCACGAGATGAAGAGCCTAGATATGGAACTGCATGAGCTGTCGAGCAAGTACCAGGTGATTATGGGTGAAATGAAGACGGATATTGAGGCTATCAAGCTGGACTCGATTCGCCGCGGGCTTATCACCGCTGTTGTCACGACGCTGTTTGTTACGGCGCTGATTTGGGCGCCAGATATCCTAGAGAACATGAAGAATAAGAGCAAGCTGGGCGCTAAAGCCAGTGAATCTGCAGATGGGTCTGATGACGAGAGGCGTGTCGGATTGGGCGTTGGGGGTGGCAGTGGCAAAGCAGCCTCGCAAAGGTCGACGGGTGCCGGAAGGGCCGGGGTCAGTAGAGATTCTCAGGTTCTGGCGCCATTGCCGTACTCGATATCTGATCGCTCGGCAATGCCGTCAGCGGATCATTCCGGGCGGGGCATTAGCAGGGACGACAGCACAGACAATTCTTCACAGTTGAGGTACCGGGACCACAGTCACCTGAATATCCACTACGATCCGACAATATCGCCGGCTGATGAGCAGGTCAATGCATCGTTGTCCCAGCAGCAGAGGCCGAGGCACATGTATTTGGGCAGGCAGTTTGGTGACATTAGTAGTGCGGAGCCGCCAGAGGGATACGACGACTGGTTTGACTCGTTTTTCTACTCGCCACAGGGTGTCGCCAAGCACCAGAGCGGAAGCGAAAAGTCCGCGTCGTTGATGGATTCGGATTCCAAGCTAGACACAACTTTTTGGAACTCTGGCGATCAGGGCATTGTGGGCGACAGTAGTGCTTCTTTGAGGACAGCGGGGTCAGGGCTTGGACCCGAGTCTGGGCCCGAGTCCAGGTCAGAGTCGCAGGCCGAGGATGATAATGATCGCCCCAATACTTCATCATCAGAGGCCGGATCCAACACCACTATCACTACCATTCCTCTGCATTTTACATACAGTGACAACCCGGCAAAGCCGGACAATTCCGACAGCAAGTCGGCTTAATTGATATATGCAATTGCCCAGTGTTTTAAAGTAAAAGAGCATAGTAAAGACTAGTCACAAACACAGACATTTATATATTTAATTTTGAGGCAACCAAAACACGGGGCAGATAACGATAAAAAATCAACAAAAACTCCTCCCCTTGCGCTTCAAGCAATGAGGTTTCCGTTCTGGTCAAACGACACATCCTTCTTTGCGGCGGGTTTCAGATCAAGCCTGGCAGCCAAGCTCCTGTACCGCTCGGCCATCTCCGGCTCGCGACGCTCAGCCGAGTGGATCTCCAGAGCCTTGAGCGCCTCTAGCGTAATAGCCGGGGTCTCGCTCGCCAAGGTCTCCTCGCTAGCCACCAGTGCACGCCTCCAAGCCTCCTCCGAGTTAACCTCACAGCAGGCTTCAACCAGGGCACCATACGCGGCCGCATCGTGCTTCAGGCCGTAGTACGGGTACAGGGCAAAGATACGGAACGCATCGTCGAGCAGCTGCTCGGACCTGGCCACATCAGCCTCGGCAGCCGACTGCGTACCAAGGAACTTAATAAACTTGGCCATGTTGTAGGAGATCGGCAGCTGGCGGTACTTCCACCTGTCCATAAGCATATTGACAAAGATCTCCGGATACTCGAGTCTGATGCAAGCCTCGGCCCAGATCTGCGTGGTCGCCTGGGTGATCGGATGCATGGTCATTCGCCACTCCACCGTCAGCTTCAAAGCCATGTCCAGTTCCTCCCGCGTCTGAGCGTTAAGCAGAATCCAGTGCAGCACGCTCTTCTTGGGCACCTTAGTGCTTTTGGGCGCGAGGCGTGGCAGCGTGGTGACGAAGAGCGCCCAGAGTTCGGCGCGCACGTTGGCTGGCGGCGACGTAAGATCAAGGTCGCCCAGGGTCGTGCTGACAATTTTGTTTTCCAAGTAGGCTGGGCCTGGCTGCAGGTTCTTGGGAAGTACGGCTTGCGTGCTCTGCTGTCTGATTGCCATCGCCATTGTCATTGCCAGCCGCGACGGCTGTGCTGAGCGAGTCTGCATGGTGCTGCTGCTGCTGCTGCGAGTAATGTGGAGCCGTGAAGACCGGGTGAGAGCTCTGACCGAATGCATTCTTCTTGGAGTATAATGAATAAAGGGCGATTTGGTAAAAAATAAAATGTAAATGAAAACAAAAAAAGAGCAGGAATCATTTGACACAATTAAATTCAAATTCCAACTTATTTTGCCATTTCCAACGCTTTATCTCTCTGCATTTGAAGAGAAAAAAATAGGCGTGTAGAGATGCTGATTGATTGATCGCATTGAACTGGATCACCGGATAAAATCAAGACCAAACGAAACCAATCGAAAAACGCTAAAAACAGCGTGAGCGGCAATGCACAAAGTGCTCGATAAAGGATAAATAGCCAACATGGCGATAAATAAAGAAACCAAGAAAATAAAAGAAATAAAAGAAAACGGCATCAGCGCTTGACCCAGGTGTAGCTCTTGCGGGCCTTTGGCTTTCCGGTCTTCTTGCGCTCGACTCTGCGCCCATCAGTGAACAGCAGACCAGCGGTCCGAATGGCAGCGTTCTGCTTGCGGTTGGCAGCATACAGTGCGCGTGCAATGGCCAGCTGGCATGCCTCGGCCTGACCCGTGTGGCCGCCGCCGCGGACGCGCACAAACACGTTGTATTGGCCGGTCTTGTTGGCCACGTGGAACGGGAAGAGTACGGATTCGCGGTCGGTCGGGCGCACAAAGTACTCTGGAAGCGGCTTGCCATTGACGAGAACCTGGCCAATAGAGGTGAACGCCGGCGAGGGCGCGTCGATCGAGTCAAAGTTAGTGGACTCGCTGAAGGTGGCAGCCTCAGAATCAGCCTTAGCCTCAGAATCAGCCTCAGCCTCAGCAGTCTCAGGCTTGACCTCAGCCTTGGCCTCAACAGTCTCAGCCTTGGCCTCAGTGACCTCAGTGGCCTCAGCCTTGGCCCCAATGGGCACTAGCCACGCGCAGGCAATAGCCTCCTTACGCTTGCCAGCGGCTCTCCACCGACCCATATGATCCAGCATGCCTCTCTTCCAGCTAGTGTTGACCTTGATCTTCTTAACCTTATCCTCTTCCTTGGCCTTCCCATCCATGCCAACAACTTCGACGTGCGAATATCCCCTGCGGAACTGATTCAAATACAGGCCAACAGTCTCCCTCTCCCCAAAATCCGCAATCTTTAGTGAATCCGCCTGGTTCAAGCGCTCAGTCAGCAAAATATACTCATTTGCGTTCATCTTGATCGCATGCTGAGAATCGAAAACCTTGCGCCCGATCCACTTGCCCCGCTTGAAGTTGCTTTTGTTGTGCTCCGGCAGCTTGTGCTGCTGGATGATCGTCGTAATGGCTGAGAGGAGATCGGCATATTTGGGCTTTGGCATGAAGTACGCTGCGGTGTCGGGACGCTGGATCGGGCGAATGTCCAGAGTGTCGAACGGCGAGACTGCCTGGTGCGTCGACAGAAGGCGCATAGCTGAAACTGTGGGCTGCCTCATTTGCAGCAGGGCAAGCGGCCGTGTAGTCAGCCGAGCGAGCATTTTAATTAGTGGTTCAGCTTTTTATTTTCGAAAGTTGTAGTTATAAGCGCTGAATTGAATCACGGTGGCCAAATAAAAAATAGAAAGAGGAGCGTGTAAATTTAGTGAGCTGCAAGAAAAAAAGAAATTAAAAGGAATTGTGGCAGACTAAAAGATAAAAAAAAGCGAATTCAAACCAAATTCAAATTTGAAATATATCCAAGGCTTGTCATTTTTTCATCCTCTCAGCTTTTTTAATCGCTGAAGCAGCAACTCCAAATCAATCGCCAAGCTGAGCGGGGCGCACGACAAGCCAAAGTGATAGTTCATATCAGATCAGATCAACCAAATCCAGTTCAAATCAGATCAGTCCCATCTAAACATACCACAAAAAAAATTCTGGAAATTTTATATGATTTGGTAAACGGATTTTTTTTGTAAAGTGAAAGAAAATAAAATAAAACAGAGTGGCAGCGGGGGCCAAGATTAATCGTATGTCTCGAGATCCTCGTCGTTATCAGATCCAGAGTCCGAGTCCGAGTCGGAGCCTAGTCCCGACTCGGATCCAGCGTCCGAGTCCGAGTCCGAGTTGTTATCGCCATCGGTCCACTGGTTGTCCTCAGCACCGTCCTTCCCGGCGCGCTCACCCATATCGTCATCCTCATCGTCGGTGCTCTCCTCCGCCTGCCACACGGGGGTCGGCGGCTCCAGTGCGTTCTCCTCATCGAGAAGCTCTTCCTCCTCCTCGCGGTAGACATTAATAGGCTTCATGGCAGTCTGCTTCTGGGCGTTCTTCTCCTGCTTGGTCTTCTCCTTCTCAAAGTGCGAGCGGGCGCGGATCTGGGCATTGGCCAGCTCCAAGCGGCCGCTGAGGCGGAGCAGGCGCTGGTGCGAGTCCAAGCGCGCCTCAATTCCCTGGTACAGGCCGGCCAGCTGGGTGACCAGGCCGGGCACAGTGATGAGGTGCGCAGAGTGCAGGGCCAGCGTGGTGCGGATCCAGGGCAGCAGCTGGTGTGCGCGAGCGGGCGTCGCATGGAAGCGCAGGAAGAGCTGCTGGATCAGGGGCAAGACGTAAGGAAGGGGCAGGCCGAGAACAGTGTCACGAACGACATTGGTGCGCGCCGAGTTGTCCAGCACAGAGTCCAGCATGACGCTGTCCGAGGTGTGCAGCGCCTGGATCAGAACGCGCACAAGCGAGCCAGCGGTAGGCTTGGCTGATGGGTTGCTGGGAGTTGTGGGCGTGGCTGCAGCAGAGGCCGTGATGGTAGCCGCGGCAGTGGCGGGCTCGACAGAGAGCTGCTTGACGCGGTCGGCTAGCGTCGGCGTCGCATCGGATTGCTCGGCGGCGCGCTGGGCGGCGCGCACGCCCTCAAGCGCCGGCGTCGTCACACTGGTGCCGCTCTCAGTATACTGTGTGTCCATCTTGGACGCAACGCCCTTCTTCTCCATAAGCATGTTATCCTGGGGCGCGCGCTCAACAACCATGTCGCTGCTAAAGTGGCCGTGCTCGTCGGCCAGCGGCAGAGTCTCGAACAGTGGCCGCAGCGAGCTGCCACGCACTACAAGGACATTGCCCTCGTCGCCTGCAACGCGAGAGAAGCGCGCCAGCAGGATGCTCAGCAGGCGCTCGGAGTCGGTAGTTGCAACAATGCGCAGGCGGCCGTCGGCCGCGTAGCCAATGTCGTTGTGCCCGGCCTGCTTCTGCTGTTGGCTTTGCTGCTGAGCGACGGCAACCTCGTGCCAGGCCGACAGTGTGCCGTCAGCGCTGACGGCCAGCACCGATCCTGAGCTCGCTACGTCGATGGACATGGCGTCACTGTCGATGGCCAGCACAGCACGTGCGTGGGCCGCCGACTGGCCGGCGCGCGGGCTGGCATCCCATACGTGAACGTGGCGGTCGCCCTCGGCAGCCGACACCAGCGCAGTCTCGTCGGCGGCCCACATCAGGCTGTGTACAGGCGCAGTGTGGCCGGGCCATGCCTGCAGGCGGCTCTGGCGCGCAACATCCCACATTTCCATGCGGTGGCTGGCAACAACCACGCGCGTGGCATCGCCGGCCACGAGCAGCCGCTGGGCGCCGTCAACCTTGGTGCGCAGAGTCTGCAACGCAGTGCCGGTGGCCGCGTCCCATTGCACAACGGTGCCGGCCTCGTCGAGCCCAAAGATGCTGCTGCCGACAAAGGCCACTGAGACAACGGGGCCCTGGTGTCCTGAAGAGCCCTGCATTGAGCGCACGACAGCGTTGCGTGCCGGAGAGTACAGCTGAACGCTGCCACTCTGCAGGCCGAGCGCAACCAAAGCCTGCGCGCCCTGCTGGCCCCAAGCGACGCTGCGGATCCGTGCGCCGTCGGTCGCCGTGTACTCACTGCGCTGCGCGCCTGTCTGCACGTCGACGATCCGCAGCGTGTGGCCGTTGACTCCCGTGCGCACTACCGCCAGGTTATGGTCGTCAGAGTCGAATGCGCATGTCCACCGGTCGTTGGACGTGTCGGCCGCGTACGTCGATGTGCGCGTCGCCTTTTGCGTTTTTTGCACGCCGGTCTGCGACTTTTTCCGATTAATTGTCTTTCTGGCCATTGGTTTTTTTTTAGTTGTGTAGACTTGTAGTAGTATTTACGAGGCGCGCAATAAAATTACTGGATTTTTTTATAGAGATAATAATAGCGAAGAAAAAAATTGGACTCGAGAGGAACTGAAGGCGTTGGAAATAAGCAGCAAGCTGACAAGGGCAAATAAGAAAGAACCGATTCGATTCGATTTTTCTTTGCCTTTTTGCCTGTAAAACTGGAAGCAAAAAAAAGTGTTTGCTGCCGGTAGATCGTAAAGAGAAAGAAAAAATCTAAAAAAAAATTGCTGGCCGCAGATCACATAATCACATAATCAATCCGATCGCGATTATGCGCTCACAACTGGTGTAAAGGAAGCGCATTGATTGAATGCGTTATTGATTTTATGAGCGAGCGAACAAATATACTGCGCATATAATTTTTTCTTTTCTTTTCTTTTCTTCTTTGCTCGTCAATTAATAATGATCTTTATTTTCACAAGCACAGTCATACTAGACAAATGCAGCGCGACAAGAACAACGATAACAATGATGATGACGAACTCTTGGCTTTCGAAAGAAACCATTTTGTCATTGAAAATTTTTCGACATACTCGGCCGCCGTCCGGGACAGCCTGCTCCTCAACACACACCATGCCAGGGCCCGTAATGGCGCACTAGTAGCTGCCCTTCTCACACAGTCTCGCCCAAAGTACCAGGAGGCCTTGGCTGCCGTTCAGCAATCCATATCCTCCAAATTCTTAGTAGCCAACCCTTCGGCAAAGATGAGCGTCGAAAATTCAGCAATTGGCCTGGTAAGCATCGCCGATGCAGTCAAGAAGAGTAGCAAGGAAATCAACACAAACGCTGGTGCTGACAATCTTCCATCAAAACGCAAGCTGGGCTCACGCGCGTCCAGCTTTACTTTCGCGCAGAAGCGCCCGCGTTCAGATATGGTCGAGCACAATCCTCAACAGCAGCAGCAGCTACCATCAATTCCGCCGCCAGATATTGTTGCTGCTACTGCTGCCGTTGCACCCATACAGAGAGCCTCGATTATTGCGAATGGGCATTGTAGTGAAGACAACAGAGTATCGCCCTTCGTCACTGCCAAACAGCAGCTGCAGCTCGACAACATCAAGCGCCATGGTATCAACCAAGAGACCAGCGCGCGTCCGTTTTCCACGCCTCCATCTCATACGCAGCAGCCTGCTTACCAGCCCCAGCCAAACCCAGCAAAGCGGTTTGCCCTGTCCACGCGCCGCACACTGTCTTCCTCAGAGGAGACCGACCTGGACTCGCGGTCAGCCAACCCTACCGACCCGTACTTGCTCGGCGCGTCTAGGCTACAGCAGCAGTCTCAGCAGCGCGTCGGGCCGAGGCGCCAGCTGGCGCCACTGCACGCAAAGAAACCAAACGCCGTTGCTATCCCGGCACCGCCAGCCCCCGGCGATAGCATTGTCGACGATCGGCTGAAGAACATCGACCCCAAGATGATCGAGATGATCGAGAACGAGATCCTCACAACGCCGCAGGCCATCACCTGGGACGACATTGCCGGCCTCGGCCACGCGAAGCGCGCCGTGCACATGGCCGTCATCTATCCACTGCTCAAGCCCGAGCTCTTCCAAGGCATCCGCGCGCCGCCCAAGGGCTTGTTGCTTTTTGGCCCGCCGGGCACCGGCAAGACACTCATTGCGCGCTGCATCGCCAGTCAGGCCGGCGCGACGTTCTTTAACATCAGCGCGTCGTCGCTCACCTCAAAGTGGATCGGCGAGGGCGAAAAGATGGTGCGCGCGCTGTTTGCTGTTGCGCGCGTGCGCCAGCCCACAGTCATCTTCATCGACGAGATCGACTCGCTGCTGACCCAGCGCACAGACGGCGAGCAGGAGGCGACGCGCCGCATCAAGACCGAGTTTCTGGTGCAGCTCGATGGCTGCGGCACGTCGTCCGAGGACCGAATCATCCTGCTTGGCGCAACGAATCGGCCGCAGGAGTTGGATGAGGCTGCCAGGCGCCGCTTCCCCAAGCGTCTGCTCGTGCCACTGCCCGATCGCGCCGGCCGCCGCACCATTGTGGCCAATATGATGCGCAAGCAGGTGAACAGCCTGACTGACGCGCACATGGACGAGATCTGTGACCAGACCAACGGCTACTCGGGCGCCGACATGGACACGCTGTGCCGCGAGGCCGCCTACGGCCCAATCCGCTCCATTGCGGACATCACCACTGTTAGCGTCGATGACGTGCGCCCAATTGCAATGGAGGACTTTGCATATGCACTGACCCAGGTCCGCCCGAGCGTCAGCCCAAAGGACTTGGAAATCCATATCGAGTTTAACAAGCTCTATGGAATGTCGGTCGCAGATGGATAAAACGACAAAGGGCAACAACGCTAACACACTTGAAAAAACACCAAAACAATGGACAGGTTCCAAAGCGGCAAACAACAACAAAATCTTAGGGCAAAGGAGGGAAATAAAAGGATCAGTCTGTTGACGTTTTTCCCCATCTCTTTTTGCTGCAAGCTAAGCTAAGCTAAGGATGAGGACAAGAACTAAAGGAAAAAAGCACGAGCTTTTATTACAAAATTATTTTTATCTTTGGACTGGCTGTCCATGAGAAAAACCGATGACACGGCCAGGTTTTTTGTTTTTATTTAATCCCGCCTGGCCTTCATCATCATCTTTGCTACCGTTGCCGTTCGAAAAACAAAATATTAAACCCTACTCCTCCGCCTCCTATTTACTTTTTTCAGCTTCACTCTATATTTTCTCTTTCTCCTCTTTCTCTCTCAGCTCATCATCTCCTTTTTCTCTTTCTTTCCCGTATCTTTTCTTACTCTTATTTTTCATACACTCTTGATATTTTTTACACACACCCTTTTTCCTTTATATTTTCCTCCTGTTGTTTTGTTATTTAAAAAACTCCACACCAAAGGCAACAAAAATATAAAAAAGAGATTCCCCAAACCTCATCTCTAAGCCCAAACCACTAATTCCAAACTACTAAATTCTAACAAACAATGGACGAGGAGTACGACGTTATCATTCTTGGCACCGGCCTCACCGAATGCATCCTCTCAGGCATCCTCTCCGTCGAAGGCAAGAAGGTCCTGCACATCGACCGCAACAACTTTTACGGCGGCGAGAGCGCTAGTCTCAACCTCACTCAGCTCTACGAGCGCTTCCGCAGCGGCGCGCCAGTCCCCGCCGAGCTCGGCCGTGACCGCGACTACTACATTGATCTGATCCCCAAGTTCCTCATGCAGGACGAGGGCCTGGTTAACGTCCTCTACTACACTGATGTCCTGCGCTACCTCGATTTCGTCGCCATCGCCACCTCTATGGTCTACTGCGAGGGCAAGATTTACAAGGTGCCGTCGACCCCTGCCGAGGCACTGACGAGCCCGCTTATTGGCTTCTTCCAGAAGAACAACGCGCGCAAGTTTTTCGAGTACCTGCAGAACTGGCGCGAGAGCGATCCCGCGACGCACGAGGGGCTCGACCTGAACCGCCACACGATGGTCGACGTCTACAAGCACTTTTCGTTGAACGAAGACACCCAAGAGTTTATTGGCCACGCCATGGCGCTGCACCTCGACGACAAGTACAAGACGAGGCCCGCTCGCGAGACCTGCGACCACGTCATCATGTACGCCAACTCTGCGTCGCGTGCCATGTCGCGTGACGCTGGCAGCCCCTATATCTACCCGCAGTTTGGCCTCGGCGACCTGCCCCAGGGCTTTGCCCGCCTCAGCGCTGTGTACGCTGGTACCTTTATGCTGGACACGCCTGTCGAAGAGATTGTGCGTGATGAGAAGGGTCAGTTTGCTGGAGTGCGCTCGGGCGACCAGATTGCGCGTGCAAAGCAGGTCATCGGCGACCCGTCGTACTTCCGCGATAACGTGCGCAAGACTGGCCGTGTTATCCGCGCCATTTGCATTCTGAACGATGCCATTCCCAAGACCAACGCTCACTCTGCGCAGATCATCCTGCCCCAGAGACAGACCGGTCGCGAGCACGATATCTACATTACTTGCTTGTCCCAAGAGCAGAAGGTCTGCCCTCAGGGTCGCTGGATCGCCTCTATCTCGACCATTGCTGAGACTTCAGGCGATCCCAAGGAGGAGATTGCCTCTGCACTTAAGCTCATCGGCCCCATTGAGCAGATTTTCATTGGTGTCTCTGACATCTACGAGCCGGCTGCCGACGGCACCTCTGATAATGTCTTTGTTAGCCGTTCGTACGATGCCACCTCGCACTTTGAGACCGTCTACGACGATGTCAAGGATCTTTACAAGCGCATCACTGGCAAGGAGCTGGTTCTGCAGAAGCGCCCCATTGACGCCGAGCAGAAGGCCTAATTTTTTTAAACTTTTTTCTCACATCCTTTTCTCCTTTTTCAATTGTGTTAAGCAGCCTCTTTTTTCATATATCCACCCACCGACGTGTTTCTACCAGAAATCATACGCGTGCTATCGTTTATAATATAAATTGTTCAATTGTTTGTTTTTTCTCTTGTCCCTCTTGCTCTTGTCCCTGAGCATCGTCTCTTGACATTGACAATTGATAATTAACAATTTTAATTGTATTGCTATTAAAGTTGCTATAGTTGACTTGTTTGATTTACAGATGGAATACACTAATGTAGAAGGCTTTTGGAATTTCCAGACATTTATAGCGAAAGTCCAGATTTTTAAGCGGGGGATTTTCAAAACCCGTTTTTTGCGCAAAAATGCACGGGCAGAGTCGGTTGGAGCTGAGCGGGTCTACAGCGACACCCGAGACTCTGCTCAAGCCAAAACTCAAGCTCAAGCGCGTGCGCAAGAATCCATCTTCCCCTGCTTCTTCTCTTTGCAAGAGGCAGCAAATCAATTAATATAGACAGCCATAAGTGATCTATTGCCACTAGTTTCTAAACACCTTTTAGGTTGCTATTAGATCTGTAGGAAGGATGTTGATTTGTAGTATATTTGTAGTCTCATTCTTTTCTTTGGTGTGACTACATGTAGAAAATAAATGAATCATAATGACTGCCATTTTTTTTTGTCGCATGAAATAAAAATAAAAATAAAAGGTAATAAATTGGTTATTGATAAATGTGAAAGAACACCACAACGTGCGCGAGAAAGAAAGAAAATAAGAGAAACAAAAGTAAAGCGAAAAAAAGAAGAAAGGGAAATAAAGTGAACGAATATAAGTCATCATCACCTCCACTTGCTGATTACTCTGTACTAATTGAGAATGGGTTCAAACATATTGAGAACAAGCGAGGCGTCAACACCATTTGCTCGTCTAATGACAGACGATAGACACAGACCGAATTCTGCGCATATTTGTCCCAACCGTCTTTTGTCACTGATCGTGTGAACCGAGCAGGAATCCTCAATCCCTCGTTGAAGCAGTTGGGAATAATGATATGTGGCATGTTTAGGCTTGCCCCAATATCTCTGTTCCAAAAGTGCCGTCTAATTTCAGACATTGTTTCTTCCACTGGGCGGGCTGCAACATCCAAAAGAAGTACAACGTTAATAGACGTTGATTTGAGAGTGCGTGATCAGAGGCGGTGAAAAAGGAGGGACAAGAAAAATGGAAAATAGGGAGAACTGGTTGCATTCCTTGTTATTAAATGTAGTAGGAAGATGAATTCCAATTTGGTAACTTAAAATCTTCTACTCTTTCAGTACCTCCAGCATCTCCGACAATCGATCGATATCATCCTCGTCATCTTCAACAGAGTCCGAGCCGCGCTGCTTCGATGAATCCACAGGGATATTCGCTGCGGGTTTAGGACTAACCATGGGTATAAACCCACCCTGCCAGTCCCCAAACTCATCGTCCACCGTCATATTGTTTCTATGTGCTGCTGATGCTAGTGGCGCTTGCGAGATCTGCTGGTTTCCAAAAGTCGAAAAATCGGCCCAGTCCACGGACTCGTCGTCATCAACTGCCGGCGCCATCATTGCACGACCACGACTGCCTAAACAATTTTTTTTTTAAAAAAAATGGGGTTAAAATATTAAATGCACAAGAACAAAATAAATTATGTTAGCAATATTCTGCACGCTGTAAACCGTTCAATTTTATGTTGTTGCTGAGTGAAAGTACTAACAAAACAAAACACACAAACATATAAACAAGGTATGAAATGAGGATCAATGAATATGATGCTGATGCTAATGATGCTGATGCTGGTACATGTATATGCAATAAAAAATAAATAGAGAAAATAATAAAGTAAATGTGAAGGGGTGGTGATAGGGGTGCAGTGAAGAGTGGTGAGTGGTGCGAAATGCGAAACGTTGAGAATTCGAGTGACAGAGAGTGAGAACAAGAGCGAGAGTAAAAAAAGAGTATGTGATGGCGTGTGTGTGCGCGCGCTGTCGTAGAAAAAAGAATAGTAAAAGAACGAGAGGAAGCAAAAAGGAGCAAAGAGAGCAAGTGAAAAATGTGTAAAAAAGTGAGCGAAAAAGATAAACACGCACGCACTCAAACATTCACATACACACTTTCAAGCTAAAAAGGGTGTTGAAATGGAAACCTACTTTGGCATAGCAGATGAGGTTGATCCAATAGAATCCATAACAAAGGGCGAAGATTTATGAACCGGAGACATTGGCAAAGAAGGGAAATTTGGCATAGAAATACCATCGGCAGCAACCCCACCACTACCATTACCGCCTCTCTCTTTACGCCCCCGACGCCAATTCCGACCTCCCCTATTGGCAGTCCTCTCCGATGATCCGCTGCTGCTGCCACCCACCGACGACAATGACGATGACAAACCCGCCGATGCAGTCGCTGTGCCAGTGCTGCTTGGAATAGTTAGTGCCGAAGGAAGAGCACCTGTGGTGATAGTCAGGCCAAAAGTAGCTTTGCTGCTACTCGCCACTGACTGCATAGTTTGATGGTGCTGCTGCCTTGCTGGAACTGCAGCAGAAAGTGATTTAAAAGTGAAGGAAGGAGGTGGAGTGGGCATAAGAGAGATTTTGGAAAATGCACTGCTAGTAGTGCCATTGCCATTGCCATTGCCAGCGCTGGTGCTCATTGCGCCGCCGCTCATGCCCTTGGGCACCACACGATTGACGACATCGCTGCCAATGCGCATACTGCCGAGCTCCATCACTTCCTCACTGCCACAAACCACATCGGCAGCCGTAGCCGGCAGCCCCTCATCGCTGCTGTCCGACAGCTCATCCATGGGGATGTATCGCAAGCTGGACTGCGGAAGGCCATTGGGATGCATCAGCGAGGCACTGCCCGTCGCGGTGCTAACACCACTGTTCTCGCGCATGTGGGTCGCTGGCTTGACCACCGGCGACGATGTCGCAGACGACGGGGCGCTTCCTGACTGGCCCGAGGTCCCAGAGGAAGAAGACCTCACAGCCACGCCGCCACCAGACGCCACCGCAGTCTTACTGCGCTGTCTCGACGAGCCATCGCGGTTGCCCCCAGCCGCTGCCCCACCCAAAGTCACAGTGTCGCTCTTCAGCTGGCCGACAAACTCGCATGTCTTTGCGTCCAAGTACGGGAACTGTCCCTTGGACGCCGCCTGGATAACCATGTCACGGGATATCCCGACGCCGGCGCTCTGGCTGCGGGACCGCTGCCGCCGAGCAGCAAACGTGCCCACGCGACCGCGCCTGGCCGAGGAGTCATCGGAATCGGGGCCATCGACAGCCAGTGCTGCAGAGTCGGATCCAGAGGCGTCCACGCCGGTGCCATCAGGCTGCCAGCTGCCGATATCAACCGGCACAATATTATCGAGCTCCGAGCTCGACAACGAGCGCTGCTTGGACTCACGGTACAAGTCCTGTACACGGCCCTTGGGCTCGGCAAACGGGTTCTTGGGTCGCGTCTTTGGGAGCTGCGGCGGCGCGGCAAACGGGTGAGGGGGTATGGGCGGAAGCGGCGGCAACGAGGCCATGCTGTGAGCAAACGGGTGGGGAGGCACCTTGGGAGCAGGCGGCAGCTGGTTGCTGTCAACGGCAACAGCTGTGGCAGCGGCAACAGGGGCAGAATGTGTGGGAAAGGCAGAGTCTTCCGTATTGGCGGTAACTACGGGGCAAACAACAGCAGAGCCGCTGGCAGCAGTGGCACACAGCAAATTGGTTTGGGGCGGATTTGGTAAGGCTGCAGAAGGTGAGGAGGGATGAGGTTTTGCAACTGAATAAAACTGGAGGTCTGCAGCCGCAGCTGCAGATGTGGGGGAGGAAAATGAAGGGAAAGATGCCGAAAAAGATGTCGAAAAGGGAGAAGGAAGCGTAGGCAGCGCAAGCAAGTAAGACGGCAGCAAGGCGTCATCCATATGGTCGACGGCAGCCACGGTATGCGCGCTGCCGTCAAAGGACAAGCGAACCACCTGGCGACGCTCCATCTTACTGCTGTCGTCAGCAGCAGACGCCGCTAAGAATTCGGCCTGCTGCTGCTGCTGCTGGTATTGTTGAATGGAAGAGGCCCCCGTGGGGAAAGCCAGCGCAGAGTCAGCACCATCATCTATACAATCAGCGAACAAGGGCAAACTACTTTTACCTTGATCATCCACGAAGCCGCCATTGCCGTTGCTATTGCCGTTGCCGTTGGACGCGCTCATCACCACCGGCGACGACCTCTGCTGCCGCGCGGCTTCGACCAAGTCTGCCGCGCGGTCGCGCATAAAGTCGTTATTTCCGCCAATCTCCGAAGCGCTGTCATCGTCGTCATCATCGTCGTCAACATCCTCGTCCATGGCCGAGCCCTGGCTGCTACCTCTCTTGAAGACGCTCATTCCGTCGTCCTCGACATCGTCATCGTCGTCTTCACTATAAGCCATGCCAGACCGCTCGTTCTGGTAGCTACGGAAGCGGCCGATACGACCGGCAGGGCCAATTCCGCCGTCGTTATGGTAGCCGTCGTCGTCGTCGTCGTCGTCCTTGATAATAAACTGATCAGCGTCGTCGGCCATAGACGCATGCATGCCGAATTGCACTGAGCCGCCGTCAAAATGCACGCCCTGCTTCTCTGCGACGTATTCGGAGCTATCCTCGCCATCGTCGCCGTTGGTCGGGTACAGCATGCCAGTTGTCGATCCGGCTGAGCCCGCGGCTGGTGATGTGGCACTGGCCGAAGCCTCGATGCTGTGGTACCCGATGCGCCCGCTGTACCCCTTGGCCATGTTGCGACGCGTGCTGGCAGTGTACCTATCCTCGTCGTCGTCGTCCTCGTCATCATCTTCGTCCATGTCCTCATCATCGACATCCTCGTCGTCGTCCTCCGGCCCATAGGATTCGCCGGACGACGGGTCGACCAGCCCCATGCGCGAGACAAACACCTGGTCAGCATTATCGCTGGCCAGAATATCGACGGTGCCACCCGGACGCTCGCCGCCGAGCGGCTGCTGGTCGCGCTCACGTACCTCCTGCAAAGTACGTGCAACGTAATCGAGCCACTCGTCACCATCAATAAAGGGCGCAATCAGGGGCTCAAGCGCGGCTCCTGAGAGTTCAAGCAAGCGAGCCACTTCCTCGCCAATGCCCGTAAGATGGCCCATGTAGCCGAGCCTGACGCCGCGCGGCTCGTGGCAGACCTGGTCGTTTTGTGCGCAAGCCTGAGCAATGCGCGAGGTTATGCGCACGTCACGGAATGCGACGACGATGAGCGCCAGGTTGCACTCCAGGGTCAGCGGCAGATTGAGCACTTGGTGCATAATGTCGTAGACGACAGAGTGTAAGAAGTTGTTGAGCGAGAAACGGAAGAACAGGTCGGTGCAGATGGGGAGCACACCGTGCTGGATGAGATTCCACTTGAGCAGCTGCCCGACGGGCGTGTTGCTGGTGTCGTGGTCAGACGGGCTGCTGATCTCAATTGGAATGCTGGCGTAGCCGCCGGGCGTCCCAATATCATCGGCAGCAGATGGGGTCTGGCGGCGGCTGCTGCTGCTGCTGCTTGAAGAGGACTTGGCGGGTGACGGCGAAGTGGGCTGCTGGGCAAACGACTGGCTGCTAGGGCTGCTGTTGCCGCGCTGATGAGGGAAGCCAACAACCGTGGGGCTGTCCTTGTACGATGGCGAGTCTTCGGCATCGGTCCTTGGCGAGCCATCGATATCGCCAGCCGCATCAACAGAATTGATACCAGCAACACCAACAGCAACAGCAACAGACTCGATGCCCTGGGCCTTGTCGACCGGCATGTTGAGGCGCGGCATGTTGGAGCAGTGCAGCAGCTCGGCAAACAGCTCGCAGATGCGCAGGCGCTCAAAGCCCAAAGGCTCGCGCAGGCCCATCGTTGTAGGCACAGGCTCGGTCGCCGAGCGCGGGCTCTTGAGCAGCTCGACCAGGTCCTTGGTGCGCAGGGCCAGGACACGCATCATGTCGGAGAGGTCGACGGTAGGCAGGCGGCGCGGCAGCGATGCCTGCTGTTGCTGGTCATACGAGGCATTGTCGTAGGTGCCACCAAAGCCGTAGCCGTTGCCTTGGTCGTCGGGGGACATCTCGGCGTCGGCGTCCGAGTAGTTGCGCCGGATGAGCTCGATGAATATGTAGACGCAGTTGATCAGCGTGGACGTGGCGTGCGGTGCGCTGCGGTCAAGCATGTAGTCAGTCAGGCGCGTTACCATCTCCTGGCTTTTGAGCTCCTCGATCAGCGCGTTGGTGCCGATGGTCGGCTGTGCTGGGTTGTTGCATTGCGAGATGGCGATAATATCAAGCAGCACCTGGGTGGCCAGCGAGTGCATCTCGGGGTCGCACTCAGGCGAGAGCCGGTCGACGAGCATCGGAATGAGCCTGTACTCGTTCAGCCAGGCAATGATGCCGGGCCCGTTGTCGAGCTCTTCGAGGCTGATTATTTTAAGCAGCAGGTCGACCACCGTCGTCACGCCGAGGTGCTCGAGAAACAGGGGGATGGTATTGCCCTGCGCGCGGATAAAATCTAGCGTCTCATAGGGCTTGCGCTGCAGCAGACCGCACATGATGCGCGAGAAGTACGCCGCCTGCAATCCGTCCAGCTGGCCCGCAGGCAGGCCCATCACGCCCCAGAGCGCCTCAAGCAGGTGCTGCCGTGGGACGTTGCTGCTGCTGCCGCCGCCGTTGTTGTTGCCGCCGCCGCCGCCGCCGCCAATGATGTTGCTCGATGAGGTAAACGGCGACGACATAATTTCTTGCCGCGTCGGCTGCTGCGAGAGTGCGTTGTCGCTCCGTGAGCGCTGAGGCGTGAGCCGATTGCTGCCAGCAGCATCGTTGTTGTCGTCGCTATCAGCGGTGGTAGTGGCGGCAACGGCTGGGCTGCTGCTTCTTTGATTGCCATCGCTGGCCTTTTCTTGCTCCGCATTGTCGTTGTCGCCATCATCGACATCGCTGTCGCTGACCTCGCTGTTCTCGGCGTCGTCGTCGTCGCTCTCGGCAAAGTCGCGGTGGGAGTAGGTGGAAATGAGACACTCGACAAAGGTTACGCTGTTGCTGCAGAGGACTTCGACCGACGTCGAAGCCATTTTGGAGAACTTGAAAAACTCTTCTGTGGCAATATAGTCGACCATTTGCTTTAAATTCTGAGGCCGCGACAGGCTATATAGAAGAAGAAATGGAACATTGGAAATGCCGAAAAATAGCCGTGTTTTAGCAAGCAAGCATGCATGGCGCCTCACGACTGCCTGTTTTGAATTGAATTCAACAAAACCCAATTTAAAACAAATACTTACTATGAGACGACTTTGGTGTTTTGCTCGCGAACCTCTTGCAGGAGATCTGGGTCATTGAGAACTTCTTCGAGAGTCAAATCCTCTTTCTCCAGCAGCTTGTCGATATTTGACGCATGCTGCAGACCGAAACGCCAGAGCATATTTGGAAAAAAGCAGGACCTTTGTCGAATAAATAAATAAATGAAGGTTAAATGAGGGGGAATGAAACGCGTAAGAAAAAGAAAATGAGAGAAATTCGAGTAGGAAATAAAATAACTATGGAAATAAGAATAAACACTCCGTGAATCGGGTTTATTTGGAATGTGAAGAAAGAAGAAATGGAGGGAAGGGAAGGCGAGAGAAATGAGTGAGAGAAATATAGAAAGAAGGGCGGGGAAAAAATTGAGTGGTCCCTGGGTTGGGTTTTTTTCTCGCTAAAATATTAAAAAAGTCAAGTCTAGTATTCACGAATTTCCGCGTCTTGTGTAAAAAATCTTTGGTGTATTTCCTAAAGGAATTTGCTATATAATAATAAATAGAGAAAAGGGGCGGGCCGGAAAGTCGTACAGGTCGAGAATATAAATAAAAAAGCAAAGACGAACAAGAAGACGAGGACGAGGACGAGGACAAGGACAAACAAGGACGAGGACGAGGACGAGGACGAGGACGAGAACGAGAATATGGAAAATAAATTTGGGGGAGCGAGCTCAGTAAGAAGAGAAAAGAAAGGGATGAAATATAATATCGGGGAGGGAAAGGGGGGAGTGGAAATTTTACAGCAGGCAAAAACAGATCCAAAAAAAATCAAGCGAAAAGGGAATCGATACGCTCGCCTTGAGTATCTGGACGTTAATGTGTTTAGACGACTGTGCTATGCTGTGCTATGCTATGCTGCGCTGCGCTGTGCTGTGCTATGCTGCGCTGTGCTGTGCTGTGCTGTGCTGTGCTGTGCTATGCGTGCAGTGGGTGTAATTGCCAGGTTGAATTTCTGCTGTTGCCTGTGCCAAGTAAATAACGAGCAAGGAAAAATACTTGAACAAAATGAAAAACTAAACTTTTTAATCTATGCCCACGCCTACAAAAATTGGGCAATTAATGAATAATGAATAACCTGGGTTTTTTTACTTTATTTTTGATTTCGCTCGCACCTTGTTTCGAACCGGAATGGTCTTCTCATTTCGATACTGATTGCGTAGCTGCTTTGGTCTCATACAGCCATGCATGGCTCTGCATGCCGTTTTTTGCTTGTCTATTTATAATTACGACTCCTCTGATGGAAATGAAAAAAAACCTATTGTTGCGCGAGTTTTCGTATGTATGTGGCTTCCATTTCAGTTACAATCGTGGCGACAGCACGCTCAGCTTGCTGTGTCCGTGTTGTCATCTAATTGGGACGATAGTGCAAGCGTTGGAGTGCTGTTTATTGTTTGCAGTCAAGCCTGGGAAGAGCCTCCACATGCGCCTCCCCCTTCTTTAGCTCATCGCTGCGTAGGTCCAGCCTGCGGTCAATCGAATGGTCTGTGAGATTGTTGGGCCTGTTTGACTTGTTCTACCGGATTGGCGCCCGGATTGTTGATTCTAAAATCGGAAGACAATGGCGCATCGTCAGCCTCTCTGCATGCACACATATAAGTAACTAAGGAAGGACGAAGACTAAACCGACGAGATAGTCCACTGCTTAACAGCTCGCGCACTAAAATAAAGATATTGGATTGAATCGAACCGAACCGAATCGAATCGATCGGCCCAGAGGCAGGGAAAAAAAAGGCCCAAGACCAGCTGAAAAGTCCGTGCTTAAATTAGCGGTGATGTCATGCCATGTCAGTCGCTCGTGATAAGCTCGCAGGCCTCTGCTTTTGTTTTCTGTGTTCAGAGTTGGTCTTCTGACAGGACACTGGCTCACAAGGGTCAGGGAATATGCTTTTTAAGGTTTGCGGGATAGAGCAAGCTTAAGTGTAAAAAAAATTGTGTAATTTTTCGACACACGTCCACTATAAATCCAGCCTTACACTTTTTTGCTTTTCTGCATCAATTGCTTATCTTTTCGTCGCTTCAATTTTTATATTATAGCGGCTTAATTCTAGATATAAATTGATTTTTATAGAACAATGTCGCCATCCCAGACAGCAACAGTGGTCCCTGACCCGCCGTCCTTCTCGCAAGCGGCGCCACTCCCCAAGCTGACCTCCGAATACATGAACCAAATGTACCCCGAATACCTCGACCTCGTCCAAGCCCAAGTGTTTTTCCGTCACGGTGAACGCACGCCAGTTAAACAGCGCTTGTTAGAAACACCGTCGTGGCCATTTTGCCAGAGAGCAAATCACTTGCATGCGGAGTTCATGAAGGCTGTGGGCAAGTTTGTGCCCAGACAAGAGGCGATGCCGGTGCCTGACCCCCAGAGAAAGGTGGGTGACGCGAGGTACACTGAGAAAACTGGGACGCTGAAGAGCGGCTTGGAGTACGAGCCCGCCAAGTGGTCGGTGCGGCTGGGCAATTCGGGCTATGAGAGTGCCCCCGACGCTGCGGCCGACGATAGGCGCGAGACGTGGGATCCAAAGGCCTGGTAAGCAAGAAATGGCAGCATAAGACCGAGTGCGAATCGATGATAATGGCAGAATACAATGTAATATATATTACTGCATTCATGGCAACGCATCGGTGCTAAATGGCCTTTTGCATTTCTATTTTTACTTTCATTGTAGCGAGATGGGCCAGCTGTCCGACATCGGCCTGGACACTCTGTTCCGCACCGGGTCTTTCCTACGCTCACTGTACATCGACAAGCTGCAACTCCTTCCGCCCGTCCCCGACACAACGTCGGGCCGCCTGAGCGACTGGCTGTATATCCGAACGACTGACTACTCCCGCGTCATCCAATCGACCCACGCGCTCCTCGTGGGCATGTACCCAGGATACCCGAAGGCAGCGTGGAACGGAAGCCGGACGTCCTTCAACGAGGCCTTTTTGCGCCTCTTCCCGATCCACACGAGGATGCACCGCTCCGAGACCATGCATGGGAACTTTGGATGCTACAATTTTATCAGGCACTTTATTGACATTAGCGTGCACGACGCCGTGGAGCTCAAGTGGATCCGCGACATTTACCAGCAGACCATTGCGCTGGAGAGCATTGGAAAGAGGGCGGAGGAGATGATGGCCGTGCCGCATTTCGGGTCCAACTTCCACCAGGTCTACGACGAGCTAGTCTCGCTGGTCGCCCACGGCGGAGAGCTGCCCGAGGACATCAGCATGGACCATATGGAGAGCCTCGGCGCGGCCGCTTACCACCAGTGGACTGGCCGCGCCCATTACACGCAGGACCAGCGTCTGGGCTTTGGCCGTCTGGTCGACAACGTCGTACAGACCATGGCGCAGGCTGCTGCACTCGACTCGCAGCAGCCCGGGAGTGAGCGGCCGCACATTGGCTCGCAGCGTGAGGGCGACCTGCTGCTCTCTCCCGACGGTGTGCGCCCGCCAACCGATGGCGAGATCCCACGCGTGCCCAAGCTGGCGCTATTCGGCGGCCACGATGTCACAGTCGGTCCAATGTCCGTCATCATGGGCGCAAACACCCGCCAGTGGCTGCCGTTTGCGTCGACGCTGACTTTTGAGCTATTCAAGGACAAGGCCGAGCAAAGCAAGCAGCAGCGCGCCAAGCAGGCCGATCTGCCACGACCCTCGAGTGTGCCAAGGGATCTCGACACTGCCGGCCACTATGTGCGCGTGCGGCTCAACGACCAAGTTCTGCAGGTGCCGACGTGCGAGATGCCCGGCAAGCACCACCCGGCGATGGGCAGCTCGATGTGCACACTGGCCGCTTTCTTCGAGCACCTGGCGCCCGTGATTGCCTCCGAGGCCGAGTTCAGGACCGAGTGCGGCACGATGCCGCCGACGGAGATGTGAGGACGATGCTTTTTTGTTTTGACTTTCGACCTTCGACTTTGATAAAGCAATTTCATTATATTGAACACTTAAGCACTATATATTTTATTCTTTCTGGTTAAGCCAGCCTTGAAGGGGGCCCCTTACAGGTTCAGGCCGAGCGTGGGCACGGCGTTGGTCTTGTAGTGCTCGACGACCTTGAGGGCCTTCTTGGAGATGGCCTCGGGCGTCAAGCCAAAGTGCTCGTACAGCTTCTGGTACGGGCCCGATGCGCCAAAGGTATCGATGCCGATCGGGTGGTGCACATACTTGTGCCAGCCAAAGGTGCTCAAGGCCTCAACGCTAATCGAAGGCACGCCGGCGGTGAGCACGTCGTGGCGGTACTCGTCGGACTGGGCGTTGAAGAGCTCCACGCAGGGCATCGACACGACCTTGACGGTCAGACCGTGCTCGTTGGCCAGCAGCTTGGCGCTGTCAACGGCAATGCTGGTCTCCGAGCCAGTACCGACGATAAGCAGGTCGGGCTTGGCAGCGTTGGCGCCGTAGGTGGCCAGGCTGTAGCCACCCTTGGTCGCCTTCTCGATCGACGAGCCCTCGAGCTGGGGCAGGTTCTGGCGCGTCAGCGAGAGCACCGACGGGCGGTCGGCATGGGTCAGCGCCGACAGGTAGGCGGCAGACACCTCGTTGCCGTCGGCCGGGCGGAAGTTGAGGAAGTTGGGCGTGGCGCGCAGCATGGCCATGGTCTCGATGGGCTGGTGGGTGGGGCCGTCCTCGCCGAGGCCAATCGAGTCGTGGGTCATGATGTACAGCACGCGCAGGTGCGACAGCGCCGACAGACGCGACGCGCCGGCGGCGTACGAGATGAAGTTAAGGAAGGTCGACGCGAACGGGATGTTGGCGCCGTAAGCGGCAATGCCGTTGGAGATGGCGGCCATGCCGTGCTCGCGCACGCCGTAGCGCAGGTAGCGGCCGGCGTAGGTGCCCAGGCACGTGCTCTCAGGCTGGAAGTCGACGGCGTTCTTCCACCGCGTCAGGTTGGAGCCGGTCAGATCCGCCGATCCGCCGACGAGCTCTGGCAGCAGCGGCGCGATAGCGTTGATCACGGCCTCGGACAGCTTGCGCGTCGCCTCGGGCTTGTCGGACGGGGTGAAGCTCGGCAGGACCTGCTCCCAGTTCTCAGGCAGACGGCCCTCAATGCGGCGCACAAACTCGGCGTGCTCCTCGGGGTACTCCTGGGCGTACTTGGCCAGCAGCTCGGTCCACTGCTTCTCGAGCTCAGCGCCCTTGGCCGCACGCTCGTTGTAGAACTGGTATACCTCGGTGGGGACGGAGAACTTCTCCTGCGGGTTGAAGCCGAAGCGCGCCTTGACGGCCTCAAGGCTCTGGGCGCCGAGGGGCGCGCCGTGCACGTTGTGGGTGCCGGCGTTGGCCGCACCAAAGCCGATAGTCGTCTCGATCTTGATGATTGTGGGGCGCGTGCGCTCGGCCTTGGCCAGCTCGATAGCGCGGGCCAGGCCCTCGAGGTCGTTGTCGCCGTCAGCAACGCTCAGCGTGTGCCAGCCATATGCCTCATAGCGCTTGAGCACGTCCTCGGTAAAGCCGAGCTTGGTCGAGCCGTCGATCTGGATGCCGTTCGAGTCGTACAGAACGATGAGGTTGCCCAGCTGGAGATGACTAATCGCGCGGGGGAAAGGAAATCGGTTGGGAAAATACAGAAAGAGAGAGAAAGACAGCGTGAGTGAGTGTGCGTGTGTGGCGAATGAGCGATTAGCACGGGGCAGTTTTCCAATGGCACGGGCAATAAAGGCAGGACAGTGTAGACAGCGAGTGCGCTATTATGCGGGCCCAGGCTTGGCAATTAAAGGCAGCACACAATAACAAGAAATAACAAGAGGCTCCGGATTCACATCGTTTGCAATCACATAACCGAAATGGAAGGTCGGATCACCGCTGGCCACTTGCCGCTCGGACACCGCCAGCAAATGGCAGCGCGAAGCAAGCAATCAGCCGTCTCGCCTGGAGGAAGAAGGGGAAAGCGAAGAAAAATAAAAAGGCGAGTGAAAAAACAGTGTGTACTTACCCGGCCAATGATCCGGCCTCTGAGGCGACGCCCTCCTGCAGGCAGCCGTCACCGGCAATGGCATAGACGACGTTGTCAACAAGCTGGTATCCGGGCTTGTTGAAGGTGGCCGCCAGATGGCGCTCGGCGATGGCCATGCCAACGGCGTTGGAGACGCCCTGGCCCAGGGGGCCGGTCGTAACCTCGATGCCGTCAGTGTCATTGCTCTCGGGGTGTCCAGGCGTCTTGGAGCCCAGCTGGCGGAAGTTCTTCAGATCGTCCATCGACAGCTTGTATCCCATCAGGTGCAGCAGAACATACTGCAGCGCGCAAGCGTGACCGTTAGACAGAACGAAGCGATCGCGGTTGAGCCAGCTGCTGTTCTTCGGGTTAGCGTTGATGAACCGGGTGAACAGGACGTGCGCCATTGGAGCGCAGCCCATGGGCGCGCCGGGGTGACCCGAATTGGCGGCCTGGACCATGTCGGCGGCCAGGACACGGATCGTGTCGATGGCGAGCTGGTCAATGTTTGCGCTGGTGTTGGACATATTGTTTGTGCTTTGACTTGGTGACTTGCTTATGAGGAGGTGTGTGGGTGGGGTTGTATCAATGTGTTGTTGTGCAAGCAAAAAGACAAACAGAGGGGTTGTGATTAAAGTAAGATATTACGAGGAGTGCAAAATAATGACAATTTGGCTAAAGAAAAAAGAGGAAAGGAGAGAGGGGTTGAGAGCAAGACCCCCCCTTGTGCCAGCTTTAATACCCATTTGTGCCTGTCTTTCTGCGGATCTAGGGACGAAACAAAAAATAGGTGGCAAATACTTATTCGCACACTTCTGTGTCATCATAGCTGGTCCTGATGTTGATTCGGACGAGGGCCTGTGTGTTGTCTTTTTTAATTGGGCTGACAGTTTTTTTGCCCTTTTTTTGGATAACTGCTTTTTTGAATCGAATACTTTCTGCGTCCCCCTTATCCCCGACACCGATGGGCTTGGGACGTGCGCAAGGTGCAGTGCCTGTGGCAGTGGCAGCGGCAGCGGCAGCGACAGCGTGCGCCTGGGATTTTGGTGAGAACAAACACCCGTTCACCATCACATCGCGCTGATCGGCTGCGTGATCTGCAGTAATAACGGATGGATCACACTAATTGATTTGTCGTGAGCTTAACTTGCAGTGACCAATTGCCCGATATTAGTGGGACAAGAGTAAGCATTAGCTGCTGCGATGGCGGCAGCAACACGCTGAACACTGCTAGGGTTGCCCCGCCGTGCCATTCTCTTTCGGAGCCACACGATTGGCTGGCCACATACACTGACAAAGCGCTTTTCGAAGCGCAGCTCTTCTCCATTTAGTAGCTGGCAATCGCCAATTTTTGCCTTGTCGCTTGCCCTTTTGAGACCGACAAAAACCGCATAGTCAACTGTGTCGTAGCCCAGCCAAGCGCATACTTTCTCTTTCATTTGTCCAACTGTGCACGCATCGCTTGTCCATAGGCCGACTACAATGTCACCTGCACGTACGTTGACGGTGGATCCAACTAGCAACTGCAATGTGACTGGTGTTGGCGCCTTTTTTCTATTTGTGCGCTTGCTGACCCCGATGCACTCGTTGTTTTGCAACTCTTGCGACTGGTAATATAAATGCTGGTTACTCGCGCCGATGCCCAGTCGATCGGCGATTAACTGTTTTAGCATGCTGATTTTTATTGCCGATGCGAGGTTTACAATTACCTTGTGTCCATTATACCTGTTTATAATGAGTTTCATGACAACAGAGATGTGCTAGCACAAAGAATTCGCGAGTGTCAAAGAATAAATAAATGGACAATAAATAAAGAGAAAATTTAAAAATGAGAAAAATAATATAAAAAAGCAAAAATTAGGTGTTCATGTTAAAAATATTTATAATCCAAACCGCGCAACTTTTAACCTTTATATGTATTTATGTTTTTAAGGTATTGTTTTATGTCCATGCGACAACGATCGTCCAGTCAAGCTCAAATTTCATTTACTCGTGCTCAAAAAATGACTGATTCAAGAGCTGTAGACTGTACGCGTAAATTGGCATGTTGTCATGTCGCCAATAAATTAGTATTTGTAGCAATTGAGGACAAAGTAAATAAATAATAATAAAATTGTTTCAGTCAGCCACAGGTTGTCACGCGCATTTTTCTTTATAACAGCAAAGTCAGCGCTCGAATAAAATGTGCACTTTTGAATTGCAGCTTTCAAACACCAAAATTAATGACTAGTTGAGAACAAGCCAACGTTACGCTCTAGGGTTTTCCAGTTTAAATGATTTGTTTTATCATCGAAAAACTAAAAAAAAATTAGACAAGGTGACGCTCAGGAGAATCGACATAGTCCAAGTGCCTGATGTAGGCATCGTTCAGTTTGGTAGGCGCCTGGAGTGTCTCTTCGGGTAAGGACATTGGCGTGTACAGTCGCGAGGCAATTCTGGAAGAACCTGAGCGAGTATTTGGTGAAATGCTGTCGACGCACAAATTGTAGGTAAATGGCGAATCATAAACCGTATCCGTCGGTATAGCCTTGTGGAAGCGACCATCTGCAGTCGGTGACCGAATAACCTGGTTATTATTGTTAGCGTCATTAGGAATCATGGTGCTTTCAATGGATTTGGAGATACTGGTGTGTGCATATTCCTTGGGGTTAAAGTCTTTGCTCTCGTAGACGTTGTTGTCCATCTTGTAAAATTTGGCGTCATTAGGGCCTCCAGTCGTAGTTATCACCAGCAGCGAGCTATGAGCGTTGGTGGACATTGTATTTGGGTTGACATTGTATTCCCTTTGCAGCCCGTCCCTGCGCAGCTTGTTAATCCAGAGTTCGAGGTACAGCGATCGGTTGAACAGGCATTTGTACAATGGCACACCCATGATGAGCCACCACAGCGAGTTGGCCGCCAGATGATCCAGGGACGTGTTGATTATCCGCAGGCGGACGTCTAACGGATACATTGGACGCAGGTAGTTCATGATGGTTGCGTACAAGAGCACGCCACATATGATTGAGCAGGTAATCAGCATCTCGCGGCTTTCATTGAACGAACTCTTGATATTGCGAATTTTCCAGTGGACAAATATTACAATAAACACGCTTGACCATATGAACGCGTACAGTGCCCCCTTGAATCCCGAGTGAAAGTCACAGAGGTCGAGAGGCTCAACAAACTCGGTTGTAATCTTGGGATCAAGAAACTGCGAAATCAATCCTACAACCAGTGCGCTCAGCCAGTAGAGGGCAAACGGCGCGTAAAGACCTAGGCTGTGGTAGGGCAGATTGAGTATGAAAACGCGGTACAGTCCGTACGCCCTCAGCGCGATCAGCGAGCACATGCCGCACGCGCCCAGAAGGATACGCATCCAGAGGCCATAGGCCTTGCAATTGGTCAAGCCCGAGTTTGCCAGCGGAATATGCCCGTTGGCCTGCAGATCTCCAACGTACCACACGGCAGAGACGACAAAAATGAACGCCATGATGATCACGTTTTTGGACTTGAGTGGTGGGTAGTTTCTATGCCACAGCATATAAATTACTGCCAAAAAGTTGAAGGCATAAACTGTCGCAATGACAACCACCATGATAGCGTCTGCCTTGCCTCGCGGGTCCAATGAGGCACTCATCTCCTTGGCAAAAATAGGACGCATCAGCTCACTCTCAGTAACTGTGAAAGACAAGTGGTTGCCCATCTCTAAAAAATATAGTGTTGGAGCGTTTGGTGGTATCCAAAAATCGTAATAATGCAATAATAAGAAGTAGAGCTAGAGTCTGTGGTCTAATACAAAATAATATTTAATGTAAAAAAGTAAACAAATAAATTTGCCAGTTAAATATATATAGAAATAAAAATTGATAAATTATTATAATGAAGACAGGGAAGAAGTTGGATAAAGTATCCAATTGTTTGTAAATAAAGGATTTAAAATGTGGCCGTGGTAAAGCAATAACAAAACAACATAATTTTACACTGATAGATTGGCTGCATAAATATATGCATGCGGGACTACTTTTGCAATAATAATTGAAAAGGTACACTTTATTGTTGTTTGGTTTGAGGGAGCTTGACAGTTACATTGGCGTTTGCATGCCAGTGTTCATGTGCATGCTAATGTTTTTTTTACATTGTTGCGCGGGGATTCTAATCGCACAGCGGCATTTGGGGCTGACGATGCGCAGCTGGAATCAAGATCCATCAAAGCCTTAAATATAAGATTGCTTGAGGCCCGGGTGGCACAATTGTCTCAATCCCAGTCAGGCCCCGATGTGAACGAGAAGTGGCATACGATTAGTTACAATGGTATGTATACGCGGATGATATGCCCCACCAAGGCCAGTTGAGTATGTCTCTCTTTCATAACACAAACAAACTTACAGTTCAACCAAGGAATACAGGAGCTTGCCCACAAACGTGAAAAAGTGAGCATATTGCTATACATGGTGAAGCTATGCCCAGTTTGGCACTTAGTACAGTTGGCAATCAAAACGATTTCAAAAACAAAAACACTCCTCTTTTAACTATTGTCCATGCAGTGCTTCATATGCAATTGTAACATCATCTGGCTTTAAATAAGATCAGCGCTTTACTTTCAGCAATTCTTTTATTCCAATCATATATATGAGAAAGGAAAAACACATGTTTACTCAAGGTTTACAAAAAACCAACCTCAAGATGGCAGATTGATCGACAAACACAATTGGATGTAAGAGTAAAATGAACAGCGATTGGTGCGCAATTTGCTCGCACAGTAAAATAAACAAATGAAAACAAGTATAAAAAATAAAAAAAGCACATATGCATGGCCGCATATTTTTTGTACACACTGGCCGTAGAAACTTGAATAAATACAAACCTGAAAATGACAAAAGTTGGCATGGCACATTGGCGAATACAATTCTATTTATAGTATTTCAAAAATAATGAAAATTCAAATGTTGTCAATATTTGCATGCTGCCATCTCTGCGTTTCCTATTTTGGCAGGTGCGCGGTGCATTTTACATTATATATTCAAAAATTTTGAACTTGTAACACAGAGATAGACTCGAAGTGAATTAAAAGACAACATATGGATTCCCACTTCACATCACAATGGGGACATGCAACCAGGCCAATCGTTTACAACTCCAAATTTACCAAAAAAAAACGATAAATACTTACTGGGTTTGCCAATATGCAATAAAGCAACGATGCCGTCTTGCCATAGTGGCCAATTACAATAGTTGAGGTGGCCCAAAAGTGAATAAATCAATAACAGCAGTAGAAATGTAACTTTGGATATCAGAATTTTCAATTTAAGGACTCCTAGCGGCCCATCATTGCCTATCATTTATTGCCCATTATCTAAAATATCACTGTACTTAAAAATACAAAAATGGAAGAGCAAATTTACACATATATTGCTAACCCCCTCCTCCAATAAATAAAAAAATAGACAATCAATAGCACTTTTTTGGAAGCGAATACTGAGATAGCGGCATACCGCTCACCAACAAAAACCATATTCCAATTAGCCGTCATAATTGCATTCAGATTCAATGCCGATCCACATTAATACATAATCCATATAAAAAACTAATGCGCTACACTATTGAAAATGTATTTTTGGAATTTCCAGACATTCGTAGCGAAAGTCCAGATTTTTAAGCGGGGGGTTTTAAAAGCCTGTTTCTTGCGCGAAAAGGCACCACTCGAGTCGGTTGAAGCTAAGTCTACAGCAACACCCGAGACCTTGCCTAAGCCAAAGGCCAAGCGGGTGTGCAAGAATCGATCTTCCCCTGCTTCTTCTCTTCAAAAGAAGCAGCGAACTGATTAATATCGTCAACCATAGTGACTTATTGCCACTAGTTTCTAAACACTTTATAGGTTGCTAGTCAAACTGGGGCAAGGATGTCGGTTTTCAGGATACTTGTAGCCTCGTTCTACTCTTTTAGTGTAGTGGATCTCAATACACCAAAGCCAGATAAAGTTTGGATCAACATGCTTACGTCGCTGATACATGATCTGTCTTGGTTAATTTTTATTTGGTTTTTAAAATTTTCTGCTGTAGCCGTCCAATAGCACCAGCAAATTTTATGCCAACCGATTCTCTCAAATATTTGTCACGTTTTTTATAGACTTGAGCGACATTGGTCAATAATAATTGACCTTTTTTTCTGCCGCCGGACAATCTGCATTTTATTTTTGCTCCCAAATAGAGGTCAAGCGCCGCGGAAAAACACATTATCCATTTTTTGTCTCTTGACAAGGCCTTTTTGATTGTTGAGGTGGAACCAAATATGGACTTTGTCAGCACTGTGCTTTGGCGGGAGTTTTAGTTTATCCAGCGTTCAAAAACAATACAAAGATCAACACTCCATAAAAAAATAACGCCCAAGTTATCTACTTACTATTTAGTGGGTAGATTCTGACTCACATTTAAGATAAAAGTAATGCATTGGGAATTGTAGCCAGTTGACAGCTGGCCAAGGGAATTTTGTAATGCGTCTGTCCATATTTAGTAACCAAATACACAATGCAGTCCACGAGCGCGCGCAAAAAAGTAACGCACAGCATATTTTGATGCTACACAGCGAAATCTATGCCAAAATGGGAAAGTTTATATAAATTGCAGACGCACATTTTTCAGCTGAAAATTGGCGCAACTAATCCCCGCATTCCGTTGTTATTATTGCGTAAATTTTTTTATAAATTGAAAAAAGGCAAAAAAATAAAACAATCTACATTGGACACCACTTAAAGTACAGTGATTAAATAAGGTGATCCCAGTCTGCGAATATTCCTCCGCTAAATAGTATTTCCGGCGGTGTGGATTATCACGCACTAAGTGCACTATTTGTACCTACTAATTTATTTGCGCAAAACCGTCGTGCCAAAAAATCATCTAGAATGCTATTCCCTATGTAATACTCTACACTAGTTGATGTGTCACGAGTTACAGCTGCATTAGCAAAATTTACGCGTTGGATTATCGAGCGAGTATCAATATTACCCCATGGCCTAACCATCAAGAGTAATAATAAAAAACGAGTTGGATTGGCGCTGTGCATGGATCGAAAAGTAAAAATTTTTGCCATCTAATATCTATTGTGATACTTTTGAATTATTTAGTTTTACAGAATTTTGAGCTACGGCCACATGCCAACGCTGTTAAAATTTTTTCAGAGTAGATGCAATATTGAATTTCTTCTGTCCGGCGGCGGCTGCAAATGTATAAAACGATGCCGCCCCGATGCCTTCCATGCTTTTAAACAACCATTGCTGGATTGCAAGTACATATTCTCAAGTTATTTTCCTTTCCTTATTATTTTTTGTTTGTGAGCCGCTTTATAATATCAACAATAGCCCTGTGCTTCTAATATTTATTTTTTATTTCATCCTCCATAAAACAATTACAATTATGAACGACGAGAAGCACGTTGCTGGAGCTGCGACACAGACGCCAGACTTCTACTCGTCCGACGAGTCAAACACAAATAAGGAGTTTGACGTTCCTGAGGACGTCGACGGCAAGAAGCTCAAGTGGGCGTACCGCAAGGTTGACGCCACTCTTCTCTTCATTCTCTTCCTCAGCAATGTTCTCAACAGCATGGACAGAGCCAACCTGGGGTTGTCCAAGGTAGCCGGGTTGGAGAAAGATCTTGGCTTGAAAGGCAGCGACTTCAACGTCATTGCCAGCATCATGTACCCGACCTACCTCGTATGCATGCTTCCGAGCAACCTGGCCCTGCGCAAGTTCGGCGCTCGCTTCTGGCTCAGCCTGATTACTGTTGTCTGGGGCCTCATTAACATGTGCATGGCGTTTGCCAAGAACCGTACTGATATGATTCTTTGCCGTCTGTTCCTCGGTGCCGCCGAGTCGGGAGCTGCCCCAGGCGCCCTCATGCTGATCTCTCTGTGGTACCCTCGCCACATGGTCACCTCGCGCGTGGCCCTGTTTTACTCGGCGTTTGCTGCTGGTGCCATCATCGGCGGGCCCATCGCTGCTGGTATTGGCAAAATGACCAACCCGCGCTTTAATGGTTGGGAGTGGATCTTCTTTATCGAGGGCCTGGTTACCGCTGGATTCGGTCTTCTGATGTACGTCTTTTTGGCTGACTATCCCAACAAGAGCTGGACCATGAACAATAAGGAGAAGGCTCTGATTGGTCAGAATATGGCACTTGACCAGATTGACGGAGGTCACCGCCCTGTGTCGTACAAGAGGCTTTTGCAGCATGCCTGCGACCCGCTGATCTACAGCCAGGCGCTCATCCTCTTCACCGCTAACTTTGGTGTAAACACAATCCTGACTTTCTCAGCCATCATTGTCAAAAACCTCGGGTACGATGCCGGGGCCTCACAGGCCCTGCAGGCGGCCCCCGGCATTTGCGGCTTCATCGGTTGCATATTAAGTCGCTACTATCCCAGATTTTTTGGCAACCACTACCGCAGCTCGCTTTTCTGCTCTGCTTGGGTTGCTGTCGCCTCGATCATCCTGCTGTCCACCCGCAACAGTGGCGCCAACATTTTTGCTCTCTGCATTCTGTCCTTTGGCAGCTTTGGCAATGTCAGTATGGGTCCCGGATGGCTTATGAGCAACGTCGGCGGTCCCACTCGCGGTGCCCTTGGCGGCGCCATGAACGTCATCTGCGGCGGTCTTGGTGGTCTCTGCACCTCGTACATCTACCGCAACAAGGACGCCCCTAACTACATGTTTGGCCATGGCATGAATCTCTTTGCCGCGTTGCTTGCCTTCATCACCGCAACCATCTCGTACGTCATTATTGTCCGCCGGAACAAATTCAGAGAAGCGCACCCCATTGACATTTCAAACATGTCGGAAGATGAGGTTAAGGACCTCGAGACTGACCACCCCAACTTTAGGTTTGTTGAGTAAAGTGTGCTGTCATTTGTCTTTTGGAGCACTTGACACCCAGTTTTCTTATTTCCTTTTCCTTTTATGATTAATTATTACTTGTACGATATCCTGCTTTTATTTAAATACATTTTTCTATTTTCAATTATTTGTATTATTGAAATGTTTACTGCTAATTAACTGCATCTTGGTCAATTCGCACACATTTGAACAGAAAAAATTAAATCGGAATATCTTGAATTGTCCCTGGATGGGGGCGGTGGCTTTAGATATTAGGTGCAGAATTCTGAATTCTGGACTCCATTGTTCGAAGCAAACACGGAGCTCAAAATAAGTAAATAAATAAAATAATACAAGCCTTCCTTGGAAAACACAATAATATTGATATAATATGATGATGCAAACGTCCCCGCTATGCGACAGATACATGTATTTCTCGCCGCACACTGAAATGCAAAACAAAGCGAATGATATGATACTAGTTAATTTCCTCTTACCAGCCATTATCCTCACTTATCATTGTTGTTTTCGTTTCATGTAAGCAAACAAGGTTTCCAACTAATGCAATAATAACAGATGTAATTACAACCAGATATGCTGAATTAAATATTGCAGGTATGAAAGTCGGCCAAAAAATACAAAATACCATTGGTAATTTAAAGATCGAATGGCGAGGTGCTAAAACAAATCACATTATTGAGCTGTTGGTGGCGCTTATTGCATTGCCATCCAGCTCAATCACAAAAGATAATTTACATGAGCAGGATGCGGGCTTTCAATAGCCTTTTTATTATGATATCCAAGTTGCCGGGGTAGGCACAAAATGGCCTCCTTTCTTATTATTGAATAGTCATGGAATAAAAGTCACTCCAAGCCATCCGTTGCGCCTGCATTACTTATAAAAAGACAATAGACCTACCTGCATGTTTTATGTATCTGCCATCTTTTTATTATAATAAATAGAAAATTTGCATATCCTGGTTCTCAAACTGCAAATAAAGGCGACATAATCGACTTTAATAGCCAGAAAAGTGCATTCATATATATTTTTTGCTTCACATTCATCTTCAATTGTCGTTTATTATCAAGATTCGACATTTTTATTTGATTCATCGTGTCCTTATTTTGTGAACTATCTTTTAGTTTGTCTTTTTCTAGTGCACTTTTATTAACCACTTTTTTCACTTTATAATATTCAAGCCATGATTGCCAAAACTACAGTCGATCTTGTGCATGGCACTACGGCACTCCACATAACCCTAGCTGGCGATTTTATTGCTCGAGCACAAGAGTTAGCCGACTCGATGGCCATCGATCACAGTAACGACCAAGGTGACATTGAGCTTTTTTCACGCTTTCTCGAGCACTGCGGATTCAACAGCACCACCAAGATGACGCTTGCGGTGCGCGACGCATTTAACCTGTCGTTTGGAGTGGGTGCCAAGGACATCCACGCGGTGGTGCTTGACCATGGTCTTGACGAGACTCGAAGCCGCCGCGTTCTCAAGGCATACTTTTCGGTTTGGAACGCTGTTTCAGAGGCCACTAGTATGCAGCACAATGCAGCACCGTCAAGCGCTGCTCGGTCGGCTCTTTTTGGCAAACCGGGTGCATCATTGATGGGGGTTTTTGGCGGCCAGCTCGGAAGCACCACCTACTTAGACGAGGCTCGGTGGCTGCTGGACGTATACGCACCGCTGGTCAGCGACTTTGTCGCCCAGATGACCGCCTTTCTCTGCCACGAGGCACAAGACAGCAGGATGAGCAGCGCGTACTTTAAGGGTATCAATGTCCTGCAGTGGCTTACGCACACCGAGTCCACGCCCAACGAGCAATACCTGCTGAGCATGCCTGTTTGCTTGCCGCTGCTTGGACTTGTACAGTTCATGCAAGTGATGATATTGTATAAGACCCTAGGCATATCCCCGGGTGAACTGGTTGTGCGCTTTAAAGGTAAAAAAGAATTAAACCACGTATATATTGTTTTCTTGTTATGCATATTTGTACATGCAATTACAAACACAGTAATATGATGCGCACAGCAAGATTAATGACTAAAAATCACAAATTATTTATATTTCACTGACCTGTAGTTGTTACTGGCCATAGCCAGGGAATAGCTGTAGCCACAGCGTTTTCCATGCTCACCGACGAACAGTCTTTTTATAGCATTGCGCGAAAAATCCTTGGCATTCAGATGCTCACCGGCGTATTGCCGCAGGCAGAGTTCCCATGCTTCAAGCTTATTCAGTGCACCAACGGCAGCCGGCCCGAACCAACCAGCTCTGAGCCACGGCCCATGGTCGCCGTCCAGGGCGTGTCGCGGCAGGTCCTGGAAGCCATAATATGCAAGTTCAACTCAGGCCAGCCGTCGCCCAAGCATCACATGCACATGGCTGTCATCAATACCGCCGACCAGTTTATCGTTGCCGGCCATATTGAATCTGCCACGCTGTTTATTCAGTTTGTGCGCGCACGGTCGGCGAGGTCCTCTGACAACCAGTCGCGGATTCCAATGAGCCAGCGCAAGCCCCTAATTATCGTGCACTATCTCGGCATCACGGCGCCCTACCACAGTCCGCTGCTGAGCGACATGGCTCGAGAGATTCTAGAGATTGTGCGCAAGAAGCAGTGGGTACTGGAGGGCAGTGACTTGAAAATTGCCGTGCGGGCAACTGAGGACGGCCACGACATCCGCAGCGAGCATGATTTGACCAAGTACCTTGTAGAGAGCATGTGCAAGCTGCCCGTTGACTGGCCGCGCGCTGTGAATCATGTCGGTATCTCGCACATTGTTGACTTTGGCGCTGGTGGGTTCGGTGGGTTCGGAAAGCTCGCCTTCAAAAACCTTGAGGGCCGCGGTATCCCCGTTGTGTGCGCCGGCGCGCTGGTCCCTCGGCGCAGCCAACCACAGATGGGCACCAAGGCCGACCTCTACCGGTCTAAAGTTTCTGCCACCGCGCCCAATTGGCTGTCCGAGTTTGGGCCTCGGCTTGTGCGCACTGCATATGACGGCTCTCTGCACATCGACACGGCAATGCACCGCGTGCTTGGGCTGCCTCCCGTGATGGTTGCCGGCATGACTCCGACCACAGCCAGCGAGCACTTTGTCGCTGCCATCAACAATGCCGGATACCACGCCGAACTTGCGGGCGGCGGCATCTACACGGATGCCCACCTCGGCAGCAAGCTGCGCGCCTTGGCGTCACTGATCAAGCCCGGGCATGGAATCACGCTCAACTGCATCTACGTCAACCAACGACAGTGGAGCTTCCAGTTTCCAGGGATACTGCGGCTGCGCGCCGAGGGTGTGCCGGTGACTGGCCTTTGCATTGGCGGCGGCGTTCCGTCTCTGGAAAAGGCAACCGAAATCATCGACTCCTTGCGCTCGGCTGGCTTCCATCACATGTCCTTCAAGCCGAGCAATGCTGGCGCCATTCGGCATGTTGTCAAAATTGCAAAGGCATGCGCCGACTTTCCCATTGTCTTGCAGTGGACAGGAGGCAGGGCCGGCGGCCACCATTCGCTCGAGGACTTTCACCAGCCAATCCTCGAGACGTACGCTGCCGTTCGCTCCTGCGGCAACATTGTGCTGGTTGCCGGCTCTGGATTTGGTGACGCCGAGGGCTCGTTACCATACATTACGGGTAACTGGAGCTCTGCGTTTGGCCGCTCGCCCATGCCCTTTGACGGAATTCTGGTTGGGTCGCGCGTGATGGCTTCCAAGGAGGCCCGCACATCGCCCGCTGCCAAGCAGCTCATTGCGTCGTGCCCCGGGCTGGACGACGCCAACTGGCAAAACTCCTACAGTAGCACGGATGGCGGCATCACAACGATCATCAGCGAGTACGGCGAGAACAATCACGTGCTGACGACCCGCGCGGCCCTACTTATCAAAGACCTGCAAGGCTCGGTTCTGAATCAGCCGCGCGACAAGTGGCTTCCACTGCTTTTGGCGCGCAAGGCCGAGATTATTGGCCGCCTGAATAGCGACTATGCGCGCCCGTGGTTTGGCAAAAAGGCAGATGGCCAGACCGCCGATCTCGAAGAAATGACTTATGCGGAGGTAGTTTCCCGCTTAGTCGAGCTCATGTACGTGGCACACGAGCGGCGGTGGATTTCCGATTCGTACCGCAAGTTCGTTTTTGACATTGTCAGCCGCACGGAGCGCCGCCTGGCTGACAGCAGTGTTGCCTTGACGCACTCGCTGGCGATAGAGCTATCTTATACGTGCCCCACTTTGTTTGCCCAAAGCGTGGTTGATGCGTATCCCGCAGCGCAGACGCGGCTTCTGGCTTCCGAGGACATTCAATACTTTGTCAGCCGGTGCAAGCAGCGTGGCCAGAAGCCGGTGCCATTTATCCCGTTGTTTGACAACGACTTTGGTACTTGGCTGCAAAAAGATTTAATCTGGCAGTCGGAGGACTTGGGTGCCGTGCCCGACCAAGATGCCCAGCGCGTTTTCATTCAACATGGCGTGGTGGCGGCGCGGTACTCAACCTCTGCCAATGAGCCTGTCAAGGGCATTTTGGATGGTATTTACCACAGCCACATTGCCGCGCTGCTTGAGCGTTTCTACAGTGGCGACGCGTCCAAGGTTCCGGCGGTAGAGAGCCTGAGCGCCGCGCCAGCAGAGCTCATTATTCCTGACGGTGTGCGCGCGCATTTCGAGGCTGGTCAGCGCACTTATCAGCTCTCAGTGGACCCGGCACAGCTTCCTGTTGCCGACGTGTGGCTGCGTGCAGTTGCTGGCACGCGTAACTGTTGGCTGTACGCCCTACTGACCTCGCCTGCGCTTGTCCAGGGCACCAGCTACACAGGCAACTTTGTGCGCCGGGCAATGCGCCCGCGGCCGGGTCAATTGCTGACAATCTACATGGATAGTATAGACAACACTCTGCCGCGCTCGCTTGAAGTTTCTGGCAATGGCACTACCGAGCTGCTGATTGAGTACGGCAGCAGCAGCGGCAGCGGCAACAAACGCATTGTGCTCTGTATTTACCCGCCAACTGCCGAAGGGCGTGCTACTTTGCGCCTGGAATTTGCCTACCACCCGGAGCAGCCGCTGGCGCCAATTCACCAGGACATGGCGAGCTTTGGCAACAACGTGCGCCAGCTGTACGCTGAGACATGGGTCAGTAATTCGGACAGGCCCGTTGCCTTTGAGGGCATAGAGCGCTCAGATGCTCTTGTTTATCACAACGGCCCTGTAATCACAAAGGATCGCATTCACGCGTTCTGTCGCTCCGTTGGAAACCGCTCAAAGAACTACACGTGCGAGGCCGCGTATGGAGTGAACAGTGCACCCATGGATTTCATCATTTTATCGGCGCTGCCCAGTGTCCTGCAGGTGTTATCATCGCCGGTGTTTGGAGACGGGCAGCTCAGCATTGTGCATCTCTACAACCAGCTTCAGCTGGCCGATGGATTCAGCGCACTGGCTATCGGCGACTCGGTTCGCAGTGTATTGGAAATCGACGAGCTGATAAACACGCCAGCCGGCAAGCAGATCACGCTTACGAGCACGAGCTACGTGGATGATCAGGTTATCGCCACGTCAAAGTGTGCGTTCTTGAGTCGGGGTTATACCACTGACTATGCCCTGACGTTCCAGCGCGTCCGAGAGCGGTATATCACAATTCAGATGAGCTCCGCCAAGGATATTGCTGTGCTGGAGGCCAAGGAGTGGTTCGTCTATTGCGATGATCCCGCGAGTCGGCCTGATCCTATGTCGCAGCTTGAGTTTTACATAGAGTCGCTGTATCGCTTCCAAGGCACATCCGTTTATTCAAGCATAGCCACAACGGGCCGCGTGTTGCTCAAGAGGGCCTGTGGCCCATCGGTGCACATTGCTAATGTTGATTTTGAGTGGAAGGGTGTCGCAGCTACCGCCGACCCGGTCGTCGAATATCTCAAGCGGTACGAAACTCGGTCAGCCGCCGTGCTTTTTGATGACGGCGGCTACCAGATCATTCCTTATAGCAGTAGCAGCGACGATCAGATGAAGGCTACTGTTCCCAATTCCAACGAAGAGTACGCTCGGCTTTCGTGGGACTCAAATCCCATTCATACCAACGCGTACATTGCGGATGTGGCCGGGCTGCCCGGGACCATTACACACGGCCTGTGGACCAGCGCATCAACCAGGGCAATCATCGAGAGTTGCGCGGCCGACGATCAGCCTGAGCGCATTCGCGCGTACCACACCGACTTTGTTGGCATGGTCTTGCCTGACGACCAGCTGAGAACCGAGTTGCGTCATACTGGGATGGTCGGCGGACGGATGCTAATCAAGGGTCAGACTTTCAATGCCACTGGAAACGCCATACTCGAGTGCACCGCCGAGGTTGCGCAGCCAAAGACAGCATACGTGTTTACGGGCCAAGGCTCCCAGGAAGTGGGAATGGGCATGTTGCTGTACGAGCAGTCGGCAGCCGCAAGAGGTGTCTGGGACCGCGCCGATGCGCATATGGCCGCCACGTACGGCGTTTCATTGCTTGAAATTGTGCGCAAAAACCCCGAGCAAATAACCGTGCACTTTGGCGGCAAGACAGGCGAGAGCATCCGCCGCAACTATATGTTGCTTGAGCGCATCGACCATTCGCAATCATCCAAGGGCGTCTGGGTGCCTATTTTCCCAGAAATCACCAGCGACTCGACCAGCTACACATTCCAGATGCACACGGGCTTGTTGAATGCGACGCAGTTTACGCAGGTTGCAATTATTGTCTTGGGCGTGGCAGTGATTGCAGACATTCAGTCTCGCGGGCTCATGTCGCACGATTCGGCGTTTGGTGGCCACTCTCTCGGCGAGTACAGCGCGCTGGCAGCCATGTGCGGCATGTTTACTATGGAAGAAATTGTGGATGTTGTATTTTACCGCGGCATGATGATGCAGTCTGCGGTCGAGCGGGACGAGGAGGGCCGCTCGCAGTACGGGATGGTTGCTGTGAATCCCTCGCGCGTCAAAAAGTCGTTTAACGAGGCATTGCTAGTGCACGCTGTATCTGTCATTTCGGTTCGCGGCCAGGGTCTGCTTGAAGTTGTCAACTACAATGTCGACAGCCATCAGTACGTTGTCGCGGGAACTTTAGCCCAGCTGGCCGTACTTCGTCTGGTGCTGGATAGTGTTGCCGCTCAGGAACTGTCTTTTGATCTTAATTATAGCGACGGCGAGGCCAAGTCATTCATCAATTTGATTGTCAGCAGTGTGCTAGCCCAAGCAATCGATTCCAAGCCGCGGCAAGGGCGAGCAAGCATTCCGCTTGCTGGCATTGATGTGCCATTCCACTCAAGCCTCCTGCTGCCGGGCGTTCCCAGCTTTAGAGCGCTACTGACCAAAATTATTCATGCCAGAAACGTAGACTATGCGCTGCTCCACAAGCGCTACATCCCCAATCTTACTGCAGTGCCGTTTGAAGTGTCCAAGCAATACTTTGAATTGGTGCTCAAGCTGACCGAGTCCCCGGTTGTTAGCAGCATTCTCGATAGCTGGTGCGACTCATCGGTGCTTAACAACGACGACAACGAGATGCGCCATTTGGCAACAAAGTTGGTCATTGAGTTGTTGGCATACCAGTTTGCATCGCCCGTGCAATGGATTAAGACACAAGACCAGCTGTTTGGCAATGTTGGCGTCCGCCGTCTAGTTGAGGTCGGCGTCAGCCCTATTCTTTGCGGCATGTCAGCCAAGACCCTTGATAGTATGAATGCAAGTGCAGGCGCACGCGCTGTGCAAGTTGCACTGCTGCATATCGAGCGTGATCGGGACAGCATCTACTATTTGGGCCGTGCGGACGCTGGTGATTCTAATTTGGACAAAATAGCAAAATTGCCCGGAGCGTTGCCTGTGCCACCAGCAGCGCCCGCGCCAGTGCCAGCGACAGCTGAAGAGGCGCAGCCGGCTTCAACCGAAGCTAGAGCCGACAACACAGCTGCCGTTGCCGAAGTGCCGCTCAACGCGCTCGAGGTTGTGCACGCAATAGTTGCTCACAAGATCAAACGTAAGCTGGAAGACGTCTCGGTAAAAAGGTCTATCAAGGAACTGGTTGGCGGCAAATCCACGCTTCAAAACGAAATAATCGGCGACCTGCACAATGAGTTTAATGGCAAAGTGCCTGACAAGGTTGAGGACATCCCACTTTCAGATGTTGCCGCGGCAATTGGAGTGCTGAGCGGCGCACAGCTGGGCCCGTACTCTACATCTATGGTTACTAGGCTGTTCAGCAGCAAGATGCCTGGCGGGTTTTCTTTATCCGCCGCACGCGCTCACTTGCAGACCTCGTATGGGCTTGGCCCACAGCGGCAAAATGCGTTGCTGCTAACCGCGCTGACAATGGAGCCCTCAGAGCGACTGGCTGACGAGAAGGGCAGTGTTGCATGGCTTGGCAGTGTTGCAAGCACGTATGCCGCGTCAGCCGGAATTTCTTATGCTGCGGCAACAGCAGCATCTGCTGCTGGTGGCTCTAGCAAGCAGTTGTTGGGGCCAGCCATAAGCAGCGCGGCCATGGAGAGCATACAGCAGAAGCAGCGGGATCATATTGTGCAGCAGATCGAGGTGCTTGCACGGTATGCCGGCCTAGACCTTCGTCAAGACGCGCGGCTGGCCAATAAGCAGCTGGGCCAAATTGCTGAGAGTCAGTCAAAGCTCGCCCAAATACGCTCCGAGTTTGGCGACGAGCTGGTTGAGGGAGTGCAGCCATGCTTTGACGTGCGCAAGGTCCGCCGCTTTGACTCATTTTGGAACTGGGCGCGCCAGCAGGCATTTGAAGCAATTCAGCGCGCAATTGTTGCCGCCAGAGACTCAGTTGCCAATGCTATTGCGGCTGCCGACAATGTTGCCGCTGCCAGCAACGCAGAAAATAAAAATGCCGAGCTGGCTCACCGGTTGCGCAACTGTGCCCATCCTGAGCTCGTGCAGATGCTGTCTGGAATGGCTGCCATTTTGGAGTCAAGCGGCGATGCTGTGCTCAGTCCGGCCTTGAAGCTGGCAAGAAAGCTGCACGCCTTGTGCGCCGAAGCACTTGCGCGCCCCCCTGTCTACGTTGAAATGTCGCAGCCCATGCAACCACAGACAATTGTGTCGCCCAGCGGAACTGTAAGCTATGCAGAAATTCCGCGCGCAAACGAGCCGACGTTTGCCGAATTTGTTGCACACATGCGTAAGCAGCCGTTGCCAATAGACGAGAAGCTGTCTGCAGATACGGTGTTGCCGTTCATTCACATCCGACAAAAGTCTGCCGGCACAAGCGGGAGTAGCGGCAACAACGAGCAGTGGTTGTACAGTGACAGTCTGTCGGATACCTATTTTGGCAGTCTGTCGGATATGTGCTCGGGCGGCCTGTCATTTGCAGGCAAGATCGCACTGGTAACTGGATGCGGCAACGGGTCAATTGGCGCAGACATTGTCAGAGGGCTTTTGAGCGGTGGCGCTCGCGTCGTGGCAACAACCTCGCACTTTAACCGCAAATCCGCCCAGTTTTTTGAAGACTTGTATCGCACAAGTGGCACTCGCGGGTCAGAGCTCATCCTTGTGCCATTCAACCAAGGATCCATCAATGACATTGGGGGACTTGTCGACTATATCTACAACGATACGGCTGGCTCCAAGGGTCTCGGCTGGGATCTAGACTACGTCTTTCCCTTTGCTGCAGTCAGCGATGTTGGCAGCTTTGCCACCAGCCTTGGGTCACACTCGGAGTTTGCGCAGCGAGTAATGCTGACCAATGTTCTGCGCCTGATGGGCGGCATCAAGGCAGCCAAGGAGCAGCGCAAGTACATCTCGCGGCCGTCGCTCGTCGTACTGCCATTGTCACCAAACCAGGGAATTTTTGGCGGCGATGGCCTGTATGGCGAGTGCAAGGCCGGTTTAGAGACTGCCTTTAACCGCTGGAAGTCCGAGTCTTGGAAGGGATACTTGTCGATCGCCGGCGCCGTCATCGGATGGACGCGCGGCACAGGGCTGATGTCAGCCAACAACCTGGTTACTCCGGAAATCGAAAAGCATGGTGTACGCACGTTCTCGACGCGCGAAATGGCGTTCAGCATCTTGGGCCTGCTGCATCCGTATATCTGCCGCGCTGTGCACCGGAGCCCCATTTGGGCGGATATCAGTGGCGGGATCAACAACCTGCAGGACGTCGCCCAGCTGTTAGCTAGTGCGCAGCGTGATATTGACAGCCGCACGCGCACTTGCCGTGCAATCTCGCTTGAGGCCGCACTAGACAGCGCGGCGCTGAGCCACAAGAACTCCAGCGCGCCGGCCAATGTTGCTGATTTGTCCGCTCTCGCTGATCACAAACACCAGTTCCCGGCCCCCAAGAGTTACAACGAGCTGCACCATCTGGTCGCGCTCCAGGGTATGGTTAACTTGGACAAGGTGGTAGTGATCACTGGCTACGGCGAGGTTGGGCCGTATGGCAATGCAGAGACACGCTGGGAGATGGAGGCGTTTGGCCAGTTTTCGGTAGAAGGATGCATCGAGCTGGCATGGATAATGGGCTTGATCAAGCACAGCAACAGTGTGCTGCCGGCAACTGACCAGATATACGTGGGCTGGGTTGATGCCAAGACGGGTGAGCCGGTGCGTGATATTGACATTAAGCCGCGTTACGAAGAGTATATTCTGGCGCACACGGGTACTCGGCTGATTGAGCCCGAGCTGTGCGACGGGTACGACACAAGCAAAAAGCACGTTTTGCGCGAAATCCAGATTGACAGCGACATGGCACCCTTTGAGGCCAGCACGGAAGCAGCCGCCGCGTATAAGCAAAGCAACGGCGACAGGGTTGATATTTGGGAAAATCCGGGCGGCGGCGGCTCGTGGTCGGTGCGTTTCCTCAAGGGTGCGCTCATACGCGTACCAGCGGCTGTGCGCGCCAACCGCCTGGTTGCGGGCCAGCTGCCCACTGGCTGGAGTGCCGCGCACTACGGCATTCCAGAGAACATTATCAAGCAGGTAGACACAATCACACTGTACACGCTGGTGGCAACTGTCGAGGCGCTGGTCAGGTCGGGCATAACCGACCCTTACGAGCTCTATCAACACTTCCACGTGTCTGAGGTAGGCAGTACAACCGGATCTGGCATTGGTGGCATGAAGTCTGTGGTCGATACATTTAGGAACAGGTACCTCGATATGGAGCTTAACAACGACACAATTCAGGAGTCGTTTATTTCAACACTTCAAGCGTGGGTCAACATGCTGCTGATATCGGGCTCAGGGCCAGTCAAGCCGGTGGTAGGAGCGTGCGCAACGGCTGTCTTGTCCATCGATTCGGCGGTGGAGACAATCCAGATGGGCAAGGCGCGGTTCATGATTGCCGGCGGTGCTGAGGCCTTATCAGAGGTGTCGTCGACGGAGTTTTCCAACATGGGAGCTACCGGAAATTCGTTGGAAGAAATTATCAGTGGTCGCGAGCCAGCTGAGATGTGTAGACCTTGCACGTCGACGCGCAATGGGTTCATGGAGAGCCAGGGCGCGGGCATTGTCACGCTCATGTCGGCGTCGGCAGCTATCGAGATTGGTGCGCCAATCTATGGCATTGTCGCTATGTCGAGCACCGCGACAGACAAGCAAGGCCGTTCTGTGCCTGCTCCTGGCCAGGGTGTGCTGACATCGGCGCGTGAAATTAAAAGTAATGATATTGCACCACAGCGCCTGAGCCTAGACTACCGCCGTCGCCAGATAAAGCGCCAGATTGCCGTACTAAATGCCTGGAAGGAGGAAGAGTTGGCCCAGATACCAGAGTACACTGCAAAGCTGCACAGTGGTTCTGAAAAGCTTGCCGCCCAGTACATGCAGCAGCTGGAGATTGATTACGCGAGGCAAGTGCGTGGTGTCCAGGATGTCTGGGGCGTTGATTTTTGGAAGCAAGACACCGAGATCTCGCCACTGCGCGGTAGCCTTGCTGTCTGGGGACTAACAGCCAACGACATTGGAATGGCGTCATTTCACGGCACGTCGACAGTGGCCAATGACAAGAACGAGTCTGATGTATTCAATGCCAAGCTCCAGCATATTGGTCGCGCTCCGGGACACGTTGTGCCAGTTGTGTGCCAGAAATGGCTGACAGGGCATCCAAAGGGACCGGCGGCATCGTTCATGCTTAATGGCGTTATTCAGAGCATGCGCACTGGCTTGGTTCCTGGCAACCGCAACGCAGACAACATTTCCAGCGAGCTGAGGGCATTTGACTACGCACTGTACTTGTCAAAGACTGTGCAGACGTCGGGAATCAAGGCGGCGCTGCTAACGTCATTTGGATTTGGCCAAGTGGGCGGTGAGCTGCTTATTGTGCATCCGGACTATTTGCTGGCCACAATTTCACGTGAACAGCTTGACGAGTACAACGCAAAGCTGAAGCGGCGCGAGGCAAAGTCGTACCGTTACTGGCAGGACATGCTGGTGGGCAGACATCTGTTTGTGCAGGTGAAAGGTCAGCCACCGTACACTGCAGAGCAGGAAAGGCGGGTGTATCTTGATCCGCTGGCGCGCGCGCACTACGACGCACCGACCGGGCAGTTTAAATTTTAATATGGGGGATTGAAGTTTGTAGTACTCGACGGTTGACATAATTTCAATATGATTAATGCAATATATTATATAATTATTATTGGATAGCAAGCATCCAAACAAGTGTAGGGTGTTGATTTTCAATTACATTGAAGCAACGTTCAATATTGCACATGTAATATATAAATAATATTGCATTGTCATGTTGAGCCAAGGCCTCAATTCCGAGTTGGGCTCACAGGCAATAAACGTGGATGTGCGATTGAACTTGTTTTATTTACTTTGGGCGGTTCTCCCGGGTTAAATTGTCAGAGTACTTTTCTTTGATTCAGGCTTGCTGCTTTATTTTTCCAAAGAAAAAATTCATAAGATCATAAACTCTTCCGCCTATTTTGTTATTGTATTTCCGATTGCAATCAGACAAAGCCCACACGGCTGAAAATATTTAAATAAAAAAGAGTCATAATCCATGGGCGTGCATTGCAATTTCTCGGCAAAAATACAATAATGATACGCCGCATATGTTTTATTATTTTGTTTGCTTAGCTGGTGTTTGCCTTGTTTGTCAGCCCTTATCGTATAATTGTTTTATTTTGATCATATCAATATTTTTATTTAGTGAATATCGTAGTGGTTGTAAATGAAATTAAACAACAGCTTGCGCACGCGCACTTCCACTTTGTTCTACTTGGCAGCCACAGCGTCGCTGCTCGCCAAGGTTGGCCAGGCCGTCAACCACGCCAACTTTAAAACATGCGAACAGTCAGCTTTTGCCCGGCGCCACCGTTTATTTGCAGACACTATGGCCAAGAAAGCGGCAGAGCCCAACAACAAAAATGCAAAGAGCAGCAGCAGCAGCGCTGATGGCTCCACTCATTCAGCTAGCTCGCCCTACTCGGTCATCGACAGCAGTGTGCACTTGGACGGCCATACGGTGACGGCCTCGGTACAGCATGAGCAAGCGCAGGTACCGCTTCACTTTGAAATTGCATTTCTGAAGAGCGGGACGGTGCGCATTTGCGTTCAGGAGGTTGATCCACTGGTGCCTAGATACAACGAGGCGCACAAGCACATACTGCGAGACAAGGGGTCGTCACTGCCGTACGCATCGCCTGAAGACATAAAGATGGCCACGGAGGCAGTCAATGGCTTGGTCACACATACAGTAAGCTACGTCAATGGCAGCTCGGCGTTCAGCGTTCGTATGACAGAGAACCCGTGGACGCTCGAGTATTTGGTAAACGGTAAGCCAACAATGCAGCTCAATACCAGCGGCCTCTTTCATTTTGAGCATTTGCGCCAAAGACCCGCAGACGGCAACCTTGATGACGTTGACGGCGGCTGGGAAGAGACGTTCAATAACTGGACCGATCACAAGCGCCGCGGACCTGAATCGTTCGGCCTGGACATCAATTTCTACGGATTCGAGCATGTCTACGGAATTCCCGAGCACACATCGCCGCTATCGCTCAAGGACACGCGTGGTGGCGGCGAGGGTGCGTACAACCAGCCGTACCGCATCTACAACCTGGACGTATTCAATTACCAGCTCGACAGCCCAATGGCCATCTACGGGTCACTGCCCTTTATGCTTGCGCACAATGCCGAGGCAACAGTCGGCGTCTTCTGGGTCAACTCATCCGAGACGTGGGTTGATGTGACGCGCAAACTAAACCGCGGCGGCTCCAATCAACAGTCGGTCGTCAACACGCATTGGTTCAGCGAGTCCGGCACCATGGACGTTTTTCTGCTTCCCGGCCCAAGCACTGCCGACGTGTATCGCCAGTACTTGGAGATTTCAGAGCAGACGCCAATGCCACGCGAGTTTGCTCTTGGTTACCACCAGTGCCGCTGGAACTACGAGGACCAGGAGGATGTGCTGGCCGTCAGCGCCAAGTTCCGCGAGCACAGCATTCCGTACGATGTCATTTGGCTTGATGTCGAGTACACCGTCGGCAAGCGCTACTTTACCTGGGACTATGACAAGTTTCCAAATCCATTGGACATGCAACAGGAGCTTGCGCGCAACGGCCACAAGCTGGTAACCATCAGTGATCCGCACATCATGGTTGACAATGATTACCACATCTGGAAGGAAGGCAATGAGAACGGCTACTTTATCAAGAACATTGGTGGATTAGGCAACTACGAAGCCAGCTGTTGGCCCGGAGTATCGAGCTGGGTGGACTTTTTAGACCCTGCAGCGTCCAAGTGGATGGGTGCGCAGTACGGGCTTGACAAGTTTCCCGAGTCGACTACAGACATGTTTGTGTGGAACGACATGAACGAACCTGCAGTTTTTGACGGGCCCGAGCATACGATGGACAAGGCGCTCATCCAGCATGGCGGCTGGGAGCACCGCGATGTGCACAATCTGTACGGCATGATGCAGCAAAGATCAACGTTTGAAGGTCTGCTAGCCCGCGAGCCCATAGCCATGCGCCCGTTTCTGCTTTCGCGCTCCTTCTATGCTGGCTCGCAGCGCTATGGTGCCATTTGGACTGGCGACAACACAGCCAGCTGGGGGTATCTGCGCGCCTCAATCCCAATGCTCTTGGGCAATAACATTGCCGGCATGCATTTTTCAGGCGCTGACGTCGGCGGATTTTTTGGAAACCCGGATCCTGAGCTGCTGACACGCTGGTTCCAGCTGGGGGCGTGGTATCCATTTTTCCGTGGCCACGCGCACTTCAACACGGAGCGTCGCGAGCCCTGGATTTTTGGCGAGCCCTATGTATCGTACATCCGAAACGCAATCCGCGAGCGCTACCGCCTGCTTCCACACTGGTACACGCTGTTCCGCGAGACCAGCTTGACTGGAATGCCGCTGATTCGCCCAATGTGGATGAATTTCCCCGCCGAGCCAGACCTTTTTGCCGAGCAGGACACGTTTATGGTTGGTTCGTCAATCATGGTGGCCGCCATCACTAGGCCTGACACCAGCATTCCTGTGGACGTGCTGTTCCCCGGCGAAGAGCCCTGGTACGATATGCACACCCACGTGGCGTACCCTGCTCAGCTTGCAACGCAGTTTGTAGTCGACCTGGCAAATACTCTAGTCTTTGCACGTGGTGGGTCCATCATCCCGACACGTGAGCAGCAGCGCCAGTCATCAGCATATATGAAGAGAGATCCATTTACTTTGTATGTCTATGTCGACCAAGCAGGCTTTGCTGCCGGCAAGCTGTACATTGATGACGGCGAAACATACGATTACCAGAGCGGAGCTTTCATTGAGCGTGAGCTGACATTTTTGGGCTCCAAGCTTGTATCTCGTGCATCGCCACTCACCAAAAATACATCTGCATATCAGACTTTTGTGCAAAGAATGTCTGGCATAAACGTTGAGCGCATAGTGGTTGTCGGACTGGCCGTAGCTCATAATGTAACTGAGGCGGTTGTTGTTGAGAACAAAACAACTCGCACGGTCAATGTAAGCCATAGCCACAGCAGTAAAATAGTTGCCGCTGACACGATTTCTAACAACTCGCCATGTATTGTCATTTGCAACCCGGCTGTGTTTATTGGTGATGATTGGGAGATTTCATTCTGACGCCATTTTAGCAGGCAGAGTATAATTTAAAGTAAAATACTATGTGAAAGCATAAGCATACTAAATATAATATAAATACTGAGCCGATGAAATGGAGAAAACACCTTAAAGTCTAGGTTCTTGTTTGCATTATCAGTTAATTTAAAATATGAACATGGTATTTTCACATGCAGTATATGGGTATATTGTCAATGTAATAAAAAATATTATTGAAATATTATTAAAATAAACTAAAAGAAAACTAAAGGATGAACAGCTGAGGCTGTTCATATTCACTAATATTTATATTGCTAGTATGAATTCACAAATATCTAAGTATGGAATTAACTGGAAATTGATTCATTAATCAATCGCTGGAGACAAGCCGCAATTTCTTGTATCACATACAAGGTAAAAACAAGCCAAGGCCGCACAAACAGCAAGATAAGCGTTGGATAGGGCATTAAACAATGTTTTATTTCAAAGCGCGCAAATAATAATTTGGATGACCGTTATTAAGCCTGAATGGGGTCAATAGGTGAAATGCTCTGGAACATGCAACAAAACCAATGATAGCGGCTACCTTGTCCACAAAGGCCCACTAATCAGATGACAATAGGGTATTTCATGCCATGAAGCTTTAAAACTAGCAAAACGCACATGCGACAAAGGCAATTTAAAGTATCCATGAAGGGACCTTAATGGCTAATAGACCAGTTAGGGATTGGGTGTTACAGGGAAAGTCAACTACAACGCTGTAAAACTAGTTTCTAACAATATACTCAGTTTAACTCAAAGTCTGGAAAAAAGAAACCTCAACAGCCTGTGCAATTTGCTGACCCACAGTGCTTAAAATAAAAATGGATACATATGTGGTGCCCAACACACATTTCAAGCCACTATCTTCCCTTTTCAATAATCAAGATTGCCCTCATGGCCGCTATACATATTTCTGTTATTGCTGGCTGACACCAAGGAACACCATTATGTTTACAGCACTGCCCACACAGCACTACCCCCTTTTCAGTTCCTAAAATAACTTTTGATACTTAAATATATTAATTTAGCCCCACATTTTTATAGAGTACGACAACATATATAACATTTAAATAAATCAGGGTGGCACTAATTACAGCACCTCGCGGTGGTCCAGCACCTGGGAAGACCTGAGAGAAACATGAAAACCACAAGAGTACTGGAGATAAATACATACACTTGTTTCAAATGGGTGTTACAGTTCAGGAGCTATTGGGGCAACTATTTTAATAAGCATTCGCATAATTAGTGCATTACACACTCTCGGCTTTTGTTAGAGTAGTTTTATGACACTCACATCTACACCCTCCTCTTGGCTTAGAATGAATGGATATATTTACAGCCATACCATTTATTTATTTCTAATATGTATTTTTTACTTAATTGGGTTTATTTATTCTATTCTATTTTGTTCTGTCAAACTTGGCTTTTATTAAAACAACCTTTTTAGCCTTTACACACAATGTTGTACAGCCAAATAACATGGATGTGAATGTTGAGATTGAGATTCAAGTGACTGTTTTTCTTTTGCATGCCGACTGATAGAAGGCAAAGAAGATTATAGAGTATTAGACCAGGAATTCAATAATATTATCCAAATATGATTGCCTTTTTATAACATGCACGCATACACAAAGATTGCAACACCAAAACACTCAATATTTGAGCTGCTTGCAGAAAAGTCAGTACTCGGCATTAGTGATTATAACGGCTAGTGTGTAAGGCAGGGCAGGGTCGAGGATGACACACACACATATATGCGTGTGCCAAATTCGACCTTAATTATACTTTTGATTTCTTTTGTAATAATGCTATGTAAGAGGGGGTGTGAAAAGCACTAGTTGTTTAGTGTTAGAAAAGTAGGTGTGATTTTATAAAGTTTTATTACTCATTTATAAAATGTTGCTAGTGCCCGCCTTGTCCTATATATGTGTCTTGTTGCCTTTGTTGTGCACATTGCCAATTGTGCACTCCGTTGGCAAAAACTAATTATTCTGCAAGACTGGTATTTTGGCAAGTCAGTGTTGTGGTTTTCGTGTGTGTGCACTCACGCGTGTGCATTGCAAAATGGGGAGCATGTCTAGACATCATCATTATGCCTCCCTAATTTACGCCTGCATAATCCAATTAGTACCCTATCAACTGGCATGCAGATGGAACCTTGTTTCACGATCCTCAACCTCGACATCTACTTCCATATCTTTAGGCTGCGCAGCATTACATTAACGTTGCTATTTTTGAGCTGCACTAGATGTGGTTTTGCAGAACAGGCTGTATAAATGGGGCCATAGATTATCTACACAGTGAATATGCCCGTCTCGATCCTAACGAATAACTCCTAATTGAATGTATCATTAGCTGTACACTCTCCAATATATCCTGTTTTTTCTTAACAAAAAGCTGAAGCATTTTTTTGCTGCAACAGCTTTTTGCTGCAATGGTCTCCAATACCAATCGCAATCCCAAGCGAATGTCAATACAGCCACATTGTTTGTATGCTTGCTGTCATCACTTATTTTATATTTATTTTTACCAACGCTCTCTTATCAACTAAACAGCAAACTAAGCACAACGCAGATTAACATGGACAAGTGCCCAATAGTTGTACATGTATTCGTGTTTGGCGGCTGTTGCACATAATCAACTAAAACACAGACTAAATCAACGGCTGCAAAAGTGCATGCAAACTAAAATTATGCAATTTATTGTTCTAATATTATCTGATTTTTTCGAGCGATATTTACAAAATTCATTCTCTTGGCTTTTTCAGTCTAATTTTTGTAATTGTACTTTTTAATGGAAATTTTGAGTGTGGTATGTACAGTGGTTTTATTTTCTGCCATGATGAGCGGCAAAGACAAAAATTAGCAGTTAAAAGTAAAGTGCCATTTAAAAATCATCACCACACAAATGATAGCTGTTTGAAGCTCATAAAGCTTCGAGTGCAAAATGTCGTTGGACGCTCAGAGATATTTGCAACTAGTTGTCATGTCTTTGGGTTTGGTACATGCGCTACTCTTTCTAGCCATGCCCATGTTGTGATTTTGTGAGGAGCCCATCCAGACGCTGGCAATCTGGAGAAGGTATATGGGTAAACCCTGCCCTTCTCCTATTCCGCTGCCTCTGATTTCAGGTCTTAGGCGTGTCGCCAGCCGGATTCATATTGAACAAATGTTCTGTGGGCCCCCGTATATACCACAGTTACGGGTCTTATGAAATGGAACCGGCCCGATTTTTATTAAAAACCATGGGTCTATTTTATCTCCAGGTTTTTGTTAAGTGTTTTTTTGACACACATATATACCCCCAGACATGACATTGATGAGACCAGTTGCAGATATCTTACCAAGTGTTTACTAGACACACATTATTTTTTGTGATGTGCGAATGAGCGTGGCTGTGGTAGACGGCGGATATAATATATGGGCTGGTGTAGTGAAATGGATGACGCTGCGCAAAAACTGTTGTATGTGTCTGATCCCCTCCCACAAAAGTTGTGTATTGTGAACCGATAATCCATGTTGAAGTCAAAGTTGATGCTGCTGCATGTGCGCGCGTGTACTGTAGTCGTGATGCCCTAATGTTAGATAAATATGTGTGTATTAGAAAAAAGTAGTAGTATTTTAGAGGAAGTGGTGGTTGTTGGGAGGGAGATAGGGAACAAAAAATATTTTGGAAAGTGAACGTCTTTTTTATATAAAATGAGACATACAAATAGATGGAAAAGGGCAGCAAAAAAGTCCTGCCAGTTGAAAAAAAGATGGAAAAATGAAAACGCAGTAGGTTTCTTTGTGTTCTGCCAGCCTGAAATATTTTTGCACTCTTTTTGTGCACCAAGAGAGTTGTTTTGGGTAATGACACACTCCAAACCTGTCAAAAAATGGCATCTGCATAAGCGTCAGCACGCACGACAGCAGTGGCAGCAACGGCAACTGGGGCAAGAATGGTGAATGAGAAGAGCTGCATGTTGAAAATGATGGTTGCTGGTAAATAAAGTAATGTTTGTGGTTGTGAGTAAAAAAGGAACAAAAGTGCCCAAAGAACTACCAACTGAATATTCGAGAAACCATGTCTTACTTATACATGGGATTTTAGCAATAATGGAAGCAGCATCCTGTACATGTCATTGCTGGAAATGATTCATCATTTTGTGAACATGTTTTTAAAGCACTGACATCCAATGCTATACAAATCAGTTTGTGAATTGACTCCAATGATATGCCACAGTTAAGGCACATGGGTTTGCATGTTGCCTTACTGAGATTAATTGATTACGTGCATGGCAAGTAAGCAATGGTGATAGGTTTTTATTATAGTTTATTTACATGCCAGGGAGAGCATATAAGAAATGGCTATTAGGCAGCCAAGAATTGATCTTGGAAGAAATAAATATAATCTTTTGATTAATATCATTGGTTGATGGCAACCAACTGATTAATCAGTCTTGGCTGTTTAGCCACACAAACAATAAGTCACACAGTGACCAAAGCAATATGCTTTCTTTTCTTTACCTTTACACAGTGCATAGCGCTTATTTACTAAATATACATGTAAATATTTAGAGCAAAATTTGCCCTCCCCCAAAAAAAAGATATCATTGTTTGGCTTGCAAAAATGGCCGAATGCATGTTTGCACATTTGGAAATATCAGAATCATTTTCACTTAACATTTTTTCAAGCACATGGAGATATATCTTGCTGCTATTTTTGGCAGTTTGGGCTTATTATATCGCCCAAATACAGGTCTCTTGGTGCAAAACACGTGAGAAAATTATTTTAGGCTGGCACAAAACAAAGAACACTGTATTTTTTATTTTCCATCTCTTTTTCCAAATGATGGCTCTGTTTTAGCTGCCTTTCTCACCCGTCCATTTGAATGCCAGATTTCATATAAATAGAGTGCCCACTTCCCAAGACATTTCTTTGGTTTCTCATCCCCACCACTATTTTTTACAACACTGCTTACCAATTACACTTTATGCACCATGTTCATATATGGAATATACCACCAGCGGCCGCGGATACCACTTACCTCCTCTTGATTTTTCAATAACCAACCCTTTGCTCGCAAAATCTACAGTTAACATTTTCACTTCCAAAACACAACTTATGCCAGGGGATGTTTGAACACACACCCACTGGCTTTCCACGTCAAATTATCTTTCGTCATACAACCAGCCCTCATCTTCATATTTTGTATTCTCATTACCCACTCCTCCCTTTGCTGCTGGCCATCATCCTTGCTAATTTATTGCCTAAACATAAAAAAGAACAAAAAAACAAATACGTATAAAACAAATACAAAAAAAATGATGAGTGTCCATGGACCTTGAAACATTCTAAAATTTCCTTAGGGTTTTGTTAAATTTATTATCTACATGGTGGCATAGCAATTGTTACAAGTCTGATCAGCTTGTAATGTTGTAGATGCATGTTACAAAGGTATAATTAAAAAAGGATATTTAGTTTTTTATAGTTTATTTATTTCAAGACAAACAATTCCTGACTGCCTGATAGCCGTTTCTTATATGCTTTCATATGCTCTCATATGTTCTCAGCACATAAATAAACTAATAAAAAACTAAATATCCTTTTTTAATTATACCTTTGTAACAATTTTTCTTCTATTTTATTTTTTTAAATATAATAAAAAACATTATTTCTTAATTACCGTGCACATAATCAATTAATCTCAGCAAGCCAACATGCAAAGCCATGTGTCTAAACTGTGTGATACAAGAAATTGCGGCTTGTCTCTGGCGATTGATTCATTAATCAATCGCCAGTTAATTCCCTACTTGGACATGCGGGAATTCATATGCACATATAAATACTAATGAATATGAACAGTGGAGGCTGTTCATCTCTCAGCTTTCTTTTAGTTCAAATATATATTTTTAACATAACAGTACAATTAAACATAGGCACTCTATCTTCCAGCTAGAGCATCAATTGTGGCCAGATAGCTAGTGTGCATATCTGCCATTCTCATTGCTGTTTGTCTGCGGCCACTTTGGCAGGCCATTGTTTTCATCTTGTCGCAGGTTTGATATTCAGAATGTTTGTTGAGATTGGAGTTCCCATCAACAATCGGCGTTTCTCAGGCGTCAAGGATTCCTTCATTTCCCGTTCGATCTGGAGGTCATACCATCCCTTGTACCAGCTATGCTGTTTATCTATAATCTTGTTTACAAAAACTGTTGCTTGTTTTTGCGCACTCCCTTTGGAGTTTCTTGACCAGCATTGTGCACCTATCCTCTGTCAGCTCCTAATGAATGAAACTTGAATATTATTTTGGAATGAATTAAATGAAATATTAGAAAGCACCAAACACATACCAAACAATGCTTCTTGTGGGTGACCAATTATACTAGAGGTTTTGAATTCTATGGTTTGATAAAATGACAAAAGTTCTCTGTCAGCTCCTTCCAGCCGCGTCTCATATCCAAGGTCCAGCTTATTTCTCCTGGTAGTGGGAATCCACATGGTTTTTGATTTTCTCCAATATGTTATCTATTGCGATGTTCAATACACTCGGAGTTTGTTAACTATTTCAGCTGTTATGCAGCCCGAGGATATGGAGGTAGACGCTGAGGGCGAAAATCATGAGACAGATTCTCGTCAGCTCACAGATGGATCTTATATGGGCCAAATTACAGGTGATCAAATTAGGCGCCACAATTGACATCCAAACATACTGCCTGTCCCAAAATGGATGTGCTGGGCGCAAGAATACAGACATGCCAACTATGCCATATCAGAAACCCGGGTTGCTTTCACAAGAACCAGTTCTCGCAAATGGTGCACACGACTCCCAATGAGTGCCACAAAGACAAGGAGATATATATAAGGCGAGGCCGGCGATAATAACACTTTAGAAACACTAGTAATAAAATCCTTTATAATTTGACACCCATTCTTTTAACATTATTACAGTAGTGCTCCCCACCCCCCTCTTACATAACACAGCCAAGTGATCTTGCAGCTGGGTCTTAAAGATCACAGTGAAAGTTCTCTCATTCAGAATTTTATGCTCTCGTTGTGGACACATGAAACATGTGGCTCTGTGTCTTAATTGGTCTGACAGCCAGGCAATGGTGCATAAACGCATCTCTGGTTCAGTGTACACGTCAGGGAAGTATATTTTTACAGCAGTGAATGGCAGGGCCACCATGCTCCCAAAAGAAACAATATAAGCTCAAAATCAATGCGCAAGGAAAAAGAACAATGCCGATTGGAAATTAATCCGTAAATATAATTATTTCTTGTTTCCATATTTCAGCCAACCAAATGCAAGCATGAGAAGCTCAAGGTTTTTTGTTTATATTAAAAAAATTGTTTTTTGTTTTTGGCGCAATCCATCGTAACAAATTTTCACCTTTGCAACTTTCCACCTTTACTTTTACTTTTAATATTTGCTTTTTTTTTTTCCAATTCGCACCATTTCGTTCAATTTGTTTTATTTTCCTCACTTTTTCATCACTTTTACCATACCTCAGTGCTTATCACACACACACACACACACACACTCTCTCTCTCTCTCTCCCTCCCCCTCTCTTTGTATTTCCCTTTCCTTTTCTCTCAATGATGTCTGAGCTAGCTCCTCCAAATAAGACCCCGCCGAATCAAATAGGCGTAAGTACTTCAATATAAACAGATTGTTATGATATTGATGAATTGTTTGTTGTTGTTTATTCTGCGTGCATATAAAACTAATTCGGACACTAATTTAAAACATTGTTTTATTTTTTATTAGAACAGCAAGACAGGTGGCACTATCCAAACGCCCTCAAAAAATCAAAAAAAGGAGGAACTGCCGCCCGGGGAATCGGAGCCCCCCGAAGTACGCGATAGGCGCCGTCAGCGGCTGCTGAAATGCCTCGGCGATAACATTGAGAAGGTTGATCTGTTTGATGACTTTGTCAAATCGCTGGGCGTGAAGCAGCGGTATAATCAGTTCATCGAGGATTGGCCTGATCTCTTCCTCAACATAGCCAAGGGGTCGCCAGTGGTTGATAGCAAGGGTATCGTGGCCAATACAGGTTACCCGATTGAGGAGTTCGGCGATTTCCCCATTGCTGACGTGTTCAAAAGCAACTCGGGGAAATTGATCGGGTTGACTAAGGAAGCTTGCTTGGTCAAATATTTTATTCTTCTCTTCAACGCGATGGTCAATGCGGTTGATGTCGCAAATGGGGGTATTCCAGCAGGCAGAACTCCAGTCCCAGAGTGTGGGCTTAATCTGGGTGACCATCAGAGCGATGCTATACTAGGCACACCGCACAAGCCAGACATCGCATTTTACTACAGTGACTACGCAGAGGAGAACGCTCATTCCATCCATGCTATACTCGAGGCCAAGATGGATCCAAACTCCAGTAGAACTCCAGAGGATACTCGTGGCCAGCTCGCAGATTACGGACATTTACTTAATGATCAGCAGGCAACCCGCACGTTTGCGCCTATCTTCTACCTCCATGGGCACATCCTGACGCTTCACACATATTATCGTGACAAACTGTACATCGTCGAGCTCGGCCAGCTATGCTTTAATACGAATAATTGGACGTCTCGCCGAGCTAAAAGAATTCAGTCATGCCTCATGCAGTTCTGGTTCCTGTTGACTCTTGAGTCGAACATCTTCGGACATTTCTGCGATGTCTCGAAGAAATCTAGCTCTTTCATTTTTTCGCAGGAAGTCGATGTGGAGAGCAAGGGCGATTCAAAGATCGAAGTCTTATACTCAGCTTCCAAGCATGTCAAGGATGTCAAGGATGTCAAGGATGGCGCTGCTCTGTTTTGTATCAAGGAGACAATAGCGCGTTATTCATACATGATTGGGCGCCATGTCCATTTATTCAGGGGGACTTGCAAAGGTCGTGATGCTGTGCTGAAGCTTTCCTGGACCCCAGTCAATCGTTTGCCCGAGGGCGCTGCATACGCCATCCTCAACAAGAGACCAGTCGAATGTATTCCCAAGATCTTTTCGAGTGGCCTGCTCATCAGCGACCTTAATGGATACCGGCTGGAGTTTGTGCTCATGGAATACTGCGGCCAGTCAATGGCCGAGTACCTGAAAGTCAAGACCAAAAAGGAGATACGCAAGCTAGTTCCTAGCTTTGTCAAGCAGCTGACCCTGTGCCTTGCCCAGGCAAATGACACTGGTGTCCTGCACAGGGATATCTCAGCAGGGAATGTGTGCATCAAAAACGACAAGGTGTATGTCATTGACTGGGGCTGTGCCAAGGTCATTGGCTGGGGGACTACTAAGGATGCTGCCAGGGATGCTCCTAGGGATGCTGCTGAGGACACTGATGAGGACACTGATGCGGAGACTGATGCGGAGACTGATGAGGATGCCGCTGAGGATGCTGTTGAGGATCCCACTGAGGACACTGGCCCAACCCAACTTAAACATATTGAGGTTGCCGAACAGTGGGGATTCAATGCAACAACAGTGGGACAGGTGGAGGTGGCCAAGGACCCATTTACAGGGACGCCGCTTTTCATGGGTATTCCCATGCTCAGCAGCAGCCCCATCCGGGGAATCCTTGACGACATGGAGAGTGTTCTCTATGTCGTTATGGACGCAGTGCGTCCAGCTGGTACTAATAGGGATGACGTTCAGGGCTTCAAATTCCTGGACTCTCCATCCCTCGCCATCACAAGGTGGGGTTTGATCCAAGGTGGTGGTATCTTGCTGAAGGGCTTCAGTGTTGATGGTATTAGCCCTAGTCTCAAAAAGCTCATTCGTGCAATGCGCCGGTTCCTTTTTGAACCAGAAAATAAGGTTATGAACCACCGGCTCTGGTCAAACAAGAAATTTGTCCGGCAGGCCAACTGGGATGCTGCTCCTGAGTTTATGCATCCCAAGGCGATTGAGCTCCTCAAAGAGGATAGTGGCCAGCTTAAGCGACCAGCTGAGGACGAGATCAATGCTGGGTCATTCAAGAAGCTAGCACTTTAGGTTTTTTTTGTTTTTAATAAATCTTTTTACGACCCAAAAAATCAACTGCAAAAGATAAAATATTTACATTTTATTCATTTTTTCTTCACGTTTAATAGAGATTAAAACTCTTGTCTGTCCCTCTTTTATTTACAGATTCACCAACCCACCGATCACCTTTCGCCGATCACTTTAACTGTAAACAACATACTTTTAAACTCGCACATTGGCCAATTTTACTTGAACATGGTTGATTTCATCCATAATTTTCGATTTTTGCTATTTTGCCAAATGATTTCAATTTAACGTTATTCTTTCTTTATTTTTCCTTTCCTTTCCTTTCCTTTCCAATTCACATTTCGTAATTAACAAATTACTGTTCTTTTTTACACCCTTTCAATATTCTTTTGCTAGCATAGACGATAGCTGGTACCACCTTGCAATTGGCGTCGGAGCAGCACTCGGCACATACCGGGTACTTTCGCATCTTTTAGACCAATCACAGTATGAGTTAGATTTCTGCTGCACACAGCCAAAGACAGCAACAGCGACACGCCTGATATTCCAGGACCAATAATCCCAAAAGGGAGTGCGGACAATGAGGCAGAATTGGACATTCAGATGCCCGAAATGGTTAATTCCTTGGGATAATTGGCGCTGAATTCAGAAAACTTTAAGCTGCTGGATACTGTGTCTGAGCTGCTGCTCGATACGGCTATGCGGTGAGAGGTGCTGCAGCTGATAGTTGTGCAGGATCAGGGCAATTCAGCAGCAGAGGGGGGACTGGTTGAGGACAGTTGTGTTGCTGCATGTGCTGCTAATGACACTGCAGTGGGATGGCAAGGTAGTTTGGGCTGACGGCACATGCAGCAGGAAGCTGACGGCAGGCTGCTTGAGGTGCTCAGCGAAACACTTATGCAGTCAGCCAACAGCTCGGCTTGAGGCAGCAGCAAGCAGAGGCAGCAGTCAGACTCTGTGATTGTGTTGGTATGTGCAGCCATGGTAAAGCAGTTTGCGCTGCGTACCGAGTACCACCGGCGGATGATCGACCTGGTATTTCTGTCTGCATTGCTCAGTGTCGCACGCCAGTCAGTGCCTGAGCTTGAGATTTTGCGCATGCCGGTGGAGAGTCTCGTGTGGCTGTGTACTTTTCTCACAGCATATCGGCTGGCAGCAGCAGAAGAAAATGCAATGGAGATGGCAAATCCACAGATGGTGCAGCTGCTGGAGCTGGGCACTGTTGATGTCATCCCCGCGTGTGTCTGCAAGGATGACCAGGTTCAAATGGGTGTTACAGTTCAGGAGCTATTGGGGCAACCATTTTAATAAGCATTCGCATAATTTGTGCATTACACACTCTCGGCTCTTGTTAGAAAAATAGTTTTATGACACTCACATCTACATCCTCCTCTTGGCTTAGAATGAATGGATATATTTACAGCCATACCATTTATTTATTTCTAATATGTATTCTTTACTTAATTGGGTTTATTTATTCTATTCTATTTTGTTCTGTCAAACTTGGCTTTTATTGAAACAACCTTTTTAGCCTTTACATACAATGTTGCACAGCCAAATAATATGGATGTGAATGTTGAGATTGAGATTCAAGTGACTGTTTTTCTTTTGCATGCCGACTGATAGAAGGCAAAGAAGATTATAGAGTATTAGACCAGGAATTCAATAATATTATCCAAATATGATTGCCTTTTTATAACATGCACGCATACACAAAGATTGCAACACCAAAACACTCAATATTTGAGCTGCTTGCAGAAAATTCAGTACTCGGCATTAGTGATTATAACGGCTAGTGTGTAAGACAGGGCAGGGTCGAGGATGGCACACACACACATATATGCGTGTGCCAAACTCGACCTTAATTATACTTTTGATTTCTTTTGTAATAATGCTATGTAAGAGGGGGTGTAAAAAGCACTAGTTGTCTAGTGTTATAAAAGTAGGGGTAATTTTATAGAGTTTTATTACTAACTTTTATAAAATGTTGCTAACGCCCGCCTTGTCCTATATATGTGTCTTGTCGCCTTTGTTGTGCACATTGCCAATTGTGCACTCCATTGGCAAAAACTAATTCTTCTGCAAGAAGACCGGTATTTTGGCAAGTCAGTGTTGTGGTTTTCGTGTGTGTGCACTCACGCGTGTGCATTGCAAAATGGGGAGCATGTCTAGACATCATCATTATGCCTCCCTAATTTACGCCTGCATAATCCAATTAGTACCCTATCAACTGGCATGCAGATGGAACCTTGTTTCACGATCCTCAACCTCGACATCTACTTCCATATCTTCAGGCTGCGCAGCATTACATTAACGTTGCTATTTTTGAGCTGCACTAGATGTGGTTTTGCAGAACAGGCTGTATAAATGGGGCCATAGATTATCTAAGTGAATATGCCCATCTCGATCCTAACGAATAACTCCTAATTGAATGTATCATTAGTTGTACACTCTCCAATATCTCCTGTTTTTTCTTAACAAAAAGCTGAAGCATTTTTTTGCTGCGATAGCTTTTTGCTGCAATGGTCTCCAATACCAATCGCAATCCCAAGCAAATGTCAATACAGCCACATTGTTTGTATGCTTGCTGTCATCACTTATTTTATATTTATTTTTACCAACGCTCTCTTATCAACTAAACAGCAAACTAAGCACAACGCAGATTAACATGGACAAGTGCCCAATAGTTGTACATGTATTCGTGTTTGATGGCTGTTGCACATGATCAACTAAAACACAGACTAAATCAGCGGCTGCAAAAGTGCATGCAAACTAAAATTATGCAATTTATTATTCTAATATTCTAATATTATCTGATTTTTTCGAGCGATATTTACAAAATTCATTCTCTTGGCTTTTTCAGTCTAATTTTTGTAATTGTACTTTTCAATGGAAATTTTGGGTGTGGTATGTACAGTGGTTTTATTTTCTGCCATGATGAGCGGCAAAGACAAAAATTAGCAGTTAAAAGTAAAGTGCCATTTAAAAATCATCACCACACAAATGATAGCTGTTTGAAGCTCATAAAGCTTCGAGTGCAAAATGTCGTTGGACGCTCGGAGATATTTGCAACTGGTTGTCATGTCTTTGGGCTTGGTACATGCGCTACTCTTTCTAGCCATGCCCATGTTGTGATTTTGTGAGGAGCCCATCCAGACGCTGGCAATCTGGAGAAGGTATATGGGTAAACCCTGCCCTTCTCCTATTCCGCTGCCTCTGATTTCAGGTCTTAGGCGTGTCGCCAGCCGGATTCATATTGAACAAATGTTCTGTGGGCCCCCGTATATACCACAGTTACGGGTCTTATGGAATGGAACCGGCCCGATTTTTATTAAAAACCATGGGTCTATTTTATCTCCAGGTTTTTGTTAAGTGTTTTTTTGACACACATATATACCCCCAGACATGACATTGATGAGACCAGTTGCAGATATCTTACCAAGTGTTTACTAGACACACATTATTTTTTGTGATGTGCGAATGAGCGTGGCTGTGGTAGACGGCGGATATAATATATGGGCTGGTGTAGTGAAATGGATGACGCTGCGCAAAAACTGTTGTATGTGTCTGATCCCCTCCCACAAAAGTTGTGTATTGTGAACCGATAATCCATGTTGAAGTCAAAGTTGATGCTGCTGCATGTGTGCGCGTGTACTGTAGTCGTGATGCCCTAATGTTAGATAAATATGTGTGTATTAGAAAAAAGGTAGTAGTATTTTAGAGGAAGTGGTGGTTGTTGGGAGGGAGATAGGGAACAAAAAAAATATTTTGGAAAGTGAACGTCTTTTTTATATAAAATGAGACATACAAATAGATGGAAAAGGGCAGCAAAAAAGTCCTGCCAGTTGAAAAAAATGGAAAAATGAAAACGCAGTATGTTTTTTTGTGTTCTGCCAGCCTGAAATATTTTTGCACTCTTTTTGTGCACCAAGAGAGTTGTTTTAGGTAATGACACACTCCAAACCTGTCAAAAAATGGCATCTGCATAAGCGTCAGCGCGCACAACAGCAGTGGCAGCAACAGCAACCGGGGCAAGAGTGGTGAATGAAAAGAGCTGCATGTTGAAAATGATGGTTGCTGGTAAATAAAGTAATGTTTGTGGTTGTGAGTAAAAAAGAAACAAGAGTACCTAAAGAACTACCAACTGAATATTCGAAAAACCATGTCTTATTTATACATGGGAATTTAGCAATAATGGAAGCAGCATCCTGTACATGTCATTGCTGGGAATGATTCATCATTTTGTAAACATGCTTTTAAAGCACTGACATCCAATGCTATACAAATCAGTTTGTGAATTGACTCCAATGATATGCCACAGTTAAGGCACATGGGTTTGCATGTTGCCTTACTGAGATTAATTGATTACTCATGTGGCAATCAGAGCAATGATGATACGTTTTGTTATAGTTTATTTACATGCCAGGGAGAGCATATAAGAAATGGCTATTAGGCAGCCAAGAATTGATCTTGGAAGAAATAAATATAATCTTTTGATTAATATCATTGGTTGATGGCAACCAACTGATTAATCAGTCTTGGCTGTTTAGCCACACAAACAATAAGTCACACAGTGACCAAAGCAATATGCTCTCTTTTCTTTACCTTTACACAGTGCATAGCGCTTATTTACTAAATATACATGTAAATTTTTGGAACAAAATCTACCCCCCCTCAGAAAAAAAGATATCATTGTTTGGCTTGCAAAAATGGCCAAATGCATGTTTGCACATTTGCAAATATCAAAATCATTTTCACTTAACATTTTTTCAAGCACATGGAGATATATCTTGCTGCTATTTTTGGCAGTTTGGGCTTATTATATCGCCCAAATACAGGTCTCTTGGTGCAAAAACGTGAGAAAATTATTTTAGGCTGGCACAAAACAAAGAACTCGCTGTATTTTTTATTTTCCATCCATTTTCCAAATAATAGCTTTGTTTTAGCTGCCTTTCTCACCCGTCCATTTGAATGCCAGATTTCATATAAATAGAGTGCCCACTTCCCAAGACATTTATTTGGTTTCTCATCCCAACCACAATTTGTTATAATACTGCTTACCAATTACACTTTATGCACCATGTTCATATATGGAATATACCACCAGCGGCCGCGGATACCACTTACCTCCTCTTGACTTTTCAACAACCAACCCTTTGCTCGCAAAATCTACAGTCCACATTTTCACTTTCAAAACACAACTTATGCCAGAGGATGTTTGAACACACACTCATTGGCTTTCCACGTCAAATTATCTTTTGTCATACAACCAGCCCTCATCTTCATATTTTGTATTCTCATTACCCACTCCTCCCTTTGCTGCTGACCATCCTCCTTGCTAATTTATTGCCTAAACATAAAAAAGAACAAAAAACAAATACGTATAAAACAAATACAAAAAAAATGATGAGTGTCCATGGACCTTGAAACATTCTAAAATTTCCTTAGGGTTTTGTTAAATTTATTATCTACATGGTGGCATAGCAATTGTTACAAGTCTGATCAGCTTGTAATGTTGTGGATGCATGTTACCAAAGTATAATTAAAAAAGAATATTTAGTTTTTTATTATAGTTTATTTATTTCAAGACAAACAATTCCTGACTGCCTGATAGCCGTTTCTTATATGCTTTCATATGCTCTCATATGTTCTCAGCACATAAATAAACTAATAAAAACTAAATATCCTTTTTTAATTATACCTTTGTAACAATTTTCCTCCTATTTTATTTTTTTAAATATAATAAAAAACATTATTTCTTGATTACCATGCACATAATCAATTAATCTCAGCAAGCCAACATCCAAAGCCATGTGTCTAAACTGTGTGGTGCCCAACATACATTTTAAGCCACTATCTTCCCTTTTCAAGAATCAAGATCGCCATCATGGCCACTATACACATTTCTGTTATTGCTGGCTGACACCAAGAAAACCATGATGTTTACAGCGCTGCCCACACAGTGCTGCCCCCTTTTTCAGTTAAGTAAGTAATTTTTAAGACTTGAATATATCGATTTAGACCCACATTTTTATAGAGCACAACATATTTTTTTTTGTGAGGTGTAAAAAACCAATTTTATTTTATTTTATTTCAAAACTTGCAAGTTTATATTTCGGCAGATGTGCCACTCATCATCTATAAAGAAAACAACAACAGAAACTATGGCACTTAGACGCCGCTCTCCAGGACTCCCCTACAACCTGGGTCTGGAAGACAACTTTACTGCATTTACCATCTTTGAGGATCCGATACTTCAAGGAAATTATGATGCATACAACGACGAAGATATTTACCGTGTAATGGAC